GACGGGGAGTGGAATGGCCGGGAGCAGGTCCAGGTCCAGGTCCAGGTCCAGAGCCAAGGTGCGGGTACGGGTGCAGGCGCGAATGCAAGTGCGACTGCAAGTGCAAAGTGCGAGTGCCAAGTACAAGTGCAAGTGCAAGTGCAACTGGGAAAAGGAAGGTGCAGCTCCAGCAACGGAAGGGGTCAGTGTGTCAGCCGCCAGGCGATCCATGGACAATCAACGAATGAGGAAGGGCCGTCGGACGTGGGAAAATACCATGGAACATTGGCCGTGCAGCACACCCGGCGTGGGCATATCCAATAATGCCAATGTCTCTCTGCGTCCTAGTGCGTGCCACCGCGGGTGAGCCGAGTTGAGAGCGAGAGTGTGTGCACGCAGTAGTAGTATACCATAGTACCCTATGTGTGTGCTGCGTAAGCGTGTGTGGCTTGGGAGCCGGACTTGGAAGGACTGGAACTCAAAAATTGGTGGCACACCGTCGGTAGCAGGCAAAATGTCAGTCATCTGCCCGCTACACACAGTAGCCCGTAGCGTCCATGGAGTGAGTACGGAGCACTCTGCCGTTACCTGCCTGCCCTGTCTTGCCTGCCCTGTCCTGCCTGCCTGGCCTGGCCTGGCAGACTTGGACTTGGTAGTGGTAGTCTAGTGGGTGGGTGGATGCACTCAGTACTGTATACGGACACGGCTTGCACGCCTCGTCCTCCTGCTCGCCTGGTCAACCCCCTTAGCAGGCTTCCTCCAATGTCACAATGTCACCAGGAGTTGGCAGGTTGGCAGGTTGGCAGGGGGAAGGCGGCCACGGTCAAGTCCTCCCCAAGCGCTAACGGGGGCCGCCAGTGTCGCCTGGAACTTCATTTTTAGGTGCAGGCCCATTCCATTTCCGCCTCGGGTAGCAACCAAGCCAGCGAAACGCGCGAGCCCCCTTCCAGCCGTGCCAGCTTCTCATACCTGCCCTGCCCTGCCCTGCCCTGCCCTGCCGCCCTGTCCTGCAACCAACCAGCCAGTCCGGCCAGTCCAGCAGCCCAGCCTGGCCTGCCCTAGGCGGAATTATTGCTCCCTGCTGCTTGCTGCTGTGCCCAGGGCGCGCGTGTGATGGAGCCTGACCAGCCTGACTTGTGCGCTTGACTCTGATGATTCTCACTCATCCTCACTTCAAGCCGGCCTGGCCTTGGTCTATGTTTCTCCCACCCTGGTCGACTCCTCTTCGGGCCTACTTGCCTTGGTTGGCATGCATCACGGACAGATCAGCGACGTACCCTGCCCGACCAAACCATACCAGACACACCCACAGCACGATCCTCTCTCACCACACTTGCGCCCAGTCAGTGCCAGTGAACCAGTTCGTACTACCGAGCACACTACCGTGACTACCTACGTCCACTGCCCCCCGTATAGCACACACTTGCCGGCACGTCCTCTGTTCCCCCGTCCACCGAGCACTATTCACGCCGACGATCACACTACGCAGTAATTGTGGGATCGCGAAACTCTATGAGAAACAGCTCACACCTGCCCTGAAATGAGACGGGTCTGTGAAGCCCTCTCAAGCGCCAAGCCGAGACCATCCAAAATGAGCAAAAGCACACCCAGCGTTGCACTTGAGCCGCCTCGTCCTGACCTGAGCCGCAGGTTGCGACCGGGCGGAGGGATGTGATGTGAGGCGAAAAGTATCACGAGCCCCTTCACCCTCGCATCAGCAGTAGTTCAATCTATTTACTGCCTACGCTGTGGTTTGTTACGCATCCAAGGACGATGCTGTCTCCCGACGCAAGCCTTTGGCGGTCATCGGCCTTCCGCGACTGGAAGGCGGCGCGTCTCTACCTGCGCAGTAGTCACCACTAGCCCAGAGATTGTACAATGTACTGTGCACCTCTCTCCGGTCTGGATGGGCGCAGGACGAAGATCTGACCTGTCAAGCTAGTACAATGGCATGAGACGGCCAGCTCATCATCACTTTGGAAGGCTCCTCTGATCATTCCATCATGCGGCCGCCGCACAACATTGGGGACTCGGCAAAGGCGGCCTGGCCTGCCCTGGCCTGCCCACGACGCGTAATAAATTGTGGCCAGGGACACGAGCGACAATCATGGACGCATGCAGGCGTGGGCGTGTGAGTCCAAACCAAGGTGCCGCCCCGCCACTGGGTGGCCCCCTACAGGCGAAGGAGATTCGTCTCTCGCTTAGTGGTGTGTCAGGCCTTGGGGCGTCAGGTGCTCCGATGGATGTGCGTCGTGCCAGCTCCTCCAGGACTGCAGGACCAAGGGACCAGCACTCAGAGCGAGCCCACACACTGCTGCTGCAGCACCGCGCCCGCAGCAGCACTATTTGACCCGGTCCCATTGATCCTACAGAGCCGGCTTTGCTGAGGTTGCCACCCAAGGATGGCTGAGGAGGGGCGTGCCCCGTAACTTACGACGTCGCAGGGCCCGTAAAGCTACTGCGTACGGAGTACGTACTTTTGTGCCCCAGTCCCGCGCGATGCATGCTGCGGGCGGACACAGGAGAATCTCGTTGCTTCTCTCACTGACCCTCGGCCCGTCATCATCCACCTAGCCATCGAGGGCGCCAGCCTGCAACCAGCACTTGCTTACCGCAGTAAGTGGCATATTCCAAGAATGGCCGCCATTGTGCACGCTCTCAGACATCGCCCAGACAACATTACTCCTTTGGCGATGTGTCGTTTTGTACTATGCAATTCCCGACTTCCGAGAAACACACACACCTCGCAGACGAAAGCGCGAGTAACGCTTTACGAGCAAAAATACGATTGTGGACAGAAGGCCTCCCTCCTCTCCTGGACCTTGTCTGGTTCAGTCACGACGCCAAGGGGCCTGCTTCATGGCTCAGCTCACCAGCGGAGGCTTGCTTGCGGCCTTGCAGTTTTGCGGCCTCGCGGTGCAGTGGCCCACAGTTCTGTTCCTGGAGAGTCTCATCATGGCGTTGTTGTCGTCGGTCTGGGTTTGGGTGTAGGGGTGCTAGGGTGTCAGGGCTATGGTTTGGCCCCGGTCCTGGGTCCCCCAGTCATCACGACCATTGACGTGGTAAAAACAGAAACCGATGATCTTTTTCCACGATCGAAGGGATCTTCCGTCCAACCTTGCAAAGTATCGAATTGGCCAGGAGCAAACCCATACTACGGTACCATGACTGCGCTGACCCCCTGCTCAATGACAAGTCTCACGCCGGGGCGGCCAGTTGGCACGGGTTTCATTTCCATGTCTTTGCCTGACGGTTCCCTGGCGCGCTGACTGCGTAGTGTCACGTCGGAAGCACACGCCCCCCCGCCTCTTCCTCATGCACGCCCCTTGATGCAACCCATCGTTTCCCATTCCCGAGGTCCCAGTCCCCACTGTCAAGTCCCCATCTGCATCTGCATCTCAACTCCATCCGACCCAGATGCAACCCCCCTGGGGCCTGGGCAAGGGCTTCTGGGTCTTCACCCCTTGTCCCCGCCATCCCACATGCCAATATCCTTGCATGCAGCCGTTTTTGGATGGATCACTGCACTGAAAGGTCTTGAAGTTCTGCAGCCTGGCGCACCTGTCCTTGCTCGCAAGGCGGTGTCACCATTGGGCAAAGGCTACCTTTCTCAGGGCCGGTCTCGAGTTCTGATACGTGGGGCCACCTCAGGACGGACTCCAAGCCGCGAGAAATGCTCTCAGGCCCAGCAACTTCATTCTTCGCCCTGATCCTTACCCACACACACACACACACACACTTCGGCACCAGTCTAGTACCGCCCTGACCATGTACCTCCGTACCCACAGCCTGCTTGACTGAGCCCCACAGACAGACACACCTCACACGGTCTCTGCCAAACTGATGGTGCCGAACGGACGGAGCGCCAGGCCTGGCCCCGGCAGCCCTTGCTCTAGCTAGTTTGTGGCCCATACCACGCTGCACGTACGTTTCCTCCATCCCCAGGGGCCGGTTCCAATCAAAACATTCCCAGATCCAACCGCTGACTGGGGCTGCTTCTCCAGCTACGAAATACCGGTACCGTGTACATCGTGAGCCTCAGGGATACGCCAAACCGCTCATGCGCCAAAGTACCCTACCGCCTTTTCGCTCAGGCAATCTCGCGTCGTGCTTGCCCCTTCGCGACCTGTCTTACACCGACCTGGAGTTGCTCTGTTTCGTACCGCCGCTGGTGGGCTACCATGTACGTTCGCTGCACAGACAGCCGGCTTTTTTGCAACCAGCACGGGCGGCTGAGATGCTTCACAGGTATCTCGGCGTACCTGTGTATGGTTCTGGCTCGCTTGCTGGTTGCGTACTCAAGTTTGGACCGCCAAACTCTCTTGGGGCAACACGCATGCTACGGTTCCGCAGCACACACAGGCCAAAACCTAATGGCTTTGTCCATGCTGAGGTACAACGGTACGGGGTGTGGTATGGTACATCGTTCACCTCAGCTTTGGCCCGCTTCACCTCACACCACGCTTGACAGGGGCTACTGCTTGTCCGCTTGTTCCCTCCTGCTTCCATCGGCCTTGTGCCGAATATGGCAGTCGCCCTACCGTCTCCAATGCTGGCTAGGACACAACCAGCATAAAACAATGATCCCTGCAAGTCGATATGACGCAGGCGGCCCAATCCTTCACAACATGCAAGCTCTCTTTGACCCGAACCGACGCATCCACCCTTGACCCCATGATACCTCTCACCTAGACATCCACATGCCAAATGGCCTTGTCCCCATCTCACTACTTTTGTTCTCCGTGCCAATACGGCAATGTCACTCCTGCTCGAACTAGCTTCGATGTATCCTTCGAACCATTCCACATGGCCCCTTTGCTTCCCTGTCCCTGTCTCAACGCTCGCCCTCTCCTTTATGACCGACCCATTCCATAATAAGCAGTCAGAGCTCGATCTGCCTTGACAGCCACCACGATGTCATATACTAATAGAGTACGGCGCTCCATGCCTCCCAACCTGTCCTTCTCGCCAACATAACACACAACGACCACAACTTCACCAACACACATACAGACATCAAGATGATGCACTCCTTCGTTGGAGCCAGCCTCCCTGGCGTGCCATCCTATCCCTCTCAGTACACCCACGATGCGTTCCTCGAAGACCTCTCCAGGCAGATGGCAGTATCAGCCAGCAGGAGATATTCGAGAGGATCGAACGGCGCCCACACTGGAAACGCCATGAGAGTGGCCAAACCCTCCAGTGCCAGCAACAGCCCCCGGAACTCGCTCATGCAGCAACGTCGACGGACATTGATGAACGACCCGGCTTTCATCCAACGGGCACAACAAGTTGTCGAGCAGCCATACCTCCCTACACCCGGCCCTGATACTTGCGGCAACAACTACTATGAACCCGTCAAGAAGGCTGCACGCCCAGTCAGTTGGCACCCATCAACCATGGCGCAGACGCAACAATATATGCCGCCAGTGTCAACACAACCGACCCAGTACCCCTTCCCATCTTACAACGAGATGGACTGCTTCGCTGCTGCACCGGCCCCCGCTCCCGTCCAGTTCCCGCCTACACCTGCTGCCTACTCGGCATACAGCTCACCGGCGTCGGCCTTCTCGCCCTTGAACCTCCCTTACTCAACCTATGAACTGCCCCAGACGTATTCCTCGCCTAGCTGGGACATCTCCGCAGATGCTGCTGCCACTATGCCGTCGTCTTCTTTAGGAGAGGCCCAGTACTCCTTCACCCCTGGACCTTCCTGTGCACCTTCTCTGCCTGGCTATGTTGCGACGTCGCACTCTCCAGCAAACTGGGCCAGTCTCGCACCGCAGGCACCTCCCACCCCCGAGGACCCGCCCAAGTCCCAGCAGCCAGAGCCAGTCCTCCAGAACGATGAGTCCGCCCCGTACCAATCGCTGGACGAGAACGACGAGGAAGAGGAAGGGGACATCCTCATCGGCCTAGGACTCTATGACCCACCCGAGAAGCTACCATTCCACAGCGAGGGCGGGCTGTTGGGTGCTTCCTTTGACTACCAACCAACCGGAAAGGGTCTCAAGCTGGAGGATGCTTGGGAGCCACCAGTCAGCGACGATGATGATGAGGAAGAGGACGGAGAGGGCGAGGCCGAATCCGCCGACGAGGAGTGAGCAATCCTCAAGCATCACGCATGACACGATTATGATCAGCATTTACTGGAGTTTTGATTTATGGGAAAGCCAACGGAGTTCACACTGGGGAAGCTTTTGTTTTGATCAACGGACGAATTGGGCTACAGGATTTACAAAGGAACGAATTCGATACCCCGGGTTTTTTGCTAGAGAGAGACCAAATCAGCAACACTGCTGTTTTTGTAAGATATACTACATTACCACTTGGATGGGAAAACCTGGTCGGGGGAAGGGGTTGAATTCATCATGTACGAGTCGAAGGAAGGCCCGCCTACATCTAGCCCGCTGCTACAAAAGGCACTCGAATGTAAAACCAAACTTCAAAATCATTACCAATATTGGCACTGCCACTGCACTAGTGTTGCTCCTAACTACCGCCCTACTCTTGAATCGTGACAGGCTTTTTTGGCATTGTGCAGAGCAACAAAGCAACGGTAATTAAAAGCCTACTAAGGGCACGTCTAGTCCAGGTCGAGTAGGCGGCAATAGAGTGCCGGTCCGGGTGGTGCAGTGTCCCGAGTCAAGCCCTCCGCGCGGATCGAAAAATCAAAACATTTCGGGGTTCGGGCGTTGAGGGGGGGTGGGCTGTAATCTTGATGTCACAGAGTCATCCACCAGAGAACCAAAAAAGATCGAACGAGCGATGGTGGGTGGTGGTGTTGTTGGTCGTGGAGGTGGTTGGTCTTGTCACTCCTCCGTGGCCCACGGCCAGGTAGAACCTAGAACCCGGTCGAAAGCTTCTCAGGTTCCTCAACATGGACCTAGCAGCCGACACCGACCGACCGACCGCCCGCCCGCTCTCGCATCACAAGAGGGAGAGTGGGAAAGAGGGCGATCTGTTCGATATAGGGGTGGAGTTAGGGTGAGGTGATTGGGCAGAAAAGTGTGGGTGGGGTTCTCTCGTTTTTGTTTTTTTGCCTTTTGGCTCCTCTCACTCACCCCTTCCCTTTGTTGATCAACGGACGGACCTCTCCTCCCATGCCCCATGCAATGCAAAGCAACGGAAGGGGGAGGGGTGGGGTGGGGTGGGACGGTGGTGTGCAGGGTGGGCAGGGTGGGGAGCGAGGGTAGGGGGAGGACAGATGAAAAAAAAACAAGTGAAGGGCAGGAAAAAAATAAAACCCAAAAAAGAGCCGCCCACAACCTTGCGTGGAGCCCAGGCGAGCCAGGCAAAGGAAAGTTGTCTGCCCGTTCCTCGTCGTGCTCGAGGACCCCTGTGCCCGGCCGGCGCTGCGTCAGGGATGCATGTAGTGATGTCTCCTTTACGCTGTTGCGTGCGTGCAGTGCGGTATCTGTGCGCCCCGGTTTTTCCATGTGTGTCGGGGTGGGTCCCCACCCAGGAGCTGTTCAGCTTGCTGCAGGACGCCGTTCTGCTGTGATGCGGTGCTGTGCTGTGCTGTGCTGTGCCGTGCTGCGCTGCCTCGAGGCCGGGACCCTGGGGCCACCACCAGGCCACTGACATGGCGTTGGGCGTGGCGTGGGCATGGGCATGAGCGTGGGGCATGGGCCTGGACATGGGGCATGGCCTCCTCTCTGGGCGGTTGATGGGAAGTGGAGGTGGGGATTTTAGTTGCATGGATGCGTATGGAGAGAGGAAGATACAAAGATACAAGAGGGGAACCGAGACAGAGGATGAAGGGCGAGCCCGCGCCAAGAAGGGGCAGCAGTAGTGCGGAAGTCTCCCGTCGGCTATAATTGCGTGCGGGTCTACCTGCGAGTGACTCGGTCGGCTCTTTTCCTAGCTGGCCTGCCTCGCCTCGCCCGCTCGCGACTCTGGCCCCAGGTCGAAAATTCTGTCTTGACGTCGCGCTGCCGCTAGTGGAGGGTTTGAGGTGGTTTCCAGTTCGCTGGCCAGGTGGCCCTTGCGTCTGTTTCGTACACAATCATACGTAGCTTTCCTCTCTGCCTCTCTGTGCCCAGTCGCAGTACCGTCCGTACCCACTGCCTGACCTGCCCTGCACCTCTGATGCAAGCAAGCATGAATGTGGACTGGGCTGGGCGAATGAGGCGATACCTGGGTACATCCGCCCGCGCACACCCACACGCCAGTGCCGGCAGTACCCAGACAGGCACACCGTCACGTCGAGCACAGTCGTGCCAGACTGCCAGGCTGCCAGGTGAGGGGTCGTCAATCGGTGATGCAAACTGAAGGCCAAACCCGCCGTTATCGGCATCGTGGGGTTGTCGTCACACGGCGAGAAGAGTCACCCAAAAAGTTTTCCCTCTCGATGGCGTACACTGTTGTATTGATACAGTAGCGGTCAGAGGTCTCTTGTTTAGACGTGGAAACCAATCTGCCGGTCACTCATTCCAGTCATTCAGTCAAGTCAAATCAAGTCGATCGAATAACCAATCTTCCTGGTGTGACGACAAACACGATCTCTTGTTGTCTGGAACCAGATCTCCCCCCGTAACCCGTTCCACCCCCCGCCCAGACGGATTCTACTCCAGCAAAGATGGCGTCCCAACAGTACGTGTGATCTCGTATCGCAGGGACGCGCAAGCAGTCAATTTCTCCTGCCTGTTTGCGCCCCTGCTTGCTCGTGCTCGTGCTCGTGATTGTGGTGGTCGTGTGGTGTTGTGTGCTGGTTTGGGCATGAGGATGAGCGTGAGGCGGGGCAGTCGGCTAACCTGTTGCCTACCTCTCACAGCAAGGTGCTTATGCTCGGCGCTGGCTTCGTCACAAAGCCGACTCTGGACATTCTGAGTGAATCCGGCGTTCAGGTCACCGTTGGTACGCAAAACCTCCTTCCCTCTATCGTCTGCCGTGCAGGCGCCCCATCTGATCACCAGGCCCATCCCACCCCCTCCCCCTGGTTTGACTGGCCCCTCCTCCCCCGTGCCAGCTCGCCTGCCTGCCTGCCTGCCTTGGGGCCCCCGGGCTAACCTTGACGGCATCGCCGTCTCTCAAACAGCCTGCAGGACTCTCGTGACCGCCCAGAACCTCTCCGTCGGCGTCAAGAACGCCCAGCCAACCGCCCTCGATGTCAACGACGCACAGGCCCTCGATGCCGCCGTCGCCCAGCACGACCTCGTCATCTCCCTGATCCCATACACCTTCCACGCCAAGGTCATCCAGTCCGCCATCCGCCAGAAGAAGCATGTCGTCACCACCAGCTACGTCAGCCCGGCCATGCTGGAGCTCGACGCCGCCGCCAAGGAGGCTGGCATCACCGTCATGAACGAGATCGGCCTCGACCCCGGTAGTAAGCAGCGCCCCCCCCCCCCTTCGGCGAGATCAGATGAAGCCCACTTGCGTGAGGATGGACACATATTGCGATCCACAGGCCATCTCGCTGGCTGTAATGAGGCTCTGTGCTGGGCTTCTGCTTGCGAGATGGCCTGTGGGTTGCTGAAGATATTCTGCTCCTACCTTTCATACACTGAGACCCGTTCCTGGTGCTCAGATAGCTGACCCCAGCGTAGTCGATCATCTGTGGGCCGTCAAGACCATCGAGGAGGTTCACCAGGCCGGAGGCAAGATCACTTCCTTCCTGTCATACTGCGGTGGTCTCCCCGCCCCTGAGGCATCCGACAACCCACTGGGATACAAGTTCAGCTGGTCGTCGCGTGGTGTGCTGCTCGCCCTGGGCAACACGGCCAAGTACTGGCAGGATGGCAAGCAGGTCGAGATCGCCGGCAAGGAGCTGATGGGCGCCGCGAAGCCCTACTACATCTACCCGGGCTACGCCTTTGTCGCCTACCCCAACCGTGACTCGACGCCCTACAGCGAGCGCTACAGCATCCCCGAGGCCAAGACCATCGTCCGCGGCACCCTGCGATACCAGGGCTTCCCCGAGTTCATCCGCACGCTGGTGCAGACCGGCTTCCTGACCGAGACGCCCGTGGACGTGCTGTCCAAGCCGACGAGCTGGAAGGAGGCCACCAAGGCCATCGTGGGCGCGGCGTCGTCGAGCGAGGAGGACCTCAAGGCGGCGATCCTGTCCAAGGCGAAGTTCGACTCGCCCGAGGAGCAGAGCCGCATCCTGTCCGGGCTGGCGTGGATCGGCATCTTCTCGGACGAGCAGATCACACCCCGCGGCAACCCGCTCGACACGCTCTGCGCGACGCTCGAGAAGAAGATGCAGTACGAGGGCGAGGAGCGCGACATGGTCATGCTGCAGCACAAGTTCGGCATCGAGCACGCCGACGGCCGCAAGGAGACGCGCACCTCGACCCTGGTCGAGTACGGCGACCCCAAGGGCTACTCGGCCATGGCGAAGCTGGTCGGCGTCCCCTGCGCTGTCGCCGTCAAGCAGGTCCTGGACGGCACCATCTCCGAGAAGGGTGTCCTGGCCCCCATGAAGTGGAGCCTCTGCGAGCCCATCCTGAACGAGCTTAAGACCAAGTACGGCATCAACATGGAGGAGAAGACCATCCAGTAAAGTTCTGGATCAACTCAAAGTGTTAGATTGACCGGAATGGCGCTCCTGGAGGTGGTGTAAAGGCCGCCCGTCTCAAAAATACCCCCCAAAATATGGTGCAGAACCAGGTAGAGAAAATTAAAATGAATAGACATTTCTCGAGGCTGAACAGGCCGGTGTCCAAGTGATGTGTGTGTTGTCTCTCATGCGGCCTTAGCAGTGCCCAAGTTCAAGGAGCAAGTGCGTATTTGAATGCGTGTGCTACAGTAAAATGAAACTGTCCCATCTTATTTGTGAACAATTGTGGTGAAAATGAATTCATGATGTGTCTTAATATGAGTGTAGGTGAATTGGCAGGTAGGTGGTGGTGGTGTAAAGCAGTTAACGGCCGCCGCGTTGAGAAATGAGAATTTCACTTGGACGCTCTTAATTCACACTGCCAGTATCACCAGCAAAAAGACAGACTTGATATATTTATCTACGTGCTCACCAACGACGACAAATCTTCAATATCCGCTGCACATGAGATTATAACACCTCGATCTACTGTTGTCTGCATTCTCGCCAGGGATGGTCCAATTCGTCTTCACGCCCTGGCGCAACCGCGCCGAGCTCCTCAAAGTCCGCAGCCAGTTCTACCCATCATCATCAGCCACAACACCACCGTCCCCACCAACGCCGCACCACAAATGGACCCCGGCCGAGCTGCAGGACATCCAACGGGCGATCGCGCGCGTGTTCATGTGGGTGCACCGCGGCAACTGCCCGCACGTGGTGGAGTCGACGGCGATGCTGATGTCGGCGGTGCTGCTGGACCGGCGGCACACGACGACGACCACCACCACCACCGCCACCAGCGCACAACACGGCAGCGACGCCACCGGCCCGGACGCGGCAAGCGAGTACGGCGTGCGCGCGGCGTACCTCACGGCGTTCACGCGATTCGTGACAGGCCTGCTGGACGGGCACCAGGACCGCGCGCGCAAGCTGAGCATGTACGGCGTGGCCAAGACGGTGGGGCTGCCCGCGGGCTTCGTCGAGCTGCGCCACCAGGGCACCCACGAGCCCATGCCCGGGCTGGCGCAGCTGCGGCCCGCCGCCGGCAGGGCGCTGGTCTGGATCTGGGAGTACTACTGGAGGAACCTGCCGGACGGGCAGGGAGGGGGTGAGGGCGGGGTCCGGGTGGCGGCGGGGACTCCACGAGCTGCTGCTGCTGCTGCTTCTGCCACTACTGCGTTGGACGGGCTGGCTGCTGGGAAACGGCAGCCTGTGGTGGTGGTTGCTGCTGCTACGTCTACGATCAAGGGGCGGATGTGCCGCGCTGCGCTGATGGGGTATCTGCAGAGGCAGGAAGGGGAGGTGGGCGGTGAGGCGGCGAAGCAGGCGTTGACGAGGCAGCTGGGGCAGTGGGATGATGCGCTCGTGTTGAGGACGCTGGAGGATATCGGACAGTCTGCGAGGGACGGAGGCATATTGTCACGGTCGGTGAAGCTTGCAAGGGAAATTCTCCTCCGGGCTACGGGAGACGAGTCACAGCAAGATGAGGAAAAGGAGATACCCGCAGATCATGAGCAGTTGAGGAAAGAGCTGCGTGAGGCTAGGGAGGAGGTCGAAGGCTTGGTGAGTGGGAGTGAGGGCGGCAAGAGGAAACGGGATGGTGCCGATGATGATAGCCCTGGCTGGAAGAGATGGAAAGGCCCGTGGGCGTCGCGACCCATAGGGATCCTGTAACTCGGCTGTGAAGAGCTTGATACTGGTCATTGGCCAACCTAAGATGTGCTTGTCCAGCAACATCCTGAGGTCTCTCTCCAGAGATATCCTCTTCATCGTCTTTGGTCTTAGTCTTCAACCGAGTCGTGTTGCATCACTAGAAATCCGACTTCGTTTAGACCGACTTGCCATCCTACACACCACTCGTCGAGTTGCCTTTCCACGAAAGCACCTCCTGCTTCTTCACCTGGTGGCATATAATATCTCCCGTCTTCACCTCGAACAGTCAGGCAAATTGGACGGCTCCAGCGTCTCGCGGTGTTTGCTATGGCACACGGGTGAGGTTGTCAGAACAGCCACGACTTCAGGTTTATAGTAGAGCAGATGATAGACCCCAAGACATTGCTGAGAACCGGTTTGCCAGGCCTCTTCCATGGAATATATCCAGCCGGACTTATCGTGTGAACACAGTGGGGTCACAAAACATAGGGCGGAGATAAACACCGGAGCCGCACTCGGCCGGGCTGGGATCCAATAACGTCATTCTGATTACGATTGGTCACCCAGCTGTACAGATGCATGCCGTCGCAGGTAAAGAGGAGAAACTTCACAAATTTGGAATCAGCAAAGCCGAGCAAGCGATGAATTCCGCGATCTTCCGCAGACCTGTTCTCACATCGAAAATCAGTCCTCTAGCAAGAGCTGTGAGTTGCGAGCCCGCCAGCTCTTCTGCACGACGTTTCCGAGACCGCGACCGACTAACAAGACACCGACGACTTAGTTTATACCGATCCGTAACATGCATATCCAGTCGATTCCCATGTGTGCGTTGATGCCCTCACAAGTTGATTCTGATTAGGCCCGCTGACGACAACTCTGAACAGGGGTGGGCAGTAGCAACAACTACGCCTACCTGGTCACCGATGACAAGAGCAAAGACGCTGTGATCATCGACCCTGCCAACCCCCCTGAGTGAGTGCCCCGGATGACCGCGGACTTGACGTCCCTACTTACACATGAGATGTAGAGTCACTCCCGTCCTGAAGAAGGCAATCGAGAGCGGCAAGATCAACCTCAAGGCCATAGTAAACACACACCAGTGAGCCCTCCCCCACCCAGTCTCGAGCACATTGGCCCGCTCGCTAATCACCTCCAACGCAGCCATTGGGACCATGCAGGCGGCAACAAGAAGCTCCGCGAGGAGCTGGGCGTGCCAGACCTGCCCATCATCGCCGGCAAGGGCGCAGAGGGCGTGACCAAGACGCCGGGCGACGGCGAGGGCTGGACGATCGGCAGCATCGCCGTCAAGGGCCTGTACACGCCGTGCCACACGCAGGACAGCATCTGCTGGTTCATGGAGGACGGCGCCAAGGGCGAGCGGGCCGTCTTCACGGGCGACACGCTGTTCCACGCGGGCTGCGGCAAGTTCTTCGAGGGCAGCGCCGAGGAGATGGACACGGCGCTCAACAAGACGCTGGCCGCGCTCCCGGACGACACGAAGGTCTTCCCCGGCCACGAGTACACCAAGAGCAACGTCAAGTTCGCCGTGTCGGTGCTGCAGAACGATGCGATCAAGAAGCTGCAGGCTTTTGCCGACGCGAACCAGGAGACGCAGGGCAAGTTCACGATTGGGGATGAGAAGGTAGGTGAAGCATATTCGGATGGGTCGGGTTTATGTACTGACGGCGGCTTTTGTTCTGCAGCAACACAACCCGTTCATGCGGACAAGTGTGAGTAGTGGCCCTTGCATTTTTGGAGGACAGACAGTCGCTAATTGAAGCATAGGATCCCGACATGCAGAAGGTCACCGGAAAGACAGATCCTGTCGAGGTGATGGCGGCGCTGCGTGAGGGCAAGAACAACTTCAAGTAAGTCTGAGCCGGGAACGCGTCGCCGCCAGAGGCCTGGCTAAGACGCCATGGCAGAGAGCCGAGCAACACAAGGCTCTAGTGAGCGAGCGCATATGCAACTCGTTTGGGGAAGACTTGAACGTCGGGCAGCGAAGACAAAAATATTGTTTCATAAATTATTTGCTACCAACATTCTATCTAGCGATGAGAGATGTTCCCATGTCAAAGCAGTCGCCAATCTCTGGGTTGAGAATGGGCAACATCGACCGAGTGATGGAAAGATTTGATCTTGCTTCAGTGTCCACACTTGGCCGCCCTGGAGTTATAATGATTGGAGACGGCAAGCTCTAGCTATTGAAGAAGCGATGTTTTAAGGGGTTTGACGAACTGATTCTGTTCGGAGATTGTTTGGTCGTGGCTGGCGTCACATGCTCTTACCTTGCTGTCTTGTGACGGCCAATGGGCATTTGATGAAGTATTGTGTCGATGTCGCTTGAGCATCGCGTACAACAGTCTCAAGGTGGCATGGCCCAAGGCGTCGGGACGACTTTGAGTGAGGCCACTCAACACCACCGTTGCCAACCTGGCACCACGCTCATTCCATTTCTACCCACCTTGCACTCAAGGTGACAGGCCCACCGAATTGTCCACGGACCAAGCATCGGCCGACATGCCCGCTTGAGACGGTTGTTTACCGCCATGACCAGCAAATGGCAGAAAGGACTCCTATCCAGGGGTCCTGCCATGCTCAATGAGCCGTCCTGGCAGTATGTGCGGTAGTCAATTCCGACGCTGTGAACGCCATCCGATCCGGTGTCATAGAGACGTAGGCGCTGGTCCCGCACACTTGTGCCATTTCTTGGTCGCCGTCGTCTCTTGATTTACTGTCACCGACGTATGTATGCATGAATGCACACGGTAGTCAGGCCTGGCCCCATGGAGATCCTCGTGTCCCCAGCGTAAAGTTGTTCGAGGACAGCAGGTGGCTGTCGTGTGTTGCGACTGGGAAGCAGCAAGTCTCAAGGCAGCGGTTGTCGCGGCGCATTCGATTGTGCGCGCATTGTTGCGCAGTCTCTGTGCGCTGGAGATGAAAAATTTCCTGGACAAAAGGGTCAAGATTGAAGTATTGGTGAATTGGGACAGAGGCTGGTTGAACTTTCGGGTGAAGGAGTCTCGTAAAGCTTTCGACGAAGAAATTTTAAGCGAGTACTAAGAGACTTTTCCAGCGGCCCGGCAGCGCCAACAGCAGCCGCACCCAGCTGGCAGGACGGCCTGCAGCCAGTGGACCAGCTTCGGGAATATCCACCCAGGGGTCCATCTCCAGAGTCCCCACCTTGACATCATCCAAGGGCATTCCAGTAAATCACATCTCGTAACCTTGCGACATTCGACACGCGCCCGACGCGCCTCGCGAGCCCATCATGGTAAGTACCCAGCATTCCGCCCAAAACAAGCCTCGCATGAGCTTCCGCCGTGGCCAGCCATCAATCTGACACTAGCGACAGCCTCCGAAGCGGAAATCCGGGGGAGCGGCCGAGTCAGGCGCATCAGGCAGGGCTGCGAGGCAGTCCAAGCTCGCCAAGGAGCACGACATCACCGCGCAGGAGGAGGCCGAGATCAAGGAGGCCTTCACGCTCTTCGCGGAGCCCATGGATGGCGAGAAGGAGGGCGTCATCCCCATCGATGACGTCCGCAGGGCCATGATGTATGTTCTTTGCTGTTGTTTTTCTTCTTGCACGAGTTCCCCTCACCCGTTCACATCCCCCTCACCATTCAACGCCCTGCGGGGGAAGAGCTGCTGACACGACCTGTTCCTGCCCTGCCAACAGAGCCCTCGACATCCCGCCCAAGGACAAGGACGAGCTAGCCGAGTTTATCGAGGTCCTCGACCCGGAGGACGAGGGCTTCGCCAACTACCCCGCCTTCGTCGCCATCTGCGCGCTCAAGCTCCACGCGCGGGACCAGACTTCCGACGCGCACATCCACGAAGTCGACGAGGCATTCTCGCTTTTCACGGGCGGCGGCACCACAACCGGTGAGGACGGTGGCGCGTCGCAGAGCAGCGTCATCACCGTCGCGCACCTGAAGAGGGTCGCCGCCGTGCTCAAGGAGGAGGTTGACGACGACCTGCTGCGGGATATGATCCTGGAGGCGAACGGTGGGGCGGGGGTGGGCAAAGGCGTTAAGAAGTCCGAGTTTGACAACGTGATGAGGAGGGCAGGTGTCTGGAGATGATGGTAAACGCCGACAAGTGGACCTAAACAAATGATGGGATTTGCATACACGGGCCGATTCGAGGTTGGACTACATGCGGAGCGGCCCTTTGGATGATTCACGACTCGGACCACCCCTCCGCGACCTCACGCATATGGACATTCAGGCGGTGGTGGCGCAGTAATTCTTGGATGAACGATACGAGGATGATGGCGATCTAGAGGTTCTGCGTTGTCCGCAAGCGACTGCTTCGATCGCAGCATAACGAGAATGACTGGACGACTGGGCGAGGGAAATGGCCTGCTTGCATCGAGCAGAATGGTAGACGGATGCCACACTTCGATCACACGAGCATAGCGGCGCACCCCTTCGTACTCACTGAGTTCATGTCTCTCTGGACGTGGGAGTGCTGTGCCGCGATTGCTGGCCAAGTTGTCCCAGTAATACCATGGAAGCACATCGTGGCTGTGGAACGTTTGTAAATGGGTAGGATCTTCTTACGATAGACCTATCTAGCTTCTTGAGCTGATGCATATAGCCTACGACAGTAAGTTTTGAAGCAATCGCCCGCCCGCTAAGGATGACGGATGCTCTATGGACGAGGGTACCAGGAGTGACAATAAACGGCTTCGAGGATAATTATACCAATGACATTGAATCAAGGGAGATATATCCCAATCGTGATAGCAACGTGTAGGACGCAAGCCACAAGCGATGCCGGGAGCATATGGAACCAGATATGACAGCTGAAGCACCCGAAGCCATTGAAAGAGTCTGGAAGCAGTCCTCATAACAAGCCGCCTGGTGATGTTCATATCGGTGGGCATGGTGAGGATGATGCCCATTGCGAAGTCCTCTCGCGGCAATCCTCACGGGCTGCAGTGGGACGAGACAGCCCCCATCCATCGCCACACGGCCGGTCCTCAACCATGTCTTCTCTGCGCCCGTAGGTCATCCCAAAGCTCTCCCTCCCGCAGACTCTGCCATTCACCACTCGCCTTCATCCCAAGTACCGTACCTGAGCTCGCTGCCCCCCAACCGAGTACTTCAATTGCCTGGTTGCCCTGATTCCCAGCGCTCCCTGGCACAACCGCCATAGCGTCTAACAACACAAACGAAATATTATTATCACAAAAAAAAAAAAACACAATTCGAGAACAGTCGTCCGTTCGACTCAGGTAGTATCCACGGAAAATAGAGGAGAGACAGTACGCTCAATGTGGCAGGAAATCTCACCCCGAGTACGTTGGCACTGGCCGAACGAAGAGAGATGTAGGGCACACGCGGGCCTGAACTCTTTTTTTACCTTCAGATCATTTTTTGGCCATTGAGGTACAGAACTGGCTGCTGTCCGCTCCGTGAGATGTCGCATAAAAGCATGCTGAGAACCCATTGACACGTTATCTCGCAGAACGAGACTTAAGCGCCGAACCTGGTGATTTCAGGATTGTTAATGAATTTGGCAGTGATTGAAGCCACGCATAATTATACCAGCACAGCACCACCACCACATGAAATACAACTGGTCTCTTACCTGTGCCAATGCATGCTCCCATCACTAGACGGTGGACTCTTCACCAATGACGTCGCCGTGATTGGCGGTCCCTGCAATCTTCGCATGAACCCCAGTTTGGGGCATTCAAGGCGCGAAACGATTATGCCGACCAGCAATGCCGACTGGCTGTGTGTGAGAAGAGCGGCTACTACTACCGCGCTGCATATCACTGGCGGAATCGAACCCTCTCCCGAGGTTATGCCCCCATGCTCATCACCGCGCTGTCACCTGCGACGCTTCCAGAAGACACAACCATAGGCTGCACCGTCTCCGATCCTGCCAGGGGTGGTCGCGTTTTCAGTATTGTCTTCCGTGGCATGCCCCTCAGATCTGCTGATCTCCGTCGCAGGGCAGGCTCTGCCTCCTGGTGATGACTTCATCAACCTTGCAGCACGACAAGAAACATGCTCCAGATCACCGCGATACACTGTGTAGAATGTCATGCTATGCCCGGGTACTCTCCAACAACTTCAGCAGTGCCAATCAGGCATCCTGAATCAAGCCCCTCCCGTCCTGCTCCCGGCTCGGCGCATTGAGTACCGGGAGGGAACCCTCAAGATGTCGAGAAGGGCTCCCTCCTGCGCGACACCACTCGGCTAAGCGTGTCCATGGAGAGCGAGGTGGATATACAATGCACAACACTGATTCGGGTGTCTCGAACCAGAAAAGGGTCTCACTTGACCGCCAATAGGACCAATTCAGGGTTTCTGGGAAAGGGGCACGTGAGGGGAGGAGAGTTGAGGGAACAGCTTCTCATCCTCGGCTAACGAGAAGGGAATCCTGGGCTTGCTGCTTGGCGACGCTTCTCTTCGCCGCCTCGAGCGAGGCCGCGTTAAAATGCCGCACTTGACAGCAAATACCCATCGCGCCGACTTGCACCTATAAGACGCCATCGCGAGCATTGCTATTGCTCCCGATGGTTCGAGGCAGTATCCTGCTGATACAGTGCCGCCGGACCAGGGGGTCACGAATTGATGCAATGACGTTCCCCAGCAAACGGCGGAAAATGTGCGCAACAGGCAAGACCCCCTCGAGTTCGACGTGGTTTCGATGATGCAGCCAGGGCCTAGCAGTACCCTAGTATGCTAGGGTCGACTGAATAGAACAAGTCCCCAGCTGCTGCAAGGTTATCTGCAGGAAGCAGCTTGAAGCTCTATTCGGATCGGTCGAGGCCAGGGACATGGACAAGGGCACCACTGTGGCAAGAATCAATGATTTAGCTTCCGGTCAGGTCTGAGGCCTGGCATCGGCCTGTACGTCTGTCTGTGTGCTTCCATCCGGCCGTTCGGCCACTCCATCTGCTTGCGGCGATGGGCACAGATGATAGACTAGATGGCCTCGAGTGGTCCTGACCGCGGGGTTGCACGCCCAGGCGCGCCCCCTAAGCTATCGGTCCTTCCCTGACCCACGTGGCTGCTGGAAGCTTGCATGTACAGTAGCTTATCCTTTTCGTATGGGGAGGTTGCATGCATCTGCGGCCGGGCGCCCTGTTCTCGTCTTCGCCACTAGGTTGAGAAAGCCAATGGTACGGAGCGCGATGCAACTGTGCGGCTAGGGGAGCAAAGAATTGGAAAAACCTTGGAAGTTGTTGGTTAGAAGGGAAAGGGTTCGACTGTTTTGGCGTCCGTGTCTGCGTCTACCACAGCACGCCTGCGTTATCGCGGGGAGTGGGCGTGGGTGGTCCGAGGGTCTAGAACACCCCCACTACAGCAGCCAATGGCAACGGCTCGCGTCGACGAAAAGGGCAGGAAGTGGGGGATTGAAGGAGCGCCTGCCCGTGTTTCCCTAAGAACTGGCATCTGCGATCTGGTATCTGGAATCTGCTGCAATCTGCAATCTGCAAGTCGGAAAGATTAGCCTGCACATTGATTTTTGTTGGCGGTTTCAGCGTCAAAGAAACCGAAAGGAAAAGCGGGGGTCTGTATATCCCGCCAAAGTGGTATGTCGCAGGTGCAAGTCGCTTCCAGAGAATTATGACCTGATGATGCGTCGAAATCCTGACAAGCTTGGCGGCGTGAGAAGTCGTCGCCTCCTCCGTTCTGGGTCTAGACTCGTCGTCGTCGTAGCAAGCGAGAAGAAAGAGGCCCATAGCCTCCACGTCCTAGCCACGCAGCTCAATGCCACGGTACAATGGAACGTGCATGGCTAGGTGGCACAAGTCATGAGCCGGCCCGTATGGCGAACTCGAAATTTGAAGAGCTGCCGGCGCTGGCCTCTCAATAAATCTGGCACTGGTGTTATTTGAGTTTCACACCCGTCTTCAGTCGAGCGGCAAATTGCCATGTCGACTCGCCGGCCCGTCGATAATTTCCAGCTATCAACCCTCATTTGTGGGACGATCTCATCCTTCGCGGCCGTATTGAAACAACTCTGACTTGCCGTATTCGCTCGCATCGTATCCGATACGCAAAGTCGACCGACCACGCGTACAACGTCAGAGAGTCAACCGAACCGTTCACCCTTTCACCCATTCATCCATTCACGTCTTCGTGTGCTGCCACCGCTCACCGCTCGCGGTGTGAGGCCGGCCAGGGCCCGCAGGCAGGTACGGTGCCAGTGGGCTCTCAGCAGGATTGCAGATGGGTGGATGGGCAGTACTTTATGCAGCTCCGCTTTGTTCGATGCATCCCTGGCGATCACCAAAGTGTAAAACAAGAAGCGGGCTGGCGACTCGCAAGCAGTTCGTTGACAGCTGGGGCCCTAGCAGGCCTGGCAACACCTGGGCAAATTTTCGGTTTCAATGGTCCTTGCTGATCTCAAACAAGCTCAAATTGATTGACATTTGCGCATGGCACGCTCACTCGACCTCGCCACTTCTTCTGCGTTGCGCCCAACACATCTGGTTGATTGTCCTCCTCCACGCGCGGTCCCTGACCGAGAGAGGGCGGGCCCCTTCTCCAACTCGTACCGTCGGCCACCTAGGATGCCATCTCATGTGACGATTGTTGGATTGTGCGATTGTTGACTCGGGCAGGGCAACGTGACCCGAGGGAATTGGTTCTAACAATCGCCAGGAAGGAAAACATCCGTGAGCAGAACCCATTTCCAGATGTCTGGCCGTTGGCGTCGTGGGGTGCGAGAGCCACAAGTGTCAGTCGAAAGGGACTAGAAAGGCCCTGTATCCCTGGGGATTTTCCGGTGGGTGGATGTGCCATCCGACACTTTTAGCACCTGCAGCGGTTCAGGACTGAGATGGACCAATAGACCAGACGGACAGCAGATATGGCTTGCCGGAAAGGGCAACATACACGACACACACGACATGTGCTGGGTGGGGCGGGCCTTTAGAGCTGCATGAGACTAGCAGCAGCAGTCATGGCCACACTGGGGGAGCTGGAGGCAAAAAGAGAGGCTACTGGTGCTTGGTGGTGCTGCAGAGTGGGAATATCCGCCGATGGGCCTGAGTGATGGGGAAAACGGGTGCGCCACTGATTCGCAGCAGCGGCCGAATGGCCCAACAAGCAGCGTAACCGACTGCGAGGGAGACGGGCCAGCCCCTGAGAAACCACCCATGGGCTTACCGAATCTAAACCGAAATAGGAGTCAATGCAACCTTGCACCCCTGCTCGAAAACTTGCACTATTCCTTGGCAGCACCTGGCAGGGTTCCGCCTCTTTTCATTTCCCATCTGCATCTGATACTACCCCAGAGCTAGGTAGGAACTGGTAGAGCTAGCAGACGGGGACAGAGAAAGAGAGAGCGAAGAGGTGCACAGGTACGGGTACGACAGACCAGACAACACGCCAGAGCAGACCAGACACGACCAGACCCAGACCAGGCAGGGGGCAGGCACAGCAAGCACCCACGCATTGCCCGTCCGCCAGGCCATCCATTCATACTACCTTCATCATCGTCCCATCTTTTCTCGTTTGCCTCTTGTCTATCCGTGTCTTGTCTTGTTTCGATCGATCTTTTATTATTATCGACAACAGGCCCCCAAAGCTCGGCCCTTCCGCCGTTTCTCATTCTCGCTCCGTCCCAATTGCTTGCCTTTTGTTGTGGGGGATACATACCGCTGCTGCTGCTGCTGTGTTTGCTGGCCAAGTTCGACTGCTAGCTCCATCGACACCTCCCCTTCAGTGGTGCACCAACGTTTTCCTGCTTCTTTTTCTCTGCTGGCGAGACACGTTGTGCTCCCATCTTGTCCTTCATTGCGCCATTGATCATATCACTTGGCAGATCCTCACCCATTGCCCTCGCAGCTTTGTCTCGTGCTGTGGCTGTTGATCATACTTGTTGGGGCCCCAGTCTCTCCCAATCTCCCTCTAATAGGCTGGCAATTTGGGGCGCGCCATCTTCATCAACAGGTCCTCCCTCGTGTCAGACAACTCTGACGTACGAGGTCGCTCAGCCGTGCAGGTGCATCTTGTCTGGCATCATTCGATCACCCTCGAAGCTGGTACGAACGAGGCACAGTTCGCTTGCCTGTAAGTCACTGCCACCACTTAGCCAACTCACTCCTACCACCTTTCGACCAATTCATCCACACTTGTTGGGCCATTGCACCTTACACATTTTGCAATAATTTACAAATATCTAACCTGTCCCAGCTTCCCTTCTGTCGCAAGACACATCCGTGACGACTCTCCGTGAAAGCGGCGAGCGCAACATAACCCACCGACCAGACCATCACTTGGCATATTTACTCCTGCAACCCATATCGAGCCCTTGAGCGGCCCAGAGGCAAGCCTCACCAAATCAGTCAAGATGGCATCAGAGGCTGTCAACGAAAAGGCAACTACGCCTGTTGCTACAGTCCAAACCACCACACAAGATGTCTCCAGCGGGAAGCCCACCACAACCATCACAACTACCGAAACCCTTACCGTCGGACCTGAACCAGGCTACCGCCGCCCGTCCGAAGTCTCGACCCCAGCGTCTGCGAACGACCTGAACCCCTTCGACACTGACATCGAGGCCATGATATCAACCCGAACCACGCGGGAGGATGACAGCTGTGGCATGAAATCCACAAGCAAGGGCAATCTGAAGGGTGCCCAGGTATGGCCAGGCCAGGACCACTGGAAGAAGAAGGCCAAGGCGAACAAGCTCAACCAGCGGTCGTGTCAATGCCTCGCCAAGATGAGCAAGCGGAACAGAATCCTCGTCAAGGTAGCCATCATCGTGCTGGTGGTCCTGACGGCCGTTGGAGTTGGTTTCGGCATCAGCAAACCACTCGGTGCGGGAATCTGGAAGCCCGCCGGCAATTGAGAAGATCGCCGCGGCTAGAGAGATTTCTTGGGTTACGTGCCCATCACAATGGATTGCACCGTCCACGGCTCCATAGGCGGAATGTTCAACATGTCATACACGACGCCGTTCTGGACACACAGCGGCCTCCTTTTATTACCCGACCGTCTTCAGTACCACTGCGGTACACTACCCGACGACACATATCACCCGACATCGAACGATCAGAGCCGCCAGCTTCTCTGTACATGATTTTCACCGTCCATGGCGCGAGGACGAATGTGGAACCGAGAAACGACCTCAATAGCATACGTCTGCTCAATCACTAGACGCACAGGTGCAACTCAGACGACGGAGTTTGGAGTCCTTTCAGTAACACACGATAAAGGCGTTTTCGGAGCCGAGAGGAGCATGATCTTCAGGTCTCCTCTTTTCTTTTTTTATTAACTTGGCATTCTGTATTGGATCTGCATGAACGCAGCCCGGATAGGAAAAGGGATACGGCTTCTTTGAGCGTGGGACAACTATTTTTTCCCAGCTGTTTTCTTTTTAATGGTGACTGAGCAAGACCATGGAAAGTGGATAGACTACAGGAGGACTGTCTCTTACGATATGACTGACCTGCGAAGGGCTCGAAGGGTCAGATTCAGTTGCGGTCGCTTCTCATTACGCGTCATCATTCACTCTCTGCTGGCTGATGAGCCATGAGAATTGGTGATCCAGCCTGGATAGGAATACAGAAATGCTGCTCGCTCATTTGCGGGACCCGTCAAATCTTTCTCCAATGTCCAGACTCTTTTCGTTCACACTGTGACGGTTATTTTTGTTTCTGGTCATCGGCCGTGCTTACTCTCTGTCTTCGACATGTTTCGGCTTGATCAGCCCGGCTTATGGATGAACTTCGGTCAACGTTCTCTTAAGCTTATCAGTCCCTGCCTGCCCTGTCAACGCCCATGCTAGGCTGACCGAGGAAGCTCAGCTCAGCCCGGGAAACTCACCCGTGCAGGAGCGAGTACGAGAGTACGAGGTTGAAGTTCCCCGGAAGACTGCATGCTGACCCCCAAATCGCTTCCGCGGAGTTATCTCCCTAATCCGGGCCACTCATCCACGACTGGACATGTGCAACAAACCCAAAAGACAGCCAGTCGAGAGACACACACACAACCGCACACGAAAAAAAGGCCGCAGCTCAGCCACAGTCATTGATTCACATACACACTCTGTTGCACGTCCCTCCTCCATCCCAACCACTCACTAAATGACGCGGCTCAGCTGCTTGACATGCTTGGTTGGCCTTTTAGCTTTCGACCGGCGGCAGCCAAGAAAGCCTAAGCGGGTGGTTCCAGCCGGGCCTGGGGCTGGGTTGGGTGATGGGACGATCTGCCGTGTGGCAGTTCCGTGCGCCTCCATTATCTTGCTTGCTGGATCGCTTGCTTGCTTAATCGCTCACCGTGGTGGCACTGCATGTCGATGACGACTGTGTGATCGCTGCTTATCCGCTGGGCGTGTCGATGAGGTACTTGCATGGTTCACGGCGAGGTTTATCATGTGTCTGCACCTTGGATTGCTTGAATGCTAATGCTAGACTTACTCATGCTCGTACATTCTGGCTTGTGGGCGTGGTACTCCAAAAGTATATGTTCAAGTTGCGTAACATATGGTCCAAACAAGCACGTTCGTGCCCTTCATAGGGCCGAATGAAAACACGAGGTTGATTAGGATATTATCTCTGTACTGTTCTTTTCCAAGTGATTACACGTGAAATTGGAAAAGTTCGCAAACGATAGACTGCGAACTTCCCACTCTTCTGTGACCCAAACCAACACCGCTGTACCGCAACAGAAATCCAAATTTAGAGACATTCAAGCCCTCAATATCCCAATCCGGGGAAAGAATGGTAGCCTTGCGGGCCCAATTACCCACGTAGAAACTTCCAGTGATACATGCGACGTACGACGTCTCGCAGCTGCCCGTTTTTGACAACTCTGTTGACCACCTTGGAATCATGGTCTTGCTTCTTTTCAGGACTTTGGTCGTCTTCCTGCTCGGAAGCACGATCAAGCATGCGTCCCGGATTCTCTCCGACATAGATCTGAAGTGGCCGCCACATGCAAGGCTTAGGAACGGCTGATTTTTAAACCAATCACTGGTTAGTGAAAACTGAGGCTATGGTGCAGAGGTGTTGGGTTGTCTGAAGCAGACTTGGTCATGACTTACCCATTGCTTCCCGATAATGTGCCAAATAGCCGGGGTTCCTATTCAGGATCGTCATGGGGAGGATAAAGTCAACAGGAATGCCCCTTTGTGGTTGACATCCATATTAGCATAAAGGCGTGAGGTTTGACCAGAACTTGGGCAAGTTACGTACATGGCCTTGTATGCAAAACTCAGAAACAGGTCTGCGTTGGCACACAGTTTGCGTTCCTGGAAGTATTTGTCCTGGGATGCAACGCGGTCGATTTCGAGTGCGATAGCAAGATGATGATCGTTTTTCAGAGACTCGTTGCCTTCCATGGCTTCAGAAATCAGCTCGCGAAAGAGGACTGACCGTGGATCTGCAAGCTATGGGGTGGTCAGTACCCGAAATCATCCCTTTTGTCCTTGGCTTCGGCTTTTGAGGCCAATTGGAAGCGAGTGAAATGTGATGAGGGAGCTCAGGGACTCTAGAGGACGAGCTTACCTTCCATTTCCTATGGCCATACCCGAATAGCCGCCTCTTGTGGGCCTTGACATCTTCGATCAATGCTGGAACCTGGCTCACGTCACGCACAGCTTCGAGTTGCTTGTAAGCGACCTCAATAGCACCGCCGTGTAAGATACCGATACCAGAAAGCGCTGCGGCGGCGCAGCAGGAGAAAGGGTCAGCTAGTGCCGATGCCGTATTGAGGAGGACTGAGGCGGAACTGGTAATCTCATGGTCGGCCATGAGTATCATGGTGCGATTTAAGAGACTGACGACCTATATGCAATCATGCGAAGAGCGTTGTCAGTGGAAAAGCCTCGGGAGGGGGACGACGAGTGAAGAGATCACATACTCGATCATCGGGCCGTCCTGTTTCTGCATCCACAAACCTCATCATGTGTAGAATGTTCTCTGTATATGAGTAAGAGGGTTGTGGTGGTGCAAAGTCGCGGCCGTGGAGACGACAGAATATCGCTGCCCCGACGACGGAGGAGATGAGGAGGCACTGTGAAATCTCTTTGTCTACGGCGGGGAGGTTGTTCTGGTAAAGGTTTTCACCGCGGTGTGCTGGGATCTTTTTTGGACGCAAAGCTGCGTACATGGTGAGCGCGGCGGAAATGGCTGTTGTGGCGTGTGTTTCCGGTCTTGAAAGACGGTAGCGTAAGTAAGTTCGCTTTGAAAAGCATTATCTTCAAGTCTTGACCAAATCACTTACGGCAGATTGTTGATCATGTCAAAGATGTTCTGAGGTGGCATCTCGGAAGTGGCAATCGACCTGTTGAATGCTGTTGCTTCTGAATCATTTGGGAGGTGGCCGAAGATCAAAAGGAAAGCAACATGTTCGAACGGCCTTCCGGAGTGAAACAGGTCGGTGACGCGATAGCCTCTGTAAGCGATCTCGCCCGCATTCCCGTCAACATAAGTGATTTCGGATGCCATACATGCTGTATTCTGAAAGCCGGGATCAAAGACCCGGATTCCTGCATCGTTTTGCTCAACTGGATTCTCCGCATTGGGCGGGGACTTGATGTCGTGGAAGTCTGTGGCTAGGATGGAATTCTGTGCGATACGAATCCTGTATGAGCGGCCAGTCCGGTTGTCAGTGACTGACAGGTAGTCTTTCTTCGAGTGCTGCTCTGTCTGTTGACGCGGCGGAAAAAGATGCTCCATGTCCGCGACAGAAGACATCTTGACATGTGATGTTGACGGGCAAGGAAAGACTATTGTTGGTAGCTGGGGCTATTATTGTGTCGGGTGTTGCTGGAGTTCTGTGTTGCTTCGTTCCTTCAAAGCTCTATGTGGAATACCACACAGAGACTGTGTTTGGCGGGCGATTCTCAGACCGACTGAATATAACGCGAGGTTTAAATACATGTTCATAAGAGCAATCTGCACAGACTCAGAGCATTGGTCTGCAAAATGCAAGAGGATGCAATCGCCTGACGCGAGTAAACGATGGATAACTTCACTCATTCTCTTCCGGCGTACTACAAAGATCCTACTAGACACAGTCCGCGAGACAATGGTACCGCCCTCGCCTGTATTCCCTCCATCAAACCTGGATCTTGATCGATATGACCATGTCGGCTTCCAATCGGTAGCCCGTCTATTTGACGCGATTTTGCTCTGCTGCGCTTCGACTTCGGCGGAGGAAGCACCTTCTGCAAGCCCGCCGGAATACTAAACAAGCTTGGTATGGGTACCAGTCAGTTTTCACGGCCAAGAACTGAGCTCAGATAGTGATTACCGGGCGAGGTTTTTAAAGAGTTCAGCCGGTGTGAGATGGTACTTCCCCCTCTCATATGCACTATGTGTGGGATGATTTAGAGGTTACTCTTTAAACCTGCTAGATTGCATGCGGAAGGGTCGTACCGTTCGCTAGGGGCTGAGAAAGGCAAGGGAAGTATAATAGCTTCGTTTTCTCCACACTCTATTCGCGATCATTTGCCTGACACATGGTCGAAACAACATCTAACCTCGAAAGGCTGAAATCTGACACGCCTGGCGATATGCGCTAGGATCTGAGGTGTTCACGGGCAGAGAAACTAATCAGCCAATGTAAGATGTAGACTTGCAGAATACAGGTGGACTAGTGTGGATCCACTTGCGGTTCGCTTCTTGTGGTTCGTACTAAAGCCCCTGCGAGAAAATGGGCCACGGCGACAGTACTAGAACCAGGTATTAGATGAAAGTAGTTAAAGTTGGAGCCAGGTCCAGACTCGCTTTTGCTATGAACCCTCCGACCGATCGCTGTTGGCTTCCAATAGAAAACTAGCGACCAGAGTAGCAGGCCTGAGCACGCGCGTGAAGCAAGAGATACGATAGCCTCTGACCTGCAGTACACATTGATAGGGCAATCTCTTCTGTCTTCTCTTGCATGAGCTGGGCGGAGAATTTGTCGAGAACTGCCGGGCTTTATAAACTCTTGGTCGTGTACTGTATAGCTAAGATTGAGAAGCCATGCTGGAAGTGATGATATCACCCTCATTTTTGTACTGTGACTTGACATCGTTTCTGCACGTTATATTCACAGACTCTATTGTTTTCCTTAAAGCATGACACTGTACTTGACGACCGCGGCCTGGATTCCCATAACACGGCCAACCTGCTCCTTTCCACAGTCGGAGGTTGAATGGAGCGAGGTCACGACGAGACGTCCAAAGAAACTTTTGAGCCCCACCCAAGTCACACTTAAAAATGTGAAGCTGAGGCACAGCATTTGGTCCTTCGCGCGGGCCAGGGGGCAGCTGACCACTTACAGCCAACAAGACTTAGCCCCCAAGTTCCGACATTGTGGGAGAGCCATGTAAACTCCCGATGCTAATCCTGCAGGATCACGCGAGCCAGTCGGGTGGTTGCTGACGGGCCACCCGCTGGTGGCAGTCAGCACCGCCATCATGCAGAATGAAACCCTTCGCTTCTTCTGCAGAGGCTCTCGAGAAAGAAAATCCTCAATTGTGTTGTAGAAGCATAATTGATGCTAACCGAGAAATCAATGATTCAAGATGCAGCACCCAGAATGGCAACGCCTGGAAACTCAATCCGTCCCGCCCAGATCTCAGTCTAGGGCCCAGCGCTCAACTCGCTCAAGTGCAGCCAGGCGTCCAGATCCCATTGGGCTAGCCACGAGCTTGGTGTCGTGGTGCGTGTTCACATGCTCTGTAGTCAAGGATGAGGCAAGGCGACGTGAGGCCGGTGGCTGGGTCGGTAACAGGCCTTTAGAAAGCCCCTCGGTGCTCGTGGCTGTGGGATGAGTATGGAGGACGCCGGTGGGCAGCAGGAGGTCGCGTCGGGGAAACTGTTCGACGAGGGGCCGTATGATTCTCCAGGTAACAGCTTTTTGGGAATGCCGATCTGCGCTTCTGTACAATTTTGTTCTAGAGAATTTGGTAGACTCAGGTGGTTGTTGGAGTCGATTAGCTGGAGCAGCTGGGGATCCTTCCTTTATCGTCTGGTTAGGCGATCATTTTCTTTGTCTGGGACGCGGCCGTTGTATGTAGCAGACATTGGTGTCGAGTCTCCTTGACGTATTCCCACGTGCAGTGTTAATCAGGATCTCCAAGAGGAAGATCTCGTGTCGCTGTATGTGATGCGATGCGTTGGCGGAATGTACTGACGGATGATTGGGCGTGGCCCCCTCTTGGCTGCAGGGCGGGCCGGGAGCTTGGTAGAGCTTGGTAGTGAGCTTGGTACCTGAGTATTTTGCGCCGCAGCCATGCCTGAGGGGATCCTTGGATCTCGACCCGGATCTGAATCCGGACCTGAGAAAAACCACCCACACCCGTTGCACTGCACGAGGTCAGCGCTAGTAACCAACAGACAGACAGACATAAATCCACGACGGTCAGTTAAATAGATCAAAGTTCATTATTCACAACGTCAGCAGTTTGGACTTTCTCATCTGTTCCTGACTCTCTGCTTCATATTAATATTATTACCTGTTTACTTTATCCATACGACTCCTCTCTGCCCGCGGCCACCGCCGCAGGTCCCAAGACGTCAGCATGCCCACGGAGGGGAAGACTTCTCCCTCAGTCGCCCGAGCTTGACTGGTCAGTCGACTCGATTGGGCCCTCATCTGCCTCGACGTCCTCTGTCACTGGTCCCTTCCATTTACTCGAGATAACTCGGCCAGATAGTCCGCCCTCGCGGTCTGCTCCGGGCGCTAGATGCGCTGGGCTGGGCGTGTCTCTGCCAATGCTGGCGGAACTGCTCGCCGACCGGGTTCCTAAGCTGCCGCCGAGCTGGACTCGCATCATCGGTGCCGTGCGTGGCGCCGCCGGCAATGACGGCGCCCGTGTCTGACGCTATGCTGTCCCTCGAATGGGTGGGCCCTGGCTCTGTGATTGTCGTTGTCTTTGTGCTCGTCTTCGCGAGCCTTGTTTCCACATCCCTCAAACCGATAATGTTCTCATCAGTCCCAGTTGCCGCCTGAGAGTCGCTGTTAGCACGCCGCGTCGTAAACATTATGTTGCGCAGCCATGAAGGCAGTAGCTCACCTATTCTCGCGGCCCTGGCAGCCCGCTCGCTGGCCTGTCGTTTTGTCTCCTTGCGACTGGCCAGTGCTGCGCTGATGATGAAGCCGATGGGGATCAGGGTGATAATTATGTATGCGGGGATCCAATTGCTGTTCATCTGGTTGTTGACGGCATCCTCCTGCTTGGCCCATTCCTTGAACTCGTCCGAGAAGGAGAAGAAGCGGCTGGTAGTGTTGGACATGTTCGCTGTGGGTAGTGGGGTGACTTTTCGAAAGGAGATTGCACGTGAGACAACCTGTACGGACTGAGGAAGAAAGGTTGAGTGACCGGTATGGTATTACAAAGTGAAATGCTGGGTGGTTGTTATTACTGGTGATGGTTGGATTTAGGATTGATGTCAAGTCAAGTCTAAGAATGATAGATCACCAGACTCGAAACCTTGAAACAAACAATGGATGCGAGTCGAGAATGTGAATTGAATGTCAATTGAAGCTTGACCTTTGGGGGGGAAACGCAGAGCAGGGATAGGACCGATCAAGTCGATATTTGTGGGCTGTCACAGGGATGGTGAAGTCATTCTTAAGGGGGGAGTCCCGGACGGCAGCGCTTTGGTTGGACAGGAACAAAGCTGTGCCCGCAGGCCTCTTTCTTGGCTCGCTTTTAAGCCTCCCCGTCAACTGACAATCGCAAATTACAATGACAGGACCGGGAAAGGGTGATGGGCAATGGGACGCATGGCCTCATGTCCCGTTTCCTGCTGCCGCCAGGCGCTTCGCCTCGCCTCCGCTTCGGTCGGCGCCTGGGCTCATCTGGGACTGGTGCGAGGTGCTTGGCAGACCCAGTGGAAAACACGAGATTCGATGAGATTAGAGGGTCCCTTGACTCAGGGGCGACAAAGCAGTGTCACATTCGGCATGAGAGAGCTAAACTCGTCACTTTAAACCGGCGCTTGCCTCTTTGTGCAATGCGCTCGCCTTCGACACCGACAAACAAGACTGATAGACAGAGTCCCTGTCGGCCAGTCAAGCCTCACAAAGCCACTTATGCATCTATCTCCTCCTTTTGAGTAGAGACCTGCGGGACCGAGATTGATCGTCATCTCTACCCAGCCGTCGCTCATCTGATCTCATCTCATCTCAACTCATGATCGACTCAACCACGTCAGGTCGGTGATCTAGGCGGATCCGTTGGGTATTTCGGCGTCCTGCATGCGAGATTAGGTCAGCTGAGCCTCGAGAAGCAACTATTATTGCAAATCCCCCTCGACGGAATTCTCCTGGCCTCGCAGGGCCATTAGCAGATGCAATGGGATTCGACCAGCAAAAGAGTTGAAGGAAGCCTTCATACAATAGCGGCGCGTCCGCCCGATAGCGCTTCACGCAGAGCTTCCCAGCGACGGCCAACAGGATGATGAACGAGATGAGGAATAAAACCGCCCCTGCCGTTCTGAGCCCCTCTTTCACCTGCTGCTGCGACATATCTGATCGTCCGTCGGGTCCTCTCCTGATGGTAACCGGCCCAGGAATATGAAAATGAAAATGTGCATCGGGGTGCGCCGGGGACCTGATTTTGCAGACCGCAAGAGATTCCACCACCGCGCGCCATTACTCTCGCCGCTTTTACTTCTTAGAGCCTTCTTTGTCTACGCCGCGAAATTGGCCGAGAACGGGCCCAACACAGCGAATGATCCCATGCCGTCGATGCAACAAAGACAACTGCTCTTACCAGGTGATGGGAGGTGTGGACGAACTTCGCAGCCTGGCTAGGTGATGGCGGTCTGTAGAGCCAATCGGTTCCACCTCCATACAGGCTATGGTGGGCTTCCACAGCTTGTAGGCCGCGAGAGTCAGTGTCACCATGTCGGCGACGGATCTCATTGGGCTGCAGGTACACGACATGACGGGAAGCAAACTGTTTCATCGCCATTTTCGTTCCTCGGGCTCTTCTAAAGGGTGTTTCTTCTGCCACACGGCGTGTTCTCGGCGACTCGAGCACCACGACTGCTCGCAATGGCCGCCATGAGTGGCTCGTGGACGGGACTCTTCCAAGCTGCATTGGCATGGAGCGTGGACTTTCCCAGGCCGACTTGGCCTCATGACATTAAGGACTGCACACTGATGACAGCTTCTTGTAGCGGGCGGCCCGTCGCTTTCCTCCCCGCACTGCGGCTTGCCTTTCTTGAGATCAGAGATTTAGTTGAGCGTCATAAGAGCGCGAGAATCTCCGTCTTACCCTTGCGTCAGACGCAAACAACCCAGGGAACCTGGCTCCCAGTAGTGCTTGCCGTCATGGTCGATACCCACCAAGGCCGCCCGATGTGCTCGTCCTGGGCTCCATATTGATCGTATGCTACTAACATAGCCCATCTTTGGTATCACTGTAGTCCCGCGACAACGTCGCAGCAGTGAAGCTCCGCCGAAACAGGCACCATGTGCATATAGGCCATGAACTTGCGTGCTGATCATGGCGACAGGCGTCGTAAGCTGCACTGTCGTGTTAACCCAGACGGCCCCTTCATAAGGACGACATGGCCTTTGAAGGTGATGAGATGCCGTCGGGACTCAAGTGAAAGTAAGGGAGGATGGGCCCAGTACAGAATTTGAGCGAGCCAAGACCGCGCGCATTTGTAGAGAAGGAAGCTCAAACATGTTAACATGGAAACCGTGAAGATTACGGGATGCCTAGGGAGCTGGCTTGATAGTCGAGGCAGGCTCGCCCGCGTCTCTGCTATAACGACATCATGTTTGATCCTTATCGTCAGCTCCAGCGTACGACCTTTCCCTCCACATGTTACCTGAAGAGACCGATTCATACCACACCTTCATGGTACGTTTTGCTGGATGAGGACGATTACACCTGGTTCACACGGTCGAGTAGTATGCACAGAACCAAGGCTAGGAGCCGACGTGCTGTTCTTTAAAAGATTCAAAGATAAAGCGCGAAACAATTGAAATATCTGGGAGTCCAGTAGTAGTCACAGCAGGTGAACCCACGCCACCTGAGGTCTTGTCACCACACGCAAACAAACTTGTGCACTCGCAACAGTCCTTCAAGCGCAGGTAGACACAGTATATCAGAGGAAAAGAAGGTCCAGACGGGAAGCGAAGCTATCCCCTGCCAGGACCCTCGCTCTTTAAGACATAATATCTCTAATCACTCACATACAACCCTCACCTAGGACACGGCAATATGGCTTGAGGATTCCGGTCAGGCACCTGGTGGCACCACTGTGCGGTTTCTGGCACAGAGCGATCAGCTAACTATTGTCCGGGAGGGCAATCTGTCTCAGAGTGCCTGGTACACGGGAGTTACACAAGACCTGGCGACTTCACCATGAGCTTCATCGCTTCACCGCACGCTCGTCCTGGTAAACGGCAGCACGTGCACAAATCGCCCTTCCACCGGGCCCGATCACGCAGTGTATTGATTGTCACCTTGTCGTGAAGCCTTGAACCCACTTGGGTGAACCGGACCCTCCCAACGCGCCGTAGCGAGAGGCATCGGGCCGAGAGATGCAGACACGAGCCTCGAACACAGGCGGTCAAGAAAAGAGCAGACAACTTCCGCTGGGCTGGTCCGGGGAATCGGCTGCGCTCCTCGGCATGCACAGCATATGGTGGACAGCCGCATAGGCTCTCGGTCTGTTCTGTACACTCGCCGTCAGTCCAGTCATCTCGAAACCTTGCGGTCGGTTCGCTGCCTCGTGTAGATTGCCAAGGGCAGTAATTCTTGTGAGACAAGCCAAAATACCCCGCGATCATCGATAATCGTCGGACGTGTCTGCTCAGCTGGAGCTTGCCCTTTGCGCCGGTATTAAACCCTCTCGAATCGGGCCCGAAGCCGATCCTCAGCTCCGTCTGCGTCAAGGTTGGGTCCTGAACACCACCTGGGACTGTCCTTCTTGAGATGGGATGTCCCATGATGCTCCGACGTATGTTGCACGGCCTGCGGGATTATGGCCTGCAAGTTGACGACGACGTGCTTGGCTCACGGAGTCGTGGAGGTTGTCGCCAAGATGGATGCCCAAAACTTGGGCCCATTTCCAGAGAAGTCATACCCTGTTTTTCGAGAGATCACAACACAGTCATCCTGATCTTCAGGGCCTGCAAAGACCAGCTCATCCCGACCAAATGGAAGGTGTTGTAGACCCTGCGGGAAGTGGTTATAATTGGGTTCAGCCTGGGCCTCAATAGGGGCCAGTGGACCAGCCAGTCGCATGCATTGGATGCGGGCCAAGGAGGATGGGAGACTTCGTGATGACAGTCGAAGCGCTGTCTCCTACGTTGGTACCAAACTCTAAGCTGGTTCGTGAGGCCAGACGCCAGTGTATGACTGAATCGTGGCCGCGAATCTCAGCCGGGCTCGTCGTCTAGGAAGCGACAGTGCCGAACGGAACCTTGATAAAACTGGGCAGACGAGTCCAGGCTGGCCTGGAAGCTGTTAATTCCGTAGAAGGCTTGGCTGTCGTGAGTGAGGCATCATGAGACGCATTACGGCGCTGCAGTGGTGCGAATGCATGGTGTTGGAGGGCGACAATAGATGCGCTATCTGCTAGACCAAGATGGAAATATCATCAGACACGGGGCCTCGACCGATCCATGGTGCCCTTCGTCCGCAAGTGCGAGCGCTCTTGCCGTGATACCGGGCGCTTGCAGAACGACGTGGCCGGCGCAGGGAAGCTGCCAGCGAGACAGACGTTGCTAGCTTCATAGCTGTCAATGCCATCCTGATATTTTCGGAGTTCGAACATTCCATTAGTCCTTCCAAAAATAAGGTTGTTATAAGGTTATCATGCGGAGCGCCCCGTTGGTCAAGGATTGATTGCAAGCGCTAGAGATCTAATGCGGATTAGTCGGCGCGCCGCGATAGGATTCTTGTTGGCGGAGGTATGGGTGACCGTATGACTGGTGCTGTCTGGGTCATCAATGCTATCACACAGAAATTCCTTGTGGTGTTGCAGTGCGATATGTCAGGTAATGCATTTCCAGAAGCTCAAGGCGCAAATATCTGCCCACTGCCGAGTCGAGTCACCTGTGAACTGGTGGCGAGAAAAATGGGCCATTGGCCTTGTCTTGGCTGAACAGCAAAGAGCACTGAGCGCAGAGCTGGCGGCCCCCTCGTAGTAGATCCTCGTGGCACCCACATGACAGTTATGCAAAACGAACGCTTGATGAAAAGTAGACAGTGGCATTTGACTAGCATGGCTGAAGGGAAGGGCCGCCAGTTCGTCTTGTTCAGGACAACAGCGTGGCAATGAAACGATCGACTACGATGAGAACGGGTCTCTCACTGGCAGGCGTTACGTTCGTGACTCGGGCTGGGAAGCACCCAGGCCATCCGGCTTGTCGTCCTGGATTGTGAACCACAGACCTTGCTTGGCCTGCGGATGAGTCGAGGCCGATCAGCTTGGCGATGCCTCACCATGCCCAGCAAGTACATATCCGACCCGCTTATTTGAAATCAGAGGTTGCGTGTATCCCAGGGGACAGGGACTGCAGGGAGGTCGTTGATACCCATCTACACGGGATCCCGGAGGCTGACGAGAGAAGTTGATGGTGGAGTTCAAGGTGGGTTCAGAGTTGCTGTGAGAGTTGATGTTGGATACTGTATGCCAACCTGGGGGTTGCATCTGCAGTGGGGCGGCGGGAGAAAACCACCGAGCGAATCAACATGTCGAGTGAGATACGTACCTCTCTACCTTCCCTTTCGTGCAGTGTACCTGGCTGCTGCTTCGAAATGACGACATTCTTCGCTCTTGATCTCCCGATCAGCAAGATCCACCGTTGGTACACACGTATTAGAAAGCCCCGACAGACACGTGTTGCAATTCCTTGAAAAAGACAACATTGTACGACACACATTGCAGATAACTGGCTGGAATCCTGCCTTCGGTTGTTGTGATGTCGCAGTGCACCGTGTTTCACGCTGGAGAATTCTAGGTAAGGAGGCCCGTGTTTGTTTCGTTTCCTGTAATCGGCAGGGGAGATTTAGTGCCTGCTGAGTCGGGGCAAGCGCACCGGCAGTCAATTGTACTATGCGGAAAGGGCAGGAAGGGTACACTGGACAGACCATGCACCTGCCGAACAGTTCTCCGCAAGAGTCAATTTTCAGTTTGCATTTTGACGGCTGACGGCTGCATTGAGTGGGTGACTGAGTGAGTGAGTAACCCTGAGGTCAATCTCCCGATCACAGCACAGCTCGCAGAAGGTTTCGGCTGCACACTGACGACCAGCCGTCAACAATCCGACGACTCAACCTTCGCTGTTTCATTCTAAATGTCGTTCCAGAGCACTGGGCCAGCACCAGCAGGCCAAGTGATGGCAGAAGAACCCATTCCTCTCCGTGGGACGAAGACAAGCACAAGCGATCCACCCAATCTGCTCCGCTGCGTTGGCCTGGCCGCATCGCCCAGAGAGCTTGGTAGACAATGTGAGGTCTGTTCATGTGGCCAGGCCTCCACTCTAATCTGCGCCAATGCTTGGAACGGCTCTCGTCCAAGTCTGCGCAAAAGCTTCTCCCTTCGAAGCATTCCCAGGCGTATGGGAATGCTACCGCACACTGGAGCAGTGCCACTGCTCGCTGCCCAATACGCAAGACCCAATGCTCAATACTCGATGCGCGATGCTCGATGCTCGATGCACGCACGGCAAGTGCTCGAGCGCGCATCCACCAGCCACCAGTCAGGCTCAGCGCACACGCGCAATTTCCCGTAGGATGCGACTCAATTCATCAATGTTAGTCCGAGGCTCACTGCTGGCCATTCCATTCCATATCCAGTTTGGCCGTGGACTTCGAAAAGCATGCGCGCCTCGGTGGATCCCTCTGATCAGATGTGTCTTTGGTGAAGCTTATCCAAACATCGCCAAGACTACTATACCAGACCCCCAGCAGCAAGCAGCCCGCATGGGCATGGGCATGAGCAGGGCATTGAGCATGGACGAGGACTTCACGACGCCGGTGCACTTTCTATATTTGCTCCCGTCCGGTTTGCGGTCTTGTGCCAGCCTGCCGCAGGAGCGTCGCTGTGAGCGAGAGACGCCTTACCGTGTTTCCTCACCATCTGCCTGCGCTCGGGGCTCTCCTCCTTCCAACTCGGCTAGGGCTGCTCTTGGCAGGTATCAAGTGTGCATGACCCACCCAGCCGACAACCTGGATCTCCATCGTCTGAATACCGGCCGTGCCTGGGCCCTTTCTTGGCTACTACAGCCAAGAATATCACCTCCATACCCTCAAACGCGACCCAGTCCGTTGCTGGCTGATCAAGCACTACCCTTCCACATCCCTCACTGCTCCCGCCCGTCCCACTCGCTCTACAGAGTGCCACAGTACACACCAGACCCTCTATAATCGGATAGCGGTGGCTAGTGTCACCTGCGTTTCAACCTCCCATAGCATCGTAGTCGTTCTCTTGGCGGCTCCTGGACCAATCACGCCTGTCTTCCTGACCGACGACATGCCTCGTCCGTACCCTTGCCCAAGCGCACTCGCAAGGCGAACAAGCACACCTCCACCGGACAAGCATCACCCCCATGTCCGGGGACGTACTACCCACGCTCCACAATCCCCAGCATAGGACAACTCTGGGCTCTTGGCAGCTTCATGTTCTTGAGGCTTGTTAGGACAGGGACCAGACGACGGTCTGGGAGGGTCTGGATGCATGCTGCGATTCATAGACTATATATCGACTCGTCTCCCAGCCAAGCAACCGTGAGATCTAATTGTTTTCCTCCGTCAGCTGCGCTCGATCCAACTTTACACGTATAATCACTTTCTCCCGGCTCGTTGCCGTCAACCGCTGGTCGTTCTCGCTGGTCGTTCATTCATATCTTGATCATATATATACACACGGGTCACATACCTGTCCCTCACATCGCTCGAGAAGAATATCACAAGACGAGGTTCTACATCTGTCAAAATGGTTGCATACCGTATTCTGTTCCTGGCTGGCGCGGCCGCTGCCCTGCCCTTGAACATCAACCTCGGAGCCTACTCACCGGCTTTGGTAGTGGGTAAGACGGTCACCCGTGCCCTTTGCCGACAGTATAAGTATGCTAATCTTGTTTTCCGCCCACAGGTGATGGTGAAATTAGTTTCGGAGGTAATCAAGATGTGTCCGGCCTGATGAACGTCCTTGAGGGCGCAGCGGTCAACGCAGCAAACGGAGCAGCGACTAATGGTGCCGCTCAAGGTGCCGCTCAAGGCCAGGCTCAAGCTCCTGCCGCCCAACCCGCACAAGCGCAGCCCGCCGCTGCTCAACCGGCGGCTGTGCCCGCAACCCAGGCGACTGGCACTTCCACAACCGCCTCCGTGGACCCAACCCTACAGCAGCAGGTCAGTAGTCAACCAGAGAACCCTCTCAAGGGGCACCGATCTGAGGCACATCCCGGCTAACAAGCGTGTTAAATGTTCCAGGCTCAACAAATCGCCGCGCTCCAGGGTATGGGCAAGGAGATCGCGCCCCGAGAAGAGGGAGAGACACCAAGCATCGCCAAGCGCCAAACCGGCTTCGACCGTGCCTTGCAGTTCGCTGAGGCCGCCCTGACCAAGGGACCCAAGGTGCAGCTCGGAACTGGTGAGGGCGGAGCTGGCGTCGGTATCATTGTCGACAACAACCAACAGGCTGCTGCCCGCCCCGGTACTGGAGCAACAGAAGGTGCTGCTGCCGCTGCTGCGCCCGCTCAGGCTGCCGCCGCGCCCGCCGGGCTCAAGGGACGACGAGACCTGGGTGCCAGCCAAAAGGTCAAGGTCACCACCATGTACGTTCGCTCTGGCGTTCCTCCCTGTGAGTTTGCGCGTTTTCTTTCCCACATATTCTAACTAGAATTCCTACGGCGCAGGCGCAACTTCATAATCGACGTCGACTAATTCGTGTGCGAATTAAAGCTCTCCAGAACGGCGGTAACAAGATGAGCGCGCGTGACGTCGCCGTTGAGCCTCGAGTTATTGAGACCATCCAGATCGCTCCCAACAAGAGGGATGCGAGCCCCAGCCCCAACACCATCGACGCAGTCAATCTCAATGTGGACGGGGAGCAGGGCATCACGATGACCTTCGTCGAGACTGTTGAGGATGCCGATGAGGGTTCCGCTTGAATGGCGACATTCCGACACCTCTAGTCCATGATATTTACGCCATCTCAACTACAGCGATCCATTGCTACGACCACGACTTACCACCTGATCAAAAAGACGACCGGATTTGTGAATATGGTGGGATTTGCCTATAATATTTGCGTGTAGGACATAATTTTGGATTTTAAAGCTTGCGTTATATACCTTACTCCTTTTTATGCGTGATGTGGGCGTTTAGGTTCGAAGCAGAGATATAGATCGTCGAAGCAGCGCCACAATGGGGGCAACACGGCTTGGACGTTGGACCAGCACCATCGCCTTTGGACACGACATTCAATAGCAAAATGATCACACGTCTTTGCGCGAGCAAACTTCTGACAAAAACGTTGATAGCCATCCTAATGCATGTGCCGCAATCCCATTGTAGTCTGGGGTTATCCGATATGCATCTCGCTCGCTCTCGTTAATCCGAACATGTCAGAGAAAGTCCGAGTCAGGAATGGCCTTCTTTGAGCACGGTTCTGAAGTTCCGATGACGACTCTCCCAAATTCTCGCTGTCTCAGGACGGCTTGCCAAGGTGCAAGAGAATATACCAGGCCCGGTTTTAGACTTCTGGAGCCCGCCACCGCGGGTTCCGCCACAGGGTAACCTGGGCGTGGCGTCTCGGTTGTAGCCGTTGGAGCCTAGCTACTTTGTAGCTAGCCCGGGTAGGGATGTGGTCAATTTGGGGTGGTTCTGCGGAGAGCGAGGTGTGATAGGGTATGATCGGTAGGGAGGGTAGGCAGGGTAGGGTAGGATGCCTGTAATGCTGTGTGTGTGTGCGGGTGTGTAGGAGGCGGACAATAAGGACATTTGACGGGCTCCGCCGTCCGTTCGTTCGTCCTGCTAGCTCAATCAGTAGACCCAGGTGCCGGTGAACGTTTCGAGTGGCATTGATGATCGACTCCTGTCTTCATGCTGGATTATTTGTCGATCACCGTCTGATCTATTCTAATAAGGGTGGGTTGGTCCCCGGGGCTTCCTGGCAAGGGTGTTCGTCACAGGAAAGAGGGAAAAACCACAGCACGTTGAACTCTGTGCGTGTGCCGCGGTGGCATCGGAGCAGGTGCCGGTGGTTGGGGGCCGATGTTTGTTTCTTCCTTTCTATTCGATTGATGTCCTTACGGATCTCGATGCTGCTGCGCTATGGTCTACCGTCGGTGGTTTTTTTTTTGACCCGACCACGTGCAGGAGCTGACATGTGTCTAACCTGCTCTCGGGCAGCGTTCATCTAAATGGCAAGCAAATATACTCCAAGTTTAGGTGCAGTTCCGTGCGTAATGGCAAACCTAAACGCCTAGACTAGAAATACACCCCTCCGAAAACTCGATGTCACGCCTCTTGCGCGACGAGCGGCTCAGTGCTCCCACTCCTTGTAGGCCTTCTGCTTCTGCCGCGTGTTCCACCCGAGCTTGCCGCTGATGCTGTTGACCCAGTCCTCGGAGCGGCGGCCCTCGGCCTGGACGCTGGCGAAGGGGAAGCGGCTGGCCGAGATGGTGACGTAGTCGCCGGGGAGCAGCTCGAGCCTCTCGCGGCCGTCGAAGCTGGCCCACGAGCTCGTGCGCGCGCTGAACGGCACGCCCACCCGCAGCACGATCGTGTCGGGCAGGATGATGGGCCGGAATGACAGCGTGTGCGCGCAGATGGCCGTCACCAGCATCACCGGGTTCTCCGGGTGGCAGAGCGAGCCGCCCGCCGCGAGATTGTAGGCCGTCGAGCCCGTCGGCGTCGACACGCAGATCCCGTCTGCGAGGACCGAGGTGAAGTGTTCGTCGTCGCCGAAGATTTCGAGATAGGACATTGCTGAGATTGCGTGTCAGTTCATATTTATCATCGTCATCATCATGATAACAGCAAGCGCTCTGAGGATGGGAACTGTAAACATACTGGGATTCGGCCCCCGGTCCACAACGATCTCGTTTAATATTTCGTAGGTCCCGTCCGGTTTGTGCGTGTGCTCGTCCTCTTTTTCTTCACCGATCAGCTCTTCTACTAGGTCCCGGCTTCGTCGTCTGTTCTCCTCATCTTCCTCACTTGAAGTATTTGAACTGCCGGCGGTACCGTCCGTAATCAGGCCGGGATCCCTCTTCCGCGTTTGGCTCCTCATGATGGTCCCCTCGAACCGTAACCTGAGACTAACAGTCACGCCCTCCTTGAAGGCCCCAGTGAGTGTATTCTGGTAATCCTCAAAGTCGAATTTGGTCAAAAAGCCCAGGCTCCCTAGCGCAAAACTCAACACGGGCGGCACGATGCGCTGGAACAGCCAGCTGGCGTAGAGCACCGTCCCGTCTCCACCCAAGGTGATTGCAAAGTCGAACGTGTGTGGCCTCGTGCGGCACATGTGCTCATCCCACCATCTCAATCGTTTCGTTATGGTGTTGGCATTCTCCTCCTCGAGCTCGCCGGCTTGGATGTAGTCCTTCTTCAACTCTTCGATCAGCCCGTCGGCGTTGAATTGTTTGTTGGTCTTGAGGTCCCGCTCCAGGTACACTGTGTATCTCACGTTCCGCTCCTTGTCTAACAACCACCGGGTCAGCTCCCGCGCTTTGGGTATCAGGTCGCGGTCGTAGACTTTTGTCAGTATGAAGATGTTGCGCACGCGGAACTTGAGCCGCATGCTCCCCAGGCGGCGGCTCAGCTCCCTCACACCCCACGCCATCTCGCTCAGCTGCTTCTTGGTCAGCAGGCGGCTGTGTAGTTCGTGCTCGGCTTCGGCGTGCGACTTGTCCACTTCCGTGGTCGACCTGGCGATCTGCTTGGCCCACTCGTGCTCGTCGGTCTGGCCCGCGTCGCTGCCGGCGTCGGCGTCGCCGCCCCTCGAGAGGATGGCACACTTGCCCTTGGGCTCGACGAGGCGCTGGTCATGAACGCCATTTTCGTTGAGCGACGCGCTGTCGACATTCCCCTGCCGGTGCTTGCCCTTCTCGTGCTGCGCGTGGTGAGCCCGCTTCTGGGAGTCGAGGAACTGGTGAACGAGACATTGAGTCTTGTCGGCGTGCTGCTGGCGCAGTTTGGGAATTGGTGCTTCGGAGGGGACGAGGGAGCTCTTGCGCCGGTAGACGCTGCCGGCGTCGAATGTCACCTGGCATTGATTAGCGGTCCGGCGGCAGCGAGGCAGGTAGATGTTCGTGGACAAAGATGATGACAATGACAGTGCAGCGCAGTGCAGGGAGGGGCATTGGTCGTTACCTCGACGGCCTTGGCATCCTCATCGCTGGCGCTGGAGTGAGGGTCCTCGAATGCCACCTGCTTATCCTGGCCGCCCATGCTCGCTTCTCCAGTGGGACTTGGATGGGTGTTGCGATGGGCGCGACCGAGATTGAGGTCGAGGATCAGCGGATTGTCAGACGAAGTTGCAGATCGGAGAGCCCGGAGTGAAGTTAGTGCATGGTGTACTAAGCAACCAAAACCTGACAGCGCGGTCGAAGGAATAGCTTTGGAGAGTGTCCGTCTCCCAGGGACAAAGAGCGCACCAGATCTTGGAGGGGCTCGAAGTTATGTCATCGGTGTTCCATGGGCGGTGGTCAAAGACTGGCCGAGACACTTCTTTTGCAAGTGGGGTATCAAAGCACTTGTGATTGGCGGGGTCCTCAATTGATCATCTTTGTCGTAGACTACGAAGTCCTCAACAATGCCTTTGTTATCAATATCTGATTTCGCAACTATATAAGTCTCAGCATACTGGCACACCACCCCAAGCTCACACATTCATCTGCAATAATCTCTGAAATTCCATCAGTAGACCAATCTGCAAGGAAAAAACCTCTACAAGAACTTTGACACAGCTCAAAAGCTGTGAGACCATGGATCACCATCAAGCACCATCTTCTGCTTTCCCACTGTTCCCTTATTTGCCTACGGAATTAAGGCTGAGGGTTTTCGAACAAGCGTTAATTCCCCTACTACAACCAAGGATCGTTGCTGTTCAACCATTCCCAAACACGGACCCTACCAAGGGCTCTTCAAACCTGTCCCGATGGCAGTATTGGGCTGTGGCCAACGAGCACTCACTGCGCAAGAATGATCCTTTTGTGACATCCACTGCCATCCTGGGCAAAGTGTGCAGAGACAGCCGCACCGCCACTCAGGCATTCCTCAAGCGCCATGGACAGCCGCTGTCCCAGCGCCCATTTCATTCCGTGGGCCTGAACGAAGGTTTCCCAAGCCTGCCCCTGCGCCCCCAAGGCCCTGATGCCGATATTTTCTTCGATCCCGGCTTGTATTTGTTAGGGAACAGAAGGCCGTTGACTGACTCGATCGCTGGCCGTGATCTCCCTCACATGGAGCGCTGGTTGGTGCCCATCGACAACGTCGTCTCATGCCTGCAGCGCATGGAGGTCCGCTGGGACCATAGAATGATATACTCCGGCTTCTCACACCCTTCAATGGCCCCTCCTGGCCCAGGCCTCTGGAGCAGCCTAAGCCTCTGGACTAGCCTAGTCGGTAGGTTGTTCAAGGGGGCTTTTCTGGATTCCCCTCACGACATTATTGTGCTAGTTGGAAGTGTGGACCCAGACTCGCTCAAGTACAGCGATCTTGTCATCCTTCCAGCTGAGGCCAGTCGTGAGATCAATTTTCCGGGTCTTTGTAATGAGACTCGAGACTTCGTCTTGCGAAAATTCGAGTATTGCAGGACGAGCCTGGAGGAGTATGAAGAAGAAAACGGAGTTGAGCAGCGTCGGGTGTTTCCGAAGCTCTACTTCGCATACGTCAAACCCCCCTAATGAAAATAGGCCAGTTCAGGTTTGGAGAGGTAAGTACCCAGAAGGTAAGTTTGGGAATTATAACTCAATACGTCCCCCCCCCCCCCCAATAAAACAAAATAAAAAAAATTGTCTCCTCTTGTATTATTGTTTTCTTCCTAAAGTTTAAAGCATATTCTCTCGCCCTGAAACGTGGGAATACAAGTGTATTCTTGCTACAGGTACGTATTCTGTTCCTCCGAGAAAGCCACATGCCTCCTTTGAATGTGTATTGTATTTGTGTGTGAAATATTTTGTGTACCTGGGTATGAACATACCTAGATGTGCTGCCGACCTGCGAGAACTGCGTTCCTATGCACCCGAAGTTCCATTCCCACGCTTATGTAACTTTCGCTTCCTCAGGTACTGCCCTGACCTACTTGAAGTGTGAGGCACTGGGTTCCCCAGAGGCCCTCACAGCGTTGTCAGCGCTGGTCGACCAGATGCCACCCCAGGCCAGGCCGATGCGATGAGGAACAATCAATTTTTAGTCTTCCCGTAGCCATAGGAACAATGTGGGCTCAATTGAACGGTATGGAGTTGTGATGAGTTGATTAGGTGAGATAGCAAAATGCTGATTTGCCTCTTTAAGCACACACTTTCAGTGTATCGCACGATATCTCTTCTGTAGCACTACGAGATGTGTGAGTCTCAAAGTTCAGGACCCCACTCCCTTGCGGTCTCAGTATAACACGCGATTGGTCACGATGGAACTTTACTCCGAAATAGGAAACCCAACAATTCGATGAATTCACATTCATGTATGTTTTATGGTGTCTGTCTACTATTGCCCCAATTAACTTTATCACTCGTACGACTTTGACTGAGGAGATGTTCTGAATGTTGACTTTGTTTTGCTGCGCTAAGTGACCCTGCCTGGCCGAGGCCCCGAGAACGTCGTGCAGCGGGTCACGCCAACCGCTTACGCTTAAGACGACCAACGCCGCTGGCCGAACCCATGCTTGTGAGGCGATTCGCATGTGGAGCCAAAAGACAGACTTTCGAATTCGCGTTTACTTTATGATGTCCTGTACAATAACGTACGGTGAAAAAGTACTTCCGGGAATTGACTGTCGGACAGATGACGTCTCACTCCAGAATATGAACCGTGTCCCGATAGACTATGCCTATGGCCGCACACAGCCTTCTTGTATTTATTCTGGGCCACGATGAATTAATCTCGATTTGCTCTTAAGTACTAACATCGAGAACCGGTCGACTATGCGAGTTGTGCACACTAGATTTTCTGCATTGATAGGATCTTTACCTAGCCCAATCATTAAGCACGAGTCCACCTGCTATGGAACTGCGAATTCACTCTCGACCTAAGTCAGACACTTCCTTGCTACCGGCGCTTCTTGGATGACATATAAAAAAACTCGGGTTCACATTCATGCTTGCGATACGAACAGACATTCACCGAGAGTTGGATGATTCTGTTTCATCAAGGACAATAATACCAAGGTGATAGCCAAGAGAGGAAGAGGTTTATTTGACAAGCAGAGTTGGATTCTATTCGACTGGAGCATCAAACTGCACACTATTTTTACTTGTACACTTCCCTTCGGCAAGTGCATGACAGTCTCGTAGGCGAAGCCACCAAATCTCGCGCCCACACTTCCGGCTCATGGCCCGCTTCCGCCTTACCAAAGGTACGCGGCATACTAAATGAGTCGCGATGTAAGCGCAATTTCTCTTGCCATTGAACCTCAATTTGGTCCTCCCAGATGTGTTCTTTCTAAATCTGGCCTTCGTTTCCTTATAGCGCATTCAAGAGCCAGCAGAAAATACTCTTATGCGTAGCGTCGAAACACCATCGACTCAAGTTCAAGCTGGTGAGCGAATTTGTACATGAGATACATATCGTACGCCTTCTAGCCTTTTTTCCTGAGAAGCACCATGATTCTTCAGCAGCCATTAGAGGCTTGTATCCGGCACCCCTAGTATTGACCAGCTCTACCTATGTTAGATGCTTGAGGGCCCGAATCAATAGTGACACAGAAGTATCGCCGGTTGCGAGATGACACGGTGGCAGAGCTTTGCCGTCTCGCCGATAGTAGCGGTCAAAAGCGCAATCCTGCAGTGACCAGGCCGGGAATCCACGAACAAGTAGTGTCTGTCCATACGAAAGCCCCATTATCGGCCTATGAGCGAAGTGGGATTCATTTGAAGATTGTTCCCTAGCTCTCAGGCGTATGGGATCTTGGTGGCGAGTTCGAAATCAAAAGATGCCGTAATCGTCGGCCTGAGATGTTCGACGCTCAAGAAAATGGAAGGCAGGATGACCTATCTAGAGATGGGGCTGAGTGGTGGAGATAGCTGCTGAGGGCATGATCCGGAGTCTGCCTGCAGAAGAGGCTCAGAGAACGCCAGTCGCGAAGAGCACTGGAAATGATCATATTGCCAACATAGTGCAATTCGATAACACAGGGATCATGTAACGCAGCGCGACTACAAGAGGATACGAAGTCCCCTGCGGTGGCAAGTAGCTCGTGTTGTGATGTTCATTTGTTTCGCTCAGCCACTGAGCGAGTCTGAAGATGATACATCGCCGGCATCATGTGTGACAACGACAAACTTATCGACGCTAAGGCTGTTGATCTGCTCTCAAGTTTGCGAATCTACCGGGCTTTAACCTCGTCTCGAATCTCACTCGTGCTACAGCGGTCGATTGTCATTCAATAGGTGTTATTTTGTCGTTTTGTCCGACTAGGAGATTCGTGACGCCCATTAGCAGCTTTGCTTCACAGAAGCCTGATACCTCAAACATTAGGTAGCTTTTAGTCTATTCCGACCCGAGATCTTTTGTTCGACTATGCTCTATGAGGATCCTCGGATTCCATCGTTATGCGGGCAAATCATGCCAATGACAACGCCAAAGCCCACTTAGGTGGCTTGCCGCAATTCATATCTTATATTCCTCTGAAGTGGGGAGATTCTCAACTCCGAAACCCGGCTGATGGTTATACAATGTGACAAGGGAAGAAGTAGGTTGTACTCGAGAGCCGATTATGCTAGTGCTTGCTCGCCGTTTGGTGATGGGGGTGGCATGGGGACCTGTAGGGATATAAGTCAGTACAAATTCGATCTCGAAGCTCGCCAACAGTAACCAGGGACGACTTACCTCCAATTTTGTGCTGCCTGCCATCATCTTCTGGAAACCAATTCCGACACCCTCAATCACTGCCAGTAGCACAGCGCATCCAATAGCACCGTTTCTTGCCGACTTGAAACCGCCCCGTATTGCCAAAGCTCCGCCTGTCAGGAACCCAGCGCCGATCGCATTCCATGGGTCCTCTTTTTGTCGAATGCCCTTGACGGCGCAGTCGGCCAAGCTGAAGATGCCGCCCCAGGCGCCAAAGTTGCCGCCTAATACTGGTGCGCGCATCTTGACAGCTGTGATGGCGCCTATCCGCCGCTCGCCGTATGGGCTGTTGCGAAAGCCTTTGATTCCGTGCCAGATCGTGCCGCCGATTGCCTGTTGAAAGGGCGTTAGCTCGGTGCCTGATGAGGGGCGCAAAGAGGAGGGAGAGGGTGGTCAAGACGTACTCCCATGGCGAAAGCACCACCAAAGTCATTCAGAATGACCCAGGGACATGGGTCCCGACCGTGATCCATGGCCATTGTGTGCTTTGTAGGGAGGAGGCTGTGGAGGAGATGTGTTCAAGGGCTGTACGAGGTGTTGAGGCGCGCGTGGGGTGATCGCAAGGCCCACTGGAGGAGCGAGTGTCGGCTACGAAAGAGCGCGCAAAAAGTCGAGGGTGTTGACGTAGTTGAGAGCTTGATTGATGGATGGAAAGGTGGATGGCAAAGATGGGAAGAGTCGGCGCGCCTGCGGCTAAGGAATTTCAAGTGGGTCTGCAGATCCCATGGTCTGTGCTTACAGGCGCGCTGATGAGAAAAAGTTAAATGCTAAGCGCGGTGGCACGCGTGCGTGCTCGGCTGCCCGGCCAATTGAGCCGCATCTAAGTACCTAAGCACGCAGTATTCCAAGCAGATACTATACATGTACAAGAAGAGACTCGGCGGTAGCCACGACATATAACTCTGGAGTATAACTGATTTGGACAAAAGTAGCAAAATCTCGCATGCAAAAATACACTGGGTGTTGATGCACCTCTCTATCCAGATTCGCTCGGTTGGCCACTCCCGCAAGACCCCCGTGGCGAGGATTCTGCGAGGCTCCAAAGCCTAATGCGATTCAACCGCGGTCTTCTCCAACAGAAGAGCCCAGCCAAAGTACTTCGCCCCAAGACCACGATGGGAAAACACACCAGCAGACCGTCCAAATGCAAACACCTCAAGACTTAGAAGCGTCTATCCCTTCAAGGGTACCTTTTTAAGGGTAAAGCACCACGCATTTCGCAGAACGCCTACCAAGAATCCTTGTTGAAGGTCTTCACTGATGACTCGATCACAAACGAATTCCAGATTCTCCCGCCGCATCCCGTATTACTTTCCTCTGACCAAGTAAAACCCAGTAACAACGAAAGTAGGCCCAGTCCAGCGTGAAGACCTCAAGCCGTCGTGAGAGCATCCATTCATGTATCGTCCATAGGCAGGTGTGTCAGCGACTGTTAGCAACATCAGCTCTAGACGAGTCTGACGACCATGAGCTTCAGCCTGAAGCACTCAGCTACTGAATGTCTCCGTGCGTCGCGAAGAACACGGAAAATCGGGTAGTCCGTGTCTATAATCGGCCCCAAAGGCAGAGCGAAGTCAGAGGAAACCGGACTGTAGAGCTGAGCTATCAAGAGAGCGATGGGTGACCACTCTCCTAGATCACTTTGGACAACATATAGAGTGCCTATCTAGAGGTAGCCAAGGCCTCAGAATTACATCAGGAGCATGTCTTCTTCGAGCGTTCGAGACAGCGAGTTTATGGGCGAAGAAGCATTCAACACTCGTTGAGGACCCATGCGAAGACCACTTGATTTGCTGGGTTCTGCCCTTCTCGTAATACTGCTATCCTCATGGGCTCGCTGAAGTTTGTGGAAATCTCCACAACGTTAATAGTGCGTTGGGTAGGGACGGGTCCAAAGCAGAAAAGAGAAGAGGATGGTTGATATCGTTCAAGAACCTATGAGCAACAACAGCGGCCGTCGCATGGGTAGCATCTCAACATCAGTTCTGAGACGCCGTTATAGTGAGCCATCCGACCGGCGATTTCAACTCAAGCGTGCAAGAGACGCCCGGCTAGCTCAATCGGTAGAGCGTGAGACTCTTAACGAGCCTCGTGTTCTGATAGAAAATCTCAAGGTTGTGGGGTAAGAGAAAATTCAGACATTCGAGACTTGCTCCAGAACTTGTTCATTAACATCCGACTCAGTTCGACCCCCACGTCGGGCTCAATTCCCGTCCCATCGATTCAATCTTTTTTTGTCAAGTTTTTTGCCGACCTGGACATTGGATCTGTATGGAATCGCGTCATGTTAGAAAGGCCTTGTCCCTCGTGGATGTGAACAGCGGGCGAAAATAAGGCTGAATGACGACGATGGCTTCTTCCCGCACCGTGTGCCAAGTGAGACTCGCTGTTGACGCGTGCACGTGACGAGTCCGGGTAGCTGGTCGACTGGAAATCAATTGCAGCTTGATTGGCGCTAGAGTCCGAGGCAAAGTGGGTCCTGCCGCCAAAAAAGTCGATGCGGCAGGACGGGCAAGCAGCGAGCAGAGCTTCAGTTTTGCTCGCCCTCGACCGACCTCTGGCCGCTGCAGCTTTTCCCTCCCGATCCCTGGCTCAATCATCTCCTCTCTTGTCATTGTGATTGTGTGGCAGTTTATTTCCTTTCTTCAAGATGTCCTCCTTCAGAACAGTGGCTCCGTTTCTGCGGACAGCCCGCACTTCCCTCAGATCCGCCCACCCATTAGTATCGCTGCAGCGACAGTCGACTTCTCCAGTCCTGAACCTGCGCCGCGGGTACGCGGTCTACGAGAGGAGCAAGCCTCACGTCAACATCGGTTCGTGTCCTCTCCAGCTTCAATCGAGGCAGCACAAGACTTACAGAACATCACAGGCACTATTGGTCACGTCGATCACGGAAAGGTAATCAGAGCTCAAGCTCCTCCACAACCAAACTCACTTTAACATACGATCCATTTGGCTGACGATCGTTTTATGTGACCAGACCACCCTCTCCGCCGCCATCACAAAGAGACAAGCCGAGAAGGGCTTCGCCAACTTCCTCGACTATGGCTCTATTGACAAGGCCCCCGAAGAGCGCAAGCGTGGTATCACCATCGCCACCGCCCACATCGAGTACGCAACCGAGGCCCGACACTACTCCCACGTCGACTGCCCTGGTCACGCCGATTACATCAAGAACATGATCACAGGTGCCGCCAACATGGACGGCGCCATCATCGTGGTTGCCGCCTCCGATGGCCAGATGCCCCAGACCCGAGAGCACTTGCTGCTGGCCCGCCAGGTCGGCGTGCAGAGGATCGTCGTCTTCGTTAACAAGGTCGACGCCCTGGAGGACCCCGAGATGTTGGAGCTCGTCGAGATGGAGATGCGCGAGCTGCTCAGCACCTACGGGTTTGAGGGCGACGAGACCCCTGTCGTCCTGGGATCCGCGCTGTGCGCCCTGGAGGGCAAGCGACCTGAGATTGGCGAGCAGAAGATTGACGAGCTGATGAAGGCTGTCGACGAGTGGATCCCCACTCCCCAGCGTGACCTCGAGAAGCCCTTCCTCATGTCCGTCGAGGATGTCTTCTCCATTGCCGGTCGTGGAACCGTCGCATCGGGCCGTGTCGAGCGTGGTGTCCTGAAGAAGGACTCCGAGGTCGAGCTTGTCGGAAAGGGAGGTGAGGTCATCAAGACTAAGGTCACCGACATCGAGACTTTCAAGAAGTCTTGCGACGAATCCCGCGCCGGTGACAACTCCGGTCTCCTGCTCCGTGGTATCCGCAGGGAGGACGTCAGGCGTGGTATGGTCATCTCCAAGCCCGGCACCGTCAAGGCCCACACCCAGTTCCTTGTCTCCCTCTACGTCCTGACCAAGGAGGAGGGTGGCCGACACACCGGCTTCATGGAGAACTACCGCCCCCAGATGTACATCCGAACCGCCGACGAGTCCTGCGCCCTCTTCTTCCCTGAAGGCACCGAGGACGCTCACTCCAAGATGGTCATGCCAGGTGACAACATCGAGATGGTCGCCACTCTGCACAACCCCTGTGCAGTTGAGGCTGGCCAGCGTATCAACATTCGTGAGGGTGGCAGGACCGTGGCAACCGGTCTGATTACCCGCATCATCAAGTAATTTATTTGATGAGATGGTGGAAAGTGAAAACCGCGAGATCCAAGCGTGAGTCTTCTTGCATGCGGTCTGACGGGCCGGAGGGGAATCCGCATTTGCAGCAGTCTTTTTTTCGTGGGAAAGGTTCAGGAAAAAAAGGAGTTTGCAAAATGTGCCATATGATGAGTGTACGTATACCACGGAGGGTTGATTCTTTGTACATTTTGTCTGAGCATGCGGGATTCCACGGATATTCTCTCCCCTCTACGCCTATTCGAGTCTGTATAATCCTGTAGTTTAGACAAGACCCACAATGATAGAACTCTCAGACAATCATGCACTCGAACATGTGAATGCTCCTTACTTGTTGACCAGACAATGGTCTGTTACAACCCAGAAATCCTGCTAGTTGTGCCTAAGAGCTTAACATTTACTTGGTGAGGTGAGAAACGTGTGTGGGTTGGTTAGGTGTTAATGTAAACCAGGGAAAGCGAAGAATGTTTCAATGCGCCAAAGTCGGAACGCAGGAGGGAAGAGCTTCTGCAGGTGAACAGCAAGTGTTCAGCGCAAACGAGGCCCATATAGTAAAGCACATCTGGATCAGGACGCGCGACACCGAGATCTCTCCAGCTTTATCTGGCTGTGGCTGAGTTGGACCTCGTTCTGAATCCGGAGTTTGGCCTCGGAGCACGGACAGTCACTAGGCATATGTCTTCACCATCTCGTCGAACTGTGGTACGTTTTGGTCTTTGCACTCATCCATTCCGACGTGGGATTCCTTCCGATCTAAACCATTGCAGATCCCCCCTCCTGGGCGTTAACTTTTGCCCTCCAGTGATGATTTCCATGCCCGGATCGCCAAAATCAATCAAACTCCTAATGAAGCAAGCCGGCCGATGAAAGGCTTCGTTCGCGTCGGGGGACATCGAGGAGGGGTTCTCCATATCTACTGGAGTCGCCCCGTTGGTCGCGTTGGCCTATTTTTTAATCGTGATGTCGACCGTTGGAATTGCCCATCCCTACTCCGTCACGCCCGAAGATGCATTTATCGGTGCTATTTCAATGTCAGTTGCCTATCGTATATCTCGATCGCGACTTCTCTTCGCAGGAGGTTGGGTCGGGTCGTACCTTTTGGAAGCCAATGTCGGCGGACTTCTCACGGAAGCACTGACGGCAGATGTTGAGGCCGTACTTGCGGATCAGACCGGCACGGTGGGTGCAGACGCGGCTGTGAAATGTTAGCCTCCTTGTTTCATCGCCAAAAATCCCTCTTTTCCAGTTCTCTCTTCTGTACTCGGGTTCGTGCCGACACGAGCATATTTTTTCCTCTCAGGATGGTGTTGGGGGTTTTCGTACCAAGAGCGGGCACCCTTGCCGTAGCCACGAGGGCGGGAGTTCCAGACGGATTCGTGAGACATGTTGTCTGTTGACGATGGACTTGACGAGTGTTGAGAAAAGTTTCGTCGGTCAGGCTCGGTTGTCGTTTGCAGACGGTAAGGTGGTTGCGGTCGGGGCGATCGATCTGGCTGGACGAGGTGTTGCGAGAGTGGAGTAAAGTTTGGTCGTCCCTTCCTTTTCTTAAAATCTTGGTTGGTGTGGTCCAAGCCACACTTCCAGCATTTTCAATTTCCAGCAACTTGTGGCGCAGTCACCTGCCTTATCTTATCAGCAGCCCGGCTCTCTCTAGTGGCCCCTGGCCTTCCTAACCAACAAGGTACCTAGGTACTGTCTCAGGAGCTTTCTTGCCACTCAGCCTGTCAGTGAAGGAGCTCCTAGCTTATGACAGCTGCTGCAGTGCCAGATTGTCCTCTACCTCATACTTGAATCGGGCGGGCCGATTTCAAAGCATTCCATCATCCTCTTTCATTATAACCAGGCAATCGATTGCTTGCGTTTCTACTTTACTTTTCCTCAGATTGATCTCTGCATTGTTCAGTGTCTCTTATTCAAATCAAACCGAATCACGCGATCAATCCCCAGCAATAATGGTTCTGCTAAAGAGCTTCGTGCTCGCCGGCCTGACAGCCGCTGTGGCTGCCAAGTCCGCGGTCCTCGACCTTATTCCAGACAATTTCGACAGCGTCGTCCTCAAGTCCGGCAAGCCCACGCTTGTCGAGTTCTTCGCCCCATGGTGTGGCCACTGCAAGAACCTCGCCCCCGTCTACGAGGATCTCGCCAGCTCATTCGCATCCTCCAAGGATGTCCAGATCGCAAAGGTCGACGCCGACGCCGAGAAGGAACTTGGCCGTAGATTCGGTGTCCAAGGATTCCCTACCCTCAAGTTCTTCGACGGCAAGAGCGATACCCCTACCGATTACAACAGCGGCCGGGATTTGGAGAGTCTGACCAACTTCATTACCGAGAAGACCGGCGTCAAGCCCAAGAGGAAGCTGGAGAAGCCTTCGGCTGTGACTTACCTGACGGATACCACTTTCGACAAGGAGATTGGCGGTGACAAGAACGTCCTGGTTGCATTCACTGCACCTTGGTGTGGACGTAAGTACTCAATCATACTCAGGTACTCCAATGCTTGTCTGTCCGGCTGCTAACATGCCCTCTGATGCAGACTGCAAGAACCTCGCCCCTATCTGGGAGCAAGTTGCCGAGGATTACCAGAACGAGCCCAACGTTTTGATTGCCAAGGTTGATGCTGAGGGCGAGAACAGCAAGGCGACCGCCAAGATCCAGGGCGTGACCTCCTACCCGACCATCAAGTTCTTCCCCGCTGGCAGCAAGGAGGCTGAGCTCTACAGCGGCGGCCGCAGCGAGATTGACTTCCTCACATTCATCAACGAGAAGGCCGGAACACACCGTGCTGTCGGCGGCGGCCTGGACAGGTATGCGGGCACGATCGAGGCCCTCAACTCTGTGGTCGACAAGTTCACCGGTGGCACCAGCATCCTGGCCGACTCCCTCGCGGAGGCTCAAAAGCAGGCCGGAGAGCTCAAGGAGCAGGCTCAGTACAAGTATGCCGAGTACTACGTCCGCGTCTTCGACAAGCTGAAGAGCAACGACGGATATGCTGCCAAGGAGCTTGCGCGTCTGGATGGAATCCTGAAGAAGGGTGGCCTCGCGCCCACGAAGCTCGACGAGCTCACGAGCAAGACCAACATCCTGCGCCGATTCGTCGAGGAGAAGATTGAGCAGATCAAGGATGAGTTGTAAATGCGTCGATGCAGGGGAAGTGAGAGGGAGGGAAAATGGTGGGAGCAGGAACAGGAATCGCTTGCATGTGTTTTACTGGGAGCGCTGGCAAGGAAATCACATAGGAACGACTCTGAATGACATTTTACTTGAAACCGAATCTTTTTACCACGCGACACCATTGCCGTCCGTGACGATGTAATCCCATACTAGAATCTGCGTGCTCTATAGACATCTGGTTCCATGGATCGAGTAAAGCGCCGAAAACTGCAGGCCGTGGACTGGCGCCCAGAGAATCATCCCGGGCTATGATTGCTTCGTACCAGAATCTCGATCGTTGTTCGCCATTAAGGCTGCCTCCAAGCTGTCGATTCTCCTGGACATCTCGTCCACTGGGCACAGCTGTCAGTGACATATATGTGAGTCCCAGGTGATGAAGCGACTTACTCTTTGCGAAGATCTCACTTGACACGCCAGCAAACTTGTTGGAAAGCGTATTCAGAAGCTCATCCAGCTGTTGTGTCAGCTCTGCGCGAGCATCGTCGGACGTCTATGTGATGAGGCTTGTCAGTCGCGAGATCAGGTCTCAGATAAGCGTTGGGTACCGCCAACTAATTTGGACTGAGAGGGAACAGAACTGTACATTTGGCTGGCTGTTTGGCTCACTGTTGTTGGACGCCATCTTCGAGCGGATTTTAGTGATTAAGCCGTGTCACAATTTCTCATCAATAGTCCGCCTGCCCGTTGTTTTCAAGTTGTTTGCCTTTCATGTGATGATGGTTCGGAGAGAAAGGGGCGTGCATATCCGGAGGATGTAAACGAATCTGGGAGCCGCTGTTGACGTTGCGTTCTCAGCGGGCATGGGCCCTAGTGCGAGCGCCTGCCAAGTCCAGCCAGGACATCCCGAGTGCCGTGCATGGGCCCAGGTAGCTACGCATTCCAGGGCGTGGGACCCTCGTCATTTCAACCTTACCACTTGGACTTCTGGATATACTTTGCTCACACGACCACCCAATTCCACCACTTGCTGATGCACTTGTGACAGGCTCGCAACATAAATCGCATGCTGCAATGTCCGAGTGAGAATTCTGCATCTTTTCTGCAACCCACACAGCCTGACATGCTCCCGCGGTGACCCTCCGTTCCACAAAGGCTCCGGAGCCTCCGCCCAATCGACCGAAGATGCCGCCTCCTCACCAGGAGAATCTGCGCGTCCTCGCCATCATCCTCATAATCTTCTGGCTCACCACGTCCTCGGGCGACGGGCAGGCGGGCTACTTTGCGACTCCCTTCCTGACACAGGAGCGTCTCGCGCGCCAGCGCCACTCGTTCTCCGTCCTGAACTCGACAAAATGGGGCGACTTCAACCCGAGAAAGCTGGGCGACCCGCCGAACGGGACCGAACACACGCGCTACATCAACATTACGGGCTTCAGGCAGGCCGATGGCCTCGATTGGGAAGACTTGGGTCTGTTCAGAGAGCGGTGCTTGGAGACTAGCCGGAGTACAAGCCCTCTGTGGTCGCAACCAAAAGCAGAGGATGGCGAATCTGTCCTTGAAACTAGGGAAGATGGGGTGCTGACGAAGTCAATGTGGGACTCGGCAGGCATCCCGACGTGGTTGAACGCGACTGGGTTGTTGAAGGGTTCTTGGACGCGCAGAGAGATATCTTCTCCCAGGACTTGGTCCGATTATAACTTCACGGCCATGACGCCTGGCGTGAGTTGGAGCGGGACGCACGGCGAGTGGAACAGAAACGTGACGGGCTCTGAAGGAACGATGCAACTACGAGTTGAGGACAAGAAGCGACACATGGAATACGAAGAGAACATCGATGTCAACGATTTCGACGAGCACCATCGGCTCAGCACGGGCGGTTCAGTCCGCGAAGTCGCCGCGGGACTGATCATCGAGGACTCGGGCCATGACGGGAGCGGGAGTATGTACGAGATGAGGTTGCATGGAGTCCACTGGCCGGCGCAGGGAAACATGCTACTGACCACAACGAGCGAGAAGTTTGCGGGTATCTTTGGACTACCCCATCTTACTCCCGACGAAAGTTTCTTCCGTTCGAGCCAGCGACTGCTGAACCAGACCATTCACGACGCCCTCAGCAAGAAGGAACGGTCCTCTTTTGCGGACCAGAGCAACCCTTGGACATCGAGTGTCGGGGGCGTAGAGGATTCGTGGAATCCCTCGCCCCACTGTGAATGGGTTGTCTACCTCCAGGTGCATCCCCTGAGTGGCAACGACCTGCAACACTCCGACAACGAAATAGGCGACATTGTTAAGGAGCTCGAGAATGAGCTGCGATACCCCACTGGGGCTCCAATGCCTCACGTGCCAGAGATGAGGATGTCCGCCGTGGTGTACTCGCCGGACTGTGCCTACTTCCTCGAGTCCAAAGGCCCGCCACACTTCCCCGAGGCGCAGGGAAACCATCTCACCGGCTTCAAAGAGGAGGTGTGGATCTACGATCTGAACTTCTATCTCTTGGTAATGGCTGCCATTGTGTTTGGACAAGTTCACCTGCTCAAGGCCCAGATGAAGGAGTCGTATACTCCGTCAACTATGGGTCGAGTCAGTTTTTGGACGATCATTATGATGGTGCTAGTCGATGGCATGATGTTTACTGTTGCCGCCGCGCTGAGCCTTGACTCTCCATTCTTCCTCCGTGCGTTGGTATTGACATTTGCTCTATTCATGTCCATGATGATTGGGGGCAGCTTCCTGGGTGAGATCTACAAGGTCCAGGAGTCGGAATGGCGGCCCCGAGAGCGCGAGCATACTCCCACCAGCAATACGCCGCGGCCTCCGTCAACACCTGCTGTGACAGAGGACTCTTTACCTCGACCTGTCACTGCGAGTGCTGCTGCGGCTGTCAGCCCTCCGATTATTGTCCCCTTTGACCAAGACGTCGATGCTGAGATTGCCGAGAACACGGCTGCAGGAGCAGCGGCCGTTCCTACCCCAGGCACGACAGCTACGGGGCCCCAGCAGTCGAGAGTGACACCATTCTCAAGCATCATCGGGCGGCTCTTCCTCGCCGGTTCATGCATCAGCTTTCTCTCACTGGCCGCTACGTCGTGGTGGAGGCCGCTCCGGAGTGTGTACGTCAACACCATGGTGTTTGCCTACCTTTCACTCTGGGTCCCTCAGATCATCCGCAACACATACCGCAACAGCCGCCGCGCTTTCTCGTGGCGCTTCATGATCGGCCAGTCGGCCCTGCGGATCCTGCCGGTGGCGTACTTCTACCTGCACAAGCGCAACGTGATATTCGCCGAGACGGACTGGAAGGCATTTTTTGTCCTGGCTGGGTGGCTGTGGTCGCAGCTCTGGGTGCTCGCGTTCCAGGACGTCCTCGGCCCACGCTTCGGCATGCCCAAGGGCTGGATGCCCGAGGCGTGGGATTACCACCCCATCCTGCGCGAGGACAACCTCGAGGCCGGCGGCCTGCCGATCGGGCTCGTGCCGTCTACTTCTACCCCTGGGTCCCCCACCCTGGAGCGCGTACGTTCTCTTAGCTTGAGCAGCGTGGAGGGCAGAGAGAAGAGCTCAACTGCCGTGAAGGGAATGCGCATCCGGGCGATTGAGTGCGCCATCTGCCAGGAGGCCCTGGAGGTGCCGGTCGTCAAGGCTGGGCAGGAGGTCGAGCCTGCCGGCGGCGGTGTTGCCGGTGTGCTAGAGCGGAGGAAGTACATGGTCACGCCGTGTAGGCACATTTTCCACAGCGCGTGTCTGGAAGGGTGGTTGAGATTTAGGCTGCAGTGTCCAAATTGCAGGGAGGAATTGCCCCCGTTATAGACTTTATAGGCGCAAGGGGCATTGTATATATCCCGAATTATTGAATCACTTTTCTCCCAGGCAGCGGCATGTATGTGCTCGCAAGTTGGTCGATGCTCTAAGCTATCCGAGGTTGATCCTGCAATTTGATCCTACAAGTCTGATAGAACAACCCCCGCCCCCGGAAGATACATGCTTACCCCGTCTAAGGCTACAAAGTGCAGGGGCATCAGGCATTAAGACACCATATCACAGCATGGCATCTCCAACAATCATAAGCTTGCCAGTAGAGACGCTGAGCTCGATATTCGGGAATTTCTGTTTGCATTGCTGTCACGGCGACACAGAAGGTCCATTCTCCTACATCCGCACCTCCGAACACTGGCAACAGCTCGCGCACGAGCGCTCCTGGTACCTGGCAGACTACCGTCAGCCTCTGGTGTCCCTGTGCCTGGTATCGAGACGCTTCCGGGACGTTGCCCAGCAGATTCTCCACCATGAGTTCGTGCTCGGGTACGGCGACTCGTGGCGATCGACCTCCTCGTCGTGGGACAGGCGACTAACGTCCTTCCTGCGGACGGTTGGCCGGCGCGCCGATCTGGCGGCTGTAGTAAGGAGGGTGTCCCTGCACCCGAGACTGTTGGAGGCGACGGATCTCAATGATGCCGGGGCTCTCGTGGAGCTTCGGAGCATGCCGTGGCCTCGGTCTTGGGCTTCCGGACAAGGACACGCCGCCACGTTATCAGGGCCGCGTTGGTAGGGTGACTCGCCCACCGGCCGTCCCAGAAGCGGTAGATGTACCGATGCCATCCGAAATTCCTTACCGCATGTTGGGCGTCAAGACTCGCTTGTATAATGTCGACTTATACATTTCTACCGAGAGCTTCCGCGAGAAACACGCGCTTGGTCTCGAGCTCTCGGTGATTTTGATAAGCCGCTTGCCAGATGTCGAGCGCCTGAGCATCCAGCAGACTGTGACCGACTACGACACTCCCTTCCTTTCAGAGCTGCGATCGCTGGATGTGGCTAAACGACCACGCCTTCTCAAGACTCTTGACCTCGCTACGCACGACCACTTGCCAGAACTCATGATCAGGATGCCCTCGCAGGCGGCTGGCGTCTTCGAGCTAGCCAAGCACGCATTGCAGACACTGAACCTCCACATGTGCAGAGGTTTCTGGACCAAGACGGAACACGCACCTACCTTCACTTCACTCAAGACCCTTCGCCTGACCCACAGCCTCCTGATCGGCGCGGAGCTCAAGGTCCTGCTGTCGTGCTGCCCCGCCGGCCTCACCTCCTTCACGTACGAGGCTGCCAAGTCGCACTGGGCTTTCCATGGCTTCGACCAGTTCCAACCATCAGAGGCCATCGAGTACCTGACGGCGCACAGGAGCACGCTTAAGGCCCTGCACCTAGATCTGAGGAACGTTAGCTCCTACCTGTGGGCCCAGCTCGCCGTTCCAGCCAGCCTGGCGGACTTCACCGCGCTGGAGGACCTGTTTCTCAGCGTCAATACGTTCTGGGGGGAGGACTCCACACAGCCTCTCGATGACGCCGACGGCGCGCAGCTCCTCCTCCAGGAGCGACTCCCGGCCAGCACGACATCGCTGGCATTCGCCGGTTTCTCATGGGATCACAAGCGTTTGCAACTGCTTTCTCGCGGGCTCCTCGGCCTCGCGCAGGGTGTAGCCCAGGAAGGGAAGCTCGCCAGGCTGAGGCAGGTCAGGTGTGACGCGGAGTTCGAGGACAGCCTCGGCCGGGGGCTGGGGCCAGCCATCGCCGGCACCTTCCAGGGCGCGGGCGTGAGCTTCGGCTTTGGCAGCTGGCTGCCGAGCCAGGCCACTGTCACCCGGAAAGACGTGCCATCCCCGCTGAGGTGTGACTTGTTGGACGAACATTCTCAAGACTGGGATGAATAGGCGGCAGGCGAGCAGGCAGAGCGCCAGCAGCCAGGGTAATTTATGAGCAGTCGGTGAGGGCACCTCGTATTGAAGAACTTATGCAATACTGTCTTTGAAAACAATTGGCAAAAACGTATAATTGGGTGGAGGATGGTTTTTCAAGACGAAGCAATCGTATATGATCGTTTCTCCTATGTTGCCGCTGATGGCCTTACTCTTCGGCTTCTGACGGTTGATGGCAGACTTCGCGGCCTGATATTATGACAGTAGTAATAACAGAACAAAATATAGAGTTTAAAATGCTGAAGTGATTTGGTACACGGTCAGCCACGTGCAACAAACTAGTCTGCTGGCAACATCCTGCCACGCATCCGGCGGGCCATCCCAGTGTTTCTTTGTACTGACACTTCGTAGTGCCTTTCGGTAAAAGATGACTGCAGCATTTGCGTGTTTTTGTCCTAAGAGAACATACCTACCAACAAATGCGGAAATCACATCTGACAGGCGCTGTATCACTTGGATGATTTCTTCAGACACAGTGTAGATAAATGTTCAAGACTTGGAGTGAGTGGTTCCACTGTTCATGATTCCCTCTTCTAGCTTGTAAATCGGCATCCAGACGGCTGGTAGAGCCATGATGTCATGGCCATTATATTCCGTGGTGGGTCGTGAGTTGGAGCTCTGACCACTGCCTCTTATAACCCCGCAACCACTAGAAGCCGCTGGAAGGTACCTTCTGAGCTAGACGGGGAGAATCCGTTGATCATCCGGCCGAGAAGAACGGGCTGACCGGCGACCAAGCGGCTCTCACCAGCCCACCGCTAACAGTGATTTCGTATGAATGTTCGCAGGTGCAGTTGCATGATGCAGTAGTAGTGTAGCATTGGTTCATCTCAGATTACCATACATATAGACTTTATTTCAAGTTTTGTCCTTCCAGTTGTCGCTCTGCACGGGCAATCTTTGACCGGCCCAGGCCAGTCCAATCCCACGGGCCAAGCGAGATGCATTTCCCTGCCTGAACAGGCTGGGCTTGCTGAAACCGCCCGTCCATGACTGGAAGACCTCGGTCCTGGTGAAAGCTTGACGGATTCGGGACAGCTCTATGAATGCATTGAGGGCGACAAGAGTGTGAAGGTGGACGGCTTGGGCGAGAATAAAGGAGAGGGAGAGGGAAGAGAGACAGAGTGAGGTGATGGGCCGACGTCACAGCCTAGGTCCAGGTGCTTGGAAGGGCATCGAATCTTCTTGAAGCACGTTGAAGCTCTCGCCCGAGCCCCACTCTTCCACCACTGGGGACGCCCTGCCTCTTGATTCTCTTGATTGAATTGGTTCCCAAACGCCCTCGTGCCTTTGACCAACTTTCAATCCTTCGGTCCTATAACTTGGCAATTACACTGCATAACCTCGACTTGACTGCACGACGAAACATCAACGCGAACAATCTTTTGGAAATCGACTGTTCAGAAGTCCAAGACAAAGTCGACTGCAGAGCGACCATCAATCGCTAACCTTGCAACATCAAGTCAACAACACCACGCGACCCGACCTGGCCAATCTGACCCGACTGATTGATTGCCACGAGTCTCGATTGCTTCTCCCATCTCCACCAAGGCCTCGAGCCTGCAAAACATAATCACCCTTTCCTACTTTGAACCGCACCTACATCAAGTTCAATCAACGGGATCGCAACCATGGTCAAAGAAACAAAGCTCTATGACCAGCTCGGCGTCAAGCCTGACGCTACCCAAGATGAAATCAAGAAGGGTTATCGGTAAGTACCATTTCCACCACACCCTGTCAACTGTTATCAGCTGTCCCACCATCACCCCTCCCCCCTCGCTTGACCAAGGAGCATACACAGCTAACCACACGACCTATCATCAGAAAAGCGGCCTTGAAGTACCACCCCGACAAAAACAAGGACAATCCCGATGCCGCCGAGAAATTCAAGGAGTGCTCACAAGCCTACGAGATACTTTCTGATCCAGAAAAGCGCAAAGTTTACGACCAGTATGGCCTCGAATTCTTGCTGCGCGGCGGCGGCGCACCACCACCAGAAGGAGGCAACCCCTTCGCTGGCGGCGGAGGCGGCGGCGTCCCACCAGGCTTCGCGGGCTTCGACTTTGGAGGCGGCGGCGGCGGTGGTACCAAGACCTTCCACTTCAGTACCAACGGAGGAGGCCCTGGCGGATTTAGTTTCTCCAACCCGGACTCCATTTTCGCCGAGTTCATGCGCAGTGGAGGCGGTCCTGGCGCCGGCGGCGGCGACGACGACTTCGGTGACATCTTCAGTGCTTTCGGCGGTGCCGGCCCGCGGGCCAGCCGCGGTGGGCCTCGCATGAGAAGCAGCTTCCCAGATGCCGGCATGGGCGGCGGCCGCAGCGCACGGCAAGCAACGCCCGAAGTGACGACTGTGGAGCGTCCACTGCCTGTGTCTCTAGAGGACATGTTCAAGGGTGTGGAGAAGAAGATGAAGATCAAGGCCAAGAAGTTTGACGAGAACGGCAAGCGAACGACCACCGATCAGATGCTTACCGTGCCCATCAAGGCTGGCCTGAAGAAGGGCAGCAAAATCCGCTTCAAGGGCGTGGGAGACCAGGAGGAGGGTGGTCAGCAGGACCTGTGCTTCGTCATAGAAGAGGTAAGTCAAGCAAATATCTGAGCTGAATTCCTATCGTCTCAGACATGTGGACGGAATGTTAACAACCTACGCAGAAGCCACACCCGATCTACACCCGCGACGGCGACGACCTGATCATGACCGTCGACCTGGAGCTGAAGGAAGCCCTCACAGGCTGGAAGCGCACTGTCACTACGATTGACGGGAGGCAGCTCAGCCTGGATAAGTCCGGCCCTACGCAGCCTGGATCTCAGGACTCTTACCCATCCCTTGGCATGCCCATCTCCAAGAAGCCGGGCCAGCGGGGCAACTTCATCATCAAGTACAACGTCAAGTTCCCCACATCATTGACCGCCGAGCAGAAGGAAGCTCTTAAGGGGATCTTGTAAACTGGTCACGGTGATGATGTGGCACGACTTTGACAATCGTCGAAGAAGTCCCGAAAAGATGGCGAGATTTGTGTGGGAAATTTTGGGCCTTGCACCTGGACAAAGAACGAAGGCGAGTCTTTTCGCTTCAAATAGTGCGAGAAGGGCGCACTCGGCTGTTTAGACCTCGGCAGTAGAGATGTGCCAGGCGCTCACGTCTGAAGTGCCAACGCCTTAGGACTAAGCGCCGACTGCTAATTGGAGCTATCGATCCGCTCCTTCGACAATCGCCTTGTTCGATAGCTCAGAGAGCGGAACGTCCCATGTTCGTGGTACTCTCCGCTCTCCGACTCAAGGCCTCGGAATGGAGGAAATGTATCGGAAGCATATCCATCGTCGTCAGGGGCCGGTCTCGCGCCTGTCGACGAATGGACATTATTGCATGAGAGGATGATAACGGATCATGACCGCATGGAGTTCTGGAGTCCTTTTTGATTTTGTACGACGTCGACTAATTTTGATTCCACCTGACTCTGGCTCACCTTCTCAGGTCTAGGGGAAGAGAGAAGGTCTCTCTGGAAGGTGGTAGTCTATTGTTTTTGCTTTTTCATATACTCTGGGAAGGAGGACCTTCTGGTCCGGGGGCATTGGTGGCTGGGGCGATTCTACACAGCACGAGAGGGCCCCGCGAGTCACCCTTCTGTTGTTCTGCACCTGGTCTAGTCGGCTCTATAGACTTGTAATGTCAGAAATGAAAACATTTGAAGAAAGAAATTGAGTGCGGCGTCACGTGTCCTGCGAGTACCGTGCATCTTGAAGTAATAGCACCAACCAGCTATCAGTGTCACAACATTTCTCCCCCGGCTGGCAACGTAATGTCACAGGTTGCTCCAATGTCTCGCCCAGATTCGGGCGGGTTGGGTTGTTGCGGCAAAGACGTGGTTGGCTCGAGGCCGGCCACGGGGTCGACCACCTCTGGGCCTCCTGGACAGGCCCAACCGAGGACCGTATGCTATGTACAGTAAGATGGAGTGAGCCTGCGGCTGTGAAACACATCCTTCCCATTCCTGGTCAACGTGCCGGCGCCCGTCGTCGTGGAGCACAAGCTGGTCAGCTTTTGCCCTGCTTGGCCTATGGGGTGAGTTGCCCGGGCCGGGGCTGGGCAAATGGGTGAGGCAAAAGGCCGAGGGACAGCCTGCAGTCGAGGTTGAGATTGCGGTTGAGGTTAAGAGTCGCATTGCATCTTGCCCCGGCTGGCTGGCTGGCCTCATGAGGTGTGCGTGTGTGTGACCTGACCTGCATCTGCGCCGGCTGGCTGGCTGGCTGGTTCGGGCTCCTATGTCGGCTCTCAGAGACATTATCTCGGCGAGGCCATCACAAGACTGCTTGCTTGCAGCAGAAAAGCGCTTGCTTCCCGAGACTTCTTCTGGTGTCGTCCGCGGAGCTTGCCAGCGAGTCATGGGACAGGCCAGGGCTTGCTTGTCGGATCGGAGGGCCCACCTTGGGAAAGACGATCGATCTGAGTGCAGGCAGATGGGATACTCCGAGAAATAGTGTAGTATAGCAGAGCTGTCAGGCCATTTCATGGCTATGTGCTCCCAGCTCCCAGCTCCTTGCTCCTTGCTCCTTGCTCCTTGCTGCTGCTCCCTGCCACACGGATTTGGCTCCCGGTATGCGGCCCGTCTCGACGTCGCTTCCCATCAGCACCCAACTGCATTGCATTGGTCTAAATTAATACCGCAGGTGCGACGGTGATGCTGACGCTCGGTGTCGTTGAGTCCCCTGTGAGAGCTTTGCCGTGCCCGTCCCCGCCAATTGCCAGGTCCCGCCAGCGCATGCCCCCAGAAGATGCACCTGCCGCTGGTGCATTGCAGCTGGGTGTCTCCATCCACTGCAGTGTCCACCGGTCCCATCGACCCTTCCCTCATGACGTACCGTCGCAGCATGCCCATGCCCAGAATTAATAGTACCTGCTACGTACCAGCGTACCTACCTTGAACGGGAAGCAGCAGCAGTAGCAGCAGCTCTTGTTTCTTACCCCTCCCCCTCCTTCTGCTGCTCTCCCCCCCTGCCAACTCCCCACCCCATGTCAACAATAAAACCGTTGGCACCCCTCCTTCTCTCACCTCAAAGCTCATCACATCCCTTCCCTTCCTGCCCTTCAACCAGTCTTCTCACAACTGCCTTCAAGTCTCTTTTCGTTCTGTCAGTTCAGACTTAGAATAGAACTCTCCGTCTGTGTTCGAGTCCTCTTTTCTTCTCAAGTCTTAAAAACTTCCCGGCTCCTAGACCATCTAGACAGCTCTACCCAGTCCACCCGTCTCATCTCCCCACCAACAACCAAACAGAATAGAAACACCTGCGCACCGCAGCACCCTTCTCAGCCAACATGTCCGGACAAAAGATCACCACCATCCTGTTCGATTGCGACAACACTCTCGTGCTGTCTGAGGAGCTCGCCTTCGAGGGATGTGCCGACCTCATCAACAAGATCTGCAAGGAGCGCGATGTCAAGATCGAGAAGCCCTTCACCGGCGAGACCCTCATCACTGAGTTCGTAGGCCAGAACTTCCGTGGCATGCTCGTCACCCTGCAGAAGCAGAACAACTTCGAGATTGGCCCGGATGACATGGAGAAGTACGTCGTGGCCGAGGAGGACGTCGTCATCGCCAAGCTCAAGGAGGCACTCAAGCCCTGCCCGGGCGTCGATGCCGAGCTCGAGAAGCTTGCCGCCTCCGGCAAGTACCACCTGGCCGTGGTTTCCTCTTCTGCCCTGCGGCGTGTTAAGGCCTCCATTGAGAAGGTCGGCCAGGACAAGTACTTCGGCAACGACGTCTTCAGCGCCGCGACCTCTCTGCCCAAGCCCACCAGCAAGCCAGACCCTGCCATCTACCTGCACGCCCTGAAGACGCTGGGCAAGACGGCTGCTGAAACCGTCGCGGTCGAGGACTCCAAGTCGGGCACCCTGAGCGGCGCACGTGCCGGCATGAAGGTCATTGGCTACGTGGGCCCCTACGCCGACGACAAGAAGGCCGAGATGGAGAAGGTGCTGCGGGACGCTGGCGCCGTCGTCGTCATGAAGGATTGGAGCGAGTTCCCCGCCATGCTGGAGCAGATCGAGAGCGGCAAGGCATAGATTCATTCGGGATAGAGCGCCCGAGACCTCCTTCTTTTTTTTGGGATTTGTGATTTGTTAAGCGGGATATCAAAAGTGGGCAGCTACGCGATGAGATGGAAAAAAAAAAACGACCTTTGAATTCACGCTTGGTAGATGCTAGTTCGAAGCAAGTACGTCGAGCAAATAAATGATCTACTATATTCAATGGTACCAAGTCGAATCCGTTTGTTGATGACCTCTGTCCCTCGCTTGTCTCTCTCAGTTGTTTGCGGGATGACTTCAAGTGAGATGACCAGTAGGATAGCACCCTGTGGAATAGTCTCCCGTAGGATAGCGCCTTTGAGAATAACCTGCTATGGGATATGGGATAACCTGCCAGGAGATAACCTTCTACGAGATAACCTCTCAGGGGCTAGCCTCCTCTCAGCGGCGGCTTCTCAGCCTCCTTTCTACTAACGACGTGGTAGTGATCTCTCCTCACCATGCAGCCTCCCGTAGGTAGATAGCCGTCTCTACCAGTTCTCTGCGGGTAACTCCCGGCAAATTCTGCGCCGACATTTCTGTTCACCGTCTTTTTCTCTCAGCCCACTTCCTTCTGACAAGCGTGTACCCCATACTTGTTCCTATCACTGACAGACAGCTGAAAGGGAGGCGAACATGAATCAAAGACGTCCCGCACCCACAACAAGTCGCCCTGACACTATACAAATCAACCAGGGCGACAAGGGACTGCTAGCACAGCCCCAGATGCGCTGGAAAAGACATCTACTTCCAGTCCATCAGGAAGCTATTCACGCTCTGCAGCGTCGCCCGGTTGGGGTTCGCGTCCGGCATGGCGGTCATGACGCGGCCCAGCCGGGCGCGGACCAGGTCCTTGGTAAAGGCAGGCCGCTCGACCCGGCCCAAGCCCGCGCCGCGCACGGAGCGCCCGTCGTCGTCGGCGAAGCACCAGCACAGCAGCGCCAGCGCCACGCCCGCGGCCAGGTCGCGGCCGCCGGCCTCGTCAGCGACGAGGATCCGTGGGCGGTGGTGCGCCGCAGCGGCGGGGGGCTGGTACTCGGGATCGGGATCGGACGGTGGTGGCGGCAGCAGCAGGAAGCGGCAGGCGAACTCGCAGATGCGCGGCAGGGCTGTGCGCAGGCTGCGGCTTGCGGCCTTGTGCTTGCCCAGCCCGAGTTCCATGTGTGTCGGGGACTTGGTCCATGTTTCTGGGGGGGTTGGCGTGGAGTGGATTGTGATTGTGCACCAGGTCTGGGACTCGCCTTGGGGGTCTCTCCCTGGGAGCGGGTGTGGGATTGGAAGGGGGCTGACGTGGAGGAAGGGGGTTAGTTGTGTCACTGCTGGTGGGAGGCTGTGGGCGTCGGGGTCTATGCCGTTGGTGGCGGTGGATCCGGGCTGAGGATGTTGGTGGGTGCTGCTCGCCGAGGCGACGAGGGACCGGATCAGCTCCGGGAGGTCGGCCTCGGGCGTCGACAGAAGCTGCTCAGAGTTGTCCCAGAACACTGGCGGCGTCAGGCCTAGGGCCCAGTTCTCTGTGTCGTCCCCGGCGCCCTGGACGTAGCCGCTGTGGCCCGACATCTCGCTGTCTGTGATCCTCCTCGACGAGGTGCAGCAGATGACGGGCCGGAAGGACTCAAAGATCTTCCCGTCGTCGTCTTCACAGTTGAAATGGTGGCTCAGGTCCGTCTCCTGAGTGACCCATGTCGGCCTGATTGGTTTCGAGATCTGGGCTTGCAGTCCGGCCAGGTCTAGGTTGAGTTGCTTGAGGGAGTCGACGAAGCCAGGGACCCGGGACAGCATTTGTGACTTTTCCGAGTCTGAGACCACGTTTGGGGGGACGTAAAGGCCATGCGACTCAGTGAGCTCCGGGAAGAGGGTCCTATTCAGGACGCAGCACCAGATCGGAACGGTCTTGCTGAGTGAGTCTGGCATCCTCTTGCCTCTCCTAGTGGAATCAATAATGATTATTCTGATTATCAAAAACACAGTCAGTAATTGGCGCATCATAGGTTCTTATGAATAGGTTTAGAGCACAATGAGGAATAAGACACATCCAACTCAACTCACCCATCACACTCCTCAATGACCGGCAGCAGATGAAGATTCAACCTCCGCGTTGAGAACTTCCACTGACCGGTATGCCCGTCCGTACTCTTGAAGTACGCGGACGCCCCCTTCAGGCCAGGCCGAATATACCAGCTCCCGCACCGCTCATTGGCGACGAGTGGGCGCCGCCGGGTCTTGCTCACACCATCATCCCCATCCCCGTCACCATCAACACCCACGCCACCAGCGAGGGCGGCGGCAACCTCCTCGACAAAATCCGCATCTTGCTGTATGGACCTCAGGCGGTTCGTGATTGACAAATTCGAGCGCTTGAGGTCCCCGAGGATCTTGTTAATGTTGTTGGTGCTGATACTTGACTCCTGAGACGGGAAGATTATATCGGAGAGTGCTGCCATGTTCTTCTGAGCCGCCTTCAACCTTTTGGTTAGAGAAGCTGGGGGAGCGCGGAAAGAATGTGGTCATTCAGATCTTTTCTAGGGAGACATTGAACAAATTTGGCTTTTACTGCGCCGTCTTTGGCTCTTTAGCTCCTTGGATCTCCCGGCGAGCATATTGAATGTTATGCGAAGTCCCAAATTTGAGTGAATGGGTGCCCCGGACTGACGGTGGGTACAGTAGCCCGGCGCACAATCCGAGTCTGATTGGCTGGCGCATTTTGCTGGCTCACGGATCAGGGAGCTAGACTGTGTGTAATGATCTGCTTAGTTGTTTGGTCCACGTCGAAGAAGCTATGAACTAGAATTGTAAACACTATTTACTCTATGGAGTCTTTTCATCGCCTATCTGCCCACATGCAACCCTAGGTGCATGTTCGAAGGGGTAAATAGTGGGAATATGGGTCGTGAATATATGCTGACTGGCACAACCAGTCTTACAATACAAGTTCGAGATGGACACAAACGTCAAAGAAGACAAAAAATATGCTCGATATGTCTTACTATTTTGCCCAAATAAACACATTGTAGTCTCATCTCGCCGGGCAAATGCTAGCAAGCCTCGCCCTGCCTCGAATTGGAATTGATAGCCACGATTACGCGGACCCTGATGTACTTGTCGGGGGTAGCTTCTCCACAAGGCTGGGCGGGCGATGCCGAGGATCAATACCTTAGGAAACAGAGAAATTGATGATCGCCTACGTACGCAGTGGGAAAATTAGGCTATGAATTGCGACTTAACATGTTTCATTCGGGCCGTCTCTCCCCAGGTTATGTATCACGGCGTATGCAGATGCATGGCTATCTTTGTCGGCTTATGCTCATTAGGCCGGTGAGACGTCAATTCGGTATGGGGACATACATGTGAAGGCCATTGGCATCGAGCATCTACTTCGCTTCAATCTTCGCTTCAAGAGTACCAATGGGGAGAGCAATTGATTTATGAATGTCGCACAACTTCGTTTCTGACACTTTAGCCGCTGGGCCCTTGGCGAGGAAAGAAGCGTCAGGCAAAAATTGCTGATGTGCGGGGCGTAGCTGAAGGTCCGCTGCATGTCGATTGTCAGGACGTCAGCGTGGACAAATGTCTTTGGCGTTCAGCGCAAGCTTCCTTTGCCGACGACTTGGGCACTGGGAGTTGGAGGCTTCATGTCTGGCGTGGATATCATCTGAGCAGACCTCAGATCGCCGGCCTTACGGTTCGTCAAGCCCGCTGACTGCCGGAGGTGAGGCCGTCATCATGAGAGTGGAGCGGTGAGTCGTTGACATCACTAATTCATTCGCGACTCACTCCGAGATCTGTCAGTCTGTCAGTCTGCCTATCTAGTCTTTCAAGGGATATCGATCCTTCTCCATGGCTCGACGAGTGGCTTTGTGGCTTTTCAACGGGGAGCTGCTTTAGCGACGACCCAACACGGCGGTTCCGGGCGCTATTGCGATAGGAACAGGGGCAGCACGAGCCTAATGCTGCACACAGCCTCTGATGCGGAGAGCGGGTGACGGTGCAGGGGTCCTAGTCTTCGGTGGAGAGCTCCAGCTAGCCTGCACGTGCTCGAACCACCTGCTCACCCATCCGCCTTGACTTTGAGGCAGCGAGGTTTCATGGTAGGTCTGGTCTCCACCGACAGGCAGTCGGGCATCCCACCACTTCCACCGAGATCGTGGCGCAGGTTGGTTGGTGCCTGTGATGCTTGTGCTGCGACTCTCGGAGAGATTTTCGAAATTGCCGATAGCACACAATCGGTTAGCGATGCGTGCAGATGCGACCGTACTTGCTCGTCGTGCCCGCTCTCGTGATCGTTCAACCCGGGTTTGTCTTCAACAGCATGATCCTCATGTGGCGCTGGGAATCTTTCAAGTGCCTCGACAGCCCGAAGAGACGGAGCACAGATCCGACTTCTAGCATGAACAGCCTGTGGAACGCTGGATACATTGATGATCGTGGCAGAGTTGAGGACGGCTCTGACATCTTCAGGCCGAACGTCGACGCGGAAGCAATGCCATCCCGGGTGTTCTCTTCATCCTCGGTGGACGACTCCAGGGCGACCCGAAGCAAGGTCCAGGTCGTAGGAATAAACCGAAAAGTCCACGGGCTCTTGATACCCTGATTGGGAGGGAAACGGCGGAAAGAGATGCTAGTGGCTACAATCTTTAGTCCCGCTTGCAGTGCCGGCACCGCCTCCTCGCGAATCAGGGCCTGTTTCTGGACATAGGGCTGACGGTGGCCCAGTTGGGAAAAGGCTCATCTCGGCCGTAGGGATGAGCGTCCGGGGAGGCGCCTTTGTTTGCCAGACTGCCAGATGAACACGATCAAAAGGGCCTGTTCCCAGGCAGGACCACGATTGGCTCGAGGCTTAGATGCAGGTGCCGTAAGAGGTGAAAGGACCCAATGGATTCAGATGCTGTAGGGCCCCATTGCATGAAGGGTGGGCATGGCATGACTCTCGATTTCCTGTAGGGCTGAGATGGTGGGTGCCCCCGAGATGACCTACTGTGGTACTCGATACGCCCCAGGTTACTTTCTTGTCTTGAGCGATGCCACCAACTCTGGAGAGGCGAACATGATGGATGGCTCTCTCCCTCGCCCATTGATTCTGTTGCTCGCAACTAGCAGCCACTATTTCGGTCACCGGTCAACGGGGCATTGTATGCAGACTCCAACCTCTATTACTCTTATAGAATTGTTAAAAAAGCAGAGCTGCAGGTGTAGCCCGCCATTGGATACCTTGATCATCCGTCCGATGACAAAGGTCAGGTCAGAGATGGCGCTGTATCTGTACCCATACCAGTGAAATTCGTGGGCTGCTCTGCTTTCTCATGCGGTGACACCCTGCTACCGGACATTGGGACGACTACAGATGGGCTGCAGACAGGACCCAGGAAGTCCAAACGATTTGCATTGCCGTTCTCGTTCTCGTTCATTTGACAAGCCAAGTCATCGGGTCGTTGCAGTATGCCGAGGTAGACAGCCAGCCACGTCTGGATGGCTTGCAGATGTCTGGGATGACGGCGCCGTCTTGGTGGACCTTGTGCCGTGTGCCGTGTGTGGCATGTCTGTGCAGAGTTGGGATGGACAAAGATATCAATAGACAGGCATACAGGACAAGTTTGTAATACTCTTGGTAATAACTTGCGGTGTGCGTTGCCAGCAACTGGTGGGACATGGCACCGTACGTACAGTAGTGATTGATGATGGTGGTGTCCATCCAGGTCGTCGATGTGGGATGTGTTGATGATGGCATGCGCATGCGGGCGGATGAGAACCGGGGAAGGACCTTACAGGGCCAGGGTGCCTGCGTGGGAGGGGTGCCAGGGCACTGGGCACTCCTGGCACTGGGCGGTGGGCGGCAGGGGACTTGCCCCGGTCGAGCACAGCCCGAAGTAAGACATTGCTCGGTGACAAGGTACCCCCCAAGTGGTAAGCTTCCAGTGCTGGCTCCACCGGCGCAAGCTAATGGCTGGGAGCTACCAAAGTACCATCTCATGATCGATGTACCCGTGTGTCCCATCCCTGCAGGCCTCTCAACAGACGAGAGACGTTGGTTGTTGCCTTCGCAGACTGGCAGAATTTTCCTCACACCCAGACAGACACTGCCCGAGTCTGGAGTACCTCAGATCAAGCTCGTGACATGCGATCCACACGATCCACACGATTCCCACTCAAACCAGGCTGCCTCTCTGGACATGCAGCATCAAACACCAAGCACCCAGCATCGTCATGCAGTATGATCCCCTCCCCTTTCTGGCCAAGATAGGTCGGCGCATGCATGCAGGCTGGTTAGGGCGGGTAGTGTGAGTGTGGGTGGAGGGACCGAGGGGGGGGGGCCACCAAAGCAAAGCAACAGAACGCGGCAGCTTGATGACCATGACCTTGACCGTGACAATGACAATCGCCGACAGGTCGTACCGTACCATCCATTGCCATACGCCATACGCACGCATGCACGCCCGCTCGCCCGCACGTTGACGCAGCCACGGGCCTAGATATTGCACAGCTCACACAGGTCGCGATCTATGCCCATCTGTCTCATCTATTTCTACTTTACAGGCGCCCAGCCCTGCAGCAGCAGCAGCAACAGCAGCAGCAGCCCCCCACCCCAAACCTTCGAGACAACCGAGACATACACGCACACACGCAGACTCACACTCACACCTGATACATATCTAGTCCTAGTTCTGGCCCAGGTATATATCCCTTTCCAGCCGCCCTAGCTCTCTCTGTCTGCCCCTTCACTACCAGGACCCGACCCCAAGGTTTCTCGATCAAAGTTGCCTTTCTAATCCTCGGCCCTCCAATAGTTGCTGACGTCCCACGTGGTCGCAAGAAGCACCATCCTCGGCTGGTTCGCTCCATCATTTCAACGCCATCCTCCCCCCATTCCTTCGTTCGTTCGATCGTCCATTCCCGACTCCGACCGCACGAGCCTGCTGTTCACCAGTAGCCAGCCAGCACACACTCTCTCCCACTCTCTTCTCGCGGTAGCTGAGCGCCGACGCGTCAATCGCCGTTGTGCTACGGTGTTGTGGAGAGACCCGCTAGCTCTCCCAGCTTGACAGCTCCTCTGTTCCCTGCCATCTTCCCGCCCCGTCCCCCGTCCCCGTCCCCTCAACGCCGGCCTAGAGCTTGGCCGCCTCGACTGGTGCCTTCGCCGCCCGCCCAGCCACAGCAACTCATTTGCTCAGTGTGACGCTCACGTCGTTCGTGTCGCCCACGCGGCAGCATCCTCCCTCCTGTTCAACCATCTATCTCAGCACCGCCCAGTCTCGGGCAGGTTGCACCGACGACCGAAGCGCTGTTCTCCTCGTCCCGTCTCTCTCTCGGTTTTCCGACCCTGATCGTCTCAAGTGACGCAGGAATCAGAAGCAAAGGAGGTGCGCCAACCGGTTGCCTTTTTCCCTATCAAGTGGCCTCAGACTAAAAATGCCGTCTTGATGTGACGTTCCTAGCCTCTGGCAGCTGTGTAGCTCCAGCTCGCATGAGCAAGCCTGTCCACCTAATTCGCTGCAGCACAACCAGCCATTTCATGTATTAAAACCCCCCTGGCCGCTCCCTTGCCTGTCCAGAGGCTGGGCCACCACTCCGACCGACCTGTTCGCCCATCGCATAACCACGCCGTTAGCCGCCCCACCACATCGGCCTTGGGGAGCTGCCTTTTCGGGGGAGACGATCCTACGAACGCCTCAACCCCACAGCGAACGAAGCTACGCTCTGAGACGAACCTTCGAGAGCGCATTCATTTCCTCCCCGTCCCTTGGAACTATCTCGACAGCTTTCTCTGTCTGCTAATTTGCTCACTTCCCGCCATTGCATGGCTGTAATGGCAATTGCTTACTACGCCGGCTGGTCAACCCTCGGTCCGTCTCTTCATCATGGCGCCCGGAACTAATCCGCGCAACGGCCCTCCATCCCCGGCCCTTACCGCGACGTCCTCAGCCTCCAACACAACGTCCTCAACCTCCAACGCAGCTTCCTTAACCTCCAACACAACGTACTCAACCTCCAGCGACCCGCCAAAGCAGAGGCGCGCGAGGACAAGCAAGCCCAAAGTCAAGACTGGCTGCAACAACTGCAAGTGAGTCTCTTCCCACCCGCCGTTCTCTCGAGCGACATAGATGCCTTTTTTGCGCATTCTTCCTTGACGACTCACTACCTGCTGGCATTGGACACGCGCTAACATCACAAACCTGTGCAGACAGCGGAGGATAAAATGCGACGAGAAACGGCCGGCCTGCACGCAATGTGTGCGCTCCAAAAAGGATTGTTCTGGTTATCCACCTCCTCCTCGGAGCGCGCGACCATTCGAGGAGGTGCGCATTGCCCCCAGACCGCGACCTGAAGGAACGCAATCTCTTGTGGCCGCTGCACCAGCAGTCCAACCCCTTCAGCCCGCTCAGCCCACACAGCCTCCCTCTCGACGTCTCACTAAAATTCATCACCGATACACGCCCCCTCAGACACCCGTTGTGCAGCAAAATTCAATGACCCTCTACAGGCCCTCGACTGCCCCATTCCCTGAGCAGGATGGCCTTTATTTCCAGCTGTTTCAGGCCCACACTGCCAACGAGTTGTCTGGCTATTTCGATTCCACTTTTTGGTCACGCCTAGTTTTGCAGGAGTGTCACTCCGAAGCTGCTGTACGCCATGCTGTCGTGGCGCTGGGCGCCTTGTACAAAACGTTAGAGAAGCATTGTGAGTCTCCGCCAAGCTCGCCGGCGGCAGCAGCAGTCGTTGCCGTTGACAGCGCGTGGCAACATTGGGAGGTGGCAGTCCGTTCATATTCCAATGCCCTCACGGCTTTGTTTAGCGTCGATGGGCAGGACAGCACCGCCAACAGGACACGTCTCATGGCCAGTGTTTTGTTGGCATGCTTCGACTCCTTCATAGGTGATCACAAACAGGCCATCAAACAAATCCAGATGGGTTTAGGTCTCTTGGAGCAGTTACGTGCACAAAGAAGGCGTGCTTTTCTTTCGAGACCAGAAGAGCCTGTCGAAGACGAAATCATTCAAATGTTCACTCGGTTGGCGATACAAGCCAAGTCATACGACATGGCCTTCCACTTCCCGAAACCATACGTCATTCAGCTAATACAACCTTCCACGGATCCGTCTTCGCCTTCATCGGAGGGGGGCTCACCTTTGTCCTTGCATCAAGACCCTATTCCCGACCAATTTGACTCGCTCCATGAGGCACGGATCGCGTGGGATACACTGTGTGAGCAGATGTTCAGATTTACCGAAAGGCTCTTCGCGCAGGCCAGCCAGGACGGCCCAATGGGAGTCCTGCCTGCAAGTTTGCGACAGTACGGGCTGTCTTTCAGAGGTCGCATAGAGGCTTGGGCGGATGCATTTGAGCACATCTTGAGCGCGAGATCCTCCCCAGGCGTCAGCAGCCAGGAGAAAGCGGCTATCGCTGTTCTCAAAATGTTTCAGATCATGGGTCAGGTTCTTTTCCTCATGACATTCAGCGACAGCGAGCAGCACTTTGACGTGTTCCAGCCTCAGTTCAAAACGATAGTCGACCTTGGTCTTGAGGTAGTGGGAGACGAAGAGCGACGAGCAGCGGAAAAGAGATGCCCCGATCCTCGAACATGCCACCATCACAATTCTCATGAGCCAGACATTTTTGGCGGACAGTCGTACATGGCCAACCATATCAAACCGAGCTTCAGCGCTGATCTCGGCATTGTGCCGCCGCTCTATGTTGTGGCGACCAAATGCCGCAATCCGGTCCTCAGGAGACAGGCTATTCAGCTGCTGCGTAGCAGCTCCAGGAGAGAAGGCATGTGGGACAGCGAGCTTACGGCTCGAATTGGCATGTGGATCATGGACATCGAAGAGGAAGAAGAGCATCCCATCATGACCCCTGGTCGGAGCCCTGCAGACTCGTTCTCAGACGCAAGTGGACTATCTCCTCAAGCCTCGAGCACCAACGGCATGTCGCCCAAACCCCGACATGCCAACGGCTCAGTCGAGCTAGGTGAAAATCTCGGCCCTGGTGGCAATGCACGCTGGGATATGCGGCGCGCATCAACAGCAAGTTCTGCAACCCCCCAGAGGACCGTTCCCGAGAACAAGCGGGTCATGGTTAAGGCCGTCGAGTTCGACCTCAAGAAGCACAGCGCCGTCCTGCAGTGTGGCAGCAGGAGCACTGCTGCCGGAAGCCCCGACTTGAAAACCCGTGTGACTCAAATTAATTGGTGAAGGGTACCCAGATAGATCAGTGATCCTGTCTAATCCTGCCTGTGTGCCTACTTGTTGATACTATCTCATTTGCATTTGAATATATACCCCAAGGAAAAAGCAGAGAGTTGATATCTCGGTATAGTTATTCTGCTGGTGACGGAAGAACTGAAATGGGAAGAGCGATTTTGGCTTGGTATGAAGAATTCAAAGAGCTACTCACTTAGTACATGTATGCAAGACATAGTGTGCCATACAGTCGATCAAGAAGAAAGTCTTATGGCACTCTCTTTGAGAGGAGGTGTTGACTCCGGCAACGTACACAGGATGTCGTGCTCTAGAGGCCGAGACGAGGGTCCGAGGCTGGGGCCTCGCTCCCAGGTTGTTCGAGCTATAGCTCAGATGGTTTCGACTGAGCAGATGAGAATAAACATTGTTGATCATTGCATCTTAGTCCAAGACTTGCCTTACTGTTCTTGTGTTCTCAACGTCTCATGGCCCGAAAATGACTCGGATGGTGACGGCTACCAGCTTCCCACAGGAGGCTCCGGATCCCGGGTGGCACGGCGGGACGAGATCAGGCCCGGCTCCGCTCGGCTGCGCCAGATCTGCGAGCTTTGACTACTACAGTTCTTGGAATTATCCACATAAACTCCAGTCTGCCCAGCTCCTCCGGCACTTCCATGCCCCCCAGTCTGCTGCAAGCAATCCGGCCCTGATTCGGGGCTGTTAGGTGGTAATTCTTGCCGCACCCCCTGCCGGCCCGGCTACGCAGGATGCAGAGCGGGATCCATAGATACGTACGTGCCGAGAGGATTGGAGGCTTGGCGCTCAGGTTTATCTGATTAGTCACCTCTCTCTTTCACGATCTCGGATCGCTCCGGTCTTTTTGTCCACTGCTGATGCTGCGATAAGGAACCTCCGGTCTGAGGACATCTCCGGCCGGCCTGATATCTCGTGTGCCTGGATCTTTGTCCTGGGGCGACCCTGAGTGAAAACCCACGTGTTCTGGGATTCACCCTCGACGATGGGCTCGCCCGTTCCGTACGCCGGCCCTTCCCACACGCGTATCCATGGCCGACGCAAAATTGCGAATTACTTTTACTAAATAACAATCTGAAATCCTTGTTCTTGACCCTTGGAAAGACTCATGTCGAAGAGGGTGCGGGCACGATCGCTACTTTGTAGGGGTAAGAGGAGTGGTGATTTTCATGCCCACGATGGTGCAAAGATCCATGCAGATGGGTTTGTGGGGATAAAGGCAGTTTTGTAGGGGTAATAGAGTCGGCAGTATTACTATCCGCAAGGGTAGTAAGAACTAGAGGTGATAGGATTGTAGGTACGTTAGTAGTTTTGTAGGGGTAATAAGTTTGGCAGCGTTATTGTTTGGACTAGTCTAAAAACTAATGTCGATAGGATTTGTGGGTACAATTGTGGTTTTGTAGGGGTAATAGGAGCGCGGGCTTGACGGCTGTGGGTGGGTGAGGCTGACGGCCAAGCGTGCTAGGAACAGGCGGTATGTGTCTGCGTCGTGATGCGGTTATCTTTGGCTGGAGGATTCGGTGATAACGATCGTCGATGCATCTCCGGCAGCATGGATATATAAAGGCCCAGGACTTTGGGTAACAATGGCAATGATGAAAGCATACTCCGTTCTTAGGAAGTACGCCTGATCTGTATCCAATCCGGGACAATAGCTATCCCTTGTCAATTGTAACTTTGCTCGTCTACAGCAAAGATGCTCCAAAGCCTTGTCAGCATGGCCTCCTTCGGGGCCATGGCCCTCGCTGCCCCTGCGGCACACAATGTTGGGCCCGCACCGCTGCCTCCCCTCTTTCAGCTTTCCAAAAGAGACACAGGCTACAATGCCAGCCTCCCTAATGTCACTATCTTCGCAACAGGTGGTACAATCGCCGGCAGCGCGAACTCCCAGTCGCAGACAACAGGGTACCAAGCCGGCGCGCTGGGCGTCGACGTGCTCATCGACGCGGTTCCCGAGCTGAAAAATGTCTCCAATGTCAAAGGCGTACAGGTTGCCAACGTCGGCAGCGAGGAAATAACGGACTCGATCCTGCTCAACATGACGCAGCAGATTCAGGCCACACTGGACGACCCGGCCTGCCAGGGTGTGGTGGTGACCCACGGCACCGACACACTGGAGGAGACGGCCTTCTTCCTCGACCTGACCATCAACAGCACAAAGCCCATTGTCATCGTGGGCGCTATGCGGCCTGCCACTGCTATCAGCGCCGATGGGCCCATCAATCTCCTCGCGGCTGTCACGCTGGCCGGCAGCGAGGCCGCGAAGGGCCGAGGCGCCATGGTCGTGCTCAACGACCGTATCCTCAGCGCGTGGTACGGCGGCAAGACCAATGCTAACGCCGTGGACACTTTCAAAGCCTACGAGGCTGGGTTTTTGGGTTTCTTTATCAATATCAAGCCTGTCTTTTACTACGCGCCATCCACACCCATTGGCAAGGCTCACTTCGATGTCACGGGCACCAGCGAGCTGCCGCGAGTGGAAGTGCTCTACGGGTACCAGGGCCTAGACGCCACCCTCGCCACCGCTGCAGTGGAGAACGGCGCCAAAGGGCTGGTCCTGGCTGGCATGGGGGCCGGCGGGTGGACAGAGGATGGGGAAGATGTTATCGAGGGCCTGATTTCTGACAATGGCACTCAGGTCGTTGTCTCTCGGAGGACAATGGACGGGTATGTGGAGCCCCAGGACATGGATGGCATGTATGGTGGTGGCTTCCTAAACCCGCAGAAGGCGAGGGTTTTACTGAAGCTGGCTATCAATGCTGGTTATACAAATGAGGAGATGAAGGCTGTTTTTGAGTATGACGGCTGAACGAGAGATCGCGCGGAACATTTATATTTAGTATAATATAATAATAATAAGACTCCCCAATAATTTCTCAACTAGGCCCGTGTTACCCAGCTTATTTTTCAGCTTGATAACAGGCTCTGAAAGTTCATACTTTGTCAGTTGAGCATTACGGAATCGGTGGTTTGATTGTTTATACACTATGGGCTACCTATTGAACGTCATGTCTTAAAAATAGCCCATTGAGGTATGCTCATGAACCTTTAGAGTTCCAACTAGAAATTCACTGTGCTATGATTGCCCAGATATCTAATGATGTATTAGGATTCATACATGACCTATATACGGTTATGTATGGTGGTTAGCTATAGTATAACCAAATTTAGGTTTCCAAGATTGTTTCATTAGCCAAGAGCTAGTCGGACTCCATCGCATTTGGCTTCTGGACTCAGTCTTCGGGTGTTAAACACTTCAGAAGTCCACAATGTCATCAATAATCCCTCAATTAGATCAAGAGATTCGAAAAGCATTCCAGCCCAGATTTGAGTATGGGTATCTGCTGCAATAGAGGATTTCAGCGTGTCTTCAGCCCTACTGCAGCAGAGGGATGGTGGCTGATCAGATCAGATCAGATACGATGAGATTATTTAGATTAGATAAGGCGATTGCACGAGCCACAAGACTGCAATCAAAATAGCAGGTGCCCTGCAACTGCAGCTTAGATTTTTCTTCTTTCTACGCTATTATAAGAAATACAAATAGTTCGCATCATTCGCACCCTCCGCACGCTTGGCCAGTCCCGGCAATTCAGTGCTCAGTTGCTGTTGGAGTGTCTGTATACAAGCAAACAACTTTCCGGACAATTCTCGGTAGCTCAAGTAACATGACGATAACCTGGGGTCGACAAAGGCTGGATATTGACAATTTATTCTATTTTATCTTGAAATCTTGTCTTCAAGGCCATCGCGTAGCTCCAATTTGGCTTCGCAGGCTCTTGGGGTCGCTATGCTACAAAGCCGTCAACAAACCAATAATGTGATGCCTCAGGAGCGGTACTACATCAGAACAAAAGTAAGTTGACCTAGGTACCGTCTAGGGATCAAGGGGGTGGGTCAGGTGAAGTATGTTCACAATTATCTTCAGTGCCACCATCCCCACCAGAGGCGACCATGTAGGAATCAATTGTATTCCAGTCAGCGGTGTTGCACTCCGTCCCATAGCCCTCGAGACCCTCACAGCCTTCCAACGTGGTCTTATCTTTGCAACATGGAAGTAGACAGCACCTTCACCTTAAACGGGTGCATTATGGATGGTGGTACCAGGTGGGTAAGGAACCGACTTCCGGTACTTCTCGGAGGTGGTGTCCGGTTGGGGGAGTGGGTCAATAACGCGACTTCGCCCTTGTTGAGCTCCATCTGCCATAGCCTTCGTGGGTCCAGCTTCGTGGCTACGACAATGGAATGTCTTGGCATCATCGAGGCGAGCATTGTGATCGCCAGCAAAGAGCCGAGTTCATGGCTGAAGGATTGCGTTTAGGTAAAAAGGATTGTGTTCGCGTGAGAAGTTGCGTGCTCTTGGAAGACAATAGGAAGAGTCAAGGTTGAAGTCCTATCTATATAAAGGCCCTCATGACCAGCCAATGTTTGTCTGCTAAGACGTTCACCATCAGCATCAGACTCCTGCTCTCACTCGTCAGTCAAATCATCATCAGAACCAGCTTCTCGAAGAAACCTCAATTGCAATCATGTACTTCGCCGAGGTGAGCCTTGTACTTTATCCGTCAGTTCCACGCACCCGAATAATTAACACAATGACACAGATCTTGAGCGCCATGGCCCTCGCCATCTTGGGAACCAACGCCGCTGTGGCAGGCCAACCCAAGTCCGGCCTTGACGAGCGTGCTTGCTTCTGCAAGTAGGTCTTCAAAGCTCTAGCTCCTCGATTGTTCTTATATATCTGGACACGGCTGACAATTCTGACTAGCTACGGAGATGGCACCTACTTTGACTGCGTTTCGAAGGCTGAGGCAGACTGCACCTACAGCTGCTCGCCTGAGCAGGCCACCAGCGAGGCAGCCTATGCTATTTGCCTCAACGACTGCACTAACTCGGCCCAGGGTATTAACTGCTGCGGGTGTGGCGATGCATAAGGGATACGGTAAATGGGGGTCTCGCATGTCAATAGAAACGGTGCCCTCTGGGCCCTTCTGTGTTCAGAATTCTAGCTACCACGCCCAGTTCGAATACAAACATTGCACATGTTGATCAGTCTCAGTCGCCCTTCCACAGTGGGTGTTAAAGGTCGATTTTGTGGTTCAAGGGCGATGAAGACAATACTTCTAAGTTTTGAAAACGATGAGCACCTTGCCTACTATATACTCTCATCGAAGCGAAAGTCCCATCCCTTAAAAGAGTTGTTTCGCTAAATGAAAATTGACTCGACTAATACTTTCCAATGAAGCTAGCCTTTTCACAACCCAGGTCATGTGTTGCAAGTCTGGCATGAAATATCAGACCGTCGCCATGGACGCACACGCCAACAACCCGAGCTGGAATCTGACCCTCGATGTGTCTCGGAATAAGTATCATTAGACAGAGAAACCTGCCCAGCGTCCGCGGGCAAATAGAAATCTCCGTTTGTCACGTATAAATTGCCCTTGCAACTCGTATACCCTACCCATACTGTAAAAGTCGACATAGCAGGTTCTAAATACTTGCTGTTTTGGCCCTAACATGGCGTGTTGGCCCAATTCGGAATGTCGCCCAAAAATTGAATGTTGAACTTGATATGGCTTGTGAGAAGGAAAGAGCCTACCACCCAGATGTATAAAGAGATTTATGGTAAGTCCGGAGCCTTCATACTTGAATATTTCTGTTCGAAATGAAGGTTGAGATACTATGTCGAACGGTGTCTGTCTAAGCTCCCAAGTCCGCAGCTTGAGTGGTTATGGAGTTCAACATGATGAATCTACTTCTTTCAACTCTTCTACCGTATTCCTTCCACTTCTCCCTCTTAACGGTTTTCATAATCGAGATGAAGCAAGTACGCATTCAGGTCTTGCCGAGCAACGCTGTCGGTTTTCGGTGTGGAATGTCGGAGCAGCATTCCAACATGGCAAGTTGAAGTCACATTCCGTAATGATTTGTTGAACCGGTAGGTTACACCATTTCTTGGGGATTGGCGACCGCTTTTTCGCACCACATAATTTCTCACATCCCCGGTATGTACGGTACTTTGTTGATGACCACCTAGGAGCGTCACTGCGAATCAGCTCTGTCCTGGCCTTGGCATATGGCACGCGGATATCAATATTGGTTTTGGTTGAGTACATTGCACAACTAATCCGGACAAGTGGCGCTCGCTTAGAAGAGGTGATGGAATCCAAAATATTAAAAACGGATGAGCGGCGCTCCTAGTGGGAGGCTCTGACTAAGTCAACCAGCACAAGGTCCAAGTCCAGGAATGATCATGCGCGCCGTGACGGAAAAAGGTGTATGTGAATGCTGTCTATAAATTGTCTGCATTCAGTCGATTGAAAGAGCGACAGAGATTAAGAAATCCAAAGATTCTCCTCACCGAAAGCCTAGTCCAACTTTAAGATGGCCGCCGTGCAAGTCAGCCAAGCCGAAGCCGAAGAATACTTCAAAGAGGCTCTAGGTACACTGGCCTGGTGGACTAATCAGAGCGACCTCGCCGACTCACTGATCAAACTTCCTGAAGACCCTCGTTTCCAAACCAATCCATTCAGCGACGACGAAGTGCGAGACATCATTCGCAGCCTCACCCCCACCCTCTTCAACGCCATTGGAGTCTCTGTCTTCGTGTATCCCTATGAGCGCTACAAGAAGAAATACTTCGCGGCACGCGGTACTGTCGACGGCGCCAGCCGCGCCTTCGCTGCCGCGACGTGGTCAACCCAGGCCGCCTTTGCAGCGAGATTCCCGCAGAGCACCGTGCAAGTCTGGAATGCGCCGGGAGCTGGTGCAAGCTGGGCCGCAGATTGTGTCAGGAACTCTTTTGCTCATGCGCAGAGCAGTCTTGTGAAGGTCAATAACGGGACAAAATTGGAAATCTGGAATTCGCAAACTGGCGAGAGGGCAACGGCTAATTTCCGGGTGCTGATGGATCCGAACGACTTTTTGCTGTTGGTGAAGGATTGGACGGAAGCTTTTTTGCTGAACGCTACAGCGTTGAACCATTTGGAACCATTGCAGAAGTTGCTGACACAATTGCTTTAGAAATCATCGTTGGAGACTGGGAGGCTTCGGTAATTAAGAACGTACTTAACTCAAAGCTAGCTTAATCTCATAAGTCTACATGGCGTCCATGTCCGGCAGATATAAGTTTTCATCTCTAGGGCTGGCGGTAGGAACTACTCTCTATGTATAGCACGATGGCGATGGACCTAATCATTGGAACCGCAAGGGTACAGAGCAGTGATAGACTTGAAGTGGAAAACGGTCATTTTCAGTAAGAAATAGCTCGATTAGCGCGCGACACGAAGTAATGTCACGGAAGTAAGCTGGGAGCAAAATAGAATTTTTTATTATTCCATCTTCGTTGTGAATCTGGCTCCAAATTCGCAATATATGAAAATGTTGTTCTCCTTCGTTAAAAGTAGTATGAAGAGGAATGAACAGCCCTCAACATTGATCATTCCTCATTCTGCCCCAGTGGGCTCCTCTATGGCATTTCGGTGGATGCTACAACGGGATGATCACCTTTTGGTCAGTCCTTGGCTGGATGACCAATCGTAGGATAGCTTCAAGTGAGATTTACATTACACAGGTGTGCTATTATTGTTCCATTACTTTGACAGTCTGGGATACCGATGCTATATGCCACCATCCCTGCCTACGTACGCATCTGTGCCGTACGAATGTTCAGCAGGCACAAGAGCATCTAAAGGCCGCAATGTGACAGCCTAAACATTCGCAACATATTTGCACGATTTTCGCCGTCACATTGCGTTGACAAGACTTTGATGTCTGAAGACCACTGTGTCTCGGTCATTGTCTCGAGGAAGGCAGCCTTTGGGTGTGCCTGCATAATGTCTTGCATTTCATGTCTTGTAATAAAGATGCGATACATCATGTTCGCCGATGTATTCTGGAGTCGTCCATACTTGTTTTAACATTGGTCTGCCGAGGAGGCTTACATCGAAGGAGTAGGCTCCATATCTAGTATTTGACCTTCCACTTTGTTCACAGTTTCGCTCTTTGTCTTCAGTATACTCGGTGATTAAGTCGTCTGCCTTGCTCACAAACCCGAGATCTCGGCCGGTTCAATGCGTTGTATAAGTAGGTTAGGTCTCTCTATTACCAAGTCACCGAACACCAGTTATAATGCCAGCCGACCAGTTATCGCGCGTTCAATTCATTATTGTCTTCTACAATCGTTCTTGAGAAAGTCATCTTGATGGACCTGAGATTCTGCTGAAATCATCATGTCCAAGAACAAAAATCGAGGCGGCCCACGCAAGCCACGGCATGCGAATAACTTCTCGAGCGATATCGAAATGAAAGACCCTGAGCCCTTGGGCAAAGAGCGCATCAAGTCAAAACCTAAGAATTCTAGTCTGGCGGCTAAGAACAGCTGCGATAGACGAGGCCGAGTCGGCAAGCACTCGGCTTCACCACCGGCATTTCTCGCCGGCCTCCGCAGCAAACCACAGAAAGGCGGTGCCGACGGCCTAGACAGATGGGGACCGAGAAACAACAGCGTGACAATGCTCGCGCCCCGATCCAGGACGGTAAACCGGCGATTGAGTATCATCTCTACGGCATCTACAACGCTCTCGGCACAGCAAGCAGGGCCATGGTGCGACAAGTGTGCAAGCCTGAACCGCCGACTCCACGGCTATCTGCTCGAGATCCTGAAGAGCGGAGAGGACGCCGTCGACGAGTGGGCTTATGCGGTTGGCGCATCGCCGGATCAAATGGAATGTGAGCCAGCGCCGGAGAGGATCATCCCGGAGGGTTTCCGGCGGTGCAGTCGACAATATCAGCTGTGTGCTGCGAAGCCCGAGTGCGATGCGGCAACAGCCATGCCCCCTGTGCCACCCGGGTGGTCTAGCACTGCATATTGGGGTGCAAATCCAAGTCAGTCTCAGTATGCATCTGATCAGAGGCAGGCTGTGATGAGCCCATACTCTGACGTCGGCTCAGGAGTCGGCTTCGTCCAGCGCACACACCAGCCGATCCTTCCTCCTCCCGCAGGTATCGCCCTTCAAAACCGTCACACTCTTGTTTCAATCCCCGAGCACGCGAATTCGCAGCCTCGGTGGCCTGGCTCGTCATCTCAGACACCACTGCCAGGTCCACAGACGCTTCTGCCGCCATGGAACGTCGAATCTCAACGAAGTTTGGCCGTCTATCCTGGCTACGGCCCAGCGCACAACTCGCTCTCTCAATTGGCGCATCAGCAATCCCATATGCCCATTGTTTCGTCCGACCACATCCATCAGCAGAGCATAGGAGTAACACGGGGTTCACCAAAGCTTGCCAACGGACAGGTCCAGTCAACCCTTACGGCCATCGTCGATTCGTCTTCTTACAACGAGGCTCTGCGTGCCATTGGTCAGGGCCGGACACTCCTCTGGGAGCAAGACACGTCGGATTCCGAGATTCCAGAGTAGCAGACGGTGAGACAGCCCCTGATGGAGGGATGCCTCAAAGCGCCAGCCTTGAACATGGGACCGTCCTGATGCTCACAGGGTGGATTGTGAGGCAGCAAGCGAGGTGCTGCCAGAGCATAGCGTCAATGATGGTGAATAATGTTACGCGAGCATTTTCGAGAAGAAATGCATCATATGGTCGAAGGGACTAGCGACTGGTGTGAAGGAGAGCACAGAATCTTGATCTCGGGGAGATCTGGTTTAGCAGAGATGTATGCTCGGGTCAGCTGTACCACGTTGGCCGGCTCCTGCACATGGCGACTGCTCTTATTCGAGCTCCGGCTTGATCATCTTGATGACAGGCGTCCAGGGGAAAGAAACGAATGAGCTGAGGGATTAGATGGAGGACCTCCAACCCAAAATATAACGATGGACATCGTCGAGCATACGACACCGGAGGTGGAGACGTGTGTGACTTGAACAGGTTTCCGTAAAGTGATAATGGATTGATAACGAAGTAATGAATATTGTGGTATCCTGCAGAATCAAGAGCAGTGGTCTTGGTAAACTATGATTCTTAACTAGTGATCATGTCCGCTCACAGTATGTGTCCTCGGACGGAGAACTTAGAGTAGAACATTCCCGTGACTTTATTCCTTGACACTTCTCCTGTTCTCTGGGTGCCGTTCAAGTAGCCTTTTCCGATTGTTGGCTGCCTTTCATCACCCTGACCTCTCCCATGCAGAGATTTTATGATCCCGTCTTCACGTATCGTCCAGCTCCTCACGGCTGGACAAGATTTTGAGGCCGCAGCGTCGAGTTGTTGGAGCACATATCAACATCGAGCGATGAGACGCTGGAGCCCACATGATATGTCGAAGTTTTTGGTCCCTCTGAGAATGTAGTAGAACACACGTGTTGCATTACACGTAAAAAGCCTGACAGATGATGCCCATGAACGCCGTTTTTCGCCCGTGCCGAATCGAAGAGAGAAAAACCATCCAACCGACAGAACACCCTGAATCATCAAATAGCAATGGAAGATAGCATATTCATGCCCCAGTATCATTAGCTCACGGCACAAACTCCTTCTGCCTGTAGACTGCCGAAACCATCTGTACGAAATTGTTAGTGAGATTCTCCGGGAGGAAAGGAGGTAGTGACGAATGAGAAGGGGCTGTCTAATATATATATATATATAGAGGCAGATAATCCAAGAAATAACTTACGGCGTGATCTCTTTCGTAGGGTTCCAGAGTGAGCTGTTCCTTGGGGAAGAACTTCTCCTGCCTCAGCTTCTCAACCTCCTGGGCGAAAACTTGCTCCGGTGGTGCGGTAGAGTCGATGCAGTTTGCCTTGATGGAGATGAGCATGCCGCCACCTTGCTTCAGGAAGAGCTTAGCGTTCAAGGCGACGATACGGGCTTGGTCAGGTTGAGCAACACTAAGAAAGGTTAGTCCTGGCGTCCAGAATGCTAAATTCGTGCAGTCACAGCTTACTCGGCAAAGATGAAGTCGACCATGTCGACGAGCATCCGGTACTTCAGGGGTTGACGAGCATCCTCGACAATGGGGACGACGTTTGTGCGGCGGGTAGCCATGTTGATCAGGTCACGGCCAGAACGGTGAGAGAACTCAACGGCGTAGACAGTTCCAGTAGGTCCAACGATGTCGGCAACGTGGGAGACGGAAGTTCCAGAGGCGGCACCGAGGTACAAGGCCTTGGAGCCAGGCTTGATGTAGATGGACTCGAGACCACCCAGGATACCGGCAGCCAGCTTCGATCGGAAAGGGTTCCAGACACGGTATTCGGTCTTGGTTGCCGTACCATCCTCGCTCTTGGCGTTCTCAATCGCAACACGCTTCTCGTTGTAGACGGACTCGCCGGGGGTGAGGTTGGCGGTTGCCAGCAGATCTTCCTTGCCGCCGCGAACGACAAAGACACCCTTGTGCCTGTGGGGTTCCTGAACACAGTGTATGTGAGCATCAATTCGGGACTATGCAGTCTTGCTCGTTCACTTCTGGGACTCTTTGACATACCACAATCATCTTCTTTCCGCCCTTGGGACCGCCAGCTGCACCGCCGCGGCCACCCCGAGCACCACCACGTGGAGCACCGCGGCCACGGCCTCCACGACCGCCACGGTCACCAGCACCACCACGACCACCTAGTAGTTGCGATTAATTGAGTTGTCCAGATGCCATGGGGGATACTTCAGACAGCTTACCTCGGAAGCCACCACCTCCTCTGCCACCACCGCGGCCGCGATCACCGCCTCCACGGAAGCCGCCTCCACGACCCCCGCGGTCACCACCACCACCACGTCCTCTAGGGGCGAAACCCATTTTAAATGGTTGATTAGGATGTAGTTCCGGAAACTTAAGAAAAATGGAGTCGCGATGATCTATTCGATCTCTGCGTTACTGCGACAGGGCAAGATGTCACTGCCCGTGGATAAGTGAAGGGTTGTCGAGTGTTGCAGTTGCAGCTGGTGAGGCCGACCCAAAGAGCTTTTGCTGCTGCAAAAAAAGATTGGAAAAATTTCGAGGCCAGGGTCGGCGCAGTACCAAGGTACCCCCGCTAGCGCAGGATGGAGCTTCCGCTAGGCGGGGCAGCAATGGGAAGCCTGATTGGCTGGAACGCAAAATGATTTCACCGGCTGCCCGCCCACAGGACGATTGGGAAGGGACGACTGGTCCTTAGACCGGCAAAAAACTTCCCAGCCAGCCAGACCCGTAGACGACCATCAACACCCAACGACGACGACGACACCATCTCCACATCAACACCGTCAAGATGGTGAGTGCACCCCCGATTTTCGAAGCCCCAGACGAGCGAATTGCCGATTGCCCCAGCACCCCCGGGCTGCTGAATTGTTTGGATGCCCGAGGCGAGGCGGCTGCGGTTGCGACGAGCAATGGGACTGCATGGCGAGGCGACTCTGTGTTGAAGTTCTGACATTGACCGTTCCACCCACAGGTTCGCTACGCTGCCACCGAGATCGCGCCCTCCAAGTCGGCCAAGGCCCGCGGTGCCTACCTCCGAGTTTCTTTCAAGAACACCCGCGAGACCGCCCAGGCCATCAACGGCTGGAAGCTGCAGCGCGCCGTCAAGTTCCTTGAGAACGTCAAGGAGAAGAAGGAGATCGTCCCCTTCCGCCGCTACGCTGGCTCCATCGGCCGTGCTTCGCAAGGTACGAACGATTCTACACACCACCACAAACCGTCCGTGACTGGCGATATGGGACATTTCGAGGATTGGTGTGGGGCAACTGTCAAGCGCCGCCACACGGGCGATGGAAAGAGCTTGGGCTTCCAGGGTTATCATTCTACTCGACTGGGCAATACCTGGGCAATGAAGGAGTCGACGCCAGGACAAATCCAACTGCGCAAAATGACATGAGGCTGACAACATATGGTGTATAGGCAAGCAGTGGGGTGTCTCCCGTGCCCGATGGCCCGTCAAGTCCGCCGAGTTCCTTCTGCAGCTCCTGAAGAACGCCGAGTCCAACGCCGATGCCAAGGGTCTTGACACCAGCGCTCTGGTCGTCAAGCACATCCAAGTCAACCAGGCCCCCAAGCAGCGCCGACGAACTTACCGTGCCCACGGTCGTGTATGTTATGGCCCGACGTCTCAACCGCGATGACAAATGCGAATATTGGGAGGACGAGTTCTGACATCGTGATCTAGATCAACCCCTACATGTCCAACCCCTGCCACATCGAGCTGATCCTTACCGAGGCCGAGGAGGTGGTCCAGAAGTCCGAGGCTGTTGTTGGCCGTGAGGAGCGCCTGAACTCGAGGCAGCGTGGTGCGCGCACGCGCAAGGCCATCACCGCCTAAATCACCCGGGCGGACTAGGTGGTGTTGTGATGGATTGATGGCTCATTCATGGGCCAGCAAATGGGCTTTTGTGCAAAGGGACGGCTTCGCTTTTTCTGGGACCCGGTGTATTGAGGCATGGCATTTCGGGCAGTAACGGTCTGGCATGCGAAAAAATATCCAAGACGGATAAATCATGAATGAATTTTCCCCCGAATACCGAGAACATCCAGCGAAATTCAGGTCGCGGTGGTGAGGAGGGGGCCGGCCCAGACAGACAGGATGCGTGGGTAGGGGCCTACTCCGTAACCAGCTACCGGCCACCACGAGTGAGGCAATAGACCAAGGCCAAAAGTGTGTTGTGGAACGAATGCAGACGGTCAATTCGTGAGCAGCATTCTCGTGACAGTACGTACATAAAGAGGCCATAATCTACGTTGAGTGCAACAAGGCAAGCCGTGGAAAGGTGCATGCTTTGCCTATCAAACTGGCCATTCACTACAATAGTTGCACATGTCAGGATGTGCCTCTGAACTATTTCGGTTGAGCGTAGCCTGGGTTATGTGGAGACTCGAGCGCCGCCTCGATGCGAACCCAGGTGAGCGAGGACTGAGAGCCCACGATGGCCACAACCGCAGGTCAATCCTGGCACATCTCAAAAACAAGAACAAGGTACAGGAATATCCTTCTTTGCGATTTTTTTGGGGGGTGTCAGTTCACCCTCTCAAATAACTAGTCAACATGCTAGCATGCCTGAGTCGCTGGCTACTGCGGCTCATGAAATCTTTCTCGGCCAGTACCTGCCACTTGCTCACTGATCTCCAATGACCTGTAGACCGAGGCGAATGCGTATTTGACCTCCAGTCGAAAACACAGTGTGACACCATGATCCACGCGAGAAGACCTGCCAGGGTGCCATTTCCACGCATTGTCCACAAAGAGACCTGATCCTCATTCCCCATAGACAATCGACACACTATCATGAGTAAGCGGATCCGCGCTCTACTTTCACTGACCCAAATATTCTTCCCTTTCATTCGCAAGGGCCAATGCAAGACATTAATCCAATGATAGTACACCAAGCAACAAAGCAGCAACCTGACACTCCTTTGCTCTCTGTCTCCGCCTTTATTTTCCGTTTCTAGGTCGTAATGTCTTGTAATTGGTGGTCAGTCAGTACAGGATGGCCAAGGCAGTTCCCTATATGCCAGTATGCGGCTGGGAGTTGATCAAAGGAGATCCATCCTCGCCGGCGTCTGAAGCAGGGCTGCTGTGGCCAAGACCATCTTGCGACGCCACAACCTGCTGCTCGCTGCTCTGTACAAGATCTTCTTGTGATACAACATCCTGTTGCTCGCTGCTTTGAGCAAGATTAATTTGCGGTCCAACGTCTTGTCGTTCACTGCTTTGGTTAGGACCACCTCGTACTGCAACAACAAGCTGCTCGCCGCTCGGGAAACCCCCGTCTTGCGATGAAGCACCCTGTTGGTAGTTGCTCTGGGCAACGTCACCTCGTAATGCAAGAACCAGCTGCTCGCCGTTCTGCTGGGTTGTATTGCTGGATGTTGTAGCGACTGGTTCAGCTGCATACTGTGACTCATTGAGAGCTCGCAGGGTCTCCGCAGTGAGCCCATTTCTAGCTACAGCTGGGGGGTCCCTAAAGCGACTGACAAAGGGTGGTGGAGGTTGGTCATCTTCAGACAGATTAAGATACGCGTCGTCGTCCTCATCTACACCGTCGTAGGGACCGGGCGTGTTAAAACCATCTCCAGCGTTGTTACCCTCGCCGTGATTATCGTCCTGGCCGCTGTCGTGGTCATCATCAAGGTCACCTGGCTCCGCAGGAACCACATCGTCCTAAGTGTTGAGGCTCTCAATCTGCTTTCCTTTGGACTTTGGATCGTTGACCTCCGTCTCAGCAGAGCTGCACACAGTGCCGTGGAAACGACCAGAACCAGGATCAGGGTTGCCATCGGCGATGGCGATCTGTTTGACAATGTCGTCGTAGATGTCTTCCCAGCCGAAGCCCAGTCCGAATATGCTGCTCAAGATTTGCCGCTCGCTTTCGGGGATGTAGTTAAGGACTTTTCCGAGCAGACCGTCGTTCGAGATCAGCATCTGAGTATCAAGATCTTTTAGCTGATTTGGTAATTCAATGTCGTGTTGAACCACCAGTGGCTCGTTCGGAATGATCTTCCAGTTGCTGATGTGCGACGATTCAATGAGGGCGTAGCCGCAAGACTTGAACGTGATTGTCTTCAATTTGTCCTGTCCGCCGCGGTTATCGAGAACATTCTTAAACTTCGCAGAGAAACGTTGCTCGGCCGTCTTGACGTTGCGGTAGTGGTGGTCGTCAGGATCTATGCCCTCAAGGTGGGCTTGGACTGCTTCAGACGACATGTCGAGACTGGCAAGGATATGAGGCCAGGAAAACAGGCGCCACCTGGAGTTGGCCGGGTCATGCCCACTCTGCTGCACAGGGGCCACAGGTTGATTAACGGCGACGGCACCTGCGCCGGGGTTGGCGAGCAAGAAATGTGTATTCTGCGCCCAGCCATTCGGACCGTGGAGATTTTGAGGCAGGACAACAGCAGCATGTTGAGCACCAGCAGCGGGGGCGACAGGACCAGTAGCAGCAAAAGGAGCAGCAACAGCCTGACCACCGTGGAAAGGCGGCATGTGCATGGCATTGTTGTTGTTATTATTGTTGGCGCCAGCAGGTCGTTGAAGCTGAAACCAACTTCCTGGTTCCGCTCCGGCGCAAAGAGGCCAAGGCCAATGCGAAGGTTTGCCCTGTGGTCCGGGATGAATGCTAGGCTCAGCTGACTTCGACGGGGGGCCTGTCAGAGATACAGACTCGAGCTCGAGGTCTCTCAGCATTTCCTTCGACAGTTTCTTGGCGATATTCAAGAACACATGAGGGGTAAACCAGCAATTCTTGAGAGATAATTTCTCAACATCAGGCAGATTGATGAGATCTTCTTCGCCGAAGTTGTGTTGCAAGTCAACCATCTTAGATGCCTCTGCGAGTACGGGAGCCGGCATGATGTACCGGTCGCGCTGACTCTTGCCCACAGCGAACTCACCGCCACAAATCCACTCAAAGGACACATGCTTCATGTTCTTCTGCTCACCGACAAAGTTGTGCAAAAGCTTGAAGACAGCTTCGTAGGTCTCGATGGGGCTGATGCGGCTCTGGGTAATCCCTCCCGTGTCGTCTTTGTGGAGCCGGCGCCAATCCGGGATGACGCCTAGTTGAAATGAGTTGAGACAGGTCATGGCCTCCCAGAATTCTGACTTCATCAGAGAAGGGACATGACGACCTGAGCAGCGTGCGATTGTCAGTGTGCGAAGGGCGTGAAACGAGTCTTTGTTGTCCATCACGGCAATAACGTATGAATCCATCAGGGCCCGGTGAGCCCACTCGAGTTCTAGGAGCATCTCTACCTGAGAAGCAGTCAGGTTGTTTGGGGTGAGGCCGAAGACCCGTGCATGAGCTGCGCTAATGACATTTTCCTGGTCATCATCGCCAACCAATTTCTCAATGAGGAGAATGATCTCCTCTTTGGTAGTATCCTTAGTGATCTCAAAGAGGGGCACCTTCTCATGGCGGGATGCGCCAGAAGCTGATATCTGCTCAACCCATTTGACAGCGCGCCCCTCATCCTCGAGGAGGCGCAGCACGGCCCTAGGCCACTCATTTGAGTCGTATCCCGCGTTCATGGCCATCTGCTTCAGGATTACAAGGCTCATGGATCGATCGTTGTCTTCGTCTGAGTTCGGGTCTGAGTCGGGTTCAGCATCGCCGTAGATAGCGGGTCTGAAAACGGGAGGCAGAACGCGACGATAAAGGGGATTTGTGTCTGGACCCTGTAGGTAGCCTAAACCAGCATCGCATGAGATGCCAATCTCGCTGACCACTCGGAGGAGCTGGAAAGCTTTCTTCATGTGCTGTGTCTCGTCTGCAAGCTTTTCTATGCCCTCGAGTTGTGCATACCGCTGGTAGTCACTAATCGGCCACCGGTACAGGCCCCATGGAGCGGGAACAATTTCTTGATTTAACTTGACGGGAGGACACGCCAGGTCCGCCTCATTGAGCTCGAGGGCCAGAGCGAATTTCTTGATGTGGGTGGGCCCGAACTGGTCGAATACTCGGTACCCATCCGAGAGCAGAGAATCCTCATCCTTTGCTATAGGACTCGCCCAAGCTTGGATGTCGTCGCCGTCATCGGTCGCGGCGGACTCGTCGGCCCTCTTCTTTAATACCAAGCCGTACTTTTGTTTGTCCAGTGCGATGCCCAGATCAGTGTTCAAAGTGCCGTAAAGCGCTTCGAACTCTGGGCGAAATGGAACGACGACGACTCGAAAGAAGCTGTCGGCAAGTTTGGAGTCGAATTCGCGACATACCAGTCGCATTGCCTGAACGTCCCTGCGACTGAGGTATTGGATGATCAAGTTGAAGATCTCGACTGGGACATCATCCAGCGGCCACGTCGCACGGAGCTGTACATCTTGAGGATGGTTGCGCATAGTGCCAGGCTGGCCATCCTCGATGACTTCGGAGGCTGAGATCGTAGGGTCGGACACTGGGGAATCCGGCTCAGGTTTCGCAGGATCAAGATCACGCACATCGGCTACCATTGCACTCGCAGCCGAGCTAAATGCGGGCGGACTCGCGGACATCCTGCGGCGCTTAGCTGGTGGTGGAGATGAATTCGCGGTGCCCGACATCGTTCGTGGTGCTAGAGTGTACGATGGTAGCTTTTAAGGAGTACTGGAGCTTGTGTGACTGCCCTTCGTTTGCTGGGTCGGAAGAGCGAGTGAGTCAGTGTAGCTCCAGTTGTGAGAGACCCTGTGCAGTCACGAGGTCACGCGGAAAGAGATGTGTGGTTGGCGAGATCTGCAATCGGACTGCCTTGCCACTGTCTCTGTCGACGGCGGCTTGTTTGCGCGCTTGCTTGCCGACAGTCTGCTGTCGATCGCAGCGCAGCCTCTTGCCTACAAGTTCTTCCTATCTTCTTGTGGCAATCATTCAGATTTTCAACGTTGCGCGCAACGAGGAGAGGAAGGACTTGGATCCAAGGCACGTGATGGGTGTTGCGCCAGGCAAGGAGGACGACGAGGTGAATGCGATGTCAGCCTGCTTCAGGCAACCGTGAGAGTGGCTCGTTGACCGTTGGCCGTTGACGGTTGACGGGACCAAGACGTAGGGCAGATGGAGCATCCAAAGACTGGGAAGAAGGGGGAAGAAGATAAGTATGAATTGATATGGGTAGCAAATGCTTCCAGCAGCAGCAGCCCGTCACGTCTGAGTGGATGTTCAAGACGACGGCAGTGACATAAATGCGACCGTGAGTTTGGTGATGACGGAGTTGGAGGTGGGGTGACAGCAGTACAATACTGGCTGGCCCTCAGGGATCTGTTTTGGCAGTCCCCACTACACACGCACAGACAGCCTAGGCTCGAGCTAGGTACGTTGCAGCACACTAAGACGGCAATCGAGCAGTTGCTATTTAGGTAGATAGAATCCTATAGGGCTGCACTTCACTGTCACTTGGTCATCGGGCCGTGAGCCATATAGTCTCTCTACAGTAGGTAAACAAACAGGTAGGGTTGAGCAGGAAGGGTGTCTGAATGGGAACATAGGAAAAAGCAATCGGACACGGGCAAATCTGACCAGCAGCATTGATGATTTGCCTGTCTCTATCCCCGGTCAAACAATTTGTACCTGGCACAAGAGCCGCAGTGGGGATGCATCCATCACAAGCTGACATGGGATTGTCTTTTTCCTCTCCCTGCTTCTCCATTGGCTCCTTGGCCCCAGCTCTGGAGAAATACCCGAGAAAAAAAGTACCCACCCTTGGTTGACGGGCCTAGACTCTCTCAGGTGGCTGCCCACCTGCAGCCGTTGGGTATAGGTTTGATTGGGGTACCTAGACTAGATAATTTACACTGCGGGTTTTCCCACCACAAGGGGTTTTCCATGACAGATTGTCCGTCCTTCAAAGAGGTCTTCCTACACAATACTTTGTGCAAGATAGGGACATATCTTCTCACTTTCACCGCAACCATGTTTTGAAAAATGCATTAATATCGTGATCTTTGTACGCATTGCAGAGATCGATCTAGCTTCCCACTTTCGATGGGCTGGGCGGCTGATACCGAAAGACCGACGACGACGGTAACAGCACAAATTAATGGAGCTCGGTATGACTATCCAGATTTCGCGACCCAGTTCAACTGAAGCATCTGCGCGGCAGGTACCATTTTAAAAGCCAGTGCTCGTGCTCAACCGTGACTCCTACCACACTTTCGCTGATGCAAGTCGTCATTAATTCGTAAGTCATGATGTTGGATGCTGTTGACCTCCACACCAAAGAGACATGACAGAATAAAGGAAAACCCAGGATCGATCAAACAAATGACGCTTTCCCTGCGTCTCTGTCGTCGTCATTGTCTTGGCTGCCGAGGCATTTACTACTGTGTTCAGTCTGCCCAAGAACGTCTGCCTCAGAACTTAGCCCAGGAAACCAGCTGAGTAGAAGTTGAGTAGCCAACAAAACAGAATCACTCTAGCACAATCCATGGATAAAGAGAAAGCGCTGAGCGGACTCTCATTCGGGGTTTAATTCCGAATTCTGCCGCATAGCGCCCGCGGGAGCGTGCGAGAGGGGACGCTCGGGGTAACGTATCGTAAGGATGTTGTCTCAGCCACATGGACACCTGCGAGAAGTGTGCCTGGCGGATGAGCGTATGTGAGTGGTAGCAAATCTATCCGACGGCGACTCCTTCGTGGTGGCCAAAGTCTACGAGCCTTTGCTCTTCTTTCGGTGACTGCTGCGGTGGCTGTGGCTGTGGCTACTACTGCCGCCACCGGGATGTTCCGATCTGTGCGACTTCTTCGCATCCCAGCACGAGTCGACGGCCTGCTGTACGATGGGCCAGTCGTCGTAGAGGACACGGCCCACAAATAGAACCTTCACGTTGTGCTCAACGGTCACGAGCTTCGAGTAGTTGACTCTGGACTCCTCCGAGATGTGTTCGCCGGGGTGCATCTCCATGCAGATGGGGTCGAAACCAAGGGAAGGCTCGTTCGCTAGTCTGGTTGCTTGTTGCCCCCTTTCGAAGACGATACCGTGGTGGTGTGGCTTGACACCGTTCTTCAGGCATCCAAGCTTTCCATACGTTAAGATAGGTCTACGTCGTCGGACTTAGCAACCGTATTCTGCGGAAGTCTGTGATAGGGGGAAAAGAAACCTATCTTACACGCAATTGCAGTGACCCTCGCCATTCCTGATGACGATGAAGCGGCGGAAGCCTGTCCATACCCCACTCATATGGTCTTGCAGAAGGGTCGTGTCTGAGAACCTGCTGCCTCCACCCGGAACAGTGCCTCCTTTTGGCTCGGACCACATCACCTTGAAAACCTGGAAGTTGCAAACTCGTTAGACGAGAGTCGATGGATAAACACACGCGAAAGTCTCACATTGCCGGGTTCGAATTTGTTCGAGGGTTCGACTCGATACCCTGGGAGTGTTAGGCTTTGGCTTGAATTACAACCAAGAATGTTCTTCTTTTCGACTCACTGCCATCCAGATACTCGGAATTTCCCGGTGTTCCCCTGATAATGTCTGGCCTCGTCGATTTTGAGTGGCTCTGAAGCGGTGACAGGTCGTCGCGAGCTGCAGCTTGGTACGTGGAACCTCGGTCTGTGAAGCTGAATATCAATCAATGTGCTACGTTTGTTGTTCTTTATCACTTACAAGCTGTCGACTGCCCTCCACCCCCACCCCCTTGCTCGTACAATTCTCTGGTGAGGGCTTGAAGATCCCTGTCAATACTATCGACAGTGGTCTCGACACCAGTAGGACTGGTGCCGAATCTCGTTGCTTATGTATGTTTTAATCAGTAAACACTGTCTGCCGATCTCACAGGTGATGACTAACCCTGGCTGGATGCATGGCCACCTTGTCCGGCATACGAGCCAGTCCCGTACGGTGGCCCGCCACTGGAAGTTTGGCGGGAGTATTCGTTGTAGTATCCGCCTGGGGTAGACCTCTCACCGCCATATTGTGGCCCATTGTATGTCAGCAACTTCCCGTCCCCGCCGCCGCCGTATCCATCAGCTTCCGCGCGGCCTTTTCCCTTTGCCTTACTACCATGCTTGTGCTTTCGTGATTTATCCTGGGATCTACTGTCTGGGTTCGAGGCCACTGAAATCCTGTTAACTGACAATGCCTGCTGTGAAGTGGAAGGAAGCGCCCTTACTGAGACCAGATGGCGGCACACCGTAACCATCCACGTACGGTTGGTTGCTACCAAGCGCCCCGTAGATAGTATTCCCGGACGTGGTCTGTTGGTCATACGAAGATGCGGCAAGCCCTGAGTAGGACGACACAGGCTGCTCCTTATTCACATCGTCGTATTGTTGGTAACTCAGCCCACCTGAGCTCTCTGATACACGGCGACATTGATTGTAACCGTCTGGGTATTGCGAGTCGGTTCCAGTGCTTTGTTGGGAAGTGCCCGGGGTTTGAGAATACACGTTAGGGTCTACCTGCTGTGACCCAAGTCCGGATTCCGTTGTGGCGACTGAGCCGGATGATGCATAAGCAGACGGCCGACGTTCAGACCAAGTCTGACCTTGACCTGCTGTGGCTGAATGTGTAAGTGGTTGCGTTCTGAACAACCCGTTGTCCAGGCCAAGCGTCGAGGGAATACTGCATACCTGGGCTGAACCCAGCGGGCTGGACAGTTGTGTAGTGTTGAGCGTCACCGTCGTAAGACCCTACAGGCTGGATGTTCATGGCTTGCATGCCTGCCGCGAGGGCGGAAGCATCGTTGCGAGGAGTCAAGTGATAGCTACTCCGTGAATCATGCTGAGCCGCCTGGTCATCAGTGTCCTCGCCCACTGGGGGATACTTGCGAACTTTGGATCCATCTAAAGACAGTAAAATTAGACCTTAAAACATGTTACATCGAAGCAGGACGAAGCAACGGATTCAAAAGCGCACCAGGCCTCCGACCCTCGTAGTACCAGCGGCCCTTTTGTTGGTCGTAAATAGGCTTATCGTAGTTCCAAGTAACAGAGTCACTCATGGTCACATCATGGTGGCCCAGGCCGTTCGCGCGGGAGGTTGCTAATCATAGGACACAACTGAGAGAAACGTGGTAGAAGGCGTAGAAGTACGATGGATCAAGGAGATATAGATTAAGCTGAAGGGTTGAACAGAAGTAGTTGAGGGGTTTGCCCCGGATCTGGACCGGAGTGGAACCCGTGGTGATCTGCTAGTCTGGTATTTGCAGAGAGGCTCGCAGGTGGAGTGGGTCCCAAGGTCTCATTGATACTGCTGGATGGTGTCTCTTGTACCAGCGAGGGGGATTTTGAGCCGCAACTCACCGGTCAGGGAACGGGCCTGTACTCCCAAATGTTGTGTGGTGCCGCCGCAGGATCAGCGGCAACATCAACTGAAAGCGGCAGCAGAAAGACCAGCGTAACGAATGCGTTGTCTGTGGCGGATGTTCGTCCATGTAGCGAACGTTTCTTCTCCAGCAGCTTGGGGCTAAGCCGGAAAGAAACTGGCCTAAGTGCATGCATGCTGTGGACACATCCGGGACTTGTCTTGCTTGTGACTGTGAAGCACTGCGCAACGCACAACCCCACCCTCTTTCGATCCGCGCCTACGCGTGATCCACGGCAGCCAATGGGTTCCTGGATCAATATTCCGGACAATCTAAGACCTCGGAGCATGCAACCTGGATAGGAGAAGCGGAGACGGTTAACGGTCAAGGGGTTATCCTGCCATCCTGCCGTCCTATGGCGGGATGAGGGTGCCGGGTGGACGGCTGTGGGTGGTGGATGGGTGGATGGGTGGATGGCGGAGGCAAGTGCACAACAAGCCTCCAATCCTGTGTCATCCAGAGAGCAGGACGTGGGATATCGTTTATTGGCCCAGGTTTTGGAACCACAACACCTCGAGATAAGCGACGAAGAGAGGGGCAGCCCTGTCGCCTGGGCGCGTTGACCAATGCACATCTCCACAGCGATGGCAAGCTGGAGCCGAAGGTTCAAACAGATTCTCTCCGGAAGAAGGGTAGATAGACGAAGTCTGTGAGTCTTTCAATAGAGGGAGGAACTTTCTGACAACCTTTCGAAGAAGGAAATGGTGGCGTGTCGACTGTCGATGCCAATCGGGTAGATAGTTTGTCGGGTTACAGCAGCGGACTAGCTGCCTTGTGTCCGTATGCAGGCTCCGTGACTCGCATCGGTGAGCATGCAAGCAGGACAGCTCGCAATGATGCTGAAGCTTGTGCGTGTACTCATAGTATGGGGAATGGGGCCAGAAACGACCCGCCTCGGTATTGGAGTCCATCCCACAGCATCTGGCAAGATCACCCTGCGGGAACGTAAGAGGATTTACCGAAGGAAGTCATCCCATAGGAAGAGTATGCCCGTCACATCTCACATCGATGACGATGGAGCCCCTGCAAACTGTGTTGTCCTTTAGAAAGGGATGGACTGTACCAGCTCGTGTCCCTGCGCGACAGCCAGCTCCCAATCAGTGCCTCAGCAGAGGAGGCTGGGTGGCCTCATGGTCCAGGGTTCGCGATGGTCGGTCAACAAAATTCTGCCCACAGAGCATGCGCCGTGTTCCACAACGGTTGATGGTTAGGCGGGCTGGTGGGCTGTCTGCCGAGATGATTGGAGGTTCGGTGATGATGCCGGGAACATGTGCTTAGTTTTGCGGCGGATCATCTCTGCTGCAGCGAGATGGCTGCATCCTTGCTCAGCGAAATATGTCCAGTCCAGCCTGGGCAGGCTGGACGGCATTACAGGGGCACCCTTCCCGTATTTCTTTTTAGCTTTTCCAGGCGAACGGCCCGTCCCTCTCTAGCTGGAACTTGGGCGCGGCCGCTTTGCAACTTCAGCAATGCGCTTGACGCAATGTGAAGTAATTACCGGAAAGCCAACAACTCCCACCAACACTCCTGACCCTCCAGTCCCATCTCCCTCTCTCGGGCTTTCGGGCTTCCGATCACATATTCTCATGTCATGACATACACCCCGACTTTTGTACCTACAAAGTCTTGACATCACCAGTCTCTGCATACTTCCCTGCTCAGACCATGAGCATGAGCCCATCGTCACATGGCAGACAGCGAGCCCTTCCAATGGCTCCCCGGAATTTCACATCGATCACGACGATTCCCACCTTCTGTTGGCACTATTCCTCTGGTTCAGCCGAGAGATCCCCCAGGCAAGACACAGTTAAGCCCCGTTAGGAGTTTGTCTCTGCCCCCTACGACATATCCGCATCTCCCGGACGGGAGGCCTACATCTGTCCATCCTGGGCTTGTCCATCCTGGGCTTGCTGGTTCAAGCCAATCTCAGCCCCCTTTCTGGACGAGTATAGCAGCGGAAATCCATTCGTCCTCGAGCGATACCTCCAGCTCCGCCAGTTACCAATCTTCGACGTCCATGAGCGGTGCTCATCTCCACATCGGTATTCCTTCCACTTTTACAAATTCTCCCAAGCTTGATGCAAGAACACGCCGTTTGAGTTCGAGGGACGATGCCAGCTTTTCATCCGTCACACGAAGCTTGGACCCCTTGGAGCTTAGATGGAGGAAGCTTGAGGCCAAGAGAGACGAGGTCTTGGATATCCGGGCGGATATCATACGCTCAAGGCGGAAGGCTCAGAAGTGTCGTGTTCGCAAAGACGCTGCTGACAATGTTTTTATGTCTTTCCTGCGTCCTCTGCTTCTGTACAATGCCGGCGCGAATGTTTTAGCCACGTCGCACGCTCGCCTGAGGGAGCTCTTCGACCACATGCAAAATGCCAGGGACAAGTGCCAAGATGTGGAGACTGCCCTGGAGTTACTGGAAGAGAAGCTGGGCCACGCAGAAGATCAACTTGATTATGCAGAAAGGGAACTCATTAGTGAACTTCGTCCGGACGCCGCAGTCACGAACAATGGAAAGCCTCAAGAGGCTAAGAACCGCCGTCCCCCTTCTCCTCCACCTCCTTTGCTCCTGGGTATCGGCGCAGAGAGGGCTGAGGACTTCCACCCTCTCTACAAAAAGTTCATCTCAGCCGTTGGATATCTCCAGCTCGCCGAGGAGCACCACCGAGATCTTCTCTTCCGAAAAGGGTCGATCGAAAGGGAACAAGGGCATTTGAGACTTGCTCAAGATTATCTTCCAACCGACGACAGCGCCTTCAATAGGCAGCTTCAAGCCCAAGATTTGGAATTCCTAAACAACTTTGATTTTCAGATGAGAGAGACCAATCTCAAGATGGAAACACTGGGCCAAGAGGTGGAAAGACTTCGGAATATGTGCCAGGAGAGAGGTGTATTTCCCAAGCACGCGCCTTTGCATGAGGCCTACACATACGAGCGGGACCTTGGTGACGATGTGCTTCTAAGCTCAGACTTATCTGACGGAATAAAGCCCGGTGCATTATTCAGCTCCCGTTTCGCGGTCCTGCTCTACAGTCCCAATCATCTCATCGAGGAGCCCCCGATCACAGCAAAGGCAGCCTTGAAGAGGGCCGTGAGCCTAAAAGACGGCGATCCTCTCTATCCTCACAAAGCGGAGATCTTTGCCTCTGCCGCTAAAGAGTTTCTCATTGAGAACCTCGTTCAAGATGCTAACGAATTCGACAAGACCGACTTCATTAACCGTTGGCTACTTCAAAGATTGAGGACTTCAACGGTCGAAGTGGAGCTTCTATACTCGCTGTTCCTTTCTTCCTCTTCATTAGAGATCCTCGATCTGGACCGGTGGCAACAGGATGTTTTATTCTACTGGACAAGGGATGAGAAAGCAAGGCTCCCACCCGAGCGGTATGTTGGCCCTGTGACTTCGGAGTACACGCAAGGTCAACCCGTGTTCACTGGATCATCTGTCAAATCAAGTCTGCAAAGTCACACGCCGAAATAGCCGCACATAACTGTACTCTCAACTTCATAGCTGTTTTCTTTTTTCCTTTTTCCTTGCCAATCTGATTTCCTCCTGCAAGGGAGGGTTGTGTCAGGTATGTTACCACATGCCTTCACGATACGTTTTACAGCCTCCTCGACTGAGTTTGGAACTCAGCAAAGGCATCACGAGCATGGACCTGTTCGAGCTCCTCAGTGAGGATACAATGTTTTGATACCCATCTGGCGGTCTTTTCCTTCTGTTTGTTTCCAGCTATTCCTCGTTTCTAGATCAGCAAGGCGCTTGGGGCTAGCGTGAAATTGGAATTGGTAAACGAAAAGTGTGGAAAGCCTTTTTTTTTTGAGATACCCTGTCCCCAGGTGGAACCACTTGTTTCTTGATAAAGGTCTTTACTACATACTTTGTAAATCTTATTGAAAGGAACTTGTCTAGGGTACTTAGGTAGAGCATGGGGTACATCTACATAAGATTTGGCCGAATTTTGTATGAATAAAATGTCACGGCAGGTATATCCCAATATACATTGCTCAGTCCTATCCATGTTCCAAAGCCGTCCCGAACAAAGTATCTAAGTGTCACGAAAGCATGATCATAATAGAAGCACACACTTTTGTTCAACGCCATCTCCACCACGGGAAAAATGCCAGCTTACCGGACTTTCAGCTAACTGGAGTCTCGCCTTACCGCAGTCTTAGCTTACCGGGCTCGCTTAACAGACTGCAGATTTCCACCTATTTCTCTAGCAAATGAGCTCCGAACACACTGCACTGCTCCCGTCACGATCCCGTCACAGTCGCGTCACGGTCACACGAAGCACGACCCCAAGATAATCTATCTCACATTGCAATCTATTATGCCAGAGCTCGCCCTAAAAAAGAAAACGTTGGGGGTAACACATGGAAAGGGGGCGGTCTGCTCGCGCTGTGTAGCCACCTCCACTCTATCTCCCAATAGCCCGACGCTATTCTGAGCCTCAATATCACCAAAGGGAGAAAGCGGGATCAACTCCAGGCCAAGGATTGCACAGCAGACAATTCGCCCTCTCGCTTTTGGAAGGCTTTGCATACGAGCTTGCTCACGATCAAGGTCAAGTGATGTGGCTACTGTACCCGAGCAGGGGAGGCCGCCCATGCCGTCGGCAGAGGTGGTGCTGCCTCATCAGGAGAGACGTCGATCCCACTAGATGGCATCCCGAGATGCTGCATGACATTATGTGCTGCTGTCACTTGCGTCGCATCCCGAAATATGCATATGTCATGCCGGTGCAAGCGAGCAAAACAAGTCTAGAGCAGTCTTCACCCATGCGATCTCCAGTGAAAGTCTTGAGCTGGACTATCTTGAACTAATTCCGGTCTATCCTCTCTTGATGTCCATCTAGTGCCTCTCACCGCTCTAGAGTCCCGGATTGTGTAGAGGCCACTTACAACCATACAAGTCTAAAGTCTTGCTGGTGATGTTGGCGTGAAAGTGGAAGCTAGTGTCAGATTCCACATTCTTCAGTGGACACAAATTTCCCATCGTCATGTATCGGCAAACATGACACCTCATATTACTCGTGACACTTTCTTTTCCAAAAGAAATCATTGACCGCTCATCTGCGTTTGTGAAGTATTACTTGCAGAAGTCAGTGCTGACCACCATCAAGCTCTTCCGATTTGCATCCTAAAATGATAGAAAGTTGGCAGTAGCCTGTCACAGCAGCCGCAGCTATAAAGCCACATTTCAATAGTGAAATGGGCTTGCCTCTGGCTGACCAGTCGAGCAAAACCTGCATAAGTTCCAGCAGTTGTGCAGGAAGGAGGCTGGATTAAGCATCTGGCCCCTGGCTTCCCCCCGGACTTAATATACCAAAGCATGCGAAAGTTCACACTATGCAGCCACACATGGATACCTGCATATAGTGGGTTCACCCAACCACACTGTACTAGAACCCTCTAAGCTAGAGTGAGAAAAGGAGGCAAATAAAACTTGGTTGATGAGCGTGTCAGTATGGAAGAAACGTCTGACTGTGAAGACTGTCATGAAATTACAGTCATTCGTATAGAAGCTAGTCCGCTGGTTGATAATGTTGAACAACGCAAAGAGTACATGATGATAATGACGCTTGTTGATGTGCGGGACGAACAATTCGAAACCAATCCTTGCCAATCCTCACGACCACGAGTTGTGTGTTCGAGAAGAACGTTTAAAACGCTTCAGCAGACTCAAGCATTTTTGAACTTCCGATTTGAGAAAATGCTGTAGCCGTGGCTTGAGTGATAGTTTCCCAGCAAATTCTCTTTCTAATCCATTCATCTCACATTGGACCGAGAATTTCTTCTCTAGTAAAGCTGCCTACTTGTCAGCAATCTTTGCCTTCGGAGTGTAAGATGCGAGAAATGGCCTTCGGCTATAGGACGCATGTCGGAGGAACAACGTGACTCACCAGCGTACTCTCGAATAGTGTCCGATTGATCTTGTTCGGTGCTCAAACACTTCGAGCTCCTGACAAGCCGGCATACGGAATACGACTGCGAAATACATCCAGTGCTGGGACTCGGAGGCATGGCAGCGAAAGAACTGGAGCGGTCGTCCTTGGGAGGATTGTACAGATACGGCAAGGATGACTTCCGGGAGAAGCAGAGCGTGTCCACGGATATAGGTGCCTTGACCGGGCTTACTGCGCGGATCCGCGCGTCGACCGACGTGGTAAGCTGCCATGGTCGCATATTGGATTGGCCTTCTCATATCGTTTGCAGTGGTGACTGGACGTAGTGCTGGAGGCGGAGCTTGACTGCCCAGGCTCGACCGGGAGTGCGCCAAATCCTTCCTCGTCGCCATCCTATGGACAGCAAGCAGTGAAGGATAAGACTCTACTCGATGTCTGGCTTTGGCCATCAGCATTCGAGCGGGGCTTCTCCGTCTGGGTGGATGCATCCACTGTTGCTCTGGATGGCCTCATCGAACTAGGTTCCTCAGTCAAAACCATCCAGCCGCCTGGGGCATGACCTGCCATGGCTCTTGGTGAGGTATTGGGAGGCTGCGGAATGGTTATTCGCAAATGGATTGGAGGAGTACAGATATGATCTGACAGAGTCTAGGTGTTCGAGGATAGCAGGAGCATCAGAGAAGCTAATGCAATTATGTTGCTGTTTCGCGGAGTGTCTGATTATGTTGGAGTTGGCCAAAGATCTTTCGGCATGGCAAATTGTAAGCAGTGCTGGATCATGGTTTTGATGACTATGGAGGTAACAGGCCTCCCGTTATCTCAAATTCATACAATGCAGATGCACAGAAATAAATGAAGTAGGCACGATCCACGCCGTGTTCAACAGTACAGCATGAGTCGGCAGGACGAACCCATGGCAACGAGAAGGTGGTAAGAACCATGTCAAAAGCCTGCTGACGCTGTCGACCACACTGGTACGAAAGTTGACAGTCCGGAATACCATGGCGAGCGGTGTAGGATGCTGGATAAAGTAGCTTGTGTTGTCGTTACGGGCGTCTGAGGTCTTCTATTCTGCCCGGCCTTTCACTTCTGCCTTGATCATTGGTACATTATGCATTGTTCATTGAGCGTGTATAGATTAGAGTCTATATTTCCAACCAAATGGCCTTTACTCTTCATCAACCCTTCCCAAGGCCTGGCCCATCTTGACCTTCTGCCCCTTCTCAACATTCCACACCCACCCGCCTTTGAGCTTCCCACTCTCATCCTCCTGACCCAGTGGCGCCTCGAAGACCATCACGATTGTGCTCCCGAGCTGGAAGCCACCCATCTCCTCACCACGGCGCAGCGCATGCCCTTGCAGCACGGGACTTGCCATCTCATAGGCCGCCTCCGAGAAGCCAGTGTACGGCTCTCCTCGTGCAGCAGCCTCCTCGGCCGCTCTGTCGGCCGCGGTGTCCGTCGTCAGGCTGTTGGTCCGCAGCTCACGATCGAAGTTGATCTTAATCGACCCTACGTTGGTCGCACCGACGGGCACATACGAGAAGAAACCCCACCTCCATCTCCCCAACAGCACCACTCGCTCATTGAGCGTGAAGAGACCAGGGAGCGTACGTTGGAGATATGGTGACACACTGTACAGCTCGCCAGCAAAGTGTCGCCGCCGCTCAACGACCCAGTTTGTGGGAGAGTGGAATCGGTGGTAGTCGCCAGGCGCGAGATAGATAACGGCATAATAAAGCGAAGTGGGATTGTCCTTGGACAAAAGGTCGTACCATGGCTTTTCGCCGAGGGCAAGATCCGCACGGACTTCGGAGACGGACGTCGGTGAGGCGCCGGTGGACTGATCTTCGGGGTGGCCTTTCTGCTTCTGGGACATGGCGGGACCGGTCAGAAGGTTAGGCAGAGTGTACGAGATGCCATTGACTCGGGCAAATTCTTCATCTTGCTTCACGACCTCCGCGTCCTTGTGCTTCTCCTCGGCTGTGATTCCGTCTGACGCAGGTGTGCTAGTGCCGGACCTTATACTTGGTGTCGGCGTGTTCTTGCCTAGCAAAGCGTCGATACTGTAGGTCATACCCTTGACCTGCTCGATATCACCGCCCTGGATCTGGCCAAACTGCAGCACCTTGCCATCCGAAGGCGACAGCAAGGCATTTGGATTAGGGTCCAAAGGACGGACACCAGGTTTGAGTGTGCGATAGAAGAAGGCCGCGAGATTGGGATAAACATGCAAATCAGGCTCGGAGACCTCATCGAGGCTGGACAGACGTCAGTTGCTTGAACTGGGCACACTACGCAGAAGAAGGCCGACTCACTTGACGCCAAATACCCAAGAATACAACTTGAACCCAGGAACGCGGAAGTAGTAGGGTATGTCTACCTCGTTAAACCTTCCCCATAGCCTCGAGAGTGCCTTGAGCGGCAACGTGGACATGACGCGAACCTGCCATGGGCCTTCGGGTCTTACCCGAGGACGCCTCTTGGGCTGCTTCCCGAACTCGTCATCCTCCTGCCTCTCTTTCTCGCGCGTGTAGACCTTGTAGCCCTGAACCAGCCCTAGAAAGCCTATGCCGACGCCGACCGGAATGAAGTACCACTCGGTCTTGGATTTGCCCAATGCCATTCGTAACCTCGACGTGAACCTAGGCCGCTGCTGGGACTGTTGCGAGTATGCACGACGGCTGGCGGGACTGGAAGCCAGTTGTAGTTGGCGACTGTGAGGAATCTGGCTCGGCCTCACAGCTGTCTGGTGGAGGACTTGTCGGCGAAAGCAGGCCGGACAGCGCAGGAGGGCAGTAGACTCATCGAAGAGCCTACTTCTTGCGAGGCCGCTGCCAAGAGACCTTGACATTGAAGCCATCATGGCGCAGGAGAAAGCGGTTACGACAGCACCAGCCGACGCGCAGGTGGAGTTTAAAAAGAATGGAGAGATCCTGGCTTATCGATATCGATGTAGGCAGGCCAGACCCATCGTATGATCAGGGGCCTGGGTTGCGGTGAAGGTTTTGCCTGGGGGTGGAGGAGATTGAAAAAAAGTCAATAATGCATAGCCAGTAGCGTCGAGGTGATGAACACTTGACAGATGGGGCTGCCCAGACGAGCTCCTCCCCTGTGTGCATGCAAGCGTACAAGCAGGGAGGCAAGCTCACCAGTTTTTGGTAGACTGCTGCAGATAGCTGGGACCCTCTGGAGTAATGACGCAGCTCCTGCAGCCAAACCATCCAGGTCAGGTCCTGGCTTCTGCGGCCAGCCTGCCTCCCAGTCCGTGCTTTAGCACGTCAGGTACCTGGGCCTGCTAGGGCAGCAGGACAGGTACCGAGCTATTGGAAACGGTGGGCTGAGCTGCTGTTGGCTGTTTTCAGGTACGTACACCTATGGATTGCCGTCAGGCCCATCCAAGGCAGGTACTTCGGCCCCCGGGCCCGCACTCCAGTTGCCAAATGTACTTACTGTCCTCCAGGGCTGAGTGGAAACGTGGCATTGGATACTCAGGCATTATTAAGTACCCGGCAGGCAATCTGACATGCGAATCGCCTCCTCTGTGAACCTGGCTCCACGTCTGCTCGACCTAGCACACGCGAACACATATACACACTATATGCGAATGGACTGGATTGAGTATCGAAATTGTTTCTTTCTCTTCGACTACGGACAGCTTGTCCTTTTTCATCCTGAGAACGAGACACCACCAAGTGTCCTCATCAAGAACTGATCCGCCGAAAATGCGACCCACTGCTTGCCGATGATCCAGCACTCCTCCGAATCCCGATCCATAACTTTGTGCACGAGCCCGGCAGCCTCACCCAGTCCGCCCTGGACTGCATTGACGTGCGAAGGGTCTGGCCTCACAGCTCGCCTGAAACTCGCCATCAGCAATACCATTACATAGCGAACCATACCATACTACTTCATCCTCCCTCGTCGTCCCGTCGATGCTAGTGGAACCCAGCGAGTGGAACGACCCCAACACGTGCGAAAGCTACCGACCATGGCTGAAGACGCGCCATCATCGTCGAATGCTCCCTCCCAGGGGGAGAGCCCGCTGGCTGTCAACATATCGATTATCTCCCCTTCGCTCGCTGTCAATGCCCCACTGAATTTCACTGGTCTCCCGGCCTCTACGACTATTGGTCAGCTCAAGGAGAAAATCCGTGAAGTGTTGGATGCGAGGCCGGCCAACGAGCAGCAGCGTCTGATTCACCAGGGCAAGCTACTAAACCGGGAGAGCGAGACTCTGCTAGACATTTTTGGAGAGCAAAAGGTACCTAGCCTCCCTCCTTCTGCCTTCCTTTGGGGGATCCCGAACTGACAGGCCATCAACAGCTTCGCGCCTCGGACCAAGTGGCCATCCACCTCGTCATCCGGGACTACGTCGACCCTCAGCACGCCTCCAGCCAGGGCGCACCCGCCCGTGACCAGAGTCCTGCGCCGAACACTGCGTCCCGTCCAAACGCCCCTTCTGTCCTCAACTCCGCAGCCACACCTCAACATCACCATCATCCTGGCCACCACCACCATCATCTCCCTCCTCGATTTGGAGGCCCGACACCACATGCAGGCCAAACCCACTCGCCATTCCCCGTACACGGATTGGGGGCTGCGCCTCCGGGGAACCAGACAAGCGCACAACTGGTTGCTCAGCAGCAGCAGCTGATGCAACAATATCTCAATCAGCTGAACCAGCGACCAGGAGGGCACCATGGCCAACAAGCAAGGGCCTCCGTTGGTTTACCAGGCCTGCCAGTGCCCGGCCAGGCAATCAACCCACAGTTTCCTTCGAATCACGGCCAAGGAAGAAACAGCCCTCACCCAGAATATCAAGGTTATGTGCGAGAAACTGTCGGTCCAAACGGTGAAGTAGTTCGCGTGACGATGAACTCGGCATTCATCGCTCCGAATGGGCAGGTCTTTCCCGTGAATTTCCAGAACCTACAGCAGGGCAATGGAGGTTCGCCAGCACCGGCGCATGGGGGTCCTTTTTCGACGAACGATGTGCAAAACATAATTCGCAATGCCGATGCCAGCCAGGCGACATCCATGATGACCAATGCTATGCATCGAAGCGCGTCCGGCGCTTCTCTTGCAAACTTGAATTTGAATGGCCAACGGCAACCGATTCAAACCCCCGGAGTCACAGTGCCTAGGAGGCCTGGTTCTACGGTTCCTCTGAGTAGGAATGCCACACCCGATCCCACTAGGACTTCTAGCCACGGAAGCGTCTCAGCGCCCCCAGCGAACCCTGCCATGAGAATGCCAACTTCAAACCAACCTGAGGTGTATATACTGAACTCACCACGAGGACCTCGGGCCCTGCTCGTCAATAATCTTTCAGAAATGTACTACACACCCGCACCACGATATCACTTGCCTCAGATCGTACCCAATTTCACGTCTGCGTGGCTCCAACCGCCGCCAACTCAACCACGTCCGGGTTTTGCTACAGATCACGCACAGCAAGCTGCCCAACCGCAACCTGTCGCCGCACAAGCTGAGCACCAGGCGCCGCAAAATGGCAATGTTAGAGTGCATTATCCCCAAGGACCTGCAGCACAGCGACAGAATCAGCAACAGCAAGTTCAAGCGCGCCCGCTTGCACCCGGCGGCCCGCAGTTTCACCCAGCCAACCCGGAGGGGGGGCTGGCAGGGGCACTATTTGCCGCGTTGTGGCCGCACATATGGCTGTTGATAAGGCTGGGCGTCTTCGTATGGTGGTTTACGTCCTCAGATACGAGCTGGACGCGTTGGTTCACCATCATGGCTATTGCCACGGCCGTTTTCCTCGTCAACACGGGTCTTCTGAATGGGGTGGCCCACAACATCTTCAACCCTGTACGGCAGCATCTCGATGGACTGATCCCACTGGGTGCTCCTGGTCCAAATGGAAACCGCGAGGCAGGCGGCAACAATGCTCCAGCGGCAAACCAAGCAGCAGTTGGAGGCGGCGACAATGATAACCGAGAACGACAACCGCAACCCGGACAGCAGCAAGGCGGGCCGGACCCCGCCCAGGCTGCCGCGCGATTGATGGCTCAACGACAACAACAGAATGCGAACTGGTTTCTCGATCAGGTTCGTCGTCTTGAACGGGCAGGCCTTCTGTTTCTGGCCAGCATCGCTCCAGGGGTGGCAGAGCGGCACATCGCGGCACTGGAAGCTCAGGAACGGGCAGAGAGGGAGCGGAGAGAGGCCGAGGAACGTGCTGAGCGGGAACGTAGGGAGGCCGAGGAGCGTGCGGCCGACGAGGCCACTGCTGCTTCGGCTGATGATGCTGCAGCTCCCGGCGAGACACAGAATACAGACTCTTCGCAGGCTGTGGGTGGAGGAAACGAGCAGCAGCAACAACCGCCAATCGCTGCGGCTTGAATTTCAACGGCTATGGACACAAAAGAATTCTCTTCGTTTCAAAGGCAAATTGTATTACTATTGCATTTGAGATTTAGTTTGGGAGGGACATTGAGATATCCTGTGCGAGCACAAGATGCCGCAAACCATTTAGCACGGAGTTGAAGGGCCAAAACAACAGACAACCCATTATCTCGGACCAGACAGTGTGTCTACAATACACCATAGATAATACCAATCACCCCAAGTTCCAAGGAGTAGTCATTCATGCCTGCACACCTGGCCACGAACTTTTTATGGGAATCGATGCCTCGGACCATTCTCCAGCTCACGGCCGGATGAATTCCCCTGACGGCTGTGGCACCCCGGTCCCTGTTGGCCGGCTGGAGCAGCCGAGCCTCGGTACAATTCCCCGCAAAGCGTCAGTGCCGGTCCGGGGAATATCTATCTACTTACTTCACTTCACATCAATTAAAAGCATTCTTAGCATTTTACGTGACTGTTGATGTGAGACATATTACCTGTTCCGTTTCTGGTTCTTCGCAAATCCCTGTCAGCACCTACAGGACTATTTCAAGACCTGGAGCTTGGTCACTAGACGTAATTGCGTCCTCGATACAGTGAGTCTAGGTCCTGCATGTCACTGAGTCTCGACTGACACGAGCCACAGGAGATATCCAGAAGCAGTGATCTTTACCGCGCCAGACCTCCACTCACTTCATCCAAAATGGCGGACGTCAATATCCAGGACTTCCCCTCGCTCTTCAGCGTCAAGGGAAAAGTTGCCGTCGTTACCGGCGGCTCCCGAGGCCTAGGGCTGACAGCAGCCTCTGCGTAAGTTTTGATAGAATGAGACACCTTACACCATTCAGTGGATGATACAAACCGGACAAGAAGAGATCCAAACTTACTGACACCTGTTATTCAGCCTCCTCCAGGCAGGCGCGTCCAAAGTCTTCATCAGCTCCCGCAAGGCCAAGGCCTGCGATGAGGCCGTCGCCGCGCTGAACAAGCTGCCCAACCTGTCCCCGGGGGCGCAGGCGATCTCCGTGCCGGCGGACAGCAGCACGGTCGAGGGCGTGCAGAAGCTGGCGGACGGCGTGGCGGCGCACACGGAGCACGTGGACATCCTGCTGGCGAACGCGGGCGCGACGTGGGGCGAGGCCTTCGACACGCACCCGGACAGCGCCTTCGCGAAGGTCATGGACCTCAACGTGCGGGCCGTCTTCAACACGGTGCGCCTGCTGGCGCCGCTGCTGCAGAAGCGCGCGACCGTCGACGACCCCTCGCGCGTCGTCATCACCTCGTCCGTCGCCGGCCTCGGCGTCGGCACCCTCGGCCGCCAGGGCACCTACGGCTACAGCGCCTCCAAGGCCGCCGTGCTGCACCTCGGCCGCAACCTCGCGCTCGAGCTCGGCCCGCGCCACATCACCGTCAACAGCATCTGCCCGGGCTTCTTCCCCACCAAGATGTCCAACGGCCTGCTGGAGCTGTCCGGCGGTGTGGAGAAGCTCGCGGCTGGAAACCCGATGAAGAGACTGGGGCGGCCTGAGGATATTGCGGGCGCGATAGTATATTTGTGCTCGAGGGCGGGGAGCCATGTCAACGGTGATGCCATTGAAATCGATGGAGGGGCCTTGTGGCAGCGTGGTGAGCTCATGGCACCGGGCGAGGCGAAACTGTAGAAGATTAGTGTACTTGAGGTGTTTGAAGATAAATGCAAATTGTGCTCTCTCAGGTGATAGTCTTATTCCTGCTCTATATCAGACGTCAGATACAATGCATCTGTAAGGTCTCTCTATGATGTCTATCGTGCATATCGAGCCTTCTATCAGGAGCCACACAAATGCGCATCTTGTAAAGACTGCCTAGGTAGTAAGTCCTTCTCAGCCAGACCTTTCAAATACAGATTGCGGCAGTCTTCTGCAAGACTCGTCGAGTACAAGCAAGTCTGTCACTCCCCCTGCGACAAGCACTAAAGGTCCCAGTCAGAAACCCATCTGCAGCCCCAGCTCACCATCTGCCATTGACCAAGAGAGCTTGACGTTTATTATTCCAGTTGTACTGCCTTCCATTCCCTTCCACCCATGAGACATCACAAGTATTTGAACAAGCTTGATATCGATAACATCCCGCGGTGTTCATTCATAGTAGTGACTGTCACGAGGACTTCCCTCATTTCTCTTCGCGTCGTCCAACGCCTTGTATGGGATAATTTTGACGAGTTTTGTAGTGAGTTCCATTTCAAAGACCTCTATAGGCCATGAGAGACCCGTTGGGCCTTGTAGTCTTCTTCATCCGAAGGAAAAGCCGCAGTGACAGTGGCTCACCCTCAGCACTCTAAGCAGCTGGCTTGCGGGCCACCCAGGAGGACGCGTGGTAGACGGTCTGTAGCATTGACTTGGGGTCCTGGATGTAGGGAGCCCGGATATTTGTCTCCCAGGACTCGACGCTGAAGCCAACCTTCTCAACCAGCGCCCTCACCTCGTCGTCAGACAGCTCGAAGTTGCCAGGGTCCGCTATGCCTGTCGAGTTGTTGGGGTCGTGCTCTCCGTCACCATCATCATCGTGACCGTGGTTACCTGGGGCTCTATCCTCGAAGTGCCAGAGAAGAGGGCCGATATTGACCAGGATACCGCCAGGCTTGAGGCAGTGGAAGATGGTATTGAGGTAACGTATCAGGTTTGGTGCTGTGTCGAGGAAGAAGACGGTGGCCACGGCGTCGTATTGGGCACTATGGTCGTCGTCACCATACAGACAGAGGAAATCTGACGCGCACATAGACATCGCACCTACGCCTTCCGTGTTCGCGAGAACAGTCGCAGGGTGAATGTCTGGGATCTTGTAACTCGTGAGATGACGGTCTCTGGTAAGATGATTGGAGAAGGTGTGGATCCAGGGGAATATCTTGTGCTGTCCCGCTTCGCGACAATTGTTTAGTATATAGGAAGATGCCAGCAGCTGATGGTAAGAGATCTCGTTGCCTTCGGTCTCGCAGCCTTCCAGGCACAGATCGAGGACTAGCCGGCCAAGACCAGCCCCAGGGACGAGGACATTCAGGTGTTGGATCTCGGGGTGCCTCCTTCGCTCGGCAGCCAGGGCTCGCTTGACAGGGCCATAGCAGGCCTCTCTCTCCTCTGCTCCCTCTGCAGACCAGTCGCGGTAGAATTGACGGATGGTGCTTCTGGACTTGTCAATGTCTCCGTATTTTGCGACCCCGACCCATTCCTCTGGCATGGTGGGGAAATCGCCCTCTGACGACGTTTCCTTCACGGCTAAGCTCTTCAGGCCGTGCTTGACAATGCCCCTGGCAAGCTCGGCGTTGGAGTCGATAGCCTCGTCGACCTTGTCAAGGGTCTCAAGGTAGTTGAAGGGCGGAGCAGCCAACATTTTCCAGTGAGCCTCTGGGAGCGCGTAGAATGACTGGCGACGCAGGTGTGTGCAGTTGAAGTGAGCCACCCTGCCATATTGTCTGGGAGAGTGTGAGCTTGCAAATTTGTTGGGTTGAGAAGCAAATCAAGATACCGCAGAAAAAGTCGAAAATAAATACAGTAAGACTTTCAGACAGACAGAGGAACACCTGCGCACATGACAAAAGACAGTTGCGATACAATTTGGATTCGGTACAAGCCAATGTCAGTTCTCTACATAGAAAAACTGCAGATTGTGTGGTGGGCCAAGCGAAAAGAAGCTCAATACCAAATGGGTGACAGTGAGGGGCACTCACAGAAAAGAGTCAAGGGCGCAGAAGATGACTCTTGCCTCCTCCTCATCAGAGACCGTTTCCTCCAGACCTTGCCAGTCACGCTCCTCTGAAGGCGCTGAGTCGACCATGGTGCCTGTCTCTAGCGTGCTCACAACCATGTGGTGAGGTTGTAAAGTCTATTGGTGCTGCAATGGGCGAGTCGTGGTCGAAGTCTTCTCAAGCCCGAGTCTGGGTCGTGCTCAAGGTGCTTAGCTGTGGTAAAGTAGCTCCGACAGCGAAACCGGCGACAGAAAGAATGCAGGCCTGGTCGGTCACGGTGCACTCGGGTGTCTGCTGATGAGATGCATTTTGAAGGAGAGGGGCAATCGAGAATGTAAGACAAGGAGGACACCCAGGGGAAGAAGGGCGAAGAAGAGAAGAGAAAAGTGAGAGGGTCTACGTCAGCACAGAAGTAGACATGTTCGCGTTGTTGTGGTCTTTCTAATCTGCTTGTTGTTTTCCATCAGTGACGATTTCCCTAGTGCCCCAGGTGCGCATGCATCGGCATCTTGCAGCTCAAGCCCAGCTGGCTTGCTTGAACACTAGGGGACGGAGAGCTGGGGAAAGCGGGCTACGTCCACTGAGAGCCCCTATGGACCAGGGGTAGCTTGCAGGCCCAAGAGCTCACCCAGAAGCTACCAACACACCTAGGTAGGCAGGGAGGAGAGAATACTGCAGCTTCCAACCTGCATCTCGACTCCGATCTTAAACCTTGACCCAGCCAAGAAGAATTGTGCCGAGATCATCGCCTTGGCTGCTGTACACCTCACGCAACCTTATTGACTAGCAGGGTGGCTTTCGGCATATCAAGCCTCGAGATTCGAGGCTGTCAGGTTTTTGCGATCTGCCGTGTGGTCTTGCTTTCTCATCACCTGCAAGCCAACCAATCCCCCAAACCGAAGCGGCATTGACGATGGCGACGGAGACCTTCCAGCTTTCATTTCCCTTGCCTCGGTCCCTTGAGGCCCGGGTCTATGTCCGCTTGATCATCCAGGCCAAGTCCATCATGATCTTCCTGACCACCGCAGCGGCAGACGAGCTTGGGACACCACCTCCTATGGGCTCCTTTGTCTATGCCCTGCCTGATGTGAGTCGGTTCCTTTTGCTGTACAATCAGGCCACCGAAGACAGTGCTGATTTGAGATCGTTCGTTAGAAGCTCAACCCGGGCCAGCCACTCTCGACCCCGCTGTATACAGCTGGGTCATCAGAGGACTTCACCACGCGGTTGGCGAGGCTGATCGCAAAAAAGGCCCAGCTGCCCGTCTATGTCGCGAACTCGATGAGCTTTTCTAGCACCGGCCTGGGCGGGACGGTCGAGGAGGAAATGGAGGCGTTCAGGAGAGTCGTGGAGGTGGTCACCGTGAAGCTTCAGGACGTACTCGGCATCACCACCGGCGTGTCTGCCATGTCTGTCAGCAGCTCATGAGCCATTTCCCTGCCAGCCTGCCCAACTTCGAGCCATCCAGACACCACAGCGTCCACTACCAGCGTGTACACTGGTAGGAAGGAGGCGATACGGCTTGGCAGGAAATAGACCAAAACGTTCTATCGCTGACGAGGACTACATCGTAGATCTGGCAGGAAAGTGGAGCCAGAGCCGGCTTGTGCTACCTTCATTCGGCAAGCTCGACCCAGACACCTGCCACAGTGACACTTCCCGCTTGTCGATGGAGAGCCAACGCACCTGGCCGGGTGGCACAGATGAGACCTGTGGACCCAGATCTCACTACAAGGGGGAACAGAGCATCAGACGTGCAAAGTCTTCCCGGTACAATGGACAAAGCTCTATCGCAGGCCTCCTACGAGCCTACGCTAGTATGGAAATGAAGCTGTTTGCCTGGGCATACAAGAGTACACTCTTTGCCTTTTCTAAGAGGACCTTTGTGCGGCTACATGTCTGAGGCACGCATCTGTGTTGAAAATGATCGACCGTACGCAGGCTTCGGATCTGCAGTTTATCACGTCAAACTCACGTCAAATGCGAGTGGCCGAGACTTTACTTTATGGAGATTCCTTTCGATGGATCGAGCCTACCTTTGACAATTTTGCTTTAATGTGTCGTGCTAGAAAATGAGCTAGCTAAGGAAACATATGAGCACATGTGCGACCTTATTTGCATGGGGTGCTATAATCCTCTATCCCACACGGCATACGATGTTATCTGCAGCAAGTTGTGAAGACGAAGTGGCTCAGGTCATGTACTGACCGGTGAGATCCCTGTGGGCGTTCTACATTGGAATACGCAGTTGAATAACAGGGTACTGAGCGGGAGACCGCTTCACGGGCCAGGATTTCAGCGTCTGACATCCACGTGCAGGCCCGGCGGTGAATTCACACAAGCAGCAGTCCTGCATCCGATATGGAGCTTGATAACTGCTATGAGAAGCAGCACAGAGTGCATTCGTTCACGTGCGTTGGACGGTTGGCTGCCGACCTATTTCCTTCCGTCTAGCCCCATGTTCTCCAATGCGTTGCGAAACTACGCTGAAGGCTGGTCGGCTGAATGAAGAGGAAGAAGGAAACAAAAGTAAACAGAAGGAGAACCACCGCTGGAGTGCACAGCAACGCGGTGGGTGACATTGTTCAGGTGGCCGGCCTGTCTCAGCCGAGCCGCACTGCTGACCGGTCTCCTCAGCCCCAGGCCACGGGCGACAGGAACACGGGTAACTAGACCAGTGGATTCGGCCGTCAGGATGAGTCCCGGCCCTATCGCCGCTCAATCGCCGGCATGACCCCCAATTCGATTTGCAGGCGGCCGGAACGACCACGAGCAAGCGTCGATGGTCGGCAGTGAAAGAGTGGGAACCTCGAGAAAGAGGCAGACCAGGGGCAGTTTCCGCCCGGATTCTGCAGAGCAGCAACAGCCCGCTTGCTGCTGGGCTTCAGTACATGCGGGCTACGATTGCTAGGTCACACACAGGTGGCACGACCTTATGGCTGCTGGGCTCGTGAACCCTGTCCACGACGTCCCCTCCGTGCGACCACACGACAGCTGGTTCTCAACAGAAGAAGCCCGGCAAACCAGGGAACAGAGTGCCGTGCCGCTGCTCACAGGAGGACGGTGCATGGCCGTTGAAATGCTACGTCAGGCCGGTGGAGGACGGCTGGATTCGAGTGTATTCCGATCCGCAGCGATCGCTCTGCCAAAGTCGCCCAGGTCTGAGGCAGGGAGGAATAGACTTGCAGGTGGTGCTGATAAGCAATTCACTGGCTGTACAGACAGACGTCACTCTGTAACAACCACTCCTCTGGGATTGACTATGGGCTGGAATGGGGCCCAGGGGCTTGAAGGGGCTGGCCGGGCCATCTTCTGGTCGGAGCGGGATGTCTGGACGTGGGCATCAAACCCTGCGGAGCCCCCAAGACAAGACAAGACAAGATTAGACAGCGAAACGTGAGGGAAGCGGGACAGCTCTCTAAGCGAAGGAGAAGAGGCGAAAGGCGAGAGAGAGAAGGGCTGGTAAGGTTTGAATTGCCGCTTGCAACGCACGCACACCCACACCGCATACAGACACGCAACCACAGGACCACAGGACAGGAAGAGGGGGAGGGAGGGATAGGATCAGTTCTGTGTGTCTGCTTGTCTTATCGATAAGGCTGGGCCAAATCGACCCACTTAGAATTCTTTGCCCTCCAACAATAAGTCCATTCCAAAAGATTGCAAGGTTCCAAAGTTTGCAGCATGTCGCGAGTAGAGAAAAGAAGAAGAAAAATTAGTAGCACAGGGACTTTGCCGACCGTGAACTCCATTCAGGGCCGGCAGGTCTGTCATCCGCTAACCAGAGGCCACCGGGCCCCTTCTAAACTTGGATGCTGACTGGAACCAAACCCTGGAGGGAACGAGGTACCGTGGGCCAGCAAGAACTCTGTACTGTACTGTATGTACCTAAGATCCTGGCAGTCTCCATGCACCCATGCCAAACCCACAAGCATCTCCAAGCTCAGAGTAGAAAGATACAAAGCGAACGATTCCGACCTATGCAAATTTATCTGCACAGCCATTCCCATCTGATGAACTAGATGCAAAGGTTGTCAGCTGCTCCTAATTGTATTTTTTGTTGTTAGTTTACCTTCTTCCCATATACTTGGGTGCTGTGACCCAGCTGTCTCTCTTGAATGAACTTGAATGAACAGGCTGTGCCTTCTGGTGCCGCAAGAAGCTGCAGGTGGTCCCTCAGACCCGTGATCCACTAACAAGACAAACCTTACCCCACCACCGCAACCACCACCACTCCCACTCCCACTACCGCTACCATTCCTCCACGGCAGACTTGATGCGCTCCTAGCGACAGCCCACCCCGTTCCAGTCGCTTGCCCTTTCCTCTACCAACCCAGCACCCTCGACAGCCCTTCCCACCACCGACAAAAAGACGAGAGAGCCTGCGTTCCTCACTATCTAGCCGACTACCACCAGCTAGCTGTCCTGGAGGAGGTGCCCGCTGAACACCGCCTTCACCATGGCGTGGCAACCTTCCCCAGAGTCTCTTCAGACTCTGGCCGTTTACCTCAAGGACTCCCTCAGCGGCTTCGACAAGAATGCTCAAAAGAAGGCTGAGCTTGTAAGTCGCCTGTTTCTTCCTAGTCGAGCCTGGGTTGGCGCGAATCCGAGAGAGAAGAGCAGCCTTGCTGACCGAGTCCTCAGATGCTGTCACAAGCTAGGAACTCCCCCGACTTCAACAACTACCTCGCCTACATCTTCTCGAGCTCCCAGCTGCCTCCGGGCCTCAACTTCAGTCCCGAAGACTACAGCCTCGTCCGCTCCGCTGCGGCGGTAATGCTGAAGAACAATGTCAAGCTCCACTTCAAGCAGATCGAGGAGTCCTCGTTGAGCCTGATCAAGATGGCTGTCCCCATGGGCATCCAGGACAAAGCCCCGCAGATCCGTAGCTATGCTGGAAACATCGCCACGGAACTCATCAACCGAGTTGGCATCTACGGCTGGCCCGAATTCCTGCCCGAGCTGCTGAAGTTGATCGGGAATGAGTCTGGTCAGGTTTCTCCCGAAGGCCAGGAGGGCGCCATGGCTGCGATGGCCAAGATCTGTGAAGACAATGCGAAAATGCTGCAGCGCGAACAGAACGGCCAGCGGCCGCTCAATTACCTGTTGCCAAAGTTTATCGAGGCAACCAAAAGCCCTTTGCCGAAAGTGCGCGCTCAGGCGCTCACTGCTATCAACGTTTTCACGCCGCGCAAGTCACAGGCTATGCTCAACTGCATAGATGACCTTCTTCAGCACTTGTTTGTGCTGGCCAATGACTCCAGCGAGGATGTGCGCCGCCAAGTCTGCCGTTGCTTCGTGCAGCTGGTCGATACTAGGCCCGACAAGCTTGTACCTCATATCAGTGGATTGGTGGACTATATTATCACGCAGCAGAAGAGCGACGAGGAAGAGCTAGCCTGTGAAGCTGCCGAATTCTGGCTTGCAGTCGGCGAACACGAAAATCTGTGGCAGGCTTTGGGCCCTTACATCCAGAAGATCATCCCTGTACTTTTGGAATCCATGGTCTACAGTGGTGAAGACATCGCTTTGTTGGGCGGCGCATCAGATGACGAGGATGAGGAGGACCGTGCTGAGGATATCAAGCCCCAATTTGCGCAGGGCAAGTCAGCACGCAAGGCCGGCGCCCAGCAATCCGCCGATCAGGCGGAAAACGGCAATGCGTATCAGAAGCTCGCCAGCATGGACGATGACCTCGAGGAGGGCGAGATTGACGACCTCGACGAGGACGGCGATGAGAATCCCGACGAGAGGTGGACACTGCGCAAGTGCTCCGCAGCCGCCCTGGACGTGTTTGCCCGCGACTTCAGAGACCCGGTTTTCGAATGCATCCTCCCGTATCTGACGACACACTTGAAGCATGAAGAATGGCCGCGCCGCGAGGCCGCAGTTCTCGCCCTCGGAGCGGTTGCGGAGGGGTGCATCACAGTCGTCACGCCCCATCTGCCAGACCTGGTGACATACCTTATCTCACTTCTGAATGACCAAGAACCTGTTGTCAGGCAAATCACATGTTGGACGCTTGGTCGTTACTCGTCGTGGGCTGCTAACCTCAAGGACCCTGCTCAAATCCAGTCCTATTTTGTGCCCATGATGGAAGGCATACTGCACAAGATGCTTGACCCAAACAAGAAGGTGCAAGAGGCCGGTGCCTCTGCTATGGCCAATCTGGAGGAAAAGGCCGGCAAAGTCCTAGAGCCATACACGGGACCAATCATCCAGCAATACATCCGGTGCTTTGCCAAATACAAGGACAAGAATATGTACATTCTCTACGACTGCGTACAAACGCTCGCTGAGAACGTCGGTCCTGTCTTGGCACTGCCCCAGCATGCTGGTCAGCTAATGCCTGCGCTGATTGACCGATGGCAGAAGGTGGCGGACGAGTCGCGAGAGATTTTCCCACTCCTCGAGTGCTTCTCATATGTCGCTATGGCTATGAGAGATGAGTTCGCTCCCTACGCGCATCCCATTTTCAGACGCTGTGTGACTATCATCCACCAGAATCTCGAACAGACAATGGCAGCAAAGACCAACAACAACTTTGACCAGCCAGACAAGGACTTCTTGGTTACGAGTCTTGACCTTCTCAGTGCCATCATCCAATGCCTTGAGGACGACAAGGCGCAACAGTTGGTCAAGGATGCGCAGCCAGCGTTCTTTGAACTACTAAACCTCTGCATGGGTGATCCTGCAGATGAAGTTCGCCAGTCAGCATACGCCCTCCTTGGCGACTGCGCCAAATACGTCTACCCTCAACTCCAAGCCCACCTACCGTCAATATTCCCCATCCTATTACGCCAGCTCGACTTCGACAACATTGTTGATGAGGAGATCGATGGCTACTTCAGCGTTATCAACAATGCTTGCTGGAGTGCCGGTGAGATCGCCATCCAACACGGTAAGGGCATGGCGCCGTTCGTGTCTGACCTCATGGAGCGCCTGGTGCAGATCATGGCGAACCCAACAATCCCAATCAGTGTGAACGAGAACGCCGCCATTGCTCTAGGAAGGCTAGGTCTGCAGAACGCGGAGGCTTTGGCACCCCAACTCCAAACATTTGCGGACGAGTTCCTGAGTGCTATGGTCGAGCTAGACTGCACCGACGAGAAAGCCAGTGCCCTCAAGGGGTTCACCATGATTGTTGCACAGAACCCGCAGGCCATGGAGAAGAGTCTGCTTTCCTACTTTATGTGCATCGCACGGTACAACACCCGACCACCAAGTGACATTAACAAGGAGCTGCACGAGCTATTCCAGAATGTAAGCTGCCAGCATACGCACATCTATAAGACTCATTGTACTGACTTGATTTGTAGATTGTCAACGTGTACAGACAGATGATTCCTCAGTTCGACCAATTTATCAGCCAGATGCCAGCCGAGGAGAAGGGAGCTTTGAAGACCAAGTTCGGGCTTTGATCTTGCGTCCTGACTGGATGAAGCTTGACAGAATCATAACGAGACTATATTATGAACCAAATGAGAGCAATTGGCTACTATGATCATGCTGGAGACCGAATGCCGGTGTCACATGTCTTGCTGAGTCGAGAAAGTCTCGGGTTGACAAGAAGGTCGCTGTGATATGAGAGTGGTCGGGTGATTACCTTCGCGCTCACAAAAGGCGATGGCACATCTCGATGAAGGGGAGGGTGGACGTGGTGGGACAACGGGATAATGGCCAGAAATGGAAGATGCGGGGGGCACGACGAATTACAGATACGAATTTGACGGATGGCGTGTCAACGACGCAAAGACTTGACGCGGAATGAAGCCCCAGACCATCCACCAGAGGGCTTTAGCCATCCATGGGTGGCCGAAACAGGATGATGAATGGATGTGCTGCTACTTACTTTGGGGAGGCCGGTCGGCCGTTTGCCAGTGGGGGAGGGCGTAGTACCGCCCTGATTGTTTATCGTGTCAAGCAAGGCGCTTGTCTGGGTAGGTGGGAGCGGTGGATGTGGGTGGAGCGGCCGCGAGTCCTTCACAGTACGGCGAACAATTTGTGTCCCTGTGACAACGGGTTGGCGGTTGACAATGCCAGAAAAAAAAACCTTTTAGATAGTCTCGTAGATAGATACCGGTGATACACATCATCCTCAACAGCATCTGCCAGTTACTTGCTTAGTAGTAGCTAAATGGGAGTCAAGAGATCGTGTGGGTCTCATTAGATACATAAAGTCGGAGGTGAGCCACGGTCTGCCTCGTAGATTTCTTCATGAACTTACAGTAGCACTGCGTCATAGTCAGCCTGCAGTACTTCTCATATTATCATGGAGATCTATGGAGGTCATTGGATAAGCATCTATTCTGTGTTAGCCTGTCCCATAGAAGATCATCGTATGGGAAGCGCGCTAAGGCAAATTGGTGAGTTAAGATCATTAATCTAATACTGGTATATCAGTCATACGGTTTCTAAGCCTTCGCAATACACCATTAACACACAACCCATTCTACCCCCAGCGAACACTTCTCAACCCTCCCAGGCTCTCAAAACAGCCATGGATGCAACCACGGGATGAAGCTACATAGGAGGTTTCTAAACAGCATGTAAGGAGCGGACCACTCGATCTTCGCATTGCCGCGCGACAAGACGCTGACGCTCTCGCCAGCCCACTGCCCAGCGCCCTCCTCGGCGCACTGCACCATGCCGCCCGCGACGTCCAGGAAGCTGACAAACGTCTGCGACGTCTCGGTGCTCAGCACGTGGCCGCGGCGGACATCCTTGGCGATGCCGCCCGGCTTGACGAACACGGCGTCGACCCAGTCTGCGCGGTCTCGCAGGTACCGCTCCGCCGCGATCAGGTCCGTGTACACCCACCAGTTAGCCGTGTAGAGCACCCGCCGCACCGCCCAGGGGATCTCGCGGCAGAGGCGTGCCTCGTCCGTCTCGGCTGAGGAGAGCATCACTAGTAGGGGGAGCTTCGTCTCCGTCGCCGTCCCGTCGGCTTTCTCGCCCGAAATCCGCTGTTGTTGCTGCTGCTGTTCTGTGCGCAGGGCGTCCAGCGCCGCCACGACGGCCTCGGCCTGGTCGCGCGCGATGCGCAGGTGCGGCTCGTTGTCCGGTTTGGCCACGCACAGGAATACGGCCTTCGTGCCGCGGATGCAGTCCGTCAGGAGCGGAATATCTGATACGTTGCCCTCGAATACCTGTAGCTTGGAGGCCTGTTGCTGCCGCGCCGTGATGTCTGGGTACATGCGCTCGAGCTTGGCCCTCGATCGCACCAGGCAGTTGACAGGTACGTCGGGCCGCTCTGAGGCGAGGACCTGGAGGATTGAGCCGCCTGTTTGGCCTGTTGCGCCGAGGATGGCGTAGGTTGCTGGAGGCATCGTTGTGAAAATGAATGGGAGTTTTCTTCCTGCGTATTGAGATGGTGCTTCTGCTGCTGGTTCAAGGTGTAAGAGGTCCCACAGAGTCGATATTGTACCGTATTACAGTTCACGATAGAGATATGCTTTCGAATCAATTTTAATCCAAGGACAAGGGCAGACTCGAGCACATATATACTTGCCCCATTCGGTTTTCAAAAAGGGCTAAACAGGTGAGTTCCGTCCCGATCCACCGCGGCGACTTAGACAACCCGAGGAGCGAACAAACCTTAAAGCATCGGGTCCGTGTTGCATTGTGTCCGTGATTAGCCCGATCAGAATGTCTGTATCTCGGAGTGACACCTTGTGCCTTTTGCGTTATGCGTATCTTGTGGGAGGCATCAGATCAGTCGTAGACGTCACGCCGCAGGGTCTCAACGGGCCGTACTACGTACGCGGCTGTAAGCTCAAGCCTCCCGCCCGTGGGAGCGGGTAATCAAGGTGTCACTTGACCTCCTCGGGCATTTGCAGTTTTTGGCGAGTCTTTCTCTCCCAAAATGAACGTGGAAATGTTGTAGTGGGGGCTAGTGGGTTTCTCATGATTTTCCCCCCTGATCTCGGACGGTTCTTAAAGTAGATGTCCGAAACCATCCGCAATGTCTTAGTGTGCGATTCGCATATCAACATCATGACAACACTCTTGGATAGCATCATCGGCGCATAAGACAGATCTTTACGCTGAACTTTTAAAGATTAATTTCGATGCTGTGCAGAAAGACATGATATCGTACCTTGGTACGGTGAAGATGTCTACCTACAGCTTCGCCACAACCTTCTGCTCAGCTGCCTCCTCGGCTTCGTCCCGTAGTTTCGCCGCCTCAACTGCCTCGAACTCTTCCCACTGACAACAATACATCCAGATTTTGATCGGGTAACCCTCAGAAGATCCACCGTAAACATATGTCTCCCCTTTCGCATTACCGCCAGCACTCATCCAGTTCGCCCCGTGAATCAGCACACCCGTCCTCCGCGCCTCCTCGTCAGGGACAACGCCATCACCATCATCCTCACAATCCATGTCCTCATCCTCATCATACACGGCCTCCTCATAGACACGAGGAAGCCTCTCTCCGTACAAAAACTCCTCAATGCCCCTGACGAGATCCCCCTTGGTGACACCACCGTCGTTCCGAAGCGTGAAGCTGGGCTCAACATCGGGCAGGCAGCACGGGCACATGGCGGCTTCTTGCTGCCGGAACAGCGTGACGGCGAAGGCCTTGCAGGGCGGCGACGTCAGCTTCTCCGCGATGGCGGCGTCGGCCGTGACTTTCTCGCCCAGGCGCGCGAAGACGCCGCGCCAGTAGGCCTGGAAGGCACCCGGCGAGGCGGCGTCGAAGGCTGGGCTGGAGGGAAAGGCGTCGCGCGCGGCCTTGAGGACCTCGTCGATTACCTCGTGCCACTTCTCGACCATTTGTGTGTCTGAGTCGGCATCTGAGTCTGGAGTAGGGGCCATTGTGGCGTCTTGCTCGCGCTCGTCCGGTTTTGTTCGGTCCGCGAGGACCACGGCTGAGTCTTGAGAGTTCATGATGGATGGATGGCGTGGTATGCTGTGGGCTGGAGTACCCAGGCAGAGCCTCACATTTATAGAGCACTTTATACTCCATATTTCTTGACCTTGCGCATGTTGGTGGCGAGTTGGGTGTGCCCAGCCTGAGGCCGAAAGTCAGCCTGCGGCGCAGCACCGTGCTGCCTGTTATAGGCTGGCAACCCCTCGGCGGCCCCATGCATCTCTTTGGCCTCACTAGGCTCCTGCAGCGCGCGCATATATGCAGCCACTGCGGTGAGCCTCATCAGAGTAAGACGCCAAGTCACCGGCAAGACGACTCCTCTTCACTGACTGGTTGATTTGAACTTGCTTCGTAATGTATTGGAAATATTTGGTATATGTAGTCAACCTCTCCGCGCCGTGCAATGCAAGCGACATTGACACCCAAAGACTCTACGTCTAGGCATCTAACCCCCCTCTCCTCTAGCCAGAAGAACCTCTCTCTTTCTTTCTTCTCTCATTGTCTCGTCTAAACTCTCATCTGAATTCCTCTCTCTCTCTAAGCACCAAAGGCCTTGAACTTGGTCTCGATGGGCGCGTACGTCTTCTCGCCGGCGGCGCCGGTCTTGCCGCCAAAGACGAGCTGGGCCTGCAGCTTCCAGCTGGCGGGGACCTTCCACTCGGCGGCGACGCGGTTGTCAATGAGGGGGTTGTAGTGCTGCAGGTTGGCGCCGAGCCCCTCGGCCTCGAGGGCCGTCCACACGGCGAACTGCAGCATGGCGTCCGAGTGGCCCGCCCACGTGGGGAAGCGGTCCGCGTACAGGGCGAACTTCTCCTGCATGCCGTTGACGACGTCCTGGTCTTCGAAGAAGAGGACCTGTTTTTCACGTTTTCGGTCAGCTAGGAGCTATAATTTGGGCGGTGGAAAGAGATGGGAATGGTTCTGGAATGTGACGTACGGATCCGGCGGCGCCCTTGAACATGGCCATCTTGCCGGCGGTGCCCTCCCACTGCTCGGCCGGGACGATGGGCTTCAGGACCTCGGTGGCGATGTCCCACAGCTTCTCATGGTCGGCGCCGAACAGGACGACGACGCGGTTGGACTGGGAGTTGAAGGAGGAGGGCACCTCCTGCAGCAGGGTCTTGACGATCTCCTGGATCTTGTCTGGCTGGATGGAGAGGTCTTTGGACAGCGGGTAGTAGGTCCTGCGGTTCTTGGCGAGCTCGATGAGTTGGGAGGCCATCTTGACAGGTGTGCTTGTGGAAAAGAGGCGGGCTGGTGGGGTTTTCCGGTTGGTTGCGAGCAAGGTAGTAGCTGCTGCTGCTGCTAGTCTTGAGGAGGCGAGGGTAGTAGTGGTAAGAGTAGTGGAAGATAAGCTGATGGTCTTGAGAGGGGAGGAGGTAGCCCTCGTGAGGAACTTGGCTCTATTCATATTGCTGCGGCTCGTAGCTTGATGACCAACGGCTGACGAAGAGGGGTTCTAGTTTCTGGAGCTTTGGGAGGGTCCCGCTTGCATACATGCGTCGTGTATGGTCTGGTTTAGGATTGGGACTGGCATGTGCTGTGATCTACCGACAGAAGATGGGTCCGGGCCCGACAGTCCGTCTTCTTTTTATGCGCCTGCCTGCCGTTTTACCCAGGCAGAGTCAATTCGCAGGGTGTAGACACAGGAGAGTACATGGTACTGTACAGTACTTTGTCTTCATCTCCTTTGTAATGCTGCCCAGGCGTCCAGCTCTGTGACCTCGTATGCGCCATAAAATTGCGGGCGTTGAGAGTATCAAGCCTCGGACCTACGGATTTAACCCCCACCACGTCAGTCAGCTCGACGATGGTGATCACTTGTGTGGCCGTTGGATCCAAGCCTACAGTAGCTCCAGGGGGTCGGGAGTACAAGGGCGATGAGGTGATTGGCCCGCGTCGATTTCGAAGCAATTGGAAATCCACCTTTTCGGTTGCCGACGCAGATGACTAACGATTTGAAACCCAGTCCCGAAGAATAACCACCCATCATGTCGTCTTGATAGATGGCCTTTAGATTATCATGTAATCAACCGACCAACCATCCAGCCCCTCAGCCCCTCCACGGAACGACAGTCTTGTTCCGTCGAGGTGGAGCCCCGAGCCAGACCACGAATACGCGTGTGGGCCCTTCACTGTGCAATGTTCCTCGGGGATCTTTCTAGCCACTTCTGTCTCATGAGTCGTGATGGTTTTGCTCCCAACAGCTTTCACTGACGATCCTCGTCCGAACAACCTTTCCTGCGGAGAGCATCGATCGGCCGATTCGAGCCTTTTTCTGAAGGGATGGCGTACTGTCGACATGAGATCATGTCATGTGCCCACGAGCCTGCCAGCCCATGAACAGCACAGTAGCAAGATCCATACGTATCTGCTAACAATAGACAATTGCACTCCGTGCGATGAAGCATTTAAGCTTATACGCAGATCTCACACATCCCACATCGATCCTGACGGCATAATGAGAATGTGGCTTGACTCCTGTATGGATTGATCAATCAGATGGTCTTGTCCTCCCAAGACGGGATCCGCTCCAGGGTAGCTTAGCTGCAAGCCCCACCATCCCGCGCACAAAAGCTGCCAGCGGTGGTGATGACAATGGAGGGGTCGGTTACTGGATGCTAGCTGACAGGACGATCGACAAACCAGCGGGCTTTGTTGAAGTCTGTTTCATTCCCATTGAACGAGGTTGCGGAGCCTCGATAATATATACGTACGTATGTATGTTATGTGACGGGTTGAAGTATTGCAGTAAAGCAAGAAGCACATGCGTGCCTGGCAAGACAGGAGGATACAAACAAGACAGAAGCTCCTATAGAAACGCCGACGAGGTCAACCAACATCCAATGATGCGCTGCTTTTCCTCTTCCCATCCAAGTCCGTGAGGTCCTTGTCAATGATCCCATTTTGTTTCGCCGCGAATACCAAAAAAGAAAAGAAATGGCCAACACCATGAAAAATGCTTGCGCCAATGACCTGAGGATCTAGTGAATCTTTTCCCCCGTCGAGCGCCCATAATAGAGACAAGAAGGCGTGTTGCGCCGAATGCATTGTTGCCGGATCAGATTACCACGTCTCAGCGATGTACTGGCCGACCTGCTTCTTCAGGTCCCAGTACTTCTTGGCCTCGTCCCGGCCCAGGTTGCCCTTCTTCATGGCCACGTCGATGAGCGACTCCTCGACGCCCTCACCCATGCCCTTGCTGCTGCCGCAGACAAACACGCGGCCGTCGACGGCGTTGATGACGTACCACACGAGGTCGGCCTGGTTGATGACCTCTTCCTGGACATAACGGCCCTCGCCAACACGGCTCTCGACCACGCGCTTCACCTCGTCCTCGTGCACGCCCCACTCGCCACTGTAGATCTCATCCACGAGCGAGTCGCGAATGCCCTGAAGCACCCAGACCTTGTTGGCGCAATTGGCCGTCTTGAGGCGGCGCTGTACGAAGCCTCGGAAAGGCGCGATGCCCACGCCGGCCCCAATAAGGAGCATGGGCCCGTCAGACACAAACTTCTTGGCCAGTGGGTTCGCCATCAGGCCCTTGAACATGGGGACGTAGACCTGGGGGTTCTTCTCTCCCCCCGCCTCAGCGTCGATGAACTTGAGTGCCTGCCGCTGGAAGAAACCCGAGCCGACACCCGTTCTTGATCCCTTTCTCCAGTCAGCGGACTCATGAACCGTGACTGCGATTTCGATCAGACGGTGTGTCTTCCCGTCCCGGGTCTCGTACGAGTCGTGAGGGTCGTTAGACAGGGAGTAGAAGCGAGGCATCAGGGGCTGGAGGTGAGAGAGGAGCGCGTCCACAGGTGGCTTTGAGCTGGGGAACGCGTGTAGGAGCTGGGAGACCGAGACATGTGGCCCTGTCCGGAAGTCGCAGAAGGCCCCTTGGCCTTCCCCGGAGCAGAGATACATCAGGATCTTGCGCTCGTTCTCCTCGGTTGCGTGGTCGGCGAGGACGCGCAGCAGCTGCTTCGTAGGTGGGTAAGACTGGATGTCGGAGCACCAAGTCAGAAGATCACGCCGCGTCGTAACCAGCTGCCGGGCCTGGTCATCACCCCATACCGTGGGCCAACGTCCCTTGGTAGTCCGCAGCATGACAGGCTTGTCACGCAGGAATCTTGGCACCATAAGGGTTTCGAGGATCTCGTCGACGTCGGCCTCGTCATTTGGCGCGGATATACCAATGGCTCCTCCGACCTTGAAGTCGACACCCTCTTCATCTGGGTAGTTGGTAATGTCGATATCAAAGTGAAACGTCCTCTTCTCGGCACCTTCCCGTGTCAGCTCACGGGCTTTATGTATGCGAGCTGGGAACACATGGTGTGGGGGATGGGGCTGAACGAATCTCGGAGGCTGGATGGTGGTGTCGAGATCTTCGAGGGAAAGTTGCTGCAGGGTCTTCTGGGTGCTTTGTACCAGAGCATCGCTGACTGTGTCGCTGCTCTCAGTGCCATGAGATGCAGCTGTAGGAGTAGGTGACGGTATGTCAGACGGTCGTCGCAGTGGCTCCAGGAAGGCTGTTTGCTCTGGCGGGTCGATAACATTGGTCAATGTGGTTGGGATCTCGTCGATCTTCAGACAAAGCGATCGGAAGGCGTCGTTGTCTGGGTGCTGGACTTTTTCGTACTTGACCCCTGTCTTCTTTGCGCCGACATTCATGCAGCAGCCCCCACCACAACATCTTGCAGCCAGCTGAGCAGTCGATTCTCCTGTAATGCGCTGGACATCTGCGGCGCTCTGGGCAATGAGACGCGTAGAGGCGCGTCTGCGTCGATTCTCGGTGGTAGGATTTGTCTCGTCTATATCTTGTTCCTCTGCTGATTGCTCAGAGAAAGTAAGGGAAGGGGCAATTGAGGGGGCCTTGGGGCCGGTAGGCTCCTCAGGCGCACAGCATTTAGTGGCCTCGGCCAAGACACGGGCAGTCTGAGTGTGCATCATGTTGGCTGGTGGAGAGGTTGGGACTGTGGTAGCCGGTGGGTTCAAAGAGAGCCCACTGTTGACAGGGCAGAAGAGGCGTCTGTGGGGAGGATAGGATTGACGTATGAATGAGGAAATCCGCGGGGGAGATGGTGGTGGTGATGTATATTGAATACTAGTTTGCTGGATGCATAACCGTCCTTGTGAAGAGGCAACCTTGAAGATATCAGACGGTCGAGCCACGGTCACTATGATCTGGCTATGCAGTGAATTGAAGGAGATTTGACGATTGTGGGTGTTGTACCGTGGATTGGTCAGGCCCAAGATGATTTGAGATGGTGAGAAATCAAGGTAGGTGGTCGACTGCTTAGGTTCGCAGAAGATGCAGCACAGTATGACACAACAAGAACAGTCCACAAGCAGGAAAAAAGTAGTTGCTTGGTCAGAAATTGGACTGGACTGGACTAGTAGTAGTAGTCGTAGTAGTAGATGATGAGATGATGGTGAATTGTTGGTGACCCGAGGTTGGGGAGTGGACGGCGCGCACCTTTTGGTTTCTTTCAGTCGCCCAGGGCTAGGGTGGCTTATCAGATCGCGTCCCCGAGTCGCCCCATGTCCATGATGAGCAAAGACTGACTTGACTAGACCTGCTTTGCTTTCAATGACCCTACCACATACCACACACTCACAGTACACAGTGGCCGGACTACGTGCGTAATGTTCCCCTCTGATTGCCCAATTGGCCTGGGGCTTCGGGCCACTGTGCGACTAAGCCTAATGAACCTTGGAAACCTTGGGCTGGCCCCGATGGTCGGCGCTGGCCGATGGTGGTCTGGCAAGTCCAAGCCCCCCCAATAGCCTGCAATAGCCTTGGGGGGAGAACTTGGACTATGTTTGGTACATCCCCCAGTGCCAACCCTGGTGTCTCTCCCCTTTCAACACCACCCACCTTCCCGGCTTGTTGGGTTTGCCAGGGTCCCCCGGGGAAAAGACTGCGTGTCTTTTCATTTCTCCTTAATTTTCTGGGGCCGCCGAGCCCTGCCCTATCACTCTAATATGGAAGGCCACGAAGCCCAGCACGCAAGCACTGCCGGAGTAAAGTACCTGCGCACGACGCAGTACGCAGTACCTGAGGCTCAGCAGCCTTGGTCTTGGGCAGCCCGGTTGCACATTGATGTTCTATTTTCAATTGACCAAAACTCCCACACCGGCCGGGCCCAGCCTGGCTGACTTGCGTGCATGGCACAGATGGCTGACGTCGTGAACATGGGACAAACCTGCGGTGTGTGAAGATCTCTTCCGGGGTAACAATTAAGTAAACTAAGTTTATAGGGCACTGCAGCATTCAGGCACAGAATCGCCTGACCACGGAGCTGTTGGACCGGGTTTCGTCGAGGGTCATCTTTTGCCGCACTGCACTGCACAGCATACTTTTGTGTCCCCAACGGAATGAAAGCCTTGGGCGTACATGACATGGCATCGCATGACACGACAACACTGCACGACACTGCACGACACTGCACCGCACCACAAGACACGACGCGGAAATGCTGGAAGTCAAATTCTGGCCGCGGAAGTGAAAAACAGGTCCTTGGCATGTTTTGCCGAGGGGATGCGTGATGTCAAGGTTTGGAGAAGGGCTGGAAACAAGCGGAACGGCAATAGGGGAAGGTTTTTCCCTCGTCCCGGATCCGGGCCTGGTACCCGGCACATTGCCGCCTCTCTTCCTCGGTTCCGCGTATTCGTACCTCTGTTCTGGGTGTCTGCATTGTCTGTGTCCCTGTCGACAGGAAAATAGCCAACCTCGCAGCCTCGATGGCGACCAGGCGACCAGCCGCGATGCCGAGAGGAGGATTCCACCACATCTCCACCATCTGACGATAGCGATCCTCTTTCTTATTTCCGCTTCAATCCCCTGACGTCTCCCATGCACGAACGATTAACCATGTTTCTAGAAGCGACCCCACACAATCATGCAGAACGTTGTTGACGTTGCCGAAACCCCAGCCGAAGGGCCACCCGGCCATCCTATCAGATGCTCTAGAGCACAAATGTTTGGGTTTCCAAGCAACAAGCGGGCTGTACCGTCACAAGATTCCGCCGGACACCAAAAGAGGAGAATGCGCGCGAACCGTTGCTCCTCGGAGCATTCCACGGGCTGGAACCGGCAGACGAAGAATTGGGGACAAGATTGTTGCACACAGTGCGACACGAGACGGTCAGACAAAAGGCTAAATCTTATCTGATCCGCCACCCCCGACATCGGGCAATCAATCAATCAATCAATCCCTCGGCTTGCTGCAGTAATACGGAGGTACACGTTGGAACGTGCATCGCCCCCCAGGAGAGCTGATCGATCAGATAAGATTGGAAGCAACGACCTTCATTTCCAGCCGTGTCACACCAACGACCTTGGAGCTTCCCGGGGCACGAACAACCTGTCTTCCGGGCTGGGGTTGGTCCCCTTTGTTGGGCTGATCACCCGTTATGGCAAAGCATGTTTCCGAGCCGGGGCTTCGCAAGAGTTGAAGAGCTGTTCAGGTATCACAGCATCCAACCCTCGGCGTATTCACTGGCATGGTACGCGGGCTGTACTTCACGCGCGCGTGTGTGTACACCATCCCAGACTCAACCCCCGTCTGACCTCCCGACAGCCCCTTGTCTCCCTTTGTTATTGGCGGCGGTGAGAGTCAGCTCATCCACGACCGGCCAACGCAAAGGATGCTCGATGATCGGTGCCACAAACAGGAATCCAGGGTATGTGTCACAACAGGATACGAAAACGCGCAAACAGACAACCTGAATATCCCTCCCGGAAGCTCCGTACCTCGTAGGTAATATGTGGAGAGCCGAGCAGTTCATCGCAATTCATCATCTGAGTGTCCCATGGTTCATCTAGCCTGTGTGATTCCACCAAGACAACACACGACTGGGGACTGCCTGCTGTGGGCTTGACTTGCCATGTCAGCAGCATGTCGCAAGATGAAGCTTGCGTGTCTCGAATCCAACGGAGACAAAAGATCATTGAGATCCTGATAGCCATCCAAAATGGATGAGAGCCGCAGAACAACACGTCTCCCTGGGAAATACCCACCATGTGCCGAACACGGACGTTGAGCTGACAGCAACGATTGACGCCAACAAACCATGCGGACAACGTGTACATCGAGCCTGGTCAACGGAAGAGTGGGAACGTGCTGCAATCTTACAGTCAAGAGAAGAATCTACCCTCGGATGGCCGAGAGTATGACGCCTTGGGAACACCCAGGCCTTGTCCGATCGCTGCTTGCCTTCTTCGATATACGGAGGCACAGGTACAGAACAAGGCTTGTGACTTTTCATCTTGATGTCATGTTCCCTTTCTGCTTCAATTCGTCGCGTCGAACTCCCCAATCGCGTTTTGCAAGCGTGTGTCGTTTGCAATTTCGCGTCCATAGCAATGTCCTAGTCCTCGACTGTCGCGTGGGCCTAGAACTTGCAATCCACTTTTCCTGTCGCGCTATTTCCTTGGGCGAGGCTTGTGATGCCCGTGGTGTCCGGCGGTTTCTCCCGAGTGCTGCCGTACATGCGCCGAGCCGACCAGTCAGGCCTGGTCATCTCGGGCTTTTCTGCCCTCGGTTCTAAGGACAGTAGAGCCTTGGAGTTATCAGGGCTCGTCACAATGCCCACAAGCCATATTTCTGCCAGTAGTATGCTGGCGAAGAGGAGCTCCAGGCCCCAAGGCCGAGCGAGGATGGCCACACGAAAATGGCTGACGGGCCTTGAGCAAGTCCGTATACACTTGTAAATAGAAAGCATCCACAACACCCACATGGCCGCTGGCACACTTGTGACATTGGATGTGGTGGTTAGACAAGACCTGCAAAGACTTGGATTCCATAGAGGGTGAAGTTTGTCGCGTGCTTCTGCCAAGAGGGACGGACACTGCGCAGACTATCGACAAAGTGTGTCGCGCGTATACCGGAGACCCCGAGAGTGAAGGTCACGAGAACTTACCCTTCGAATTGGTCTGCAGAAATCGTTGCCCCTTCCAGCAAAACAGCCAGTGTTGTATCAGAAGTCATCGTCACCGCAAGGAGACAGGAGTCAACTATCTCCCCAGAGGACACGACCTCCAGGCACATACTCGCTCAAAATGCACCCGCGGACCCCAACTCACCTACACTAGGAGTACTCACTCTTCATCGTCTCACAGCTTGAGGCTGACTAGCCTGGTAAATTGAGGTGACCCGAGACGCATACCATCGTGTCCGAGAGTCCGTCATCAGGTCAAGTCCATCCGCAACCTACCGCTGAGAGGAAGATATTCCACCTTGGCAACCTTCTGCGCGCTTCTCGATCCGTGTCATCGATATTTTCAGTGCCTCTACTACCCATGGTGTCGAGGGAGATATCCAAGGATCGTTTTGTATCATAATGACTGCCCAGTCGCGGTTCGTCGCGTCTGTAACTGCCCTCGCCCGTTTTGTTCATTCAGTCTGGACTCAGCGACACCTTGCTGCTGTCTTCAGAACCCTCGATCAAAACAGTCCTATCCAATCCACATGGTGGATGTTGACCGTTTCGCCGCACGACTCATCAAACCCGCATGTCGCGCAAGTAAGCTGTGCAGGTTGCTACAACACATACGACATGCCCATGGTTTGGTATCTAGTCAGTCCCATACTGCCCAGCAGGCATGGCTGGACATCATAGAGCATGTAGGGCTAGCACCATAGCTCATGTATGGCGCCAGAAGTCAGACCATGTGATAATGGCAAGCCGTCTGATGGACAGCCATCCTAACGGTCGTCCTCGGGCGTCACGGGTGTCAGGCAACACATTATCGCCCACCTGCCGAGAGCGACGAGGCTAGCTCGCTGGCTCCGTTGCTCCCCTTGTCCGTCTTCCTACTGACTTTATTAGCATTGGCAAGTTCCTGCAATGAATTGGTGGGTGCGAGACTACCGACTTGCGCCCAAGGTTTGTGACTACCTCGATGTGGCAACGGATACGAGTGCGGATTCCCATGGCGAGTAAGTTTAACCACGTGGGCGGCAAACCCCTTGGACGATTCCAACTCGTCTCATCCCAAGAACTTATCGTAAGGCTGGCTTCACCTCGTGATTTATAGACTTCGACGCAACAGTCTCGTGTCAGTGAGCCGTCCGGTTTCGCCTTCGAGGCTTTTGCGGGTGGCCAACCCTAAAAATAAGCCGACTGAGCTCCTCGGTCGCAAGACTTATCTCGGGGAGCCTAGTGTCATGTGCTTGGCTACTCTTGTTTTTCCCTTCTTCCCGTTTCTTAGGCTTAACCTTCCCTGACGTCCAGATGAGTCTACGTGCATGTGGGAGCTCGTTTGCCTTGATGATCCTCGAACGGCGATGGGATGAAACAGGCGAGGAACATTCCCGAGAAACACCCCATCGGTTCCGTCTGGGGATCACGCGGCCGCCAGTGTGATTGCATGATAGTGCTTACAGAGGCAAACGAGTCTTGACAGTCCTGCTGATTGTGCGGGAAAAGAAAAATGTCCGCAAAGCGAGCAGAGCGAGCGAGAGAGCGAGCGGCATGTTCATGAGAACTTCATGTTTGACACACCAGCGTTCACGAGGCAATCCAACGGCTTGCAGAGGCCAAAGACTGATAAGCAAGGTTTCTTCTTCATTAAACTAGATCAGTTGGCAGATGCAGCTTCGATCTCGACATATTGGGCAGTCGGAGTTTTGCAGAAGCTGTGCCAAGCATGCGCAGATCGAGAGCTTGATCGCGGGCCGGCGGATCTGTGCTTGTCAATCGCGTGTCAGTCACAGTTGGGCGTTTTCCAAGAAAATGTCTACGTCTCAGGCCTCGGCCATGGAAATGTCCTGCGAAACGGTTGGACAGGGCGTTTCTTGGCGCATGCAAGTCACAGTTCGAGATCAGTTTCCAAACTTGTTCGTCTCTCTCTCTGTCTCTCCTCCATCACACATTAAGCCATGACATGCCGGGGTTGATAGTTGACACCACGATGGCGATGACGATGACGGCGGCCCGCAGATTGCCAATGCAGTCAATTGATCTGAAGTGCTCCCCCCAGCCTTACCAGACGCGCGGGCAGATCTGTTACAGTCGACACCTTGCCGTCAATGGATAGCGCGAGCAAGTTAAGACCATGGTACAGCCCTCGTCGGGGATTCCGGCCGCACGGAGAGACCCGACGGAAGGTATAACCTTAATGGCCAGCGCGGACACAGCGTTCCTCGGTACCCAAATAGACCTGGCATTAGTGACACTGCGGCTGAAGTTGCCCGCCAATCGGCCTTGTGGAGACCCATTCAATTTTTGGGATGAGAAGGTCTTGGCAGGAGCAAGTTATATGTACGCTTGTGACCGCTCATGTTTGGGCCGGCTAATACCGTTACAGTCGTGACCTTCACACAACAAACCTGGTCCCCACTCTCTCACTCGGCTCGTTACCAGTTGAACAAGTGGACACTGATGGGGTTTTGCGTTGCTTGTTTTTGCGCAAGCGCCGGCAAGTATGCGATTCGTGGGGGAAAATAGGACGAGGTCCGGGCGAAACCACGGCGAATTCCTGAGAAGTTTGACGAGAAGCGCAAAAATCCGAATGTTTGCTCAAGTGACAATGACATGCCACGGACCACGGGTTCTCGGTGCGTTGAATTCCCATGACCGCTGGAATTGTAATGGAAACTTCGGCTCCGAAGGGTGTTACATTATATTGCGTACCCGTGGCAGAGAGATGGGTAGGGCAACGGCCGAGTTCCGAGTATTCGGAAAGCCGACAGGAGAAGCCAGGGTGCCTAGGTACATGTTGTTTGGCCAGTAGCTGAGAAATGCGCCAGCTGCTGGACTATTTCTACCGCTTATGGAACACGAGGAATGTGGGGAACACTCGTTACGAAAGCTTGTGTGGCTTGTTGTCTGTTAGCACCTGGCAGGACGCGGAGAAGAAGGAGGAGAAGGGACGTGGTTCAGTGTTACCGGTGATGCGGCTGCAACAGTGGAGTCCGGAGTCTGCAGAGACACATGGGCCAAGGAACCGTCTCCTCTAGGGCTGATAGTATCCACCATGCGGAAAATCTCCGGCTGTTAGTTGGAGGCAAGCCTCAATATGCAGATGGCTATTGCGTGCAGTCGGCTGGGGCCCGGTGCACTAACAAGATCGGCCGAAGTGGTCCAAGCGAGATCTTGAAGCGCGGCTGAAGCTGATCCCGACTCCTCCCCTGGCCGGCTCGTTTCAGATGCCCAGCAACAAAATACACGTCTCACTCAGACCTGCTTGACGACCTCTTGCCCGCCACGACGGGTGGATGGCCGGCCCAGCCAGCCACACGGCCAGACAGCCTGCCAGGTACCCGCAGCGTGGGAAGTCCCTTACTGTCACTTCTCTTACATCCTGCAACGGCCGCCTGAGTCTCATCTCAACCCGGCTGGGACACCTGGATCACCAGGCCGGTACCCAACACACTCTGGATCGGCAGCGCGATACCTCGTCCTTGACAGCCGCAGAGGCGAGCCGCCTTGCCCTGTCTGGTCGTTTGAAGCGATGCCAAGCTTCCGGCACCGTCACGGCTCATGGGCCTCGCTGTCGTGAGCCCAAACTGGAGAGACAGGTAGTGTAGCAGACCAGCGCTGCCCTTGCTTGACCATGTCTGGACTTTACGCGGGCGATGCGCTCTTTGGCCTGCCACCATCGCCTTCCTGGCCCGATCTTGTTGTTCCTGTCTTGTTCTGTGTGCTGTGTGTTGTGGGTTTCGTTTCCGTCCGTCTTGTCGGTCTGTCTGTCTCATTATTCATCTCGTCTTTTCTCGTCTCCCTCCACCACCGTCATTGTTGTCGTACTTCCTCCCCTCCAGAGTCACAGCAGTCACCCGTCTCTCCCCATACTTTCCCCTTTCAGTCATTTCAGCCTCATCGCGCCACTATGTCTGTGCCGTGTTAACAAGCGGCCGCCGACGGGAAACTCGCTTGGCTATCAATGCTTGGGAGGCTTGCTGTTTGTTGCTCCTTCTTGCCTCGCTCGTTGTCTCCTATTGCCCAAAGGAGACATCCTGGCCTCGACCGATCTTTTACTTTCCCTTACCGGATGTGATACATCGTCATCTCTTCTCTTCTCCCTCTCTTTCACACTGCAATCCTTCCGTTCGGCTTCCGGCTCCCCTTCCTTGGGCTGTAGATGGCCATTCTTTTGAATACCTACTTCCTGGCCTGCCGTGCTCGTGCCGAGCTTCTTTGCTCAAACTTTCTTCAATCATCTTTTTTGCAGGTTCTCGGATCCGAACACACGCTCTATCCTGCATTCCATACTTCACCTTCATGAGATAATCCGCCATTGTTATACAAAAGAGATAATTTCAGGTGACGCGTCTGGCTTACAACCACTGGTCATGTGTCAAGTATCGAGTGTCACGACGAGTCCGATGGCAGCCTCACAACCATCCACATATTCACATTGTTGCCCAATCGCACCAATGTCTAACTCAACATCCTCATTCGGGCGATATTTCAAGATGGAGTCTTCCGCCGATTTCATTTCATCCACACCTGTGGTCATCCGAAGCCAGCATCTCAGTTACTACGTCGCTATCAGTGCGATATTACTGGTGGCATGGCTGTTCCAAACATCACAGACGAGCAAAGCGAAGGCAGTAAAGGTGCCTTTCTACAAGGCATCAATATTAAAATGGTACTTCGACGCTGAGACTCTAGTCCGGGACTCGTACACTAAGGTACGACAAATCATTCAATGTGGCTGCTTTTGATAATGGCTAACTCGTGCATCAGTTTCATGATAAAGTCTACCAGATCAAGGCGACAGAAGGGCTCCAGGTGTTGGTACCAGCGAAGCTTGTCGGCGAGTTGAAGGGTCTTCCCGAGAACGTTCTCAGCGCGACGGAGGCCGTGAGCGAGGCTTTGATGAGCAGATACACCAAGTTTTGCCCCGAACAACATCAAGATCTGCTGGCGACGTTGGTGCGGACGAGGCTAACGCAGAATCTCGCGCGTCTGATCCCACAGCTCAAGGAAGAGGTGGAATACATCACGGCGACCGAGTTCCCCGATTGCAAGGAATGGACGCCAGTCAAGTTTCAACCGTTTGCCTTGAGGTGTGTTGCACGGACAAGTGGGCGGGCTTTCGTCGGCCCCTCGATCTGTCGACAGGAGCAATGGATGTCAATCAGCATTAACTTTGCAGTGCACATCTTCCTGTCGCTGGTAAAGCTGCAGTTCTTCCCGGCGTGGCTCCGACCGATCGGGCAGTACCTGGTATCGGACCTAGGAAAGCTTCGGCAGGACGAGCAAGACGCCAAGAAGATGCTGATCCCCATCATCGAGGAGCGTCTACGGGATATGGATTGCCCCGGCTACGAGAAGGCAGACGATCTCATCCAGTGGCTGCTGGACGCACTACCGGAAGGAGAGAAGAGGGACTACCAAGCACAGGCCGAGCTTCAGCTCATCCTCAGCGCCGCCTCGATCCATACGACCAACAACCTCCTTGTTGACTGCATATACGACCTCGCTGCGAACCCCCAGTTTGCGGAAGAGCTACGACAGGAAGCCACCGCGGTGCTTCAGGGCGATGACAACGGCTGGGCAAGGAAGGACTCGATGAGCAAGCTCAAGAAGCTCGACAGCTTCATGAAGGAGGTGCAGCGCCTGTCCGGCAACGTCACCTCCTTCATCCGCAAGGTCGTGCAGCCCATCGACCTGTCCGACGGCACCCACCTCCCCGCGGGGACCAAGGTGCTGGCCCCGCAGTGCGGCATCAGCCACGACGAGCGGTACTTCCCGAACCCGGACCAGTTCGACGCCCTGCGCTTCTACCAGATGCGCCAGCGCAGCGAGGACGACATGAACAGGCACCAGTTCACGAGCATCAACGACACCAACATGAACTTTGGCGCGGGCAAGCACGCCTGCCCGGGCCGCTTCTTTGCCGGCAACGAGATCAAGATGATCCTGGCGTACTTCCTCATCAACTTCGACATTAAGCTGAAGGACGGCGAGTCGAGGCCCAAGGCGATGATGCTGATGATGTCGAAGACGCCAGACCCGAACGCAGAGATCCTGTTCCGACGAAGGACAGTGGAGGTTTGAAGGAGAGAAAGGCCAATGATCTGCCAGCGGCTGCTGGCAGGGAGCTACGTCGGGATTGACGGAACGAGCGAAATGGACCGATGATACCCTGGACAAAGCAGAGGATACCATCCGACGCCCAACCCTGAACATATTCACTGAATTAAACGCGATGACGCACAAGGAGACAACAGGGCCGGAAGAGCCCGCATAGAGCCTGGAGCATACATTCATAGTACAAGCAACTTGACAGCTACATTTACTTACAGCTGCACATAGTGGCATTATTTCAGACGCCGACGAGACCCTAAAAGGGTCCGCACGGGAAAAAGAGCCAAGATGGCATATTACAAGGCATGGGCCTGGAGCTCTTCTGTCAAAACAGCCAACACACCATACATTTAATGTACATAAAAAGAAGGCGCTTGTCTACGGAGGAAGACGAGCGTGGTGGATTTAACCAGACGAGGACACCTGACGTCCACACACTCTCACACACATATACTTTTACATAGTTACACACGGGAACGGCGTCAAACAGGCGAAAGCGACGTGTGCACGTCGCCACATTCTTGAATTCAAAATTTTGCCTGCATTACTGAGCTCCATCTCGTCCACGGTGACTGCCACACTTCATGGCACTCATAACCTAAACAAAACGTGCCGGCTCGTAGACAATTGCACCAACTCTCACCTACCCACATGATCCCGTGGTAATGATGTGTACATAGCCTTGCCATGAGAAACTACTCATTTGTGCCCAAACTCCTAGACTCCGGCATGTCATAATAAAAAGTTAGATAATTGGGTAACAATACCGACAAAATTGCGGGACATGCCCGCCAACGCCAACGCTATGCTAGAAGCACTCCTCATACGGCCAATGAACATCCTTTCCTCCTTATGTATTTGAAAGAAAATCCGCCTGGGTCCACGGCCCCTCCGCCGCGACGAAAGCCACGTGCCCTACCCCTGCGAGAGAATCCCGAACAAATTTGCCGGGCTGGCTTCTGAGGCCACCCCGGCGACTTTCGCTGGTTCTGCAGAGGGATTGCGGAGAGTGGCAACAGAGCCCTCGGACCACGACTGGGGGTTCTCAAAGGACTCTTCTTTCTCCGCGGGGTCGCGGGGTGGGACCAGGACAGAGTTGGGATCGACGCAGTCATAGAACAGCATGAACACGCCTCCTTGCGACAAGACGTCCTGCTCGCTGACTTTGATGACAGTCTCGTCACTGAGACGCCACCATTGGGAGCCGGGCTCCTCGCTATAAGGTTCCTCCGTCCCTAGTAGAGGGCTCGCTTCGTCCGGCCTGCTTTCGCTGAGACTATCGTTTTCGCCGGGAACGTCGTCCCCTGCCAAATTTGGCGGTTGATCCAGATCCTCTTCGACCTTTTCGACACCGTCCGTATCCATGTCCGTATTGCCCCTCCTATAGCACACGTAGTGGCCGTTCTCGTGCCTCCCATAATGGGTCACTACAGCTCTCAGCTCATAAATAGGCCCCGAGATCTTGGACGGGTGTGCATCACCCGCCACCATTGATTTCCTGGCATCGAGCACCCACTGCTCCTTGTCTGTGGCGTTCTCGTGAGATACGGCGCCCTGTGGCGTTGCTGCCACTGAAGCTGGCTTCCCCTCAGCACTGCCGATACACCAGGGGCCTAAATCCAAGGTCATGGGGAATTCGACCGCAGCAAGGTTCTTGTATGAGCGAAAGGTGCTTGGGTCAAAGACTGAGCGGTTCATGTGCATCACCAGGCTCGGCGGGGGCCTTCCTATGACAACTTGTTTTGTCTTGGTCGAGCTAACCTTTTTCGAATCCGGGATCTTCAACTGCTTCAAGATCTTGTCGTCGAATTCTTCATCTTCCAGGACCTCATCAATAGACTGTAGCCTGGCTGCGGCGGGAGCAACGGTTTTGGTGAGGCGCTCCAGGCCTTTTCGGTACTCAAGAAGAGTGCATTTGACGCATTCGACACCTTGTATGGGTTCAAGCCGCACGAGGTTGTCCAATAGTTCGAACAGATCGTAATGTGAGACGCCAATCTCGAAGTTCAGGGTGAGGCAGTTGAAGGGAATCATTGACAGCCCCTCAGAGTGCCCACACGACATACATGCCACGCGCTGGGCTGAAAGGCCTTCAAGCGGGTTGCGAACTGTCACCAAGTCGGAGCCGGCCTTGGACAGTATCGGTAAACTTTGGTATCCACTGTCGTCGCTGTGTTGACTGGTCGCGGTGTCGTCCCTGTTGAGGTCCGTCTCGAAACCGGCTTGTCGGCACGAGGCCTTCGCCGCCCTTTCTATGTCCTTATCAATCTGGTCCATCAGCTTCGAGAAGTACTCCTGCGCGTCTTGCTGCTGTATCGTGCTCATGTTCTTAAGAACGCTTGGGGTATAGAGCGTCTTGCCATTGTTGGACGTGTCCTTTAACTCGGCGATGAAAGATCGCAAAGTTCCGGCGGTGGTTTTTTGGTCTTCGGCTGGTGCTTGCCCGGGAGTATTGAAGCCGCTGAGGTACCGCGGAAGGTGTCTCAGAGATGTCAGGCCCTGCAGGATGCTGTTCTGGAAGCAAGAGTTGTCCCAGTTGCCCAGGCCAGCAGGCTGATTAGACTTGCCCCTGGGCCCCGAGAATGTATTTGACAGTGTCCGCCGACCGGCCTCGGAGACGGAAGCAACTATGCCACCAGGTTGGTCGGCTCGCAATATCTTACGGAGGACATCGCTCTTCGCGGCGTGAGTTGCGGGCTGTGGTTGGAGCATGGGAATCGGGAACAAGGGAGGGTTGACCCATCGATCGACAGCGTAGAGCAGGGAGGCCGGGCAGGCGAAGACGATGCCGTCCCAGATGATATCTCCTATGGGGGGCAGCTGGCGACCGCGGGAAGCTGCTTGGTTGTGGGCGAATTGGTACGCGGCGGTGACTAGGAGCACGAGTGCGGGGATTAGAATGCTGGGCTGGAGTATCCTTTCCCAGAGCTTCTCTTCCGAGTAGTAAGTTCCGTAGGGCAGAGGGTTCTGGAGGGAATCGTAGCGCCTCAAATTCCGTGTAGTCGACGAGGTCATTCTGAGACGACGCGCGGGAGACAGATGTCAAGGTGTCTAGGCCGGCCGCATCTGCCGCGAGTAGTGGTCGATTCGATGGGCCGAGCGATCATCAGAGGTTGGAGCAGGCGCAGAACACACGAGAATCCATATCCGAAATGCGCTTGGGGCTGAGGAGGTGCTGTGCGCGGGAGAGGGGTTAGTGATCGTGTTGTGTTGTTGTGGTTGTTGTTGTGACGAAGAGGTCTGTCTCTGCTCGATGCGCGGAACTTTTGGGTGGAGGTCAAGCTAAGCTAATCTGAGGCCCACAGCCAAGGATGGAGGCGCTGCGACTTGGAGCAAGGTGTGGGGATGTGAGGGAAGATCCCGGTACCCCTATGCAAGACTCCACCCAGGGCAATTGGAGAGCCTCAGTTTCGCTTTGATGACCAAACTATGAACCCTCAATCGTCTGCCATGCCTCTTATAACGTACCCAGCCACATACCCGTAACTTGCTTTAAAAATCATCACTGATGACCATATCACAGTCCGCACATTTGACTTCAACAGTAACATGAATCATTCCAGGACAGAAATCAGCGGTTGTACCTCTTAGCCTGGCTGACTTGCAAACCTGTATACTCTACCTTCGCATTTGCATGTCCACATTGCTTCACCACGGATACAGGCACTGTATTTTTTTATTTTTTTTTGACATTTGAGATCTATATATTGGGGTATACCTCGGATAACTAGTAGCTAATGGCCGTTCCAACAACAGAGGCTATGGTGAGCAAGATGCCACCGCTGAGCATATCAACTGTCTCCTTGTTCCCCCGGAGAAAGGTAACAGCCGTAGCCAAAATGGAAGTCTATGTTGGTGTCTGAGTGGGACGAAAACACTCATCAGACATAGTGGCAGAAAGCTACACCACAACGAGGGACGTCCTAGCGGTGAGATACCGAACCACGAAGCCGAGACCAGCATCGTCGGACGGCGCTCCAGTCGCCAAGGCCCTGGGCTCTTCGCGCTTCCTGTCCGATGCCTTCATGGGTCGCACACAACCAAGGGCAGAGGCTCGACTACTCATGGTCCAGGGAGGCCGCCTCCCACTAGCCAAGATAAAGAGAATCAGCAGTGCAACATCTGCTGAGACCCGTGGCGAGCCCGGACGTGTTGCTCCGTGGGCTAGGTCACGCAGGTGAACAAGAGCGAGTACGGTGGCAGCTTGGACCGTAGTCTATCGAAGCAGTGCTCACCGAGAGGTCTCGGCTGTTGGTAAAATCGGGTTGTGAGTGGCGAGAGGTTGCTCTTTGAGGGCTGTCGAGTTTGGTGGCCTCGGCGGCGTCCGATTTATGTGAAGCCTCCGAATTGCTTATTATTTGTATGTACTGCTAACTACAACTCTTTTTATGTCATCTCGATGAAACGCCATCGCCAAGAACAAGATCTGTGTTCGCCGTCGATAAGTGAAGCCACTTGTATGCCAAAATGCCCAGATGAACCGCCATGTGTATGAACCCGCCTTCGAGACCGTTGGTGTAGGAAAATGGGGTATCTCTTGTTTCTCAGTCGTGTACGCGTCAACTCTACACCCCCCAACTCCATAAAGAACGGCGGTGCCTCAGTATCGCCGTTCGGCGCTGAGAACTTTTCTAAAGAAAAAGGAGGAAGAAGTACTGTCTGGGCTGCGTCAAGGGCTATTCTTCGTATAGTCGCTGAGTGTTTTTTGTAACAACTTCAAATTTACCGGTTTGGTGAGGAATACATCCATGCCCGACGCGATGGCCTCGCGTTGTATGGTGGCTGATGCTAGCCCTGTGAGTGCTATCACCGTCGCGGGCTTGATCTTCTCGGCTCTCTCGAGTTCTCGAATCTTTCGGGTACTCTCCAATCCGTCCATTAAAGGCATAGAAATGTCTGCATCGAAAAAGAATGGTCAACTTGCGCCATAACTCGTGAGCTCGCAATAACAACTTACCCATCAAAACAAATGGGTAAAGCCCAGGATTGCTCGTATACAACTGCAGAGCCTCCAGGCCGTTGACGGCTGTGTCGTATGCATGGCCCAGCCTTTTCATGAAGGAGGCCAGAATTCGGAGATTGATGTCGTTGTCATCCACAAGCATGTATTTGTACAAGTCGGCTTGCACAGGCCCTCTTTCTTCAGCCGTCACAGTCGGTCCCGGTCTCAAAGGCAGCCCTGCTGCTTCTAGCTTGCCTTGTGACTGCAACGGTATGGCTTCTGAGGCAGTCGCACCCACAGAACCAGCGTCGCTCAACGCTGTAGATGCCAAGTCACCCGCTTCCGATACGCTGGACGAGCCTCTCAGCTTGTCCAACGGCTCCTGAGCCTGTGTTGTGTCTTCCTTCGCTTGTCCTGCCCTTGACGAGTTTGAATCTAATGAGTCTAACGAGACTGACGTAGGGACACCCTCTCTCCTGCGTGGTATGATAGCGGGTCTGATCATCCGTTTTTGCATGCTCAGGAGTAAGGACCTAGCCAGCCTCCGTGGTCCAACCCTGGTATGAAGTTCAGCAGATCGTCAAACGTACATTGTGATTATGAAGTTACTCACGGTTGAGAAATGAATTCTGTCAGCTCCGACTTTGTCGACGAATGTGTAAAAGCGTGTGCAGTTAGCGCACTCTGACAAATAATCACAGTAGGCAACGCAGGCTGAAACACGTTATCGTCGTACTCGACGAAGGCACTTTCACTGTATAGGAACAAGTCGGGGGGGTCCTCCTGTACAGCAGTCATGGGGATGACCTTCATTCCGAGCCAATCTCGGCAGAGCATCTCCATGACCGCTAATTCGGAGACTTGAGACGACTGATCAGACGTCTTGTCGAGGACGCGCTCGTAGCATCTCTCAAACCCTTTCAGGCATATTCGCAAGTCTCGTAGCTGCTCGAATTGTTCAGAGAGATACTCGACTGGCCTAGTGACGCTTGTTGACCGAGGTAAAGGCAGTGTGACACGCGCGGTAGTACCTCGGCCGAGCTGGCTGGTGATAGCCAAAGTCCCGCCGAGGGTTCTGCTGATGTTATGAACGAGACTCATTCCTAGTCCTGTGCCTGGGGCAAGGTGATCCTCTTGCGTGAACGGCTTGAAGAGGTCGTTGCGCAGAAAGTCTTCGCTAATACCTTTGCCAGAATCCGATATCAGGATCACCACTTTGGATCTATGCGCCCGGTCGCGTCCTGGAAGATCGACCTGTCGTAAGCTGATCCACACAAATCCCTCTTGGGTAAATTTGAGTGAGTTCCCAAAGATGTTCATTATGACACGTCTTAGGGCCCCTGGCTGCGTCCTAAAGTTCCATGAAACTGTAGGATCTAGATCTAGGTAGACAACAAGTCCTCGGTTGGAATGGGGATGGTACAGGTTGTGTCCGAATGCCTCGGCAGCCGCGTCGGTGTCGAGACGACCGAGTGCTCTGTTGTCGGCGGTCATGTCGACGTTTTTCTCCTTCAGTTGAGCAACGGACACTGCACCAAACTGTCAGCCATGTGTACGATAAGTGATTGCGCATTAGTTGTACTCTCACAGAGCGGTTGACTCCGGACGAACGAAGGTGACGCGAGCGGTCAAAAATTGGGCGTTACTTACTTCTCTGGAAATTGAAGCCAGCAAAAACGGCTGAATGCGCGGTCAGCAAGTATTCCAACCGAGTGATCACAAGAGCGGTCGGCTTCGAAGACTCAAGTACTCGACGACTACGAAGATAGTCCTGACATACCTTCCACGACTTCCTCAATGAGGATGTCTACCTGCGTGTCCACGGTCAAGGATATCATCCCAAGCCCTGCTAAGTTACGGCCTCGGCTAGAGCCAGTTGGCTGCTCACGATGTTCTTTCCGTTCGAGCTTTGAAGACGTCATAAAAGTATTGACTTTGCTGTAATCGAGCAACTATAACATCAATGTCAATAATGATTCCAGGTAGCAGCAGACCCGGGAACAGCAGGAGCTCATGGGAAGACCAACATGATCAAGCGTGTCTAGCAGTGTTCTGCCAGAAGTTTCGATGATGTGAATTGCGTCTCCTTGGAAAGCATCTAAAGCAGTACCATGGAGCAAGTCGACGGCAGCGATGACCCCGTGGAGCGGAGACCGCAACTCGTGACTCAGAGAGCTGAGAAAGTCGCCTTTAACCTTGTCAGAGTGAAGTGCGTTCAAGCGGTGGACCTCGCCCATAATGGTTGTCGCATATGCTCGAAGATAGCTGAGCTCTCCCTCCGGCGTGAACAGTCGGTCCGAGTGGGTCCAGATCAAACCACCAGCAAACCACCTCTCCTTGATATGGTCCCAAAGAGGAATGAGGGCCACGCTCCTTGCGCCAGGGAACAAGGTCGTTATAGCTTGAGCTTGGCCGTGGACCGAGCTGAAAGGTCGACTCCCTTTCCTTTTAGCCTTCGCGTCGGATTCGGCACTGGGCTTCTGACGTGCCGGAGATAAAAGCTTCACCTCGTCCGATTCGGAATCTCCCGACAGTAGCAGTCCATCGATGTCAAAATTGAAGATTTTGCCAGCCGGATACCGGCGGAGTAGCGATTTCAACAGTCGTTCTGGCACCAGAGTGTGCTTGGAGAACGATGCCGTGCCATCTATACTAGAAGCATCGGTTGTTGAGTACCCAAAGACATCACAGTAAGTCACGGGCTCTCCAGTGGATGATGTGGATGCACCTTTTGGCAGGTCGTCGTTGCTGGATGATGTAGTCGATCGCCATCCGTTGGAATCGGTCGAGTCCCTGGACCTGCGATTTTCAACAAGTCCGCCGAAAGAACCGACGCTGGCATCAAGGAAGAGAGCCCCTTGGACCTCCACAGACTCTCTGATAATGTTTGCAGCCCGCGAGAACGCTTGTTTAAGCTGCACAAGATGCGGATCAGGCGCAGTAACACTGGCGGGTCTTTGAAGAAACGCAGTAGAAGCAGAAATAGCAGCGGCAGCAGTAGCAGTCGCAGTGACAGTCTGCGCTGGCGCTTCAAGAGCCGATGGGCTTTCCGTCTTTGGAATAAGAGAGGCTGACTTATTCTCTAGCAAGGCTGACCTCGTGTCAGGTGACTTGGAGCCAAAGAAATGTTGTCCTTCCTTATCAGGGCTCAATGCTGCAATGGCATCACGGTCTCGCTGAAGGCCCTGCTGTCTCTGGTTCAAAGTTCCCTCCTCCTGTCCGGGCGCATCTTGAAACTGGCCAGTAGAAGAGGAGAGGGTGGCCTGGCCCTCGACGAATGACCCCAGACCGCGCACCATACGCTCACCACGGTAGATGCCATCAATAGCGGCTCGGGCCTCGAGGTGGCGCCAGACGATTTGGGCGATATCGCGCAGGGTCCGTTTCTGGGCGTCACCAAAGTCAAGCTCGTTTCGTGGCAAGTCGTCATACACATACAACACCCCAATATTGACACCCTTTTTTGAACGAATCGGAACTCCAGCGTAAAAGTGGGCTTCGGGCCAGTTCAACCTGCAGAAAGCATCGGAGTAGGACTCATCATTTGCGAGGTCGGGCACAACAAGCACAGGCGCCAAGGGTATAAAGTCTCGGACCGAGCTGCCTCCATGGTGAATGGCCGGCGGAGCATCGAGGATCTCCTCGTTTGGACATTTCGTGCCGCGTGGGATGGCAGCGCCTGAGAACTTGAGTTGATGCGAAGCCTCCTGGGGAGGCTCAGTATGGAGGGAGAGCGACTGCGTTGCTTCAGCAACTATGTACTGATAATTGCGGTCAAAGAGCGAGACTAGACAACGAGAGACGTTGAACCTCAGAGCAGCAAGCTGCGCCCTATGCAGCTTGTCAGAGAGGGGGTAGTCCACGAAAGCACAACCTCTCGAGCTGTGACGATACAACCGAGGCCTGCGTAGCTCCCAGGTGGTTTCTCATAAAACCTCAGGAGGGGCAAGGAAAAGTCAAGGGCGCGCAATGAGTACTGACAAGGCTGTCAAACCAACATCTGAGCACGGAGCTATATGGCGTGGGTCGATGGGAAGCAGAGGGTCGACGGGGTGTGCATGGCGTATGAGCGAGCTCCCAACCCTGGGAGACACAGTCAGCGCTGCCTACGACTCACGCTGCGGGGCCAGGCCACGACATACTTCAAAGCTTCTCTGGTGCGCGAGCCTTCGCTGGCCGGAAGGGAGGCATGCCCGCCGCCAACCGAGGCCTGGGCATCCTTGGAGGACTCCATGGTGGTGGGAGGGGGAGGAAGTCGGGGGAGAAGTGCAGTACTCGCGCAGACGACGGCACATGAGGGGATTCGCAGGCCTGCGGCACTGGAGGCGCTGGCATGAGCAGCGAGCAGGCTGGTAGGACAAGACCAGTGTGGATGGCATGGGAAAGTGGCGGGGAATGGTGCGGAAGATGGCAAATTTGGGTCAAGCCCATGGGGGAGGGCAAAGCTGCCATGGCAGGTGGGAAACTGGGAGATCGGACAGTCGTCGATCTAGTGAGAAAACAGCTAGGGTCCATGGGCCTGGACTTGGACCTAGAAATCGGACTTGGACCTTGGACTGGGACTTGGACTTAGACTTGACCGCGTACGAGGTAGACTGACCACATAATCTACTCATGGAGGGCAAGGTGCGACTGCAGTCCCGGCCTGCAGCAGCTCCCGTGCCTTGGAGATTTGAGAGCCGCTTCCCGGACCGCGATCTAGACCGTCAACGAGGGGGACCCCCCAGACTCCGAATCCGAGCTACCTGGGCACGCTGGGCTGCTGGGTAGCCGGCCTGCCCACCAAAGCGCGCTGCTTGCGGTTGATTTGAGCGGTATTACCCCATGGCTGGACGGGTGTTTCTGGGTGTCTGGGGGTCCCACGGGTCGGCGTGCCGGAGAGACAGCCTACTGTGTAACTGGACACACATGAGTTTGGAGCTGCAACCATAGCTGTCACCGCACACACACCCTGACACCTAGGCACCCGGCACCTAGGTACAAGTCTGTAGGCATCGAATTGGCGGTTGCGTGCGTAGACCTGCAGCAAGCAGCAGGCAGGCAGGCCCGGCAGGGAGTCCCGACATCTCGGCTCGCAGTCGATGTCTGTCTGTCTGTGAGTCCTGTGTTGCCAGGTTTGCGAGCAAGGCACACGCAGGCTGGCGGGGTGGCGAGTGGCGAGTGGCGGGAGGCGGGAGGCGAATCGAAGCTGGATCCCTGGTCACAGACGGTCAAGCAGGTTGGAGCATTCATGCAGGGCTGCGCACGGCGGGTCTGGACGGGTTGGCGCGGTTGGAACGGACGGCCTAGCCAGCACCTGGCCTGCACCTGGGACTCAGCTGGCCGTGTCCAGTCGCCTTGCTCGCTCTCCTAGGCCCAGGGAGGAAGAGGGAAGAACACTGCGTTTGAACAATGCATACGGACACTGCATATTATGAACTGGACTACCTAGGTGCACTACATCCACAATGAAAACTCAGTTGGGGTGACCAGCTCACACAAGGGTATGCTATCTGACCTTATCAGGTGTCCACTGTTGTCATGGTCGCCTCGCCATCCGAGTTCAGTTGCAAATGTGTGTGGCTGCCGTGTGCTGTGCCATAGATACACATAGGATAGCAGAGACTTGTTCCAGACCTCCTATACTACGTACAACAGCCAGGCCTACGGTTTGAGCCACCTCCACAGCCAAACATTGCTGGCGAGTTGCACCATCGAAGGTGACGCTGATCAACGTCTGCTGCCTGCCGAGTCCTACAATGTGGCAACCCACGGATTCGGTCAAGTTGAGGAAGGCATCGGACACCTGGGGTAGACAGAAAGGGAGGCGAGTCTTTGTCTCGAAGAGAAAGGAATGGAAATGGAGGATGGAAAGGGAAGCCAAGCATGAGAGCCGTGAGCCATGAGCCTGCCTGGCTGTAGTTTTGTTGCACCTAACTAGACTATCTAGGTAATAGGGTCTTCCACGCTTTGGCGCATGTGAATTGTGCCGAGCTTTCGCATTCAGAGGTCTTATGCATGAAACGAGGCTGAGTCACTCGCTATACAGGGAAGGAAGCTTGGGGCAATAGCTGCAAGCGGCAACTACGCGTCTGTCCCAACCGCCCTTGCCTGGTCCATCGCGTCCAAGTGCTTTCATCCATCCAACAATCTCCAGCACTCCAGCAATCCCACAAAGCATCTTGGCCTGGTCACACCTCGAGTTGACACTTCAGCTTCCGTCTCGTCTTTCACGGCCTTCATCCCTGCGCTCCTACCTGGCTCACTGCAGCACCCGACGACACCCACCCTCAAACGCGCTCCCAGCGCCTGCGCCGAGATGACAGACTATGCGAGCCTCAAGGTCCCCGACCTCAAGAAATTGCTTCAAGAGCGCGGCCTTCAGCAGTCGGGGAACAAGGCAGACCTCATTGCGCGCCTGCAGGACAATGACAAGAGTATGCCAGTCCTCAACTCTTCATACTGCCCCGACAACCTCGACAATCCTCGACCCTCTTTGTTTGCGCCCAACCCAAGACCAAACCCCCAAATCCCAGATTCCCCCGCTGTCTTTACCAAAAGAGTGCATGCTGACCAGAACCTTGTCTCTCCAGGCCAGGCTGAGGACGTGATTGACTGGGACGACGATGACACTAAGATTGCCTCTGCCGCTACCAAGAAAGAAGAGCCCAAGCCTGCACCCCTTCCAGCTGCCGACACAGAGACAGACACCCCTGCTGCCCCTTCATCTGCGCCAGCCAAGACTAAGTCCGCCAAACCAGCCTCTGCTCCTGCTGCAGAAGCCGTCAGCACCGAGACAGAGAAGCAAGATGAAGTCCCAAGTGCCGCAGCAGAGGACGCCGGTGCCGCTGCTCCCGCTGCTGACGAGAAGCCCGCCGAACCTGCCCCAAGCTTCGCGATCGGCCTCGAGGCCAGCAACGCCGACGAGGAGCTCAAGAAACGCGAAGCGCGCGCAAAGCGTTTTGGCATCACCACTGATTCCAACTCGGAGGAAGCCAAGAAGGCCGAACGCGCCAAGAAGTTTGGCACCGACACCGCTGCCGTCGTGAAGGGCCTTGATGCGCCTCTTCCAGAGCGCCGCCCCAAGCGTGGCCGTGATCAAGGCGAACAGGCCGAAGGTGGAGGTAAGAGACAGGACCGACGCAACGGAGGCAACAACAAGTCTAGGGGCGGTCGTCGCGGCGGCGGTCGTCCCAACAGGAACGAGGGCGGCGGTCTCAACATCTTGACCGACCCTTCCGAGAAGGCGAAGGCCGATGCCAGGGCTAAACGTTTCGGCGGCGGCAATTAGGATCTGTCGTCACGCAGCGTTCTCTCCAGTGCTTCTGAACAGGTCAAGGCTGAGGCTAGAGCCCGAAGATTTGGGAGCGCCGCCTACTATCAACCGACAGGAAGCGTTCTTGATGACCCTACCGAACGAAAGAGAGCCGAGGCTCGCGCCAAACGATTTGGGAATGTCGAGTAAGGATTTGGGTCATGCTTCACACAATGGCCCATGATCCTTTGGGATTGACTGCACTGGCATACTCTTGAGCGCCATCAATGGGCGAGCTCCTCCACTCGATATGACACGGCACCGGCTCATTTGACAATACCAAATCTTCGCACCAAAAAAAAAAAGGGCAGCACTATAAGCCTCGATGAGAGGTCTTTGTACACTAAAAGGATCATCACGACTAGGAACGATGGTGGATTCTTTAGGAGTTCAGGTCTTGTGTGGGCGTAAGAGGAACGCGATACATTATTTCAGAACCTTGGACAGGATCAATGATTATACCCGTTACTTTGCTGTGGGCCCGAACCTCCCACGATATCTTCCCTTTTGAGTGAACAACTTGGAACCCCTGGCTCCAAACAGCACTTTGACGTCTTCGACATCTGAAGGCTCTTGCGGCGGACTCGATAGATCACGAGTACCACCAGCCACTGACGGGAGACTATTGTCGGCCAAAGAGGAAAAGGGTAGGCCCGGCTAAAGACCCTGGGGCTCATGCAGTTTCCCAAACCCATGCTGGGACAAGACTTCATTCCAACTGGTGAATGGGGACGCCGCAACCCATAGTCTTGAACGCGCTCAAATAGAGCTATGACAAAAGTCTCCCCTGGCAACATGACAAAAGTCATTGGATGTGGTGCAGTAAGCTCGAGCCATTACTCGTCAGAGACTGACATTCATGGGCCCAAGCTTGAAGGCCGGAGACAGACCGCCAAGAGCTTCCAAATTCGCCAGAGGGCGGATGAGTGAATGTCTCTGACTATTCCAGTACCTCCTAGAACACCATGTGCGGCGTTGCAAAGGGTCAAACGCTCCCAGAGCAGTAGCTACGGGCTTCAGTCTCTCGTTCGATCAAGGCTTTCATGCCTGGCTGGGCAGTGATGCATTTTGCCCGAGTGTTGAATCTCTACATCGAAGCAGCAACCATGACACAGAATATGACTACATGCTGGTGGGACTCATGCTCAAGTATCGCCATTCACGATTTATTTTGATTGGTGCGATCCTTATACCAAGGCAATACTCAATCCTTACCTGCCTTTGCAAAGAAGCCCTCAATTCTTCTGACGTCAAGAAAGTGATGAGGTGACCAAGTATCTGTCTGACCACACCAACATCCAGTGTTTGACAGACCAGATCACCACTGCTCTGACTAGGCGCAAAACACAGACCACAAGCCACGAAGCACAGGCTAGGAATGCTCACGTACATGATGACACCTTTGCGCCGCCTTCAATCTGTGTCTGAGAGGAGCCACTTCGACAGCTTCTCACCCTCTTGGGCGTAATTTTACTTCAGAGCGTTGTTTGAACAGTGCCAATGCTCTCCGAATTTACTTTCGAAACTAAGAATTTTCGAAAATTGCCTGGTAATCCTTGTACATTGGAATTACGAGTCGCGAATGCTTGCCATTGAGGGCACGTATTATCATTTCTTCTCGGAAGCGGGCTCGCATGGAAATACACGTCCGAGAATTTTCACACCTCGATCCACTGCTGCCTCAAACACTAATAACTGAGATCCTCTGAGTGTACGGCCAGCATTCTAGCAGGTCGGCCATCAACAGGAAAAGTTCTTACGCGAGTTCTCCCAGGTACGAAAGCTGACGCCAGAGGAAGAAACACTAACCACAGAGGAAGACCCTGCCCGTCAGGTGGTGGAAGCATGCAGTGGGAGACGTAATCCTTCACGTACACAATACTACGTATTTACCAACATGAGGATCTGCAACTGCCTCAAGAAGGCACGATGCTTGCGATCCCCCATACAATGGCGGGTAGCGCGGTCTCAATTATCTGTCTGGCATGACAGGCGCTGATAGAGATCACTGTGAAGGAAGAGCCAATTTCGCGGCTTATCTCTGTTCTTCAGCAAGTCAGTCATTTCGGAAGAGTGGACCTCGCTTCCTTCGTAGCCGACGACTGGCTACTGCTCACTTCCGTCGCCGCATGCCATCATTGATGAGAACGACTGCACAGACTTGCGGCAACCCGTGGGGAACATGCAGGATCAGTGGGCACAGCTGCAGTCAAAGTCCCGTATCTCCACATCTCCCTACGGATCCCCAATATGTCCCGCGCATGAACCAGTTCGGCAAATGACAAATGACTGGTGTCTGAGTGCGTACTGTGTAGACGCAGCCCACAAGATCATCCACGGGATTGCGGCACAAGGAAACTCAAAATCGACTTCAATTTCCCGCACAAGAGAACCGACATCGGACTCCAAGAAGCTCATCTCCTGGCGCCCCAAGCGATACACTGGAGATCTTCAACATCTAGAGTGGTGAACGGCAGAGCAAGGTCAACAGAGAGGATGGTCGGCTGCGACAAGATACTACTGTTGGCCGCAGACGAGATGAGCGCGGGTGGATTGATATGCTCGATCCCAATCTCAAGGATGCCGAATCAGGTGACTGGAGCTTCATGTGGTGCGCAAGCCTCGTCACGCAGCAACGTGCAGCTCTATCACACATGTTCGAAGGGAAAAGGGTGTAGTGTGGGCAGGGTGGGACAGCCATCGGGAGCACTTATCCAACTTAAGCGCTGAGGGTGGATCACGACTCCATGCAGCCATGTCGCCAGTCAGCCAGCCCGAAGCGGGGCGTCGAGAGACAGGAAGAGTGGGCTGCCGCACCCTGCCTAGTTAGGATGCTGTCCTTTGATGACTGTTGGGGTGTGTGGTGGAATACGACAGCCTCGAAGGAGGATGGTGGGCCTCGAGGTGATGCTATTCGCAAAAACGGTGTTGGTCAAGGGAGTGTGGATCCCCACCCCCAAACCGGTGGGAAATGATCTGTGCCCACTCACACACCCGGCACCTGCGAGCACAAGAAACCCCAGTGGAATCCCTGCCGGGGCCATCAGAGGGCCCGGGACCTATCGTTGGGCTCAGATGGCGAATCTGAGATCTCATAGGCCACTAAGCGGCTGCTCCCATCTGCGGCTCGCCCCTTTTGGTGAGCCGCTGTCAGAGCCAGGCAAAGACCCAGACGGTATGTAGGAGATTTGATGATATGTGGGGAGCGATGAAGAGTGATTGTAAATTGTCTACTCTTGACCAGCAGAGCGGATACGATAGCAGTGTTGGCATCTGAAATTCCCTCAGTGTCCACAAGCGGAGGCACATAATGTCTGGCTGGCGACGTGCGGACGGCTGAGGGTGAATCCAGCACGAGTTCCACGCGCGGTGATTCGACGCATACTTGGCGCAATTCTCGCTCCTTTCTTCACCAACCGCTCAGCTCGACCCCCACGACTCATCGTGGAGGATGCCGTCGGGAAAGGCACGAGTACGCCATGCCTCGGTCGCATCAAGCCGCCAGGATGAGACATCGGTATGACTTCGGACAAGCCTGTCGGTCACGTTCCAATTCCCATACGCCCCAGGCCTCTCCGAGGTTGTATCCAGGGCGGACGTTGTGCTTCGCTCCTGTGGAACACATGACCACCGGCTCGCTGGAAACTCACCGCTCGACGACGGGGTCTGCAAAATGATGCTCCTAGGAAGCAGCCGAGCCGAGGTGAGGTCCTGCGAACGTGTCTCACACAAGCCCGGAGTGCCTCGATTGGCGAAAATGACGCATGGGCTGGGCCCTGCTCACCGAGATCGTCCTCGTGACACGATGCTGTGAAGGAGCGGCGGGTAGTGGGAGTCGGACGACGCGCGCGGTGTTCCGTCTCATCCTTGGTTCTCTTTAGACTACTTTTCTTGAGGTACAAAGCAGATGGGCCACCAGGACAACACAACGACGTTGCATTCAACGTGCTACAAATCTTTGTCGAAGGAAAGAAGTCGGTGGCGGTGGCCATCGCAGCATTGCGCATACCTGGCCGTCCCGAGTGAGGTTGAGCCTGTCCCCAGAATCACCTCTGCTAAGGAGGACTCCAACAATGGGGACATCCATGTCCAGGCGCTTAAGCTCGGCTATCCAATGGAATGGGCCTGACAACCCCTGCAGGCGGGAGAGCTTTGAGTGGGGAAAGGTCCCAACTGGAGAAGGCAAGGATTGCCTAGTCAAGATCTTCTACCTGGTCATTGCAAATTCGTCTGGCCTGGGAGAGAGCTGATAGTTGAACCGGCCTCAAAGAATCAGGAGACGAAAAATGCGTTGTTGATGGCAAAAGACGTGTCAATCGTCCTAAGCGAGACGAATACTTGATCTTGCCTTGCTGTCTGTCTGGTTTTCCCCTGTGCCACGTCACCAGCCTCACCTTGCCCAGCCTGGTCAAGTCCCGGCTTTCAACTGTGGCGGAGTACAGAAACCGACCCCGGCAGTTGTCAACTTCTGGTACTACCATACAGTGCACTCGCCACAATCCTCACCCACTTTCGCCGTCGGAGCCGGCGAACCCAGGCTCATGCAAGACGTGCAGAAGTGCATTGCAGCACCTGGCAGCCTGGCAACAGGCGTCGTAATAGTACAATACGGGCGCACGGTCGGGACAAAAAAACGCGCACTCACAAACTATACCTTCATTTATACAGCTTTCAAAGTAAGTTTGCTATAATAAATATGCAAATTTGATTAGACTTATATGATAATTTCTCTCCTAAGTTCTAGTCCTGTCAATTTTGTATCTGAAAAAAAATTGTTAATAAAGAAATAAGACTGTGAAGTGAAGGTGTCGTTACACAGTGTGGGAAAGTCTTGGTGGTGGCCGCAGTTTGTGAGTGCGCATTATTTTGTCCCGGGCGTGGGGCGCACTGCAAGCCTCTGATCTGCCTTAAGAGCTGCAATAAGGGTCCCATTTTTGCAGCTGAGACTGCAGAGATTTCTTTGGCCATCTCTGCCTGGTCTGCCTAGGTGCGAACCGGCGTGTTGCCAGCGCACCACAATCGCCACGGGCAAGTTGCAAGACAGCCAGCTTTCAGCTTGCCTTGCTCGCTAAGCTTGCCAGGCATGGCATTCTGCGAGCTCAGGAGTGCCGGTACCTGCAGATCCTGAGGCTGCGTCGAGCCCCATTCACTAATATGGGTCTGTCAAGGTGACAGCCGCGGTGGCTTGCGAGTGACATATGATTGACTGGTACTAGATGAGCATACTGTAGGGTACACCTCACCAACCTGACGCGCTTGACTGCACTGCCCAGATCAGTTTCCACGGCCAGCGCGGTTGATAGATGCATCTGTTCTATTCTTGTCGAATTTCTAGCTCGACTGGTTGCCCTCGAAACAGGTCAGATGTGGCTAGGGCCATCAGAATCAAGCCATCTCGGGATCCGCGCAGACAAATGATTCGAACGTCAGACAGCCCTTTGATCGTGATCGATAGTACAGGCTTTCGGCAGCGTCCCCCGGGACACGCTGGTGTGAATGGGCTTAGTCGCGTCCGTGATCCTCACGCCAATATCACGTCAAATGCAGGCTCAAGCTGTGGGATGCAAGTCACTCATCATAATGAAAGTGTCATGGCGGCCACACCCTCGCGGGACCCGGGAGAGAGCTTCCAGGCCGGTTCGCATCCGCGGTGGGTGGCATGTCGTTTCGATGAAGAGTGCGAGAAGCGATCCCCGGGCTTCAGTCGCGTTTGACTAAGGTTGTCAAACTTTTCAAGTGTTGTGCAGCAGATCGCTTTAGGAACAAGAGGGGAGCCTTAGCAGAAACAAGCAAGTTGTTGCACAACAGGAAGGTCAAGGACAGGAGCTTGATGTAAATCGCCTGATTCGGCATAATTCAGGGGAGGGGGGGCCTCTAAAACCTGTGATTGGAAGCTTAATATCTCGAGTGATCCAACCACATCGCGAGGGTGCTTCGAAAATCCCATCTTGGCTTCCTCCAAAATCCGCGGCGGCGTCTGGCTCCTCCTTCCGGAATGACGGATTGTAAGGGGGACTGGGGGAGCAGTTCCGGTCTCAAGCAAGCGGGCTGGCGGGTTTAGATGGCCGTGTACTGTGTATGTATCAATCAGGGGCTCGAGAGATGAGTCACTTGTCTTTCATTTGTTGGAGCATCTGTGATGCCCTCGCCGGAAAAGACGAGCGCTCAATGCACGTCAAAGGTCGTGCGACTCCAGGTCTCCCGAGGAATTGGCATGCCGCGGGAAGCGCCAGGCGTACTGTCGCGATGAGCCGGCGCCTCCTGGGCTACACATGCCAATAGGGATAACCATGTTGCGCTCTTGTGCTGCTATCCCGGGTCCTCACACTTTGAGTGGTGGTCAAGGCCTGGTCTCCCCTGAGCGAGAAGATAGGACGAGCAATGGTTCCCGTCTATGGGCCGCGCTGACCACCCACCGAGCCAGCGTGGACCGCCGGCCTTGTCCTGGTCGAGTAGACTGGTCTCTGATGACGATGCCAATTGCCAGCTGTTAAGAAGCCTCGAGCTGGATCTGTCTTAGACCCTCCCAGACGGCCGGGACAGGCATGGAAGCTGAGAAAATCTTGAAAGTTGCCAGGCAGTGAATCCCGATCTGGCAGTCTGGCCAAGCCACATGCAGGAGCCAGTCTGTCAGGCAAGCAGGCTGCCAGGCGGGCTGGCAAGAAGCATTCTGGACAACCCTGTACTCAGCCGGGCTGGGTATGCAGAGTACACGGTACAGACTGTGTGATGATCCTGGCCATCAGTCGGCCATCAGTCAGCCATCCATCATCAGTCTCTGCTTCCCCTTGGGAGCCCAGTCTGCCCGTTGCGAGACCGACTGCAAGAGTCAGAACACCACAGGGTTGGGCGCTTGGGGGTGGCCGTTGACTGGCGCGACTCCAGTTTCCATCGGTGTCCCCTGCACTGCGCTACCCAGGATCGCCGTCAAGGGTGAGGGAAAGAGACCGATCGGCGTGCACAGAGTGAGACATTGTCTAAGACATGCATGCGGACTGGTAGGCTGCGATGTTCCTTGGGTTCGGCCCTGCGCACGTTTTATGGCTTTCCATGTGGCTTCACCACTACGCGGGCGGCTGGAATTTTTCACCAGCGTGTGGTACTACAACACACATTTCGCAATACATTCTGCAACGTTCAGATTCACCTTACCATCAGGACTCAGCACTGCTTGTGGTTAATCGCCGGTATCCGTGCGAGTGTTGCCCCTCACCTCTCCCCTCACCGACCCCGGCCTCGTCTCTTCTTGTCTCGTTTCGTTTGGTAGTAGTTCCCCTCCTTGGCCACTTCTCTCATCGTTGCCTCGCTTCGCCTTCACCCAATACCACAAGAAGGCGGGCTGGTAACCTCAAGATGATCGGCAATTCTCATACAAACACAGGTCACACGTCCCTGGACCTCCGCATTCTCCCTGGGGCCGGGGCCGGGGCCAGGAAGGTGGTCGACAAAGACTGGTTCTGTTCATATTCTAGACTTTGAACAAGCTCCGACATGATCCAACCCAAGCAAGGCCGCCTGGTCGGCCGTTCGCCATCTTCAGAGGCGGAGGGTACTTGTTGCCCAATGGCATCATCAACCAGCAAACTCAGTGCTCCCATAGGGCCTCGCCATATGCACAGTCCAGGGCCTCTCAAGGGTCCCTCTTTTTTTACGCGCATGGCGCAGCGTCTGCTTTCTGCAGCAGCAAGGCCAGCCCTTTCAACCGGGACAAGGATAGACAGGGCGGAACACTGGTCACTCTCGACTGTCGCCTATTACCGCCCAACAACCGCTTCCGTCTGAACCAGGCCCCACAGCCGATCTGTCCAACTGCTTTTTCATTTGTGGCCGAGAAGCCCCCGCTACTGACAGGAAGGGAAAGAAAGAGAGAAAAGAGAGAAAGAGAATCGCTGTGGTCCACTTTCAATGGACTTCAAATGGTCACCCACTACGCAGCCTGTAAACATGTACACATATACATATCATGTTGTACTGTTCAGGGCAGAACGCAGTGTGAGTACCTAGGGAGGCCTACACCGTGTCTCAGCCGACTCACCGTCCGACCCGTTCCGTGGACTGCCAGGTGGGGTTTTACGACAGCATTCACTCGTTTGTCAGTCAATAATCGAGGTGCAGCCCCGAGGTTCCCTCTCGGATCTTCACTCAAAGCCTGCATCTGACCCCCACTGCATGTCACGTAGCAAAGTCTCTGCCCAGCTGTGCCCACTGGGCTTGCCAGACACTCCATCATCCTTACTATGAATGGATTCTGGCACAGCACAGCAGCCAACCAGCACTTTGACGCCACTTCGAATGGTCAAAGATAGCATACGGGCATGCGGGACAGGGCAGGGGGCCCTTAGTATCTTCACCTGCAGGTGGTGGGGAGTCATTTGATCTTGCGTTGCTCACGAAGAATCCCGGAAACCTTTTCCCCAGCTCTGATGACCCCTGCTCCTAGTGAGGATTATCGTCCGCACATCTCTCTCGTTATAATCAAGGTGCTGCGGCCCAGTCATCCTCCGTGGGTACGAACATGGGCAGGATGGTATGCTAAATACCTCGTCTCCTCAAATTCAACGCTTTTCTTAAACGCCCGTCTGGACTGCTCCATCACGAAAAGGTGCCACCGTCCTTTCCATCACCCTTAGCGAGCTTACACACGCCCGTCACTGGGGACATCCTTGTTTTGCACACCACCCTCCCAACTCCATCCACCAAGCCCTCGGATGCTACCCCATCCCACCATCTCGACATCTTGTTGTGGACATTTTACCCTTTCCTCTTCGGTCGTGCGCGGTTTTGGCTTCGATACTCTTTATTAATCCTGCGTGCCACCGCGGCGGGACAATTCAACGCCTTCATCTACTGTTTTTCTTTTTGGCACCCAAAGTACTCCACTTATACACACATGTCTGGCACATAGCATGCTCACCTCGCATTTACTCTGAGAACTTTGTGGGCAGACTCGCCACCTCTAGACCACATCCATCTGCCCAAGACTCTCACACTAACACGGTGAGTTTTCTTGCGGCAGGTCAGCTTTTGATCTTGTCTTGTGCGACCCAAATCCTCCCACCCACCTTGGGGGCCAGGGCCAAGTGCTGACTATCGCTACGGCATGTTCGGTATCAGATGAAGTTTGGATCCCCGGGAAAACATGATGCGTGATTGAGTGCAACCGCCAGCTGAATTGATATGGAATCCTCGAGATTGAGGATGGCGGGCCATGGAACGGCAGGCACAGCGGCTCCGCCCAGACGCATGGGGGCCAACGGGAGTATACCCTCAGGTGACCTACCATCCTCCCTGAGTCGAAGGGCTCGGAAGGCGGCAGAGAATGCTTCATTGCCTTCCTCGGATGTCCCATCTTCTCGAAACGCAAGCAAGATACCGCAGACCTCTACTCTCCGGACACCTGCTCAGACTCATGGACGGAAACCAAGTCTGGGCTCACACGGGCACTTTTGGGGCTCAAATTCTAGCAATGGGTCTGAAGATGCCCTCTCCAGCGTTGCCAGCTCATCCGGTCCCTCAAGCCGTTCGCAAGAAAGTACAAAACAGCCCAGGAATGTGCTCCGGCGGAAGCATCCCAGAGTGACCCCAGAGCCACCCAGCGCGCCTTATCATTCTCGCAACAGCTTCATGAGAACCGACTCATCCTCTTCGGTTCCCCAATCAAATGTGTCACAGTCAAATGTGTCTCTGGATATACCACGAGATGCAAACACAGACCGCGAATTCACTCCCAGTCCAGCAGGATTCCGAGCTCCCCAGAGACCCGAGCATCCAGCAACGAATGCGCAACCTGCCACAGTTTACCCAGAGCTGGACCGATACCGAGACTTCGAACCTCAGGAAAATTACCGCAATTACTACGCTGAAGTGCCTTACCCAATATCGACTGATCTCCCCCCGCCAACGCCCCTGTTCTCCAGCACGAGCAGCCAGCACAGCGCTTTCAGTGGCAGTCCATCCACTAGGTATTCAGAATCACCGGGAGGCGGTCCGTACAGTCGAGACACGACTCCAACCTCTATGTCATCCCAATCACCTGGTCTCATGGCGCCCATGCGACTTCCCGCATCAAGGTCCAAGCAGAGCAGCCCTGCAGATACCAGGCCACCCGTGACCCGCAGGAGAGCTGGCAGTGCCTCGAAGGAGGCTCGAGACGATGGTATAGAGCCTGAGGGTCTTTCTATGGTCAGAGAGTCGGTGAACTCATCATCGTCGGCATCTACGGTGAGAGATGCTACGCTTAGGGAACAGAGACAGAAGAGACTCCTCTCATCCCGTGCCCCCAGTCCGCCGCCACGACTATCTTCTGACAAGTCCAAGAGAACACGGGACCCGGAAATGGCACCCAGCAGGAAGACACACGAATCGAGCAAGTCCGTTCCAGTAATCTCACCCACTTCCAGACTCGCAAACAACGGTCGCCCTGCTCTTCAAGCATGTGACACACTACCACGACCGACGCCACCTATGAGGCCGAGCCGAGAGGGGACACCGGATCTGCATTCTCAAGTAGGGTTGCCAGTACCAATTGTCCAAAGCAACCTGTCTTCGACTCATCTAGCGGAGAGGAGACGAAACAGTCTGAACCCTCCCATAAACACTGCCAACTCCTCTCGCTCCAACACACCGTCTCAAAGCGACCGACAGCAACAGTCGTCTGCGCCCCGAATTGGCCGGGAAGCAACTCCTGTCCCTCAAGGCACGATGGCCCAGACAGCTAAGGTAGACTCCCGCAAGGCCCCTCGCACTCCGAGTCCCAGTATGTCCTCGGCATTCAAGTCGCGGTTTCCTCTATTCAGTCGGAAGAACAAGTCCGTTTCAGAAGCACCCCCAACAAGTGTTTTTGAGAAGAAGGATAGGCCACCTCGAAAAGGTCCTGCCGCTGGAACCGGGCACGAGGGCTATGGACGGCTTGGCCACATCCGGCGCCGAAGCGGCAGCATGACTAACAATCCTCGGGCAATTGGCGGAACCATGTCTTCACAAGAAAGCCTTGCGAGCAACCAATCAGTTGATCCATTTCTGGCTGAGCGCATGAGCCCTGTTGTTATAGCAGGCGGCGAAATCATCGAAAATCGGAACGTTAGCTTGGATGTCAGTCGAACAGGAAGCGATCAAAACCTGGCTTTGCCCCGTCCTAGTCTTGGCTCCAGGAACAACTCTGGGCTGTCTCTGACATCCCCAGAAGATCGCAATACTCTTTGGCCCTCCGCGATGCCCCATGGAGTTGCACCAGGGCCCTCACTGGGACGGCGGCGACCATCCGAGGGCAGTGACTCGGAAGGTCTCGCTATGAAGCCTACATTGGCGCTCCGGCGATCGGTTCAGAGGCTTCAAAACTCTGATCAAGGATCTATGCGTCTTCCGCAGCCTATAGTCATACGATCTGGAGTGACGACTCCGTCTATGAACAGCCACGATACGACCATCTTATCGGACGACTCGCTCTATGACCAACGACGGATGATGGGCCCGCCTAAAACTGATGTTGCTCATCCAGCACCGAAGAAGTTGTTGAAGAAACCGAAGTCACCCCGAAAATGGAATATTTTTGGACGATCGACAAGCCAGCCTGCCAGCAAGAGCAAGGAGTCGGAGACACCAAAGCCTAGTGCACCAGCGGAAGGCGGACCGAAGAAGCCTGTGGCATTCTATACGATGATGGATCCGTCGGAACAAGAGCCAGAAGTGTTGCCAGATGTCAAGGAGGTGCTTCGTGAAGCTCGAGTCTCCACAGAAGCTTTGCCAGCCTCGCAGATTCCGAGGCAGCAACAACCTGCACAACCTGCACAGCCTGCGCAGCCTGCACCACGAGACCAGCCCCGTGCTACGAGCAACAAGACAGTTCAAGCCAGAACCCCTAGAGTGTCACAGACGTCGAGAAGCATTCCGGCTGTAGTCCCAAAGCCAGAGCCAAGGAAGCCTCTCGCTCAGCCTACCCGTGCGACCCCGGCCCCAACAACAACGAAGCCTCCCACCACTCGCTCGAATCGGTTGCCCCAGGTCGGTCGGATCCCGAGGGTCGCTACTACGCGACCCGAAGCGGCCAAGTCATTCTCCCGACCTTTCAACCGCGCCAGCATGCATCTACAGTCACCACCTGGCGTACAGAGCTCAGGCGAAGAGTTCGTTGCAAAAGGCCCTAGCCCTCCACGGTCCCTTAGCCCAGCTTCAGAACCCAAGCCCGAGGAGCCAACGGTACCCGCAAAAGCAGAGGTTGATTCGTCGACCTATCGGCTCTCTAGGGATGTTCCTTCTGAAGCGAGCCGCTCACAAAACGAGTTTCTCTCTTTCCCTCCACGCAAGGACTCCGAGGGCACCTCGACCACATCCTCTAGCTGCTCGGGGGTACTTAGCTACTCTGATGCTACAGCCGTCATCCCCGGACCAAATGCTCCTCTGGCTGAGGATGAGGTATGGGATGAGTACAATGATCTTATGGGCGAGGATACGCTCAGGGTACCACCCTCAGCAGGCTCATCACAGGGCAAGCCGTTCCATCTGGAAATGTGGGGAAGACGTCTCGCGGACGACAAAAATGCTCCGCTGGAGTCACCAACTATGAACAACGCGTATGTGGAGTCCGATTGCGAGACGGAATTTGAGGTAGAAGAAGCCCAGGAGGAACCTGCTCCCACTTCGAGCGGTTACAGTTCCGGTCTCACGGCAAAAATCGACGAGACACTGGAGTCCATCCGCGGCCCGACCGCTTCTTTCGATATCAGCGACTTTGTCAGCGGCTACGGCGATCGCAATAATAGCCTCAACTCTCAATCTCAGCTCCAACGTACGAGCACTGCATCGTCTCAGAAGGCACGGGTCATCCGAGATTCTCATGCCAGCGGCAGCAGCCAAGGTTCCGACGACAATTCAGCAGTGTCCCAAGTCAACCTTCGTGTTGGATCGATGACTGTGAGCAAATGGCTGACATTTGGCCATGTCCTGTTCAGCCCAGTCAGGGACGAGCTGGTCCCGATGACGGGCTCTCTCAAGCGACACTCCATCCTAGTAATTGACGGTCTTGGAAACGATGACTGGTCCTTCTACGCAGCTGAGACTTATCCTGCGGCTACGTTCTTTAATCTCTCCCCCCGCTCACCTTTGCCGACTGAGAGTCAGGGCTCTTCATCCAGCGTTCCTCTGAGCCCGCCGAATCACCACCAGATCCAATACAAGTCACACATGGACCGGTTCCCCTTTGGCGCTCAGAGCTTCACATGTGTGGTGTACCGATTTCCGGCGGCTGTACCCGAGTCTCACTACCGCAATATCGTCTCTGAGACCCGCCGTGTGCTGAAGCCGGGCGGATACATAGAGCTGTCAATTCTTGACATCGACCTGAACAACATGGGGAATCGTGGTCGCCGCGCCGTCCGTCAGCTCAAGGAGCGTGTGCACACACGCACACCCAACGTCAGTCTCGGTTCCAGCTCCGACCTGCTCCTACGTCTCCTCGGACGCAAGGGGTTCACGGACATCAAGACTTGCCGCCTGGGCGTGCCTGTCGCGAGTGCCCTTGCGCCGTCCGAGCCAAAGACGAGTAACAGATCAGGCCCCACCAGATCTACTAGCGGGAAAGCCAAGAGAGACACACGCAGTCTCGCAGAGATCATAAGTGATGACGGCCCTATCGCGGACGAGAGCATCACCAAGATGGTTGCCAAGGTCGGCCGGTGGTGGTACGACCGCTGCTATGAGAGCGTTGCCCCTGCCCCCGGCGGCAGGAGTATGTGGGGCGACCCGGCTCTACTCGCTGAGTGCGAGGACTGGAGGACGACTCTGAAGTTGATGGTGTGCCATGCTCGCATGCCGGATGCGCGTGGTCGCCTCGCGAGCATCTGAGACTTCTCGCTGGATTAACTTTCTGCTCTCAACCTACTTTCATTTCGAGCATGCATAGCGGAAAGCATTGTTTTTTCTCTCTAATCTGCACTCATCTCTTTCAAATCCTCAACTTTTTCGTCGCATACCTACAACAGCTGTGGCACTCCCAAACTCATGTCCGCGGCATGGGACAATCGGCGATTTGAATTCGGGAACAATTCGTCAAAGGATCTCGTCATTTCCAAAACTTGAAAATTCCAAACAAAGAACAAGAAGGGCGCAAGCCCAAAATTACTATCAAAAGCTCACTCTGCGAGGAGTGAGCCCACTTCGCGGTGTGGAGTCGAAAATCAGGCCAAGGGAGAAGTTGTACACACAAAGGTCACCGGTGACACAGAACAGTGGACCTCAAGGCATTGGCAGGCCAGCAGATTGATCGTTTCCAACCTAATGGGCCGGCACCAATATCAAACTTAGGGTGTCGCTACACGTCAGGGGGGTATCCCCTGCGAGATCACCTTCTTTTTTCTTCCTTTGCTACAGGCTGGCGGGATTTCAGCTGGATTGAGGATTATCGGGGGCTGTAAACTTTCACACGCCGAGCAACAATGGCGTCGAGATTGGAAGTTGTTACGGCAGGGAACAATAATGATGGGTAATTTGATGGGTGATGGGCTGGATCCGTTTCACACTCTTTCTCCCCCCCTCGGTCATCCGGTGCCATGGTCGCTTCGGCAAGAGACGCTCACACGAGACAACTGAATGGACAACCAAGGACAGGACAGCAACACACACTGTAGATGAAGCAACGAGTCGGATGTGCGGTGTGGCCTTTTCTTTCGAGGAGAGCCACGGTAATGATTGCGGAAGTTGTTATTGGTCAAGCAAAGTCGATAGAGATACCCCCAGTCGTTAAATGCAACTGTCTTTACAGTCTCCATAAGATTATTCCACCCATTTCCTTCCCCTACGTGTTCCTGTATGAATCTCTCAGTAAAGCCAGTAAATTTTGGTTGATCCATACGCAATATCGCACGTCTAGTAATCCCTATGTCTATCCGAAACAACGCTTTCACGCCGGCCACGCCGGCCCGACCCGTCAGATTGAGACACACTCCTCTTGCTCGCAATCTCCGTCACCCGCCGACCCGCTCCTAGGCCCTCGACTCCTGGCAATGACATTCGCCAAGATGATTTCCAAGACGATTGGGACCTCCAGACCTGGGGCGCTATGTGCCTGTCGATGAAGTCTCTTGACACACCCAAGGCCACCGCGTCATCCATGGCCCGTTCCATGCGCGGCACGTATCTCTCTCTGACGTCGCCGTCGCGCGAATAAAGAGTGCTGGCATAAACCAAGGCTATGACCGGTTTAGGTACAGTCCTCCCCGCCCGCACTTCGTCGCGCGAGCGCTCCCTCTCACGCCCCCTGCGAACTCTGGCAGGCGGCGGTGAAACGGTGCGATCCGCCTTCCTAGGGACGCCGAGAAGCCCCAGGATAGAGCTCGTCAAGCCCCCGGTGGCGGCGGAGCCCCCGCTGGCCCGCCGACGACCACGAGGACTGAGGTCCCGGCGCGGGCGCCGCTCATCCCAGGACCGCACCCGGCGGTCCCCGCCCGCGGCGCTCTCCCGCTCCTCCCTGACGGCCTTGGCCACGCTGGCCGAGGTACACCGCGCAAAGACATTTTCCCGCACGGATTCGAAGTCGACTTTGGCTTCAACCTTCTCGTACAGTTCTTTCGACACGCCCTCGTAGCGGTCGAGGCGCTCCTCGTCGCTGGGGCTGATGGCGTAGACCAGGCCCTCGACCGCGTCGCGCTGCCTGCCCGTCCGGACGACGTTGGCCACGCCGCGCTCGTTGATCTGCCACCTGTGCCCGCGCAGGGTCGCCTTGCCGAGGAAGATGCTGTCCGGGCAGCGGTGGGCCATCTTCTCTGGGCTGAGGTTGCTCGCATAGGCGAAGTAGAGCCTGTCTGAGGCCGTGATGAGCGGGTGGTGGGATAGCATCTTTCTTTCTGTTATCAACGCTTCTTACCGCCTGCGGAAGATGTGAACAGGTCAAAAGGATTTGAAGCTACTCGTTTTGGGACATTCTCAGCAAAATTCGAGGGGTGCGAGACACCCCAAGCGTTCTGTGATATATGCCGTGACGAGAACTCTGAGGCTGTGACGATAACGGCCTATCGAGAGACCTCTGGAGAAACAGTCCATTTCGGCGGCGTCAACGGACAGGCGTTTCAAAAATCTTGCATGTGATCGGATTCATTGAACGCGACTTGACTTCTGACGTCCAATGGCCTGGTCACGGCCTGGGTCGGCCAGGCCCTCGGGCCGGGCTTATGGTCGGTCACCCATCTGTGACAACCGCCCGTAGCGGACATGTGAGGCGAAGTCGAAACGTGAATCAAGATTCGAAGTAAGACGGCAGTTGGGGTCAGATCTGAAGACAAGATAAGAAGCTGATGGGGCTGAATGGTCTCCACCCGGGCTGCGAGTAGTTGAATTGTGATGCCGTGGGGCTCTGCATTCGCGCCACCAACCCTTCTATACGCCAACTATTACAGATCTCATTCCTGAGTAGAAACACAAAATATCAGCTAAATGGCTCATATTTCAGATGAGCTCCAAGACTCACGTTACTTGAAGAGTGGAATTGTCCAATCGGGTGAACATAGGTGGCAGCCAGCCACCTGGCCGGGACAACGGCCAGGTGGGTACAAACCTCCTAACCTCCTTACAACGTCCCACGTCAGACCTAGCCAGAATGATGTCTTTCGTGCTCGATTGTTCGACATGAAGATATGTAGATCGAGGGTGATCAGCGTTGACAAGTTGGAAGACGAGGACGTAGGCCCCAGCGCGCCCTCAAGTTCACTGTAGAGAAGAATAGTCTGTAAAATTGGTATCTGATGCGCCAGCCTTTTTCCATCATGTTCTCCAATGCCTCCAGCTCGCTACCCATTTAGTATCATAGTCACGTCTCTCACTCGGTGGTCAGGATGACCCAGACCAAAAGACTCGAAAATGTAAAGCCAGTTGCATCCCAGGCTAGGTCCCAAGAGACCCCGCCCCAGCTGCACCAATATGATGATTTCCTTTCTTGTAGTCATCGTCTTGACAAAAGTTCCAGCCTGCTCATGCATACGCAAAAAAAATGTGACGGTTCAAAAATGACAGCCAAAATTCCTGCTGATGAGCCCCTTTACGCCGCAAACGCCGTTGTACTTTGCTTGTTCCCGCAAGAGAAAGTCAAACGAGCCATCGCGAGTCGCGTAAAAGTATGTGATGGATATACCGGGTATTATCCGTCGTTTCGCCAACCTGCTCATTCCTCGGTGGGCACCGTCGGCTTGCCCGCATCCACAATCATCTGCTGGTCAATCTTTTGCTTCGTCTCGCCCCACTCGACCCGTTTCCAGGTTGTTATCCTCCCGTCATTCAAGTCGAGGTCGAAAATCCTGATTTTGCGGTGGAAGCCGCCGTACCCTCCGTACCCACCGAAGCCTGAGCCGCCGGCGTAGCACATCCAGAGCTCGGGCTTCATAGTGTCCTGGTTGGCAGAAAGCGCACAATATTCGTTGGCGTGGTCGCTATGATCAATGTTAGTCTGAGGTGTTGGGTGCGGAGAGGATGTTAGGAACTCACTGTCCGCAGCTGACCATGCTAACGCCCTGCTCAACCAGGGCGTCGCGGAAGCCAGAGTTGTACGTTGGCGCGGTCACGCCTTCCCTCCACTCGCCCTTGAAGTACTGCTCCGTATCACGGTATTCAGGTAGCGGGATGTGAATGAATGCAATATCCAGGTGAAAATGTGTGTACTCCTTGTGCTTTTTCTTCAGTCCCTGCGCCGTCTGTCGGAACCAGTCAATCTGGTTCTTCTTGATCCAGTCGTAACCCTTAAATCGTCGCTCGTCGGGCGAGTAAGAATGCGAGTCGAGCAAGTACACAGTCACAGCTGAGTGCTTTGAGCTGCCCTTTGCTAGAATCTCCACGTAGTAGTTGCCTACGCCGTCTATATCTTCTGGTCCGGACTTGGAGAGAGAGTAGGGGAGGGTTTCCACCAATGCCATCTGATTCGCGCGTGTCAAAGCGCCTGCTGCGCCTTCGTCGTCGTGATTCCCGAAAATGGTGACATATGGTACCTTGTGCTTGATGAGAAGTTGCGCATATTTGAAGATGGCCTACCGATGGTATTAGTCAGTGCTCAAGACGGAGGCGAAATGGCAGGCCCAACTTACCGACTGGGCGTCTGGAGCGGTGTCCCCATTGATCTGATCACCGCTCAAGACAACCAGGTCCGGCTTCTCGTCCTCCAGAACCCTGGCGACGAAGTCCAGTGTCCTCGGGTCGGCCTCACACCTCTCACCATCCGAATTCTCTGGCATAGCTTCTCTGCAAGCCCCCACCCCAGTACTCAGGTGCATGTCCGACACCTGCATGACCTTGAACTTTCCGTTCTCTTTTATCCTGAGCTGCGGCTTGTATGGTTCCTGCTGGCTGCCTCTTCTCACTGTGATATGCGCCGACGGCACGTGCGGACCAGCATCCAAGAGTAATGGCGTGCCTTTCTCAGGCATCTCCCAGCCGTCGCGCGCCTCAACAGCATCGTCACCAAACAGGACGTCGACGGCGGTAATCGTCTGCTTCGAATCGATGGCGACCTTCTTCGCCGACCTCTTGATCCACAAGCCTGCTTCTCTGGGCTCCCACCTCTCGTCCGCTTGGCCTTTCTTGTTGGTGCCGGGGTCAAGCCGCCCGACGTTGACATCGATGATGACCTTGTCGTCCGAGGTGAGCTCCTCCTCTTTCTTCCTCCGAACGTGGATGTATGCGCTTGTCACGACCGTCTTGCCCAGGTACAAGTCTTTCTCGATTCGGTGCCATACGTCCGGGTCGAGGCGGCAGGAGGAAAACACATTGATGGATGAGCACTTCTTGATGGTGATGTCGGTGATGAGGAGGCCGGCATGGTGCTGTGGCATGTACTCATGGATGGCTGAGGGTAGGACGCGAAAGTTTCTATCGAGGAAGAAAACGACGAGGAAGGTGATGAGGGCTACCGAAGATACTTGGACAATCGTCCTCACCTGATCCGCGGTCAGCACATAGCTAGATTTAATCGAGGGTTCGCTACCCTCTCAATGACGCGGAGAGCTCTCGATAGCACGGGGACTGCAGCGCAAGATCTCAAAAGAGAGATGAAAGACAGAGCTTACTATTCGTCGCGTCATGGTGTGAGGTAGATGGGGGATACTTGGGCAGCAGTCACCCAAGCTCGGCTGGTGGCATTGAAGTGGTCAATCCGAGGCGACGAGTCGGGAGGGAGATAGCAAGGCGCGTTGCTTCCAGGGGAGTCGCTGCCAGCACCATGTCCGTGCAAAAAGACTGGGAACTAGAGCATTCAAGTATTGTTTACGTAGTCGACGGAGGAGATGTGGAGTTGGCTGCGAGGGGGCGCGATATGTGAGTGCGACGCAGCAGTGGATGCTCGTTTAGATGCTGCTGGGCCAGAACTGGGGTGGTGGTGGTTGAAGATGGAGACGGAGACGGAGACGGATACTAGAGCGAGAGACTATGCTCTCTGCTCACGGACTAGATCCACGTCGGAACCTTGGGGAGATCTGGGCTGACCTCTGCAGTGTGCTAATGTGTCATATGTGCAGTGTGCTGTGTGCTGTTCAGTGTGCACACAACCAAACCAGGAGCTGGCGCTAGCTTCCTTTGCCCTGGCTTGCTTGTCCTGGTTGGCTGGCTGCTGTCAAAACCCTCCCTCAGAGCTCTGTGCCTCCCTCTCCCACACCACCCTGTACCACCCCGTGGACTCCCTGCCAGGCTGGACTCCTAGGCCGTCTGCTCTGTCCTCTCCAGGGCTGGATCTTGCAGGTCAGAACTCAAAAAGGGGTCGCCAATCAGGGATCGTCCACGCTGAAATCTGGGGTAGTGGGTTCTCTTACGTGCCCCGGTGGGCTTCCACTACCTTCCAGGCGCTCGGCCGACTTCCGTGCAACGATCGGCTCCGTCTTCACCACGACCCAACCACTCACTAACTCTACTCTGCCCTGCAAGGGTCTCTTGTACTAAAGCTAACACCTTGCCAATGACAAGGTCATCGTCGCAGCAACTCAGATCACTCATCTGCTACAAGATTGGGTGATACACTCACCATGGTTGGCCGGCGACGTGCCGACTTCGACCAACACAAAGACCTGATTATCAAACTGTACCATGAGAAAACGCCGTGGGCCAAAATCGAGGAAGTCCTCCTCAACGAACATGGCTGCAGGGCAAGGGCCAGGACTATTATGCGCCGCTTCAAGGAGTGGGACCTCGACTTCCATCGCGTTCAGACAAAAAGGTCTGACGATCTCAACGACCACATCAAATCCTACTGGGAGGACCGCAGCACCCGGCCCAAGACGGACGAGGAGCTGCTCCAGAGGCTGCTCGCGGACGGCTTCACGGTCACCCTGAGCGCCATCATACAGATCCGCAAGGATATGAATCTCTACCGGCGGTGGGATGAGAAGCTCGGCAGGTACAGGCCCGACTCGGAGCTCGGAAAGAGAGGGCGGCGGAAGCAGAAGCACTCTGCCTTCACTGACGCGAAGCTCGCCCCTCCGCCGGACGTGTCCGACCCCGAAGATGCCCAGTCTCCCCCTCAGAGCAGCCATCACGACGTGGCACAGCAACCTTGTAGTCCTAAGGCGCAGGCTTTGCAGACTGCGGGTGACAATCCAGTCGGACAGCGCCAACAGCCGCCTCGTGGGCGTGCGCCTGCGTGGCCTGTGCCACAGCCTGATCAGAGCATCCCATTTGCTCACCAACCGGACCAGGCGATGAACGGGAGCGTAGACCCAGATATCGCAAGCAGAGATGCGTAAGTAGCTTGCCCCTATGTGAAGATGTGAATTTTTCAGCAGATCTTGCCGTTACTTGCACGCTGATCTACGACCAGCCATATACAAGCCCTTCTGGATCGCGTTAACACCTTGGAGCGACACTGCCTGGCCCATGGGATCGGCTTGCCCTACGCGAGCAGAAGTCCAAACGTACCTGGCCCAGGAATTCTGGCAGCTGCGGATGGAGGACACTGGGAGACCAGTACGAGCTTCCAGCCTTGATTTCAAAAGAGTTCCTGGAGAGGGGCCCGGTAAGTATTCCTGTGTGTGTGCCAAATGAGCACTTGATTTCAGCGCATAAGAGGTGGTGAACCTTTCGAGGACTAGAAAATGACCCGCGGCCAAAAGCGCTGAAGAGCCCTGTGCCTGGGCATGTTCAAGACAGGTAGACGAGCACTGCGGTACTCATTGCCTATGTGAAAATTTCCGCGGATTGAGGTCATACCCACCGGTGGACGACGTGGTCGGACCACAGAGAAACTCTGACCGTACATACTTACATCGTGTACAAGATCTTTGAACCAGTCACCAACCTGAGAAACCAGATGAGCTTGACGGGACGAACTTTCAAGGTAACCTTGCATGGGGGGATACCCACCTGACATTCAAGACAACCTCTGGGTAGGTGGGACATCTGCCCCTGTAGCTAAACTTTGACAAGGAGATGAGCAGGGGAAGAGGCTGTCATACGTGGCATATCGATATAAAAGTTGCGATGTTTATACTGAACTAGGATCGACGATTCATCACTGCACTTTTTCAACATTTGTGTCTGCACAATTCGAAATGGATGTCGGTATGATACCTGGTGTTCTACAGACAACTTCTCAAATTTGAGACAGGATTTGCACGGGCACCGTCATACGAGTCGATGCTGCAGCTATCTTTTGAGACCCAAAAACCCGAGTTGGAGATATTTGACAACGTAGTATTTCTTGTTGACAGCCTGTTCTGCCCAATCCCAATTCATTCAAAAACTCCACCTTCGCCGTGCGACCTGACCGTTCAGTGATCCCTCTCATCATCCAGAAACGACGGCAGGGCTGGAGAAACCAAATCAGAACTCCAGGGACTTCCTGCCAATTGTTTTTGCGCCCTTCCTGTTGCTAATTGATATCGCTCGCTTTGTGCTGGTGTTTGCCGCCGTTCAAGCTCATCAAAGTAAATTGTTCAACTGTGGATCGTTGACTCTGGGTATTTCCAATGCTCTTTTCTCCCCAACCCGTTCTTGGTTGCTTTTGCTTGTTATTTTTTTTTTTTGTTGTATAAGAAGATTCCGTAGGAAGACCGTGTCTGAAATCAGGCTGAAACGGCATCTTGGGTCTCGCGGAGTGCAGGTACCTGGTGTTGTGGTCCCTGTGGCACATGGTCCTTTTCATCGTGCGGATCTAGCGCTATCACTGCGATCACGTCCAGCTCCTTGCCGCACAGCATCACTATAACTCGGAATGGGAGGGCCTTCTGGGTCGGTCGTGTTGCTCCTGCTGCGCGCAGGTACGGTCACAGACGATGCCCCTCTACTTCTCGATATGCGTATTAGGGGCGTATGCTCGCTTTCGGAACTGTTACGTCGACTCCCAGCTTCTGATGATTGCGGGCTGCTGTAGTCGGGTGGCGGTTGGTTCGGCTCCTGCAGGCCCAACCCAGTCGTAGAATGAACGGTAGTTCCGCCGGCGGTGCCGGCAGCAGCACTGCTAGGCTCACCAACATCATCGTTAGGAACAAGCTGGGCGAGCGAGATATCAGTGGGGCTCCGGGCAGGGCCGGGGCTTGTCGGGGAAAGGATCCTGAAATTCCCAGACCGCGTGCGGCCGTGGCCATGTTGAGGCTCGAGACCTGACTGATGCTGCGGTCTGAAATATGTCTGAACCGATGGGTTGTTGCCCTGACCATGAGCTTGACCCTGGGCTTGCGACCCAGTGTAACTATCCTTCCTGCCAGTTTCCAGCAAGATACTGCCGGCTTCGGACCCATACGGTGGTGGAGGAGCCAATGACCCAGTCATTGGGGCCAGGCCCCATTTCTTCACATTAGCTTCGATGAAAACAAATCCAGCTTGGCCAAAATTGACGTGGACTGTTGCGGGTCCGTTGGCGCCGACAGCGGGGAAGAAGTTCTGGTTCTTCATTCCGTGGCACACATCGTCCAGCTTCTTGCCGTTCCGAGTGAAGAAGACGCATCCTGTTCGGGGACGGTATCCGCAGCCGATGACATCGCCCTGGACAATTTGAGGCCCATAGGGTGTGTGATTGAACGGTTGATTGAGACGTCTGAAACCGTTGGAGAAGTAGGCTGCCGAGTGTTTGTGAAAACCTGTTGCGACATTAGCAAACATAAACATAGCCCGCGAGAGGGGTCGTCTCAAAGCACTTACCTGGTAGCCTAAAGAGAGGATACGGCTTGGTAGCCATGCCAATAGCAACGAGGGTCGCCTCAGGTTTCTCGTACACCTTGGCCTCCCAATAATACACCTCGTTTTGTTTCGGGACGGGGAGATTCGTCATGACAGTGCATTCCGAGTCGAAGAATTCTATTTCTGTACGGCCCTCGACAAAGCAGTTGGCGATCTCGAGTTCCGGCTCGAACTCCCATGCTGAAACGCCCTTTTCTTGTATGGCCAGATACTGCGAAAGGGAAATATCGGTCTGTACGGACTCAGGAGGGTTGGATGTGATGAATGCTGCTCCGGTGTTAGCGCTGGCGGACCAATTGCGAGGATGTGGAAATGGTGCAACGCACCTTTGGCCCTGAGGTACTCTGTTCTCTGCATATCATCCATTACCTCCAGCGCCTCGGCCTCTTCCTTTGCAAAGGCCTGCTCGTCATCGTATTCGCCGGGCCTTCCGATCCGATCGAGCAAGATACGGCCGGAGTGTGTGTACTTGAAGAAGTAGATGACCACGAAGATGAAGCCTATCAGCACGGCGGAGCCGAGAGACGAGAGCAGGCCGATAAGGACGCCATTGAGGGCATCCGGTGAGCGGCTGGGCGCCATCTCGAGGCTATTCGTGCGGCGACAGTCGGATCGTACGGGTTTGTTGGGTTCGTCGATAATCGGGGTCCCGAGAAGTCGCTTCAAGGGTGGCGTCGCCGCCGTGACGCAACCATTCGATAAGAGAGGCTCGCTATGCAGGAGGGACGGGTCGGAGAAGAGAGTAGCAAACAAGACCCTGCTTGACGGACTGCCGGGCTCGACAGTGGAAACGAAAAACAAAATTGACGCAGCGAAGAGAAGGGTCGTGTGAGAGAGAGTGAAGTGAGTGGCGTGGTGCAGGTGGTGGTCGTCCAAAGCGGGCGGGACAAAGTGTGATGCGTCGGTCGGTCGGTCGGTCGGTTGTTCTCGCTCTGGCGCTGGCGCTGGGGCCGCTGGGGCTCTGGGGCTCTGTGGGCTTGGCTGGCTGGGCTGGTTGGTTGCCAGGCAGGATTGATGTGGCAGGGTCTGGAATCGGAGGGGACTTCAGCTGCAGACTAGCGCAGAGACAATGGCGAAGGAGTGTGGAGTCTGTCTCTCTGAGGTCGAGAAGTGTTACAGATCAGGATCAGCAGCGAGACGATCCTCAAAGAGAAGTGAGGCTTGCGGGTATCTTAGGATAATGACAAGAAAAGGCTCAGTAGATGAAGTGACGGCATTCAGCATTAGATATCGGCTGGGCAAGTATGGGTATGAAGCGCAAAGGGAATGGGAGGGGGATGGTGAGGGCGAAGACGAGATGAGTTGGTCGGTTCCAAGGTTGGAGAAGCAAGCAGTGTGCCCAGGTTGAATACGGATAGGCGGGTGGATCATGATTTGACTGCTTCTTGTCTTGATTGCGGGTGAGCCAGGGCCAGAAGCCAGAGCCAGAGCGAGAGCCACCCGCACTGCACTGCTGGTGGTCTGGGTGCCTGGGTGTCGGGGCAGGTGGCCAAGGAAGGCCTGCTTCAAAACCTCAGAAGGTGTCCCTGCCCTTGTCCTTGGTGGCCCGCCACATCCGTTCCGTGTCTCCGATCTGTCCCACTGTTAGCATTTGAATGGTTTTCCACAGCCATATACTATCAGCGTCCGTGGGGTCGATACTTCAGGGTCGTGTGCCAAGGAGGCAGTGACGCGCTCCTCCTGCGATGTGGATCTCGAGACATCAGCATGAGCTCCCTTACATAGCACATGCCCACCTTCCTCACCTAACCACAGCCATGCAGTCTGGCAGTCTGTATACATTGTCAAGTACAGAGGAGACTACTGAGGCAGGCACCCATAATGCGTGATGCACTACAGCACATCTAGTGCTGAGCATCTAATATCAGGGAGCAATGACGACTCACCCTCATGCAGCCTCATTCGATTTCCCTCCAACGCTCCCTAGTGTGGTTCATGCTATGAATTGTCCTCCCTCCACACGTCGCTCAGCTTCTCACTTCCGTCTCTGCCCGCATGAACCCCCCACCGCCCTAGCTGCGGGTCTGACGACCACGGCCTCGACAACTGGACGGGCGGCCACGGCCAGGTTTCATCAGCCGCAGCCTGTTTCGTGAGTCGTGCACGCTGACCGAGCCGTGCTGCGTTCCACCCACAGACAGAAAATACGATATTCCCTTATCGCAGCCTGCTACAGTGCCATTCCAGCCCCGTATCAACACGGCCCGGCCATGCCTATATTTAACCTCACCGTGGTCCAGCTGCCATTGACGACCTCACTCGCTCACCACTCGCTCACCTCCCGTTTGACACCGACCCTTGACTCGTTTCTCCTGCTGCTCAGACAGGGTAATCAGTCACTGCTATACCAACCACGTAGGCATGCACACATACATGCACATGCCTCGACTGAAGGAATCAAACCTCCCACAGCTATTAATACATTTAAGCTTATGATTCCCGGCCTGTCACCTCAGATCCTGCTCATTTCACATGACAATTGACCTCCCGCAGATCTCAATATAAACAAGTTTCGAGCAACTCAATTGCCTTTCGCCAGAATGTGTCAGAGTGAACATGCCAGCCGAGACAGCGATCGCCCGGCTTCATCGCCTACATCCGGTGAATTTGAGTGCTCCGGCAGGTCGGAGCCAATGTGCCATCCATGCACAACTCCAGAGGCGTACGTCCGATTAAACTTCACAGCGAACAAGGCTGCAGCGGATGCTTGTCCTCCATCACGGGTGCATTTGTCGAGACTGGCCGCGCAAGGTTGCATTGTCATAAGTACACGAAGAGATCTGGGAATCTCACCCATGACAGAGTCATCCATCGCCACCAAACTATCACCACGGGCAACACTGTCTTCCGCTGCGGGAAAAGTTCACGCTCAGCATCATTTTCCTTGGGATGCTTCCGTACTAGCTACATATGCATTTGTTGTTACTGCTCAAACAAATTGCAACACTCCTTGACTAAGGCCACTCAAGCGTCTCTGGTACTTCAACCTCATTGGTGACGACATGAACCACCGTCTCTACTTTGTACCACCAGTCTGCCGAACTGGCTTAACAGCTCTAAATGCCATTATATCCGTCAACAGCAGGGTAAGCAATGTACGACAGGCCCATGCTAAGCCTCCCGTATGCAATGGCGAGCTTGTACACGTCGTCTGAAATGCCGCTCCTGCTGCCCAGGATCTCGCCTGCCTTGCTGAATAGCATTTTCGACCTGTGGTGAAACTCGCGGCCCCATCCGGGCTTCTTGGTATCGTAGAGCAGCTCCCGGTGCCAGAAGCTGTGGATGTTACTGATGACGGGTGCCAGGTCCTCGCTCACGCCGAGGGGCTGGCTTCTGGCTAACTACGCAGTACCATCCTCCACCATGTCGTACCACAAACATCAGTGTGGAGGTCCATCACGTCGTTGGAGATTGGTTGGGAGAAGGGGGCTTAAGGCAGAGGTTCGAGAGCTGCAGAATACACCGTCTACATGAGATCCTTTGGGAAGACATAAGGCTAGCAGCTCATCCATCATGCATACCTTTGCGTCTGTGGATGATATGTCCAATTAAGAGAGTGCTCAGCTATTTACGCGCCGAAAAGTACGGTGTATTCCTTACGATGACTGGCGGAGACATTACCCGTTCCAACAAGACGAGGAGACTTCATATTTTGAGTCCAGGAAAGAGTCCTCTACAATCCGAGTTTCATCATCCATATAAGCCATCCAGACAAGTAGATTGGGGCACATAATTATTGCGAGGCAAGTGCCATGTGCTTTGTGCGTAAAGCACCTGGAACACTGGGCTCTTCTCGGATCAACAAAGCTGTAAAACAGATTCGCAGAGCAAAAAGCTTGACCAGCATGAACAAATCTCAGGATTCGATGGGGTGACCAAAAAGCGTTTCATTATTTGACAGTACAGCTCGAGTCTCCTGAGAATACCAACCTATAGCACCGGTTGGGCTTGCAAGAGACTAATTATCTGCATATGCACAGATGACATTAAACTTGCACTTGCTCCTCTTAGCGGCTCATTTGCTAGTTAAAAACTCTCATACTGTGGCTGCGATTGGCTCTACAGCAATGCTGTTGGGTGCATCAACATTGCATTTGCCTAGTGTTTAAACCAACCAGGTACAATTATTCCAAGACATAATTACCTGGTTCTCAACTTTACAACGACTCCGATGGGACGGGACCGTTGATGCGATACTAGCATAGGGTTTCAACCAGCGCAGTTCTCAAAGCCTCGATCATTGATCTTACCTTGCAGCTTCAGCAGTTTTTTTTAATATGCCAACGATTACTTCCGACAGAGACCTGCCTAAGTTGCTCGACAGCCCCGCAAAGCAGGTAAAGTGGACAAAGAAGCTAGCAATTGAGCATCTAGGCAGTGCCGCAAAGCGTTTTGAACAGCCTCCGATGCAGGGGATGTTCAGTAAAACCATGTTCGTGACCCTAGCGGACGCTCGTCAGGTGGTAGTGCAGTTCCGCACTGAACCACTTGACGTCGACGCATTCAGGATTGCAAAGAGCGCTCTAGGCTCCTTCGTACCCGATGCCAGAGCTCTGAAAAGTCAGGAGCTGGAGAAAGTCGGTGCCTGGGCTTATTCCTTCCCTCGCATGCCGGGCAAGATGTGGCATCAAGGAATCGCAGGCAGAGGCGCCGCAGGACGCGTTGCGGTCAACAAGTCGCTCGGCCGTGTCTTTTCGAAAGGGTGCCTTGCAGAGGACAGCAATGAAGCTGTTGAAAAGACAATTCGGCCGCACCTAGATGCGATCCTGGCATCGCCTTTGGAAGAAATACTGCCATTCAAGGGCGTTCTCCAAGGCTTCGCCAACAAGCTCGACGAATTGGCTCAGCTCCCTTTGTGGGTCGCCCATTACGATCTCAACGACGTTAATGTGCTCATTGACGAGCATTGCGAGGTCACCGCCTTGATCGATTGGGAGTTATCTTCGCCGCTGCCTTTTGGGGCCGGATTCGGTCGCATCCACACTCTTGCTGGCGAATTCACCGAGGGTGAATTTTGGATGCCTGACGAGTTCGAGGATGCCGAACGGGGATTCTGGAAGGAGCTCTTCGACGGCATGCCAAGAGACATCGGGGAAATGCTGGAGAAGCGAATTGGACTCGTGCAGAGGGCAGTCACGCTCGGAACATTGCTCGACTGTTTCTTTCTCGATAATGGGAAGGTTGGCTGTAGTCAAGTAACTTTGAAGGCTCTCCCAAAGTTTCTGACATATCAAATCCCTCTAATCAGAGGACAGAAGCAGCCATATTGTCATTGATACAACGGCTGGAGGGAGGTCATAAGAAACGAATAACGAAAACTGGCAATACAAAGTGTGTTTTAGATAACTCGCATCATCATATTTCAAATAGATGACACGTGTTCTGAGCTGAAGTGTCAATATGTGACTTTTTGGTACTTCGCCAATTTCATGCAGCATATTACGAGGCAATGGGCTTGGGAGTGACTGGTGATAGCGACGCAATTGTTGCAGAATTCAGATTATTTGCAATGGCTCAGTGTTTGATTCTTCCGGAACTCTCTAAATGACTTTCACTTGCTCTGGTCCTTTCGTTGCCTGGAGTCCCCTGCTACGATCTGAGCCAAACAGCCTCCACATCCTCTCAATCCGGATATGACGAGATGTGAGGCTTACATCAACCCAGCACGCGAATGATGGTGTAACTGGCTTCGAGGCATCATATCCACCCATACGTCGAGCAATCAACCCACCAGCTCCAGGCCTTTAATTCTGTCTTCGATTTGATCTATAGGAGGACCAAAGAAATGGTGAAGTTGACAAGGATGAGTGGAACTGTAGCGCTTGAGGCTCTTGGGCTTAGTGTACCAGTCGGGGGATCGCATTTCGCGGGCCATGAGGGACATCTCTTTAATACTGATTCCAAGAAAGGGGGGAGCCGGACGGGGGCTAAGTATACCTTTCGCGATCATCTCCTTATAGAGTGAACCCAGCAGAATCGAGCTACACTCGAATGAGCAGCAGTCTCTGGTGCAGAAGTACTCTAGGAGATCGTGAAAGCTGCTAAGAATGCTTTGAACACCGTCTTGCCTTCTGCGTTCTATTTCGTCTGTGCTCGTCGTCAGCGATGTGTCTGGATATACTGGCAGGATCGACGACGAACCACTTATGCTATCAGGCATTGGAAGGCTCAACATTCGAAGGGGTCCACGTGTTTGTTGCACTGCCACGAACGTCAAGTTGCGGAAAATTTCGGGCTGGGCGAAAACGTGTGATACGAATAGCCACAGTACAAAATCTCTGCAGTATTCCTGAGTGACACCGCCTTCATTTTTGAGCGTCTCAATCCATGTGTCGGAGAAGAATCTCACAACATCATGGCACTTATAGTAGTCAACCAAGACCGCTATCTTTGCAAGTAATTCCAGGCTGATAGATCGGGGGACTTTTTGGCTGTTGCCATGGATTATATCCATGAGAATTTGCAAAGCATCCTCGTCCCAGTCTGTTGCAGAGACGTTGTAGAATGATTCAGTTCGTGAGGCATTCTCCTCCCAGGGCCCCGTCAACATTGCTCTGAAATAGGAAGAGGCTAATATCAAGTGTCTTGATGAAAGTCGGAATCGCACTTGAGAGACTTCGTTGCTGACAACTTCATCGCCTTCAGACAGCATCTGTCTGGGCCCCACTGTTTCTGAGACTTCTGATGCCTCTGATGCTTGCTCCACCGACAAGTTGGACAGGCCGACTAACACCTGAGGCTCCACAGGCACCTCTGGCATATCTTGTTGAAATGTTTCGAACTGGTCTGCTGGCACCTCCTCCACCACAGGAGCATCAACTCCGAATCCGAATTGGTCGACTGGTTCAGCTTGCTCTGTTTCCATCCATGCCGGATCAAACAGACGGTACCCCGATAAATGCTCACTCTTGGGCACAGGTGGTGGAGGTCGTGGTAGCTCCCAATGCTCGTCCTCTCCCCAGACAGCGAACGGCTCATTAGGGTTCCGGAGGGTAAGGAGCACGTCTCCTCCTGCATCCAGGTCATGATCAAACTTGAGTCCCATGATTGCCCCTCAAATCGAAATCGAAATTGTGTGTTGACTCAAGATTCTGAACAGAACTGGTCAACCGTTCGGAAGTAGCAGTAGATATTGCGAAGGAGGGGGGAGGGGCGCAGCGCCAACAGACGTGTCCCTGCATCTACGTAACCGCGGCGCTTATGTTGTGTGGCCTGAGGCCTGGTGGGCGCTTCGATGCATGATGCGTCTGCCACACCTTGAAAGAGGATTGTTGACAAAGGGGTTGCCTTAGTCTAGGATAAAACGTGAGATTGTCACCAGTTCATGTCTCAATTGCCATTCATGTGTCATTATGGAGAATGAAGTCTGTCGAGGTTGCTATACTATACGGCCTATTTCATCGACTATTCGAATCCTCGAGCCTGCAAACCTCTAATCTAGCACATACTCACTCGTAGCAGGGCACCAGACCCGAGTGACTGACTGACAGAAACATTCAGGCGGGCAGGCAGGCCAAATAGATTTGCATCCAAAACTCTCATTCTTCTTGTTCGAACAGCTACCACGGCAAGACAGTGTAGGAGGCTGTAAAAGTCGCGAGCGGGTACCCTACGAAGGGTAAAATTTGATCAGGGAGATTAGAAGTCGGTCTTATTCTTTTGATTGTTTACATTATGTTGACAATGCTGCTCGATTCTCCCAGTGAACAAACGCCATGAAGGTCGTTATGACCAAGTCAGGTTGATTCGCCCGACGACACAAAGGAGATGTACCAATCCCTCATAAAACCCTTGCCGACCCTGTCTTCTTCCATATCATTTGCTCTCGTCACGCATACCGATCTATCCACCATGTGCTCGAAGAACAGACATGCATGGCAGAGCCCTTCGCGCGTTCTTTCGTAAAATTTAATTCGTATCCGTCACAGCAACCTCCCCACCCTGTGGTATCTCGTCACTGCTCTGCTGCGGGCCAGGCGGCTCTGCAGGGGCACCCAAGACGTACCGCAACAGCGAGAGTGCCTACCTCTCCCGTCTGTAACCAGCACCGCCTCTCCTCTTCCTCTTCTCCTCGGCATAGTCCCTCACGTCCGTGCCTCCAACGGAGGACCCGGCACCAGAGTCAGACAGGCCGGGGATGACGTGGCGGTAGGACTTGGTGCCGACCTCGCTGCCGACCTCGCTCTCGGTCCAGCTGCCGGGGATCCTAGTCTCGACCTCGTCGCTGCCGCCGTAGGTGCTCGGCGCCATGGGGGTACCCTCATCGACGCGGTTGTTCTGCTGCCAGGAGAAATTGCGCCTGTGAGATGAGGACGCGCCTGCCGCAGAGGAGGCTGCGGCGCGGCCTCTCTCCTGAAGCTTCTTGGCCTCGGCCCGGATGCGCTCAGTCTCGCGCGAATCACGCTTGTCGGCCGTCGAGTAGACCTTGCGGATGCCGCTGGACTTCTTAGGCTTCTCGGGGGTGCGGTCGTGGTCGTTCATGAGCTCCGAGGTGACTGTGCTCTCCGTGTACCCGCCCCGGGAGGACTCGGTCGGGTTCGTTGAGCCGTCCCACTGGCTGGAGTCGCTCTCTTTGTTGATGCCGCCAACACGTGCTGGCTTCTCATGTCGGTAGTTGCGCAGGTACTGTTCAGCCTCGGCCTCGGCATCCTCGTCGATGACTCCACCCTCCTCAGCGATCTTACGCGCGCGCTTGCGCTCCTTACTGCGCTTCAGCTCTTCCTTCTCGCGGCGCTTCTCTTCACGCCTGCGCTCCCTGTCACGCTCCTTTTGCTCGCGCTTCTTGCGCCTCTTCTCCCGCCCGGCGTAATCGCTCACGCCGCCAGTAATGCCAGTAATACCGGTCGTGGCGCTGACGACAGTAGTGGCGTCCTCGGTGCTACCGTCGTCAATGTCTTTATAAACACTGCCGCCGCCAAGATCGGTCGCGGTGGTGGCCCCCGACAGGGTAGTGCCGTTCGGGCCCTTGCGGCGCAGGACAGTAGACTTGTAGTCGTCCCAATCATCCTCCTTGAAGTAGAAGCCGCCATTCCTGGCCCAGAAGAAGAACCAGATGCCCACAATGATGAAGGCAGCGCCTAGCAGGCCGAAGAGAACAAATAGAAACTTGTTGTTGAAATCCTGAGGGTGGATGATGCCGGACTCGGGGTCCGGCCGAGCAGGTGCATCATCGCGAGCGAGGAGGAGGGATCGTGCAGCGAGGGGCCCGAGACTTGAGACGCCATCATGGGACTCATCTGGGTTGCGGGCCTCGAGGCTGGTAGAGAAAGCGTGGCTCAGGAGTGAGCGGGCGTAGGCACCAAATGCTGGCGCCATGTTGTCTCTGGTGGAAGCCGGCCCGCTTCACTGGAATTTAGGAGTGGAATGGAAATGTTGACATATGAATGGACTCTGGACTCTGGCTGGTATTAGCTGGTAGACCAGCCAAGGTCAGATGGCGTGCAGAGTCTATCAGCACAGCCAGAGGATGTGCCTCTGCTACTGATGCTGCTTTGGCGTATTTCGTGACTTGAGTGTTTATTTCCGTGACAGACGGATTCGTGGGTCGTCGATGAATGAATTGATCGACTGATAGATAGATAGGGTGTAGATGGACGATGACAGAGGGCAAGCAATCTCGAAAGGTGCAGCGCGGTGCAGCGTGTGAGACTTGGTTGCTGTGGGCTGGTGGTTTTGTTCCTGTGGAAACGCGATGGCTGGGGAAAAGCGGTGGTTGGGACAGGCCCCCCCTGCACCCTGCCCACAGCAACACTCCTTCCAACCAAGAACCAGGAACACAGCACAGCTTAGTTATTTACATTGTTGTACAGCCTTGCTGATGAAATTCCTCCACTGCAGCCTGGTTATGATCCTGCTGCATCCATCATCCACCATGATCCTGGGGTGTGTGCCTGGTCGTTGGTGTTGATGCTTGATGTCAACAACCGACGTCATCGCCTCGGGTATTGGCGAGACAACACGCACTGACTTGACTACCACCTACCACACTAGACTGGCATATCCATTTATCCATTTGGCCCCCACGTTTCTCATCCTGACAGCTCGGAAAGGGGGGCCGTCCCGAACCACCAGCTCGACTCAAAGAGGTCGAAGCTCGGAGCTCAACGCCCATCAGTCAGAGGGTGTCTCGTTATCAATCACTCAACCACCTAACCCTGCGAGACTCGAGACGTGACATGAGTAACAAGAGATGACACTGCTGCCAGAGAGACAGCTTCAGTTGGGTACAGAGTCAGTCAGTCAGCCCAGACTCTCACAGAGCCGTTATTGGCTCACGCACTCCCCAGAGGCGCCGAGTGAGCTGCGAACATGTGGCATGGGGCATTTTCACATAAATGGCTCAGGTACCATCCAGGATCACTCGACACAATGCTGCCACATGTAAGTACCTGTTGTACCGAGCTGTCATTCCGTACGACACACACATGCCCAAAGATCAGTCAATCAAATCAGATCTTACCAACAACCGCGTCTACTGCCAACACGAGGCAAGATGCCGCCTGTTTCAGGCCTGTGTCAAGCAGCCCTCGTGGCTGCCGAGGACCCAACAGCATTAAAGCCTATGCCAGGTAGGGAGCTCGGTGTTGACCCAAGTATCCGGGGAACCAGCGGAGTTCCGCCGGCTCGTCCCAACTCATCAGCCCAGCCCAGCCCAGCCCAACACTGGGATCCGCACCACTCTCCGGACAGCTGGGAGACGACTACCCAGATCGGCAAGCCATCACATCTCGCAGGTGGTGGAGCAGTTGACGAGCCTCGGCTGGTGACGAGAAAAGCATACCGCATGCATTCCCACCACTCTTGCAACTCTGGACGAAACCTCGAGCTCAGGGATGCTGTTAGAAACACGACCTGCTTGTTTCGGGTTACCTCCATCGTGGGGCAGAGAGGCAGAGATGCACGACATCGGTGGGTCCGCGGCAGAGACGGAGGTGCGGCCACGGCTACACGGGGAGACGGAGACAGATATCCGTGACCAGTCAGTCTAACACTTGTGCATGAATGTTCTCAATCTGCGTGTGGATTCGTTGAGCATCTAAATGGGAGCATTTGGTTGCGAACATTGGTAGATGGCTAGTTGTAATGGTGTATAGCATACGAAGATATATCGTAACACACGTCAGGAGTACGGCCGGACTGCCTCGATCCTGCGGCCTCCGCCATAACGATTCCGGAAATGCCCTCTGTTCCAGGTATTATTCCTTTCCTTGGCCTGCTTATAGCAGACGGCACGGATATCCGTAGGTCCCAAAATATCTCAGAATCCATGTCCGCGCCTGTGCTGGAACTCACCCTGATCCGGAAAGACGACCTATAACATCACCGCAGACTCGGACTGTGCCAGACCAGGTTTGACAGCATTCAAGAAATCCTTAGAAGTAGTGTAATATATACGAGAAAAATAGACCTTTGATGATATAGCACTGCAAACATCGAACAGGTAACCAGTGGAGGTAGTCTCTGTCTTCCCTGCGCCAAATCCCTGCCAGCGCGAAAAGGAAAGCCCACTTTCAGTGCCTCCATCGTACATACACAAGCCAGCTCTGACAGCGCGTCGTCGCCACATGACTCTCGAGGATACACGTCCAGTGCACAGAACACAAAAGTAGCGAAGAAAAAGTAAGGTCCAGGAATACAAGGGCTAAAAGCGGATGTATGACAAGACGGGAAGGGTATCTCTGCTCAGCAGCCATTTTGCGCTTTCCCAGGCACACAGAAACGATTCGCTGTACCAAGAGGAAGTAACCCGGCGGCGCCGTCCACCGACACCAGTCGGCCAGGGCCGAAGAAAATGTATCCACAATATCGTAGCTCATATAACAAACGTCAGACAATGTCGCTCGCTTAGATCATCCAATCCAACTCGAATCATCAACATGGCAGTAAATTCCGCAATAAGGAGAAAGAAGGAAAGGGGAAAAGATATGCCTCGCTCAAATGTTCGTCATCAATATTTAATCATCATCGTCGTCGTCATCGTCGTCATCATCGTTCTCATCATGTGCGTCACAAGCGTCTTCGCTGCTCATGTGCACCATCAAATCTGGTAAGGGTAGGGAGAGTACGGCGCGTGTGGTATCGGCATGGGCATGTACGGATTCCCGTAGTAGTCCGTCTGGGGTGGAGGAGGCGGTGGGCCGTGATGCGCAAAGCCGCGCGAGTGCGATCCTGCCCGGGAGCCTGTTCGGACGCGCCCCTGGGGTCGCTCGAACCTCGCCGTGCGAGTGTCATCGGCATAGGCCGTGGAAGCGTTTTCGCTCCCGCCTCGCGAGTTCCTGTCGCTGCCATTTGTGCGGATGGCGATCTCGGCCCCGTCCTTGATGTCCAGCTGGGCGTTGCCTATGGTCAGGGAACCCATGCCCTTGACGAAGATGGTCATGTCATCGTTGTCCATGCTGTTCCTCGTGGCTGCGGAGCGCCCGTAGCCGCTCTCCCCCCTGCTGCCTGAGCTTTTGGTGCTCCTGCTTGGAGTTTTGTTGATTTTACGCAGGGAGTCGGCTGTCAGGATGTTCGTTGGCCCGTCCACATCCTCCTGGTACTGCATTGCCGACTTGTACTTGTCCTCGATTTCCAGATCCGTCGACTGCCTGCGTGCTCCGTATTGGGAGTTTCGTCGACTCCGCCTGCCAGCTACCTCGGCGTAGCCATGTCCTATGTCATAAACTGTGGAGTCGATGCTTGGACGACGGACTGGATGAGGATATCGCTCAAGTGGCGATACACCACTGTAGAGAGAATCATCCCCGTCGAGGGACTCATCGTCGTACAGTGATCCAACGGATGCAATCGACCGCCGTTTTGGAGCCGGCGGTGCGTAAGCTGACGATGCCTGTGGGCGCATTGTACTGGGCCGCGCCGGGGGAGGCATACGAACGCGATCTGCATCCTGCCTCGTAGACCTCCTCCTGGTTAGAGACGGCCTGCGTACAAGAGCGCCGCCATGTTCCTGGTCATCATACTCTGGGTTGTAATCGATGATATGGCGGCCCATGGCTGACCGCGGGCGAAGCGGGTCATAACCGAATCGGGCTGCCAAGGGATCCTGGCTATTGAGATAGTCTACTGGTGCTTGAGTAAACTGCTGTGGTGGTGGCGGTGCAAAGGGAGAATGGTACTGAGGAGCACTTGGTGGCGGGTAAGGCGCCTGAGGTGGAAAGGATGTACCCAGGGCGGGATGAGGTTGTTGCCAGTACCTTGCGTTCGACTGCGGTGGCTTGGACGGTGCGCCGTAGTAACTGGACGGCCGTTGGTTCGCAGTGTATGCCCTCGGACGCGACGAAGTGGCGGCAGCAGTAAGGATTGGACTGGTAGCAGTGGGACTGATGCCGTAGAAGGTGGACTGCTCCTGTGACCTTCTCGTTGCAGATGTGTGAAGGTTGGGGAGAGTCTTGGACGACTTCGCACTGGGCCTGACAGGAGCATGTGTGACCGTTTTCTTGCTCGATGGCCTGTCCTTGTCCCGAGGCTTTGTCTTGGGCTTCCTGGATTCCCTCCTGAGCGGGCTGTTAGGTTGGGTAGTAGACTCGGAGTCGGTGTGAACGTGGGTGGGGTTTGGCGACGACGACGTCCCCCTGGTCAGCGTGTGATTCCTTGTCCGTGAGACGTTGGCTGCCTCTTTCATGTTAGGCGGTGCTGTGGAGACATATGTCCTCGTGTCGTCGATAGGGTTCCCATCGTCATCAGCCTCCTCCATGTATGCCCTGGTAGCCATGGTCGGTGACGGGTTGTGCCTGAATAGTTCGATCAAGATATCACTTGTCGAGTCATGGATGTATCTCGGATTGGGACAGGCCTGACCGCACTTGGTTTGTTGATGTTGACTGCTTGTCTCGGTAGTGGTGGCTCAATCGCTGGGGCAGTGCGGCTCTGGTGTGAGTAATCGTTAGGCCAAGTCGGGTCGGGACAACGAGCCAAAGACGGTCGACTCATCCGAGTGGAGCCGAGTGGGAACCGTGGTAAAGAGCTCGCAGATTGCTCGAAGGTAATGGATGCTCAGGCTTGAACGACGGAAATGGCGAGGAGATGGTAGATGGCATATGATGAACACGCAGGCAATAGAGTCACAACGGGACTGTCTGGGAAATATAAAAAAAGATGTCGGGTGGAAAAGACCGGGGGCGGCTACTGGCGAGTTTTATTGTGCGCTCAATGCAACGCTCACTGTGTCCGTCCGTCTGTCTCTTTTTCTGGGGAGGGTGTGGGAGATGAAAAATGGCAGGGGTAAGAAGTGCATGTCGTGGAGGACATGGTGGGGAAACAAGGCGAGTCAAAGTGGGCGGCGGGTGTGGGCCGTGATGAGCAGCGGGTGTGCCTTTTGGAATTCTTGGTAAACCCCCGTCACCACCACTACAACACAACACACACACACCCCTCCCTTCCAGAGCAGAATCTCAGGGCTGAAGGAGAACGAATGGAAGGGGTGCGACGTGAGACCTACAGTAGAGGGCGGGAACGGTTGGCCGGGTGCCAGATGCTCAGATGCGGCAAGGCGCGATGCCACACTTCTGCCAGAAGCTTGGTGCAGCCCTTACTGAAGTGTTTCTCTCTCTCTGACCCTCCCCTCCTACAAGATTTTATTAGACTTGACTGCCCTGTGCCTGTGGTGCACCCTCCCGTCCTCATTTTGTTGATGGCAAATGCTGACAACACGCCACTGCATGACACAACCTGAATGTCGCGAACACCTCGTCCATCGTGGTCCGTTCCTCTTGCACATGCTACGGACCTTCTCCAAGGCTGGCTCTGGGGCTGCGATGGGGCTGTCCTGACAAACCCTGCCCCTGCTCTAGGCTACAGGCATGATGGACCAAGATCCAGATGTCCGGGATGTGGAGCCCGGAAACAACGAGGATCCCCGGGTTCTCAGTCACAGGATCATGAGGAGGACGTCTTCGATGCACGTACAGATGCACCTTCGCGCAGCTGCTTATCGTCAGGCCCCAACCTTAGGCCTGCCTGCTTCCCGGCTCGTGCTCGTTGGTCTTCCGGCCCTGCCCACTCAGTGGAGCCAGAACATGCCGACATGTCGATGTTTTTCCAGCCATGAGAGGATGCTTCGAGATCTGATGAGAGCATGTTGGTGGTGTGGGCATAAATGGCGTTCATACAGCCAACAGAACAGCCAGAAATAAAGCACACAAGCCCGGCGTCAAATAAAACACCAACAAATTGAGGAGACACTCAGCTGTGGAAGCCATTGGGCCGTGCCGAGGACGACGCGTGAATGGGTGGCAGAGGACAGACCGGCGTCCAAAATCCCATCCTACCCTATTCTCAGTGGGCGTTGGCCTAGACCTCTCAGTGCCTCTCGTCCCTCGCCATTCTCTAGGTGGCAGCGGCAAAAGTCGGGCCTGAAGATGCGGCTCAACAAAAACTCCGTGGGCTGGATCAAGACCGTGGCCAGAAGAAGACACGAACAATCCTGCCCATGTCAAATGACGCCGCCCTGCAGCATGCAGCAACACTGCCATTGGAGCCGTTCCACCACGATGCAGAAATTTCGCACCTCATGCAACCTCGTGCAGGATGACTCCTTGGCCAACGAACGCCCACGGTTCGCACTCTTGAGCAACTGCATCAGTCGTGCGAGTGCTAGTCTGGCAGATAATTCAGCATGTCTTGCTACGGCTCATATCGGAAGGTGAGAAAGACAAGGTTTCGCAGCAAGTCGCTGCAGTCTTACTTCGCCGACTTCGCGATAGACTTCTCGCCGATCCTGGCAGCGGCACCAATAATGAGCGATTCTATGTCAGCAATTGACTATGCTATCTTCTTCCAGATCCGTGGCGAACACATGCTGACTTTTGAGCATTTGCCCCGACCCATCAGCAACTTCGGCACTTGGGCCCTGTTTTTACCACAAACATGAAGGAGTTCGGCTTGTTGCAATTGTAAGTTGCTCTATACAGGCTTTCCTCCGCTCACTCATGACTGGCAGTCTGTGTTATTGTCCGCCAAACGTGAGCTTTGGGATGGCAAACCAAGGATGCGCGATTGCACAGAGAGACGGCCCCATCGATAGCTCGACCTGCCGCATCTCACAATGGAGAAGCTCGCGAATCATGTGCAGCTTACAATATGCTGCACATGCTGCACCAGCGGCCGTACCTGTGTCTCCTATCACGGGCCCGATCCAATGCAAACCCCCGCGTCCCACAGCCTCCACAACGACGCATCCGGCAGCTCTATCTCGTCCTGTCGCCGTGGTTGGGTGCAACCTCGACTGCAAGTCAGAAGGTGGCTCAGCTTCTGAGGGTTCACTGGCCCGACCTCCCTGCAGACAATGCATGAATGCAACCTGCAACCCCCAGGGTCGATTGTTGTCCCTTCCGGATAGGGGCCGAACTTGGTCTGCTGGCTGGCCCGGGAGAACGGTTCGGAGCTCCAATAGCAGCACGTTAGGTGCACACCTTCACGACACCGGTGACGACATGGAGAAACACGTTGTCGGTCTTCACAGGCCTGGTCAGTCCACCGTGTTTCCCCAGGTCGTCTGATCGGAACAAACCCCACAGATGCAGTTTGCCGTCCTGATACTGCTGTCAGACCACGACACGCCCGGCGTCTCCGGGCCGTGACCGGGGCGGGCCTGTTCTCATCCTTGACTATGGGTGCGAATGAGGCTCAAAATCCCAAGACAAGCTCGCAGAACGTACGATGCCCCCCGCTTGCTGTCCTTGGCTGTTCATTCGTGCAAGCAGTCGCATCGCAGTGGACACTAGCAAGCAGTTGAGCCGCGGCCTTTTCCCCAAGTGAAGTGGCCGTGGTGATGAGAGGTGACTGGTCGGTCGTGAGTAGATCTGAATGAATTTGATGCAGGCGAGATGATGGTTTGCGTTCAACAGGAGCACTACTGTCGCTCCAAGCTCCACACCGCCCTTTCTCCATGGGAACCGTTCCCTGCGCCGCTACCTTGGTCATCACTCGGGCAACTACTTTTGAGCCCGCGCTAAGTCGATGGCGACATAGATATGTCGCAGAGACCACCTTGAGGCCAGAGTCTCGAAATGTGTTCAGGTCGCTTATAGGTCTTGACCTATTGCCACACCGATTTCCATTTTGACCAGAGTGCTCCTCTGGGTACATATTACAATATGAAGACATGGTTTTGTTGTGTGAAGAGACGAGGCGATGTACTTCTCGAGCAGATGCGCCGTAACATGCCCAGCGGGGCTTTGAGCCCGGAGAAAAGTTTTTGTGTGTTTTAAGGTACCAAAGAAGAACAGCAAATGCACAGATCTCTCGGTGATCGAATTTAAAGCCAGGCGGTAGGCCCGCATCTGGACATGAGCATCGAGTGCTCATCCTTGATTAAACAGTCCAAACCCTTCTTGCGCTGCGAATATATCAAGAGAGGCATATCGTCATACAAAAGCGACATGGTTCTAAGTGGTTCGAGCATGTGTAAGATATCTGCTTTCTCTTCTTTCTTGTCTTCGCCTACTTCCTTCAGCCCATCCTTTACGCCCTGAATTGCCACTTTCTCGATACCAATCGGACCAGATATACAAGTGTGATCAGCATAGGGACCTCGATCAGTGGTCCCACACTCGAAGCAAGCGCCTGCTGGCTATCCGGCCCAAAGGCCGCGACCGCAATGGCAATGGCCAGCTCAAAATTGTTGCTAGCGGCTGTAAAGCTCTGTGTCGCCGAGAGCGAGTAGGCGAAGCCGATGCGGCGCGATAGCCAGAGAGTCAAGAAGAAGATGATGACGAAGTAGACGATGAGTGGCGCAGCAACGCGGACCACCGATACGATCTGCTGTACGACCTGGCGGCCTTGAGAAGCAAATAGGACGAGGATGGTGTATAGGAGACCGATGAGTGACCACGGAGACAAAAAATGCATGAACACCTCGTTGTACCACCGCGAGCTGCCGAGCCTGCGGACGAGGAAACGGGTCATGATTGCAGCGCCGAGGGGGATGCCTAGGAAGACGGCAATGCTCGTGGCGACTGTTGTGTAAGATATGCCCTGGGCTGCAGACCCTCCACTGATTATGCTTAGGAAGAAGACAGCCATTGGAGCGTAGAGGACCATTTGAAGGAACGAGTTGATCGCCACAAGAATAGCGCAGTATTCTGAATCGCCGCCAGCCAGTCCGTTCCATATCAAGACCTTGACAATATTGGGTTATTATAGGGGAAGAATAATAGTAGTAGGTGTGCTATACGTACCATAGCGATGCATCTTGCAAGTCCGACGAGGATGAGACCCTCTCGCAATCCGTCCTCGTCTGGAAGGAAAGCCCAAGCCAGACCAAGCTGACGGATGTGTGATTAGCTGTCGTATACGTAACGACAAACAGGAAGATAGAACTACGCACCATAAGGAACGGGGCCACAATCCAATTGACGAATACACTAAAGGCAATTTGCTTCCAGATTTCGCGGTGCGCGAGAACACGGTGCAACGACTCGTAACGCACTTTGCATAGGATTGGGTACATCATGACGAGTAGACCGATGGCTAGAGGGCAGTCAGAAGACACTTCTATACTTGTCCCTTCATTGCACCGATTCTGGAGCACTCACCAATTGGAACGGACACATTGTTGAATTTTCCCTTCTGCAGAGCCGGACCAATGTTCGGGACGAAGTTGCCCAGAATGATGCCGAAAGCCATGGCAAGAAATATCCAAAGGGCCAGCAGCCTGTCAAGCCAGCCCAGAGCCTTGAAAGCAGAACCGCTGTTCTCTGCCCATGGTTTTGACGTGGCAGGATCGTCGACCTGTTCTTTTCCGTTCCCTGCCTGTGTGATGCCTCGTTCGATATCATCAGATTTACTCTGCCCTTTGGGCTTGTCAAGTAGATTGGGGTTGTCTCGGTTCTCGATCGGTTGTGTTTCATCGGCAACCGTAATTGCACCAGACCCTGTAGGACATGGCGCATGAAGCTCTCGTGCGTTGAGCATTTTGTCTAAGTGAGGAATGTTTGCCCTGAAATGGAAAAGTTGGAGTGGAATCGTCTCAATTGGTGATTTGCTGCTTCTCAGGGCTTGAAGAGAAACATTTGTAGTAGAGAACTAGAAGAGCTACATATGTATGCAAGTATTGTTTAATATCCATATTGTTATGTGTTCCTAATAGGCTCAATATGCGCATCGGGATGCTTTCAAACCTTGACCAGAGCAGATGAACCAACCCCAAACAGGACAATGACATACTGCCCTTTACAGCCGATGCTCTGACTAACACGATAGGAGACAAGGAAGGACGTCGAAGCTTGGTGATTTCATGATATGAATGAACTTTTCCTCCGACCGACCCATGTCAAAGTGGACGGTGACATACCAGACAATTGCCTATTCGGGACTTGTGAGGGAGCTAATCATCTGGGAACGGCAAATCGCTCAGAAACCGCGAATAAAGCTAGATGGATCCAAGATCCACTATCTAGGTGTATCCCGCCTGCTCGTGATGATAAGTACGCAGGACTGGTGATTCCTGCCATTGCACATGACAGATCACATTCAGTATATTCGAACTGGAATCAATTGGAGCACGTGGGCATTTCAACTACATTTTCTTGCAATAACCGACAAAGTAGCCACTATTACAATTGTAAAACTAACAGGAGAAAGTCAAGTGTAATGCGGCAATGCAGGACCTCAAGTTCTTGATCTGCAACTCACCACACGCACTATGGATACGACAGGAGCCCCTTGGCACACAGCATACCCGCCTCCCCAAAACCCAAACGCGGCACCTTGCAAAAGCATAAAGAAATGAGCAGTGTCATCTTGTTTGGTGGAGTCAAGGGTTGAGAGGCTTGACAAAGAGTACATCTGTCGTATGGACGAATATGACCCCGTCAGGTGAGTTACATTTCGGATTGAGTGCTTGGTTACTTGAATCAAAACGCAAGCTGTGCGAGTTTGGTGTGTTGAAGTCCTGGATACAGTCTGAATTTCTTCCCTGGGCACGGAGTGATAATTACGATGTTTGGAAAAGACCCGCACGATTTAGTATGTGGACTTCAATTCGTTCTGGTCACGTCGCCGCGATCACTGTGTTGGGGTGTGATTACCAACTGAATATGTCACCTCGGAGAGCCCTGGGAAAAAAGATTTGTGCTTGTCTGGCTCACATGCTTACAACCCATTAGGTCCACACGAGTCGTGACACCTATCAAAGATAGCTTCGTGAAGATGCTCACATAGACGGCCGTTGTCCCTTCACCGGGATCTCCATGTCAGCCACCACTGCGCGGTGATCCGAGATAAACACACCATCATCGAAACGATTGGCCAAGACCCCGAACGTGAGGAAGTTGATGTCTGACGTATCTTTGACGAAGAGGAAGTCGATCCTCGAGGGTGACTGGTCCGGCTCATTGAATGATGTGTACGTCAACACGTTCCCATACCGCCTGTCCTCCGGAACTGTCGTCGATATGTCCGTCATCCCGGTCCCTGGTGCAGTCATGGTCTGGTATGCCTTGTCTTCAGGCGTGCTGTTGAAATCACCTCCGAGATATACCGGAGGTTTTCCCTTGCCTGACTTGTTGAACTCACCTACCCACGAGTCGGTCAGCTTCAGGATCAGCTTCGCACTCTCTTCCCGTGCTTTGAGTCCGATGTGGTCGAAGTGAGTGCTAAGTACCACGACCCTGGCACCATTCTCCCTGTGCTCAAACTGTCCCATGGTCACGATCCGAGGAAGAACTGCGTCCCAACCAGTCGATGGCTCCTCTGGAGTTGGGCTGAGCCAGTATGTCTGGCTGCGTTCACACTTCCAGGTGTCGATTTGGTAGAAGACAGGCGAGAACTCTCCCGCAGACTTGCCGTCATCTCGCCCAACTCCGATATGCGCCCAGGTGGACCCCAACTCTTCCTGGATGTCTTCAACCTGGTTGGCCAGGGCCTCCTGGAAGGAAATGAATGCGGAACGACCGACAGTGTTAAACCGGAGCTGCGTGCCGAGTTTAGGGCGCCGAACCTTCCAGAGTTCCTCGTGGGGGGTCGGGGATGTGGTGGCGTAGCGGACGTTGAAAGTGATGATCCGGAGTGGAATTGTTTTCTCTAGGTCGTGCACGCCCATTGTGAAGATTAATCTCCGCGACTATATGGTAACCTTGGAATCCAGTGCCACTCTCCAAGCGAGCCTTTCGACTTTTTGGTGGTCCAATTCGATTTTGCGGACAGTTGTCTTTTGGCTGTTCTGAGAAAATTAGTGTCTTTCCTTTCAAGTCCAAATCCAAGTCCGAAATCAGTATGAGATGTTCGAGACACAGTGAACAACTTTTCAGAACATTTCCGCCGTAGAAGTCTCATCACGACAATGGCTGATGACTTCAGGAGGGGTCTCATGTTACCGGGCATCTGGACATACACGTACACGCTTAGTGAGCTTTTTCCTTCCACTGACTTCAGTTTTCTTGCCTTGTATCTTGTGAGTTCAATTGATAATGAAGAAGTGGAAGAAAACAAACTGTATTGTCAACTCTTGCCGCGTGGTCTGAGCCACGTTTGAAGCTGTGCCTGAGCTCACAGATCAGCATAATGAGGGGGCCGGGCAACGGCTTATGTAATGTGCCAACATTACCAAACTCCATGCGGCAAACCATACCTATTCCTTGTACGAGAAGCACATGGTTCAACATAAAGTAGAGATTCTGATCAAACAGCACATAGAAGTCGAGAAAATTTCGGTTGTATTTGACAATGCACCCATCTTCACCGCGGAAGCGCAAAGCTCGCTCACGAAGAGTGCCCATTGGACCGTCGAGCAACTAGTATGACGGGTCGCCCGGTCACCTATGGCTGTCTTTGGTAATACTTATTGATTATGGCTTGCAATGTGAATGAAAAGCAAAAACAATATATTAGGAAGCAGCCACCTACACGCAGCTATGAGGGAGGAGCGTCTATCGAGTAAAAGCATCTTCAAGCCTACCTCTAAAACAACATGCAGCAATCGGCAGCGCCCAAGAATGTGTGTCCTGTGCGATGGCGGCACAAGCCGAATTGGCCAGTGACTCAAACCTGATATAAACAGCCGCACGAGGAATTCCAAGTCAAAGTGCTTTGGAAGTATTTTTGGGCACACTTGTTTGATATGAGCGCCTAGCCGGTAAGGTACCTACTCAGGTATCCGTGTCATTTGTAATCATCTCATGGGGTGGCCTCGAGCAGTTGGCTACAGAGGAAATTGGATGCACCTAGACCCTCTGAGCATGGATTGGTAGTTATACGACCAGGGTCGCCAACTCGGGCCGGGATGAAGGTTTGGGGGGGGGGGGAGGATTGTGACAATGCGGGAGGAGCGCATGCTGAGAAAGTCACATGTCAGTAAGCTGAGTAGAGAACCAGTAAGGTGACGATGAATACGGCGGATTAGCAGGCAACTATTTAATCCCACAAAAGCGTCTTATGAAAATAACATTTCAAATTAGCTCTGGCAATCAATATCTGTCCAAAACTTTGTGGCGTGCTTCATGAGGTTATCGGACCGGGGTGCGTGAGATCCTGCACCCCATAGTCACAGGCGCGGTGGAGGAGGCTGAGCTTGGCGAGAAAGGGTCAGCACTATCTACCTTGGCTAGCTCCTTAAGGCCAGACTTGCTTGATGTGTGTGTCGAAACTTCTGGCGTTGGGGATGCCAGTCAGTGCCAATCTGGAAAGGCCTGCAGGATGCAGGGTAGGAAATGGATAGAGGCTAACAGGTAAGGTGGTAGCGGTCAGCTGAGTTAGTGAGCTGATTTGAGGCGGCTCCCTTTCCCTTTTGGGGAAAAGCTTTATATCTAAGGATCATCGAGGGATATACTAAAGTCTTCATGATGAGAAATGGCGGTAACCACTGCCACTCCTAGGGCTGAGACATGTGAGATGTAAGGGAAGAGAGTGTATGACCATGGGACTTCGCAACAATCTTGGGGTGGAGATTTTGGCGGAGATTTGGAAAAGGGGTCCAAATTTACAGCAGTGGACTACCTGGTGCATGGAACAGCAACAAAGTCGAGCGAGAACGACACGGCAAGCAGATTAAGGACTGGACTGTAGACGTTGCAAGTAAGAAGAGGCCGCGAGTTAGGTGCCTGAACGCGGCAAAGATGTTGTAAAATTATTTGCGAGAATATTACTACCATTTGACTTCCTCCTCGATATGTTGCGTGAGCAATCAATCTAGCGATGCAGTTGTAAGACGAAAGGAAAATGTATGCCACCAACAAATGAGACCATGCTCCCCCGATAATGCGTCCTCCAAAGAGATGACGATAGGAAAAATGTCGACCGTCCGCGACCCGGGCCCTCCAACCGTGTCTGAAAATGCAAGACCCGAATCACCAATGAGAAACCAACCCATGAAAGCCCTTCAAGCACCGGCCCAAATGCAAAAGACGTGAGTCCATTGTGTACCCCCGTGTCAAACGTATTCCTACAAACAGAGATGCAAAGACGGTGGCGCGCCGTCGTCGCCAACGTGTAGCTCAAGGGATGTCTGTGACAGCCAACGCAAAGCGCACCTTCTTAGCCTTGTCACCACCAGAGCTCAACTCCGTTGTCTGGCCGAGCGTGTCGACCTCGACGCTCCCCTCGCCAAACTCGCTCAGCATCTCGGCCTCGGGCTCCTCCTCGATCGACCAGACGTCCGGGCTGGGCTCGCGCCACGCCCGCGGCGACAGGCGGTTCTCGCCGCCGCCAAAGTGTCCGGCGTGCGAGGGGCCGGACCAGCTGCGTGGGCGCTGGACCAGGCGGGGCCGCCGCCCGGGCGAGGTCAGCGACCTGCCCCGGGTGGTGGGCGCGGTGGGCGGTCGGCCGACGTGGAAGGCGCCGGGCGGGAGGAGGAGGTTGTCGGTCGATGTCGTGGGACCGTGTGCCATCATCATGCCCACCCTGTCGTTCTTGTCCAGTGCCCTCTGCGCCCTGGACTTGGCGGCGGCCGCAGCCTTGCGGCTGGCGCCCTTGGACTTGGAGCTCCCGAAGTTGTGGTGGAGATTGAAGGGGGCGAGCGTGCCGTGGGGCGTGAAGCGGACATAGTCCTCGTCATCGTCATCGTCGTCGTGCTCCGTGTTAGGAGTCAGGGCCTCTGGGGAGTTCCTTGAAGGCGGCGACAGCGAGTTGGACCTCGCCTTGGGCGGTGTCGGGGATCGGATGGGCAGAGGGAGCATCTTGGGCAGCGAGGTTGGTGGCCGGCTGGGCCCTGTCAGGTCGGACGGGCTGATGCTCCTGATGGTCGGCTGGGGGTGGTGAGGGTCTTCGATGCCGGCATCGAACATTTCCATCTCCAGGTCCATGGAGTCCGTGTCGTCATCCGTGTCACCGTCATCTAGTAGGGGAGTGGGTGTGAGGAAGTAGTTGATAGGGTCGTCATCTTCGAGGGATAATTCATCCTGGTTGGAATCAATATCCATGGCTGTGTCCTCGGCCTCGATGCTCGGATGCAGACGCATCGTGGTCGGTGGCCAAGAGTCTCGCCGCGAGGTGCGGAAAGCCATCCTTGCAGTTGCTGGCATGGTGGTGGTTTGTGAAGTGATCCGTGGGAAGTGGACACTTGATAAAGGTGTTGAGGAAGACCGTTCTTGTGTGTGAACAGTCATAGATGAAATACTGTGACTTGGTGGGCTTGACGTGTCACTTTGTGCCGCCTACAGGCAACCAGTATGACAAGGCAACTTCAAAAGGCGAATAAGGGTTAAAGGGAATAAAAAAGGCAAAATGCCAACCGTCCGTAAAGAACGCGGACATTTACCGCCGGCCTCGCCGGCTCACTTGACTTGTCAGAAGAGACCGTGAGCAGTCAGATGCGATGAGGTATACCTTTCCTCCCCTCGAATAGCTGAAACAGGATGAAAGATGTCCTGTGTTTGCCAAGTCTGAGGAAACGTAAAAGGCAGAGAGATATACAAGAAGGAAAAGGTGGATTTGGACGGGGGACTGCACGGGAATATATACAAAGATGCTTGGGGTTGATACTTGAGCCACACGAACGCGCACACCACCCACACCCACCAAGTCTCATCACAGGCATCAGTAGGACTTAGAGCAAGCCAGGTAGTGTAGTGCAGGTAGGCAGGGTAGGTAGCAATAAGTGGAGCTCAGCCAAGAGACACAGTGCTGATTCAGTTGATTAGTGTGAAGTCACCACCCTTCCCAAAGCGGAAGCCTTTGGCATGGCTGCGAGGGCTGCGAGGGCTGGGACCCTGGGAGAGACGGCTGGGAAGCGAGAGAGTGGTGGTCACCGGCCAGCCGTAGATTGCAATTCACATTCCAAAGCCGGCTGGCGAACTCAGCTGGCCCGGAGGTCTCAAATCTTTTTGCGGGGCGGGCTGGGCCTCCCACGTGTGCCTCGCCAATGAGAGGCTCGAGATGAATCACCTCGACGTGCAGCTGCGCCTGCCGTGGGAATTGTGGGTGAAATCATCACGGTTGGGGGTGCGCCGCCCGAGAGCGTGAGACAGTAGTCTGCCAGATTGAAGGAGGCGCATGAAGGACGAGTCGGCCCAAAACGGCTTCCTGCGTCGTGGGGTGTGCTCCACCTGGGCAGCGACGGATATAAGACTACTACTGTGTACGCAGCATGGCGCGGACCTTGTCAATTAATTCCTCCAGAATTTAGGCCGAGTGGACGGATGATGATGGAAGAGTGATGGTGACGAGACACGATGGGGCAGGTTTATCTGATGGCTTGATAAGCACCGGGTGCGACACTTGGGTGGAGACGGGGACGGAAGAGGCCTCGCCAATTGCGCGTATGACAAAACCCCATGATAGGCTTTGCCCTTGAAACGAGCGAGAGGTGAGTACTTTGCCGGTGCAGGTGCAGCTGTGTGATGGATGATGTGAGACAGAAGAGCTCTATCGTCGTACAGCAGCAGCAGCACACCATCCCACGCCCGTGTGTGCAGCCGTGGCGTTCCCTGTTCTGTTCGCTTTGGCTCGCCCGGCAGGCAAAGCAGGCAAAGCAGGCAGGCCGATGATCATCGCCCTCTCACTAACCACAACACCACATGACCAGGCAGCACACCATCACCTAGCACCCGACAGCACCCTAGGGCGTCTTTTATCTCTTGTTTCCGCGCAAGCCGTCTGCGCGCGGCGTCGTATTCTGACTCAAGGTTGCACACTTCGGCCACCAATCGTCACAGTGCGGGTGTCAAAATGCAGCTTGCGAACATGCGAACTGCGAACCTGCGAAGCTTTGGGCTGGCCCCAAGAGACACTTTTCCTGTCCAGCTGCCCATTGGACTCACCGGCCAGATCGGCAGGGTTCTGCGGGAATCGTACCTGCATTATGCGTCTGGGTGGCGCGGAGAGGGCAGCTGGCCTCGCTGGCCTCGCTGGCCTCGAGTGACTCTTCACCATGCTGCTGTGTCATCTTGCTTTTGTCTGCCTGCCGAGTCTCGGTGTGAGGACAATTGCGTGCATGCGTACAGGCAGACAAGATGGTAGGACTCGAATCCCTCCAAGCACTAACGCAGGGTGGCGTTTTGGCGTGTAATAAGTCCAGCAGTGATAATCTGTCCTGCCTGCCGGCCTGCCCTGCCTGGCTCATTCATTCACGCTGGCGAGTCATACTCGGTTGCGTTGAGCCTCAGAAGCAGGTACGAAGTGCATAAGACTGCATCCTGTGATGGTCGTGGCCGCAAGAACGCCTCCCGTTCGACTCGATGAGCCTCATCCGCCTTGCTCGAAAGGGAAAGCCGAACCAAAGGCCTGGCGGTTAACGAGGTTATGAATAATTATCCCAAGACGCCCGCGTCATCGTTCGTGGGGGAAACGCTGCTTGGTCTTGATCTTCGCGGGGTGCATGAGAAGTGGAATTGCCAGAATGAGACGCACGCATTTGGACCTCGGGAGATGTCCAAATTCGCTCCACTGCCCCGGGGTCCCGCCATTGATCGCCGATCCGGTCCGGCGGCGACCCACTTCGGCAGGCGAGGCTCTCGAGGCTCAAGACAGTGGAGCAGGCAGACCTAATAGTCAGTCTATAGTAAACAGACTATCAGACATGCAAGCCCAGAGTCAGCGGCCATGGCCGAGTTCGAACACACTTGAGGTCGCATCGCACTTGAATATTTCCCGACCTCATCGGAGATTATCCTTAAATGTCGGTAATTATTCATACCCAGCCGGCCCGTTACCACACTGCTCGCCTATTATCTTCGGGCTTGGCGGTCGAGGCCGACCGGCTGCCCTACACAGCTTACTTTTTGTCAAGGGTCCCGGTTCCAACTTCGTGCTGCCGTCAGCACAGCGCAACACACACACGTTCTCCTCGACACGTTCTGGATGCATTGGCGCATCCTCCCGTCATCTTGTGCTACGGTCAGCAGATGAGCCTCCAAGCGCGGCCGCGGGTGCTGTGCAACGAGACTGGTTCCATTGACGGATCTGTCACACCGCCTTGCAAGCCAACAACATCCCAGGTTTTGTCCGAGGTGTGCGACATGATTAGTATTTAATCATTTTATTTTTTCCTGCTTCGCGGAGCCGCCCAATAAAGGCGCCACTGGGTAAAAGGACAGAACTCGGCGAAATGGTGATGAGTCGGCCTAATGGACAAAGGGAAGGGTTGAGGGACTGACATGTGCAGAAATTATTATGACAAGATGTCTATTTCTGTCATCAATCACATCGAATTACTAACGGGACGAGCAGGTACCACTTGCGTACAATAGCAACTTCATATATACATATATTTGAGAGCCTCCCACAATACGGAGAGATCGGAAAATATGAACTACGTAATGCTAGCTACCTAGACACACTCAAATGAGGCAGCATCATCGGGGTCGGTGCCGACAGATGTCAGCACCTTTGGGTACAAGCACAGGTTGACGGTGCGGGTGTCAGTGACGTTCTTGGTCGCGGGCCCAGTGCCGGGCAGGAACTCAGGCGCGGTGCCGTTCTCGACCCACGAGATCAGCGCGTTGAGCACCTCGCTGTTGGGGTCGAAGCCGGGCCCGCCGCGGCAGTGGCCGACGCCCGGGGCGAGGAAGAAGCGGTAGTAGTCCTGGACGTCCGGATCCCAGGCCATGACGCGGTCGTAGTAGTCGACGGTGCCGTTGTAGGGGATGAGGCCGTCGTGCGTGCCGTGCCACGTGATCATCTTGGTCCCCCGGGCCTTGAGGTCCGTGAGGTCGACGTTGCTGGTCCCGATCGTCGACGTGTACTGGTCCACGGCCATGCGGTTCAGCTTGTCGAAGCGCTCCTGCGTCAGCCCGGCCGTCTCGAGGCTCCACGTCGAGTTGCGCTCCAGGAACGCGCCGTACCAGTCGTTGGCGGCCGAGAAGGGCGTGTACGTGCAGTCGTCCACCGTCGTGCAGTTGGGCACGAACACGCTCGTGAACGGGCCCTCGTAGCCGAACCCGTACCAGAAGAAGTCGCCCGACCCGGTGCGCGGCCCGTTCCAGAAGCCATGCACGAACTGCGCCATTTTGTCCGTAATGGTGACGGTGCCGTTGGGGTTGGTGCAGGTCACCTCCTGGCCGACAATATCTGACGCGTTGAAGTTGCATGAGCCGGGTAGGGCGATGATGCTATCCTTCACTCCGTCCAGCTCGTCGCAGGCGTCGAGGGCGGCGTTAGAGAAGGCATCGAGGACACACTGAGGAGGCACAACGTCTATGCATATCGCTGGTTAGTTATTGTTTCTCTTTTATTCCTGGACGACGATCACGAATGGAGATCTTACCTAGCAACTGAGCCAAGAAACTCGCGTAGCCCGAAGCCGCCTGGAGCTCTGGCCAGTTGAAGGCCGAGCACGAGGCCAGGATGCCGTCAAAGGGCTCGGGGAACCGCTGTGCCATCATATGTCCCTGTCGGCCTCCAGTTGAGCACCCGTTCCAGTACGAGTAGATAGGGTCCTTGCCATAGTACAGGTTCGTCGCAGCCTTTCCCAGCTTGGCCGCCTCGTCGAGGGCCACGGAAGCAAAGTCGTTCAGGGCGGGCCAGTTGGTGTTGCCCTCGCTCACGAGGCCCCACTGCGCCTGTGTCGTGGTGGCGTTGTGGCCCCCGTCGGTGGACGAGCTCGTGTAGCCGGACGCAACGGGGGAGAGGATCGAGCTGTCGCTGCCGGCCGTCCAGCCGCCGCCGCCGGTCATCATGAAGCGGGAGTTCCAGTTCGCTGGGTCGAGGGGCAGGCCGACCCAGGTGTTGACGGTGTCGCCCTGTCCGGGGTGGGTGTACTGGATCGAGATCTTGCAGAGGTCCACGGCCGTGACCGTCTCGCCCGTCCCGGCCGAGATGATCCCGACTCCGACGCCGGTGCCACTGGAGGAGTCCGAGCTCAGGGACTGGTTGCGGAGGGCGGCGACATCGAGCGAGATGATGTTGACGTTATCTAGCGTTAGGGACGCGAACGTGTCGGCTTTGCAGGCGGTCGAGTTTGCGGCGGTGACGGCGCTGGCGGCACCGAGCACCAAAAGAGCGAATGGTGAAAGAATGGCTGCCATGGCCATGGAATGTCCAAGACCAGACTCGGAAGAATGAATGAAAGACACGAGAGTGTGTGGTGTACCCAGGTAGTGCTACAACAAGGCTTTCATCACGATGAAGCCGGCGAGGGACTCGCCTATTTATCGCCTTCGGCTTTTCGAGACCTCATCGTTGATATCTGCTTCTGTATACGCGTAAAGGGGAGATCCATTCCCACCTGTAATTTCCGCTCTGGGGCGATGCGGCCCTATTTTGAGGACTGCCTCTGTGGAAGAGTATTTACCCAGCCTTTTTGACACACTGCGGAATTGAGTATTCCGAAAGAAGGAGCCCCGAGCGCTGATCGAGAACGTAGAAGTGGATGTGGCCGCGCAATTCGTCTGTAAAGGAGGGAGGGGCCCATTCGCAGCGAGTCAATAGTCATGCGACCTTTGAATACTTTTAATATTTTATATCGTCAGGTGACATGGAAGAGCATGCTTCTCGTGCTTGCAGGATACACACGTGGTTGTTCTGCCTTCAACACTACCAATTACTAGGATGAATACAGCAGCGTTGGAGATCGCAGACGCAGATGTACTTCTGAAGGGTTTCCATATTCTTTTAAGGTACTACATTCAACAATGTGGCTGTCTTGAAGCAGAAGGTGAATCCGGCGGACGTATCGAGGCCGCGATGGCTACAAAGAAGGAGAAGACTGGCCAAGACCTAATAGGGGTGGGTCAAGGATATATACCTTCGGCTGAGAATATTCTAGGATGTTGTGACGTCTGAATAGAGCCACCACTTTAGATTCTACCGCTGAGATATCATGCGCCACGCTTCCTTGGACTCATTCTCGGATGTCTCCGTTTCTGTACGTCCGTAAATTGGAGGATTTAAGGTTCCGTTCGCCTACGCAGAAGTCGAAACACTGTCTACTTTAAGCATAATTATAATGTTGAATACGCAGTCGGGACACTGCTTCCTGCTGCCTTGGTCGACCCAGCCCTTTGGTGTTTCGCATGCCCGCAACGGTTGGCTCGATCAATGGTTACATGTAGGAATATAGAAAAAGAGTATGTGCCTTCCCCCTTATGCTGTTCGTTGGTTGTGTTGACCGTGGGCTCGGACCCGTACCAAGAAAGCAGGTGGAGCCTCATATCTCGACTGAGGTCATTTTGTACTTGGATGCCGAAAAGGGAAAGAAAAAAGAGGCGGCTCTGAAAGGTGGACCACAGCGAGGAGAGGAGGGCAAGGGTTAGGACGCCTAATTGTTTAAGCATACTCTGACAATCGACAGAGTTCTACCACCAGCAGCATGCCCCACTTACTCTTTGGCTCATCTTATCTTATCTCCCCAAAGTATATCACATGAGAATCTGCCCCTGTTGAGACGGGATCAATTTCCTCCCAACATCGTGAGTTCGGATCAGGGGGCATGGATAAACACTCAAATGCTGGGAAGCGAAGTGGTGCAGATAATTACCAGAACGCCATCCTCTTAGTGCTCACTTGTGGCTGTCTGCATGCTTAGGTGCATCGCTATAAGGGTATAGCTCTCGGATGGGGAGGTGATAGTGTGCATCTCATAACCTCCTCCGAACCCTGATCGTCGACCAACGCCTGCGCAAGTTGCCGTGATGCCCTTATGCTGCTTACGCAGTGCAATGCATGGTGGCAGGCGATCGAGATATGACCGGTGAAAAAAGAGGGTGCAGGCGCTTCAGCTCGTTGCCAAGGTGTGCCAATGCTGACAGATAATGGGCTTATCGTCTGCAGTTATTGGGATGGTGGCCATAGCAGCAGCAGACTGTACCAAGTTTTGTGCTTATGAGGGCGGACAGAGTTGGCAGTGCCCGGGCGACAATAGACCTGTGTTGTGGTATGGTATTGCTGGGTTCGAAACAATATAGCGGCGAATGCGAGAGGCTGGCCGGTTTTTGTAGGCGACGAGGATGGCTTGTCCAAGGTCGAGGGCGGGCGTCGGGGCTTTATGCTGGTCGTACCAAACAAAATGGACGGATGGCCTGACAACATTGTTCGCATATCAAGGCAGCGTGGCATGCAGAGTAGCAGGTAGAAGGTCAGCTGGCTGGAAACAGGCTGAGCTGGCTTTATTGGAGCATGGAAGAGCCTGCGACGAGGAATGGCCGCTTCGCATTGTGCGGACGCTGTGAAACCACAGACGCCCTCATCCTCCTCGGACTGCCGGGAGGGGAAAGGCGGAGCTGGATGAGGAGAGAGAGAAGAAAATGGTGGTCATGAGGGAGTGAGGGAGCGGAGAGAGGATATGACAGCTCATCTCGTATTACTGTGCACAAGAACAGGTTATGGTGGACGAAGCATCGCATCAGCAATCAGCACCAGTTGAGAGAAAGATGGACTCGACTGGTGATGGAGAATAGGCAGTTGGTGATAGATATTTGGATGGCATTTCCCAGTTCGAGCAAGCTTTGCTATGCGAGCTTGGGGGATCATCGTCAGAAGGGCGAGCAGGGTTGTGCCCTGGCCAGACAAGGTTTGCTAGGCAGGGCTGCTGCAACTTGGCCTGAGATGCAGAATAAAATGGAGGCTGGCAGTGGAGCTGGGGCCAACTTTGGCATTGGCTTGGGCGCCCAGTTCGCAGTTGAGAGGGCCCAGAATCGGATCTCTGGCTGGAGCTACTGTAGGGTCTTGCAGGGGCCTCCCGGGCTCCATTTGTTTATTTTGCTGCTGTCTGATGCTGCACCGCGCCACGTCATTGGTCGAAGCTCCCTCTGATGTTGTTTTGGAGGGACGCTGCCCTGCCAGCATCCTTGGGCCTGGCCTCCATCTCCAACCTGCAGTTGCTACAGCTGCAGCTGTCCTGGTCCTGTACCTGGTCTGGTCAGGCCTGGTCTCGATCGCACCCAGTCAACTTCGTCCGACTTCCTCCTCCTACCGCACATACGTACATACGCGCACACTCCCTCTCACACGCACCCGCACTCGTACATACATACTCCTCCCTCGAGTCCGTCGTACCGTGTCAGATGGCCTCTATTCGCTTGCCGTGAGCCGAGGACAGAGTTCGCTCGTTCGTTCAGTAATTCGTTGGGGCCTCGATCTGCTGCGAGTGCGATCTGCGCTGTCAAGGCCTGGTCTGGCTGTCTGGCCGCCGGTCTCTCTCTGCCTGTCATTCTCGACTATCGTCTTGTTACATACTTACTGTGCCCACTTCGCAGCAACCAGTCGACCTATCCTTTTGTTTGTTGGGCCTTTACCCTGTCCACGCTTTCTTCCGCCTGTCGATCCATTCCCTTCCCTTTCGAGCTTCCAGGCGGTAGACAGACACGCTTGATCCGAGTACACGGTAGTCTAAATACTCCGTAGAGCTTCACATGCAAGGCTGTCACCACCCTATCCTTCCTTTCGCTCTTTGCTGTTGTGGCCTCCGTTGCTCTGCCGCCCCGTTATGACAGCATGTGGCTCTTCTAGGTTCGTGCAACTCCCCCCGTCCCCTTCTATACATAGCCCGATTTCAGTGGGCCGACCATCAACGTCATAACGCCCTGCTGAGCCGGTCCACTTTGCTCTCTTCACCGCGCATGCCGACCTCCCAAACGGGACATCAACGGTCAAAGGGAACACCTACACCACGAAGCAATGGGCGGCCCAGGCGGTGCTGACAAGCTCAATTCTAGAAGATGGCCCCTGCGAAACCGTCAGCCGACGAGGGCAGCAAAGACAAGGACAAACAGCCGCCTTCTCCACGCCGCGCCTCTGCTGCCAAACGATCCGGAAACAATGGCGTCGCCACACCACCGAACCGTAGGACATCGGCCGCCCAGACCCCGAAAAGCGCTCCTGCCGCCGCCGGGGCTGGCTCTGGGGGAGTCCGAAAGTCCTCTGTCAAGAAACCTGTCGAGCCGACTCTGCTCGGCGATTTTCTTCTTGGGCGACCCTCGGCCGCCCGCGTCGCTGCTTCGAGGCGAAAGAGTCTCGACACCGCAGCGGTGAGAGCCGAGTTGCACCAGCAAATGCGCCAGGATGCCGTCCGCCGCGTACAACAGCCTGGTAAGGTTCAGGCTCGGGTCAAGGCCTGGCAGAAGGCCAATGCTACCGCCATGGTGCAAGGAAACCCCGAAGACGCTGCCAGCGAGCCGACCGAAGTTGCTATACATGTAGACGCCGATAGTGTGACCGAAGAAGACCGTGTGCGCATCAAATCCCGGCAGAAGCCTAGGCGGAAATCTGCAACCTCGCCCAAGGCGTCTCCTCTTGGAAAGGTCGAGAACAAGAAGGATACGGTCCCAGAGCCAAAAGAGAAGCCGGTGCCCAAGGAGGTCATACCAGATGATCCGCGCATCAAAGGCCCCCCAAAGAAGAGAATAGTCAGCGATGAACACTGGATGAAACGGAATAGCGGTGACAACATTCCTAAAGCAGCCACAGCCGGTAACAAACCAGGAGCAGCGGGAGGCCTGGGCCCGAGCCCAATTCCTAAGGATTTTCTGCAGAAAACAGCGAAGCCGGTAAAGATGCAGACCAAAATCAAGGACTGGGCAAGCAAAGTCGAGCTGCCAGCTTCCCCAGAGCCTCCCGAGATCCCCAAGGTTGAGATCCCCAAAGCTTCCAAGCCAACGCAAAGATACAGCACCAAATGCGGAGAGACAATCACAGTCGAGGAAGCTGCCAGCGGTGTATCGAGCAACACGAAAACCCAGAGCACACGCACTGGAGACGACGGGATCAGAATCAAACCGATGCGTGCGGCCAGTCCCCAAGTCGGTGGCAGCGACGGGATTCGTGTGAGGCCGATGAAGATGGCGGCGCCCTTGCCAGACGATGGTATTCGAGTGCGCCCTCTTGAGCATGCTTCTCAGGAAGGCGCATCCGCCCAGTCAGCTTCTTCAAGAACAGCATCCAGGGAGAAAACGACCAGGATTCCAAGCACAAGACGGGACCGAACGCCGTCTGCCAGGATCGAAGTCATTGAAGAGCCTGACACAGATATCGAGGCTACTCCTACGAGGAAGTCGAAGCCCCGAGTATCTCCAAGAAGGAAGCGTCGTGCTACGGGCCCAGCTGCGACTGTCAATGACACAGCCACCACACAAACTGGGAGTTTGTCCGAGGATGACCAGTCTTGGACAAGTGAGGACTCAACTTCGTACGATGGCTCCGAAAGACCCTCCAGTGCTCCAGCAAAGTCGCTCGCAGAAGTGCCATTCGGCTACTCAGCTTTCAGCGAGCTTGACTTGCCGGTGGGGGCAGATCACCACCACATCAAGAGACCGAAGGCTCAGAGGACTTCAAGCTTCAAGGCTGTACCAAAGGCTTTCAAAAAGATTGTGACAGGGGCCAAGGAGATCGTCCATGAGAGGGTTGACCCGCCGAAGCCAGTCACAAATCAGCCACCAAGCATCGAGAGCTGGCTTAATGGGACGGTCGACCCCTTCGTTGACAAACCCGCTTCTCAGCCGGCCCCCGCCGAGAAACCTGTCGAGAAGCCTGCACGTAGACAAGTATCGACAGAGCTGCCGTCCAAGAAAGACTTGAAGAAAGATGCAGGCACGGTTCCGGTGCAACAGCCTCGGCAGGAAAGCAGAGACGACGATGATGTTTCAACAGAGGTCCCAGACAAGCCCGCAGAGCCGCCCTTCAGTCCTCCAGCGGGTTTGAAGAGGAGCAAGGCTACTAGGAGTGGCTCTTCTCCAATGAAGCAAAGTCCTGTCAAAAGGCCTCTACGCGAGACCCTGAACAACCTTTTCAGAGGAGAATCCAGTGGACACAAGCTCCCTACAAAGGCCTATTCCAGCTATCAGGACATGGGACCCGAGTCGGAACTCAGTTATATGGATGAGGTTGATGACCATGACGAGCACATGGCATATGATACTCGCCATCACTCTGCTGCGGAGGACCAGAGGCGTCCCTTGTCGCCAGAATCATCTTATGTTTCCACAGATGTCAGCAGCAACACCGAAGGCGCATACATGACGCCAGCTGTCCCCCGACGAAAACCGCCACCAACAAGTGGATTGCATGAATTGTCGACCATAGCCTCCGAGGAGTCAGCAAGTACGGTCGGGTCTGAGACCATGTCAATGTTGTCGGACACTACCGTGACTCAGACAACAGGACTTACTAGGTCCAGTGCGACCTCACGGAGGAGTAAAGGCTCAGGTTTAAAACGCCGTCTTACGAAGCACTCAGATCTCGTCTCGGTACTCTCTCTACCAGACAACGACGATGCTCCGGTACGTGCCAGAAGTACCAGATCTAAAGGCAGCCTCCGGAGGCGAGCCAGCAAGCTAGGACATGGTACTGTCGACGACCTCTTGAGAGAATTTGCGGTCGATGAAGACTTCTATCAACGGGAATTGAAAACCCTCGTGGATGGAGCTGTTCCAGTCCTTTTGAACCAAGTCGTGCACGGGAAACAAGATTACGCTACTGATCTATTCGGGCCTGCACCAGATGGGCAATCGGATTCTGTTGGGAAGACAGTGGTCAACATGGGTATTGCCCTCGAGAAACTCAGGAACCTACACAAATGGGCGCCTATGCATGATGTCAACAAAATTCTCACCTGGCTCCTGACAGCTTACCCTGTTTATGATAAATATCTGGATGTCTGGCGTCTTGGCTTCGAGGGAATCGTTGTCAATCTTGCTCCAGCTCCAGGCAGAGCCGACGACGAGGACTCCTTGGTCAATGCCATGCCTCGTAATGAGGATGGAGACGTCGTAGACACCAAGGGACAGCCTGTCGATCTTCAACATCTCTTGACCAGACCAGTGGCCCGGATCAGGGGGCTCTTGAAGCTCCTCAAGGTAAGGTGTTCTCCATTCGCAGCCTTGAATGTGAGGTAACTAACAAGTCAATAGAGCGCGGAAGCTTTCGGGGTCCAGCATCAAGACCTGCTAGCGGTGATTGATGACTTCTCAGCTCTCCAGGAGAAGGCACGAAGACGCCATCGTGAAGAGGTAGCTCGCAAGACGGACGAAGATGCAAACAAGACTGACACCAGTCGATGCTGTGACCTCCGAACATTGAACGTCATGGACCGCATCCTCATCGACCCAACCAGGCAAGTCAATGCCAAGGACTACTTCTCCATGGACCTTTCCCATTCTCGTGGCCAGAGACTCGAGTGCCGGGTTGAGTTGATATACCGAGATAAGCCAAAGGACCCACTTGATCGAGGCGACATTCTCATACGAGATATTGGTCATGCGCGGTGCTGTCTTCTGTTTCCCCCTATCCCAAAGACGGCAATATCCGCTCGCCGGGGCGATGAGTCTGGCGCGCTGGTTGTCATGGTCCGTGGCAGACACAACGGCAAAGAGTGGTACGAAGTATTCACGCTGTTCACCGACCTGGAGGACCAAGTCTTGGACTGGTTGGATATACTAGGTACCAACCCGGTACCACCGGCCATAACTGATACCCTGATCGAAGACAGCGCCTCGATCATTTCAGCCAAATCAGATGTCACTGTTCCCTGGGGCGAGCGAACAGGCGCAGAGCCAGCCAAACGCCGCAGGTCGCATGATCCGCGCCTTACCGTATCACAGACTCCCAACGAAGTCGTGGATCAGCCAAAAGCCAAAACACCTAGCCGCTATCACACACGGCATGCAAGCTCCCCTACTACGCCGACCACTCCAACATCAGTGACAAGCAATCCTCTAGTCAGCGACTTCCCAGACAGAACTCCGACTCGAAATTCTCATCATGGAGTCACCCGGCCTCAATCTCTCCCAACGACGCCACTTCGAGAGGACATGCGACCTGAACCCAGGAAGCTCACCAAGTCGCCCCCCAACAACAAGCCCTTCCGAGAAGACGGAGCTCCTCCACCTCCGGTCCACCGCACATTCACTCCCGACAAGTCTACAGCTCTCGGTCCACCGGTGGACCTCAACCCTCCTGCGTCGCGAGTTAGACGCCGTGGGTCGTCGCCTCTCAAACACGAATACCGCCCGTCTGACGTCTCTTCTGACTCCTCGGAGACTGAGAGTGACTCTGCCTCTGATGTCGAATCCTCTGACGATGAACTTGATGAGGCCGACGTCCCAGACACCCAGCCTGCCATCAGTATCAAGCAAGAATCGGTGATTTCGGGTGCTGAAACCGTTGTATCCGACAATAGCATTGCCCCTTCACAATCAGCTTCTCAAGTTGGCCTGTATGGGCGACTTGGCCCAGGAGGTGCCAAAGACCCCGAGTACATTATCAAGACCATCGCGACAATCTCATACTGGTCCAACAAAAAGGGCCAATGGACAGAAGCACTGGATGAGCCGTGCTCTATCAATATCACCCCCGGCTTGATTGAAGCATACCCGCTTGCTAGCCACTCTGTTTCTGGCCCTGGGGCCCTCAACTCGTCGGGCTCATCTGAGCTTAACGATTCCGACCCTGCTCGTACACAGCCTTTGATCGCCCTTGAGCTGACACCAATTGTCATGATCCGTCAGAGCACGGTTCTTGACCTTGAAATTCGCTCACCGGTTCGGCCCTACTGCAAGCTCTCTGCTATTGACGGCAAGATCTTCCGCTTCCGTGCGCCTTCGGCCAACGAAGGCACCGAACTTTACATGGCTGTACACAAAGCCCGTCTCAACAATGCCAAATACAGGGCCTTGGAAGAAGAGTCAAGGTTCCGTGCCTTCGGACAACCTCAGCCAGAACAGCAAGGGCCGGAGTCGCAGTCAAGCAGCAGTAATCGCCGTGGCTTGTTTGGTAGGAAGAACAGCTACCGTGCTTCGACTCGCGCTCCATCCCAGTCCTTGTCTCAATCCCAGGGCACCTCCTCCAGCATCTCGGCGCCATCCCTTCTCAAGCGTCTGACAGGCTCCGGAAACCTCTCTTTCAACATCAACAAATCATACGTCGACCGTTCCAGCCGCCCCAGTTCCGCGATGGGCGGAGCAGCCTCGTTGTACACAAGCAGTTCTTCTTCGGCTGATGGCATGACAACTCCGCGGTCTCCATCAGTGTCATTGGCGGAGGCAAGCGGCCGTACCCAACTCTTGGGCAGTGATAACCTCAGAGTACGTTGCCATCTGCTCGTCACTTCATCAAAATGGGAGGACCATGGCAACTGCAACCTACAGATCACACGACCGCCTCCTGGCATGAGGCAAGAACTACGAATTAAGCACGGGATGGAAAAGCGCGTCATTGTAACCAAAGCTCCTAAGAAGACATTTGGCTTTGGATCATCAAGCCCCGAGAAAGACAAGCCCTTGATCGTGCTGGACGTCGTGCTGGGATCCAAGTGCTTCAGCCGACTCGGCAGCCGCGGCATCATCCTCAATGTGTGGGAGGAGGTGCGTGACGAAGAGAACAACGTGGGCCTCGCGCCAAAGACGGGTGGCCTGTCCGGCAAGGTCACGAAGTGGTGTTTCCAGTGCAGCAGCGCGACGGAGGCGAACTGGATATTCGGCCTGGTGGCTCAGGAGGTCAGCATCGGCCTCGGCGAACCACTTCTACCAGACGCACCCATGTGGTAGTCGACACCACGCTCTCGATAGGTGGATTTCCTTTTCTTTTCATATGTTATTGACTATTTGTGTCTGCTTTACCGGTATAGGGATCCGCATGGCGAGGTGTTCACAGGATGTTACGCATGGCTATGCATTGGCTTTTCGGACTCTTCACTTGGAGGATATGGCTGTTTCGAGGCAGCTGGGCCGAGAGAGTTTCATCTACATTCAACCTCCCTTTCTGTGCATTTAGACAGGCTAGATTGATGGCTGGCAGTCTTGTTTGGGCGTCCCCCTCTCCAAAGCAGGAGAGATGGTGGGGGACTGGCTGGTTGGCTGGTTGGCAAAGGGAGGAAGGGTCCGGTTAGAAAGACATGGGTTTGGTAGTTGGACGCCATAACGCTTTCATTGTACAAGAGATATCCCAACGTTCATGAAGAAGAAGCGGTAGCGAGCATATACACGAAGCAAGCGTACGCTGGATTGGCGGATTTGGTGGGCGGGCGCCATGATGTATTGATATTTCTGGGTAGCGAGCAGCTTTGATTTCTACAGAGAATCGAATAATAACTATGACACCAAGACGCCTATACATGTCTGTTGAAGCCTTATTCGTGATGCTGGCTTCTACACAACGGTCTCTTCTGTCGGCCATGCCCAGAGTACACTTCGTCGTTGATCTGATAGCTACGTACTTTCAACATAGAGGCCCCATTTGGTAGGGCATCAAGGACAAAGATCATCGGCCTTCTACAACTCTGCCATACGTGTGAGCACTCGGGCTTCGCGACTCGGGCTTCGCTACTCGGGCACAGTGAAGCTCTGGAGATCACATGCTCGGACTTGTGCATAGAACAATCCAGCACTCCTCGGACAACCAGACGTCGGCCTCAACGATAGGCAGAAAGACAAAAGGACCGTTGCAAGAAGCGCTGTGACGCTGAGATGATGTGTATAATCCGTCAGTCACTCACGCTACGTTTCTATCTCTGGGATCGTCATAAACGACCTATCTGGGCCTATGTCACCTTGCCGCTGACTTGCGTCTGTTCTCACAGGACACGAGATCTTTCTTTTCTTTCCACGGTGAGACTTGTCATGTTCCGCAGCAGCAGGCCCAATTCGATGCGGTGAGAATCTTTATCCCACGAAGGATCTGACACCACGTAGCATTCAACGTGCCCAGAGTCGTAGGCAGATAGATAGATCATCCACGAGGTGAGGTTGCAAGCAGCTGCTCACGTGGCCGCGGCACTGGCTGAGGTTCACCAAGGCGCCAGTCTATGACTGCGGCTCAGGATTCTTTGCCTCCATGGGCCAGCAAAAAGGCGATGGCATCCTACGCTGACTATATTCAATTAACTTATCATGTCAGCGAGCCTCCCGAATACTACACTCAGGATCGCGCCGTCGCCACAAGCGTAACGTTCTACCGATTCTGTAAGCATCTTTGGAATCACCGACCACAATATCTGGGCACCATGCATATAGTCAAGATTCCTAAAGGCATGCATAGTCGGCAAAGCCACACAATGCGAGCATAAAGAGCCAGGCACTAGACCGCTGACCTCAGAATGACCCCCATTGAGGAACAGCATCCCGTTCGAACACCCCGTCCAATCGGCCCGCACGCGGCGGAACCATGATTGGCACGCGGGCGCAGCGAGCTGAAACCCTCGCACGAGGAATGGGGGGTGAATCCCATCAACCGTTCAAGGTTCAAGCTTCCTCGAGATGACGCCGGGAGCCAGAGCAAGCGGTGAGAGGAAAGGAACGAGAGGCCCGATCCCAAAGGGACGCGGGCTCCGCGTTGCATAGTGCCGTCCGGCGGACGAATAAGCGATTACCCTTATCCGTCTGACGTGCAGGCGAGCAGGGTGCCTGAAGATCCGGACCCCGATTCCAGACAGGCGGGTGGGAGCAAACCCCCAAATATAGAGAGCCATACACAGCTTTGACAGGCGCATAGTCCAATGCCCTCGGGTGCGATGCCAGCGACCTGACCGGCTGGCGGCGCCCCCAAATTCAATTATGACGGGACTTTTTTGCGGTGAGCGAGGGCTAGGACCCGATAGGACAGAAATAAGACTTGCGGGCGAAGGAGAAAAGCAAAAAGGGGGCGACCAACCGGGCAAAAAAGATAACAACGCCAACCAGAACTGCCAGAGTGCGCCGCAAACAGTAAGCACGTCTATGGGTTGGGTGACTTCTTCTCGCTCCGGACCCGCCCAGGCCAGCCGAACGTGTGCTTCCCAGAATGACGCGGTCAGCTCAGCCGCGTCCTGGCTACGTTCTCGTCAGGACCCGATCTGGAAAGGTAAGAAAGACGATGCGACCATACACACAGGGAGGGACAGAAGGAATGTGGTTGTCAGATTGACCACCTAGTAGCCTCGCAGGGCTGAGCCACTCCAAGCCCCCCGATATTGGGCATAGGCTTGGGCTGGATGGTTGTCTCGCTGCCACGCTGTGGCCGGTAGAGCGACAAGCTGACAGTCAGGCCGCAACCGAGTGAGTCACTATGAGTCTCAATGAGACGCTATAGACAGATTAGGGGGCAAGAAGAGCTGGCCCCTCCGTAGGGTCCTCAATGAAGCAGCCTGTCCATGCTCAACGGTCTGCCAAGGGTACTTTAGAGTAGTCTGGAAACATGACATATCCCTCGACTACGTGATGGGACATATCTCGAAAAGAGAGAAAGGGAAAGCAGAATCGAGAAGAAGGCGGCGGCGGCTTCCGTGCTACGCGGTCCTGATTGAAGCATCTGGCGGTAACCCACGTCGGAGAATTCCTATCGTGTCGCGCTGCTTCCCGGGGCGCTTGCAGACAGATATTGGAAGTAGCTGTCCGCTTTGGGGGGAGGAGGGGCGGCTCGAGATCAATCAAGGTAATCTGCGACGTCCCCACGAGAATACTCCCAAGTCCACATCTGGGCGGACTTTCAGCTTCGCTCGACTGCTGCTCATTGCCGCACGAGGTACGTGGGGAACAAAGGGGGGGCATGCGCCTCACATGGTGTTACCTGAAGAACGTCAGGAACAAACGGCGTGCTACGCAACGCAGGGTCGCTCACTCACCCTGGTGTAGGTGGTTGGTATCCAATCGATCAACCCCTCCTCCTCCCCTACTGGACATGAAAGCTGCTGTGAAATGGTGATCGTAATATAGGCCACAGGAGAAGCGGTCAGTTCGTGGGCCTCTTTGTCTCACTGCTGCGTCCCTCTGCGCGCGAGCAGTAGGCCGGCGGCTTCAACTTGGTGACAACGTCCTTGATGTGCTGGCAGACGGTTCCATGGCACGCCTGCCTGCCATCCAGCCTGCCCGTTTGGCCTTGGAAACTCCAGCCGACGAGAAGCAATCGTCGACCAGCAGATCAATGACAGAGAGGGCCATTGCGCTAAGCAGGTTGGCCCTCGTTGTGGTTTGCCCGATCCGCGGCCGCGTGATCAATCAATGCACATGAACCCGCATGAAAAGCTTAGATAGCCTCTGTGCTATGCTGCAGTGTCGTAGGAGTTGCATGGTCGCTGGCTCTCGGGTTCCTGAAGCTGGGCCGCTAATTGGACTGACACAAGGTTTGTCGTGCCTTTGATCCACAACCTTACTGAGGTCGGACGAGGGGCTTGCTGTCCGTCATAGACAAGAGAGCCCTTCGCAGTAGTGCGAAATGCGTGGCTGCGTGGCGGTGGTTCACGGCATACTGTGCTCCTCTGTCCCAGGAGTGGTAGAGGACCACTGGCTACCAGACTACATGTGCAGTCAGCAAAGAGCTGTCTGCGTGGGTCGGCTGTGGACGGCCAGCTTGGGACTGCACGCTGATGCTACTATATTTAGTAATCGGCTAACCGCAAATGCGATGAGCGAAGTTGGACCCATGTAGGATGGGGGGCTTGGTTCGTCCATTGTTTCTTGGGAGTGGGGCGACCGCTCGCAGCATTCCGGTCCCTTTCCTAGGGTCTGTCGGTGCGGAGAGGGAGAGCCTCGCAGGCCGAGAGGCGGAGAGTCTCGCGATGATCACTGCTCATCCAGGTTCCCGAGATTACTGTCGCAATAGATCTCACGATGTGCACCCGTTGAGCCCGCGCCTCTTGGAAGGTGAAGGCGACCGATAGCCCGGGGATGTTCAAGCTTCCGCGACACCCACCGAGGCGAGGCGTCCGTGCCAGGTACGCTATGTCCAATTAGCAGCGGCGCCGGTGTGCGAGACAGGTCTTGCGCCCCCCCTCTAATTTGGTGTGTCATGGCATGCTTTGCTCTAGCTGGGCGATGCCCCCATGCCCCATGCCCCATGCCATCATGCTCGCCGGCCACGAGGCGACTCGGTACCGTCGGTAATAGTTCTGTTTCGGGTGGACTGCCGCCGCATTCCAGTCGAAAGCAGCCATTTGCAATGTGAAGTTCGCCAGGTTGGGCGCCTCACCGCCCTTGACTTGGAAGAGCGGCTCCCGCCGGCTGCATCCAACCCCAAATCCCCTGACATGAACAGAACCAGGAAATCTGAACGCACAGGTGGCACGGTGCACAGCATTTGCTATCAGATTTCCCAGTGATACTGCGAGACTAATGCCTGTATCATGCTAGTTAGGTAGGGGATTAGCAATGCTCATCTTTGCTCTTCAACATGTTCGTCCCGCACGCTGCCTCTCAACGGGTGGTCCTAGGATCGTTACCATCAATCGTCACATCGAGAATGACGAGGAGCTTATTGTGGCCAGGAAAGGCCCGGGCTTGGCTGTCACTCCGTGGCCAAGGTGACATCGCCAACGAAGTGAGATCACTTCAGGCAGCCTAGGGCAGAAGCACAGTAGCTTAGTGCTTGACAGGAGCTACCAGGTTCAGCGATCAGATCGTCGGCAGCACGCTACATAGCATGACCTGTTGATGTGGTCATCTTCGAAAATGCGCGAAAACAAACCCGTCGCGGCAGTAGCAAGGCACCAAACAGACGGCTCTGTTCTCCGTCGGGTCAGACGGCGCCGAGAGACAGTCAACAAGCGCCAGCGGCATCGCAAGGACCTCGGTACAAA